GTTCTTTTACTAAATCAACATGGAGTTCGCACAGCTACAGCATCTTAGAACTGAAAAATACTGACGGTGACCATTTTGCAATACCCGGGTGGCGCGCTATGGTATGTAAGTAGCTGCGAGCGATTCTGTATTGTATTGTACAGTACAATTTGGGGGCGATAAACAAATGCGGGTTTATGGCGACGATGATGTCTGCGGAGTGAATTCAGCTTATGCACGACAGTTTTAGGTAACAGCGACATCTGCAAATTGGAGCGCCAGAGTCCATAATCCCGCCCCCGATCATGAAGTTCGGTGTGTATGGACAGGGCAAAACGGAAAACACTGCTGAGATCGTTGTTGGTCCAACTGCTGAACCTATACTTGACCTCCGTATATACTGACGGCTTTTCACTCCTCCTTCTTCGCGCCAGGTCCCAACCGCCGATACTTCCTCTTGTCTCCCCGCCTCATCAGCACCTGATTCCTCGTTCCCTTCCCACCCTCCCAATATCCCTTCCCTCTCTTTCCAATCACACTCCTTCCGCAAAACGCACTGCACCGTCACCTGGTCAGCCATCTTATCCCTGTATCAAAAGCATAGGACGAGTTCAGCGGTGACCAGGCTTGCAAGCTAAACTTCTTTGAGCCCAATACCCGGCCATGACGGTCTGTACAACAATCGTTCGTGCTCGCGAGGCAGCAACAAGAGAATAAAAAAGGGGCATGCGGGATGAATGAACTCACCAGTCCTCGACCCTGTACCTCTGCTCTCTGGAGCACCAGCCACAGATCATCCTGTTGGCCCACTCGTTGACGTGGTCCTCGACGGCGTCATGGCACTTGTCGCACGGGTGCACCTTGTTGCAGCACGAGAAGCGGAACCAGCGGTGGCTGCGCCGGTAGTGGACGCACGCGCCGCGGTTGGGGAGGGGCTCGCCGGCGTGGAGGCCCAGCTTTTCCTGCTGCTGTCTGCGACGCGGGGCCGGCAGTGCGCCGCCTAACGACCCCGGACCGTAGGCGAGGAACTTGACGTCGGGGATCTTGAAGGTGAAGCGGGCGTGGCATTCGCGGCACACGTTGGTTGTCGCCTCGCCGCGCACCGAGACGAGGCCGCCTGCGGCAGTGGAGCACCGGCCACAGGTGGGCAAGAAGGTGCTGGCAAGAAGTTCCGGTTAGCTGATGATGGGACAGGAGAGAAAGGTGTGGTAGGGAGATAGATACCTTGGAAGCAGATCAGCCACGGTGCAAGCAGTGGCGTCGATAAACCCCGCGCGAGTCGAGTTTTGATGGACGAATTCCTGGCGGAAACGGACAGTAAATGGTGTTGCGCATTTCTTGCAGCTGCTGGACTTCTCGAGGTTATCCTTCAGCCCTCTCAACTCGTTCAGCGTCTTACAGCGGTCGCACTTGAGGCTGAGGCTGAGGATGGAAACTTGTAGCAGCTCGATGCCGTGTAACTCGATTGAAGGGAAAAGCAATGCGGTTCCCCGCTCTTGTGTCTGACTGGGCAGCGATGGGCCGCCCGTCTGTCCTTGCTCGATGGCAACTTCTCCGTCATCTTCATCTTCCTCGTAGGATTCCTCATCAGACTCGTCCCAGTCGTCCGACCCGTCGTCAGCGGCCCACTCAGGGGGTCGGGGGATTATGCGAATATGCCCCTTTTCAGCGTCCAAGGTTGAGGAATGCTCAGCCTCGTTTGCCTTGTGAGCTACGTTCCGTTCCGCTTCGCCAGTTTCCCTATCTCCAACAGGTGGTGCCTGGACTTGTTTCGCCAGAGTATGCATGTTCTGAGCAAGGTAGTTTAGTTGGCTCATCAAGGACATATGCTTCTGCTCTGCCGCCTTCTGCGCGAAGAGCTCCTCCAAAGGCCCCGCATCTTCAGACTCGACATCGTTCAGAAGGATCCGCAGGGACTGAAGGGGATAAAGGAGAGGTATAATGAGCTGGACGGACTGGACCTGCCGAAGGCCGACGGGGAGATCTGCCCTGCGCTTCGGTTCTAGGGGCAGCGTGTAAACGACGCCGTCGCTGGATCTGTGGTACAATGCCAATCGACTCATGCGAGTTTCGAGCTGCCTGACTTCCTGGGCCCTTCGTGCCTTTGCTTCGGCAATCTGCTCCCTTGAATGGGATTCCTCCGGGATGTATGGTCCGCCAACTACGAAGGACTCGGGAGCATGTTTCGCGGCCGGTGCCTCCTCCGCTACAGGCGCCGGTTCAGCATCCTGAGGTCGGCTGCCCTTGAATATTGTCAACTTAACCGTCTCGGCCTTCTGCTCTGATAACAGAGACTCGAGCCTCCTGTCAAGGGCATTGGTCAGGGCGAGGAGAGTTGCTCCTCGCTTCTCCTCAACAAGCTTGTCCCAGCCTCTTTCAATATTGATAGCAAATCCTCGGGGAATATTGCCATTCTTGATGTGCAGACGGGGTGATTGCCTCGGATACCTTGTGGGGATCCGAAGGTCACATTCTAAATGGTCCAGGTCAAAGGGGAAGTCAGGGTCAGACGGGGAAAGGTTAAAAAGGAGGGATAGTTCCCCGTCCAGGTCGACCTCCTTTGCAGAGTATCGGCGCTTCAACTGCTCGATTTGGTAGCTCCTAGCATCTTTAACCTCCCGCTCCGGCACCGGCCTCCGTACGACCCGAGAGGGTGGGGCCTCGGCCACCGCTTGTCTGCTATATCGGGGGGAAGCGCCGCCGCGGGTCCGGATGGGGATCATTAGCCTGAAGGAGAGTTATACTTGATAATATACAAGAACCCGAAATCCAAAAAGAAGGTGGGGTGACGAGAAGACGCAAAGATCGGAGAACGATGATACAAAAATGGGATTGATGAGAGATGCACTGAACGAGAAACCACGACTCAGCACATGCAGTTCCAATGGCAGGAACCAATGAAGTCGGCTAGAGGAGCTTTAAGGGGCACAACTTATGAACCGAGGGATAATCAAAATATTGCCATCGTATTTACAATCCAGCAGCTCGGCGAGGAGTAATCGGGTGCAGTGACTCAGAGCGTCTCATCAGTCGCCCCCACCGAAAACGAAGTGACGATGAAGTTCCAGGCGCGATATGCCAAGTGTGGGGCAATGATCGGCTCAAGGGGCACGGACCGTAATGTGGATCTTCCAGGGTGAGCCCAAGGTGAGATTCGGTGAGCTTGGCAACACTGCAGTCAACGACTGCGACTTCCTACCGGAGCCTTATTGATATCTTCCTCGAGGTGTCTCGTTCTGCTTAGCGGTCATGTTCTTCTCAAGTAGGTATTGTTCCATAACCCTCTGCTTTTACTTCTTTTTTGTTCCTTGCTACTATTCGTTCTCGGCCCTCAATACCCTTCTCAGCCTTCTGAAGTTCTGATAGTCTTCCTATCTCGTAGTTTCCCCTCAAGCGTGGTGGCAAGAGGTAAGCAAGAGCCCTGGGAAAGGTTCGTGATGCTGATGCTTGCATCCAGTCATCTCGCATTAGCAACCCAAGGACGTGCTGCAGTACACTAGACACGTAATGCTAAGAACAGGAATCGAAACTGGCCTCCAAGGTCTCTGTGGCTCGAATGATACGCTAGATAATGTGCAACACAGTCTCTAAACGCCATCACGGCTGCTTGTAGGGGATTAGGCAAAATACATGCTACCATGCATTGGAACAAACCGCCTGGTCATGTGAGGGAGCCACTTAAGAAACGAATATCGCTTCGGGCCGACCATGTGAACTTTGTTGCCGCTACCTGTATATAGTAAATCAGAGCTGATTCTCCCGGGTAAGCTAACCGTGGCCAGGGACGGGTAAATGGCGAGCCGACCTGGTGGTGCCAAAACCCCGGCCCCTAAGCAAGACTACATAGATAGGCCGGGTCAATGGTGATATGGATGTACGGGTGAAATGCACCCTTGTCCGATCTAACTGCCAACGGGGAGCGGACAGGATTACGTATCATGGGATAAAGGTAGTAGTGTTCATAACCGCGGGATCGGTTGATAACCGACGAGTTTCACTTCCGCTTGCTCACGTGGCAGCGTACATAGTAGTCGTTTTTCCAATCTTCATTGGAAGAGTTACATGATACAGCTCCGCCAAGGTAGGTAACCTGAACCTTTGCAATCGACAAAAGAAGTAGTAGCTAATGGGAAGGAGGGGTAAGACTTGCAAAGTAATCGGGCCCTCTGACAGTAACATTACTGGATGTAGCTCAGAGAGTTCTGTAGCTGATGCTGTTGCCCATTTGACGGCAGTGTAAACAACGGGTAATCCTCCCTAGCCAGGAATGGTTTGCTACTTGAGCATACCTATCATGATATTCTTTATTATCAATGTCGGCAAGCCAACATGCTATTTGTTTGCTGTTGCAGCCCGTTGGGATTCAGGGCAAGACCTGCCTTTCTCGTGAAAATATGCCAAATAAATACAGAACAAGCTGAGAGTGTTTGTCAGAAAGGGGTCGTTGCAATGTGACGACATGTTAGACTCACCTCCCTTGCTCTGCTTCCATAGTTCTGTACGTAAATATGTACAATCCAGGACGTCAGTACCTTTGGTAAATACCCTGCTTCGCTGTGTAGAGTCTCTTCGAGAGTTAGAACTAGCGTAACTGGTGGTCTGTGTTGATGACTAGACGGGCGAATCTGCAGGGTTGTAACGATCAAGGGGTTTAGATGCTGGCCACCGCTCTGCCTTGAAGCAGGGCGCCGTGCCGCCAATTGACCGCTGGAACGCTATTGCAGGCAAACCCAGACAGGTTTTCATAAGGGTTCCTAATGGCGACCACGCATATACACGGCTTACAATCAGCATCGAGCGTCAAGGGCTGTGTTTGCAGTTGTTGAGAAAACTCTGAAGAAAGGAGTCATGTTGCACCAGAGTCACAGCCACCGGGTTGAGTCCAGAGTGCTGTCATTCCAGCGTCAGGTAAACCGATGAAAAGGGGCCAAAAGTCAAACTTGGGGTATGAGACATCAGGGGTCTTGGTGTCATTGTCTAGACCATGAAGCGGAAGCAAACAGATCGGTTTGTGGTGTTCTGGTGATGGTGTGCCACAAAACGGGGTACCTCTCGGATGTAACTTGGCGAGGGAATCGCGGAAAGTCAAAATAAACGATAAATTCAAGTTGTGGAATTATCTGGGAATTTCTGGAGGTGTAAACGGTCATGCACCCCACGCTTGAAACGGAAATCAAGCCTGAGATTGTGTAACCACGGCCGTACTCAGCCCAGTATAGTACAACTCCCAAGGCCAAGCAGGGGTAAGGCGGTGCAAACTCGCCATCTTATTAATTGAGTCCTGAGCCCCGAAGGCGGTGATGTAGCTTAATGACTGAAATAGATAACTTCTCGAGCCCATCTAGGGTGGCAGCCAATTGGGGCGTTCAAAGGGAGAGTCAGTTCGAGGTATACTCTCGACATTGGGCTGGCAAGGCTTCTCTGGAGAACACCTAGCTCTCTCCTCCCGTGACTGGACGACGGTAGGCAGATTGAACCGACAACGCAAACTGCCTCTGAAAGGCTGCTTCGATTTGGCCTATCGCTGGGCCTGCAATGCCCAGAACGGTAAGGTTGATGAGGTGTAAGCGCCACATCGTGGCGTCTGCTTTTGCCTGGTGCGACTGTGGCGCGGCATCTTACGGAGCTGGAAACCATTGCCTGGCTCTTTCCTCCAAAAAATTATAAAAAAAAAAAAAAGGCAAAAATTGATAATGAGCAACAAGAAAAGTACCTAATCAACCATGAGAGATATCGTCATCGAAGTTATGCCTGGTTGCTGATTTTCCTGAAATCTTACGGTGCAAGCGACGCTTGAGGCGGCGCGGGGATAGTGACTCGCTGTCACATGGGCTGCTCCCCGGTCCGTTTTTTAACCTTCTCCGTCCCGTCCCTGCCACCGATACCACCCCACCGCCTCAACCCCCTAGGCTCCTGGAAAGATGGTGGGTATGCCGGCCAACCCCGCGGGCTGGATTCCCGGGTGCATCTAAAAAATGCTGGTCATCTGCCCTGGCTCGGCGACTGCCAACTCATCAGCCCTTAACCAGGTGAGTGAAGCCACCGACATCGTGCGTGGTGACAATGAAGAACATTCCGCCGCCATTCCCGCCGCAAAGTGCCCCTGGTGTCCGGCCCTAGGCTGAGAATCTCCCGTCTGTTTGCGTCAAATCGCGATCGAGCTCTCCTCCACGAGACGGATTGCCCGGCGGGCACAGCACCGCGGTGCCTTGCGAATGCAGCAAAAATCAAGGAAAGATACCGTCAAGATATCACGAAATCTCTCGAATTGCCGCCCCGCCTCCGGCTCGCATCGTTGACACAATGTGAACCGACGTTCGTCATTGCTCAACTCCCCGCCTTCGTTTGCCTAATCCCCCAGTCCATCCCAAACCCCGTCATTGACAACGCACCACTCCTTCCCTTTCCCCTTCTCTCCCTAGGCGACAGACGTTAGCCGGGCGAGGGCGAGCGAGGCTGGGGGAACCCAACTGCCGAAGCCTCCGGGTTCCAATGCCAACCAACGAATACGCCGCTAATTGATAAATCCAACTGTAAGGAAACCGTGAATGATGACGAACCCAACCGTCGTCCCAGCGCCACGGGCTCCATGGGGCTGTTTGTTGTGTTGTGCTCATTCCACGACCACGCAGAATTGGCGCCCAACCCGCACGCAAACGCGCGGGCAGGACGGAGGGCAGGTGATTTGACCTGCTTTTTTGCCAACCAGGCGCGGCTCACAATCCCATTTGACATAGGAGCTGCGGGCCGCAGAAAGGGGCGCCTGGTCAGGACAGCCCTCTTATTCTTTACTTTCTGATTTGCGCTTTACAAGTCGTCTGCCCGCTCCTTCGTCTGCATGGCGTCTGCAGGCTGGAATCCGCTGCGTTGTGGCTAACTTACTCTTTCAGCCTTTTTTTTCTTATTTCCTTTATTTATTCTTTTAAATCTACCATTTCCTGGGGCGTCTCCGTGATCACGATGATCGTCATCGTGATGGTGCAAGCGCATGTACCATGTACGATCATGCTGGCTCGCATCAGACCAGGGGAACAACTCAGAGGTCACTCAGAGCTCGTGCTATCGACCTTGTCAAGGAATAGTCTTGGGGCAGCCTGGCCAATACGGGCATGCCGTTTAGTTCTTTCGTACGGAGCTGGTCAGTCTGCTGTGTTTCTGCCTGTTGAGCAAACCCGGTAGGCCAACATGAAGTCTTGCCCCGTCTCGACTCATGAGCCGTCACCACTGGGTGAGGTCTGCGCTGGCGAAGCGGCTGCTGGTTGGGCCCGGTGAGGCCATGCACCCTTGGTGCCTTACCGCGGCGCCCGTACTGGCGACAACAGTGCAATGTATCGCGACATGATCAGACCTGTCGAGGGTGTTGTGATCAATTTGTCAAACGATGGGTTCAATTCGGGATGTAGCGATGCGTTGCCCACCAGTTGTTACATGCCTCCGTGCTTCTGTCCTGTTACTGTTTGTCTCTTGCTTGTTGACTTGACTCAAACGACGCTTAACCTGACAACTGCCTCGGCTGGCTCTTGACTTACCTGTTGACATTGGAGATGCCAGCTCATGAAGCTGGTAACGTTTTCCATCGACTTGGTGCAGTCTGACTGCCTGGGGCAGCTTTGTTAAAGCGGCTTCAGTATGGATCGCCGTGTCCTGCGCTTACCAGCCACTCCTCTTCGAAGATGTATTTCCGTCCTGAACGGAGTGGGAGAGTTCTCCGTTGATGATGGAATCCTCTTCAATAATGCCACGGGGAACGACCCGTGAAGCGGCAAATTTGGTAACATTCGCCCTTTCGTACACTCTGCATGATAGATAAGAACATTGGCTGCTCGCTGCTTGCTTCATGGTACCCTAAAACACCGCATGCATGAAACATCCGACAAAGTGGACTCCAAAATCTGGCTTCCGATCATCCACCGGGGGCGAGGTAACATTCAACTCGATTGGGAGGCTCTTGGGTTTCCGGCTTCGATCGCCGCCTGCATTCTCGCTACTCCCCCTTAAGAAGAGCGTTGCGGTCGGCGAACGGGTTCTCTTCATCTTCTTCGTCCTCTTCATCGTCAGAAGCTGGTGCCAGTGGCGCTGAACGGGGAGATAGCATGGAGGGCTTTGTGGCAGCGGAGGGTCGAGGTGGAGGCGCCGGACGCGGCGATTGCGGCGAGCTGATGCTGAGGCCAGCCATCCCTGAGACAGGGGATTTGGGGCTGCTGGGGGAGCTCGGTTCCTTTCCCTTGGCTTTTTCGGTCATCACTTGAACATGGTTAGATAGGCTTCCACAAGAGCGTTTGTCGCTGGACCTACTGCGATAGAGGTGAGCTTGTTCAGCGAGCTCATCATCCGAGTCGCTATCTGCGTCGATTGAGCGGTCCAGCTGCTCAAAAGTCATCAGGGCGGCGACAAGCTCGTCGTTCGCATGCAGCAAGCTTCCAAGCCATTGCTCAGAATCGACTAGGTGGATCTAACCGCTGTTCAGTGGCGAGTACGTTCAATAAGACCAACCACCCCGCTTACATATCGCAGGATCTTCCTCCGAAGCTGCTTGCACATCTCGAAGTGCTGCACCGCGATCTGGTTTTCAGAGATACGCTCCTTCTCTCTGTTGATGGTTTTCAGTGTATTCATCAAGTTGGTCGCGGAAATCGAGGCTTCGGCAATGTGGGCCTTCATCTGCTCCTTTTCGGTTTCGATATTGAAAGGCTTATGCTTCTTTTGTTTCTTTTCCTTCTTCTTCTTCTCTTTGGCGTCATAGCTAAATGACTGGATCACCCCAGTTACAGGAGGGTTAAGTGATGAGTTCCTGGAATGCGCTTTTGAAGGACCTGCTGGGCTGGGCTTGTCCTCTTCGTCGTCATCGCCGAAGGGATTGTCCGTCTCCTTGATCACTCTGGATCTCTCTTGGGTCACGGCTTGCTTCCGGCGGGGGAGTTCCTAGAGATATCAAGTTAGCAGGTTAGCAGAGTGAGCAGATATGCAGACATCCATGCCTGGTAAAGGCTCGCAATCCGCTCCATTCCACGTGTGTTCTTGTACTCGGCTGCCCAGCCTCGGAAGAGTTCTGAGCATTTCTTCTTCACCTCCGGATCCGAGAGCGCCGCTGTCGCGCAGAATCGCAACCGCTCAAGCAGTGCTTCATCGGCAAACGTCCTCTGGAATCGAGGGCCCGCGTTTTGGATCAGGCCATCGAGGAGAGTCAAGGCGCGGAGCTGACGATGGAGGTTACCATACTTGAGCTTTTTTCTGATTGCGCGCGCAGCCTCAGCAGGACCTGTATCTTGGAGGTTGACAACCTCTACAAGGTCCGGGATTCCACTGTAGTCATTCTCAGGGATCGCCTCGCTTGTCAGGCGCTCGATGGTAACGGTGACTGCCGTGTAAGGCTTTTTCTGTGGGATTTCTCAGTTTTCTGCACATTGGAAATCCGGAGGTTAATTAGTTCACCTGAGAGAACATGGCGGCTGTTTTGTATCCAAGCGACTAAGGACCTAATCTTCTGCAGTACTTAGCAGCACTGCACGGGTTCTCGGTTCTGAACTTCTCGTCAGACTCCGCTCACAGACGCAGGTCGCTATGATGGTGGAAGAGTGCAGACAAGCGGCAGACTCAAAGTCAAGTCTCTTCGAATATATCTGCCTCAGGAGAACGTCAAAGAGTGTGGCCGCATCAAGGCAGATTCAACGAGGCTGGGTCATGCGCAAGCTCCAAAAGATGCTGGTAGGCAGTCCCCATTTGGTCAGCTAGCCCGAATATGTACTGTACAGTACCTGCGACGTACCGTTGGCCAACGGTATGTAGTTCTCCTAGATCAACCCCTAATCAAGTGAATCAGATGGTCCCCGGCGATCGATACCTTCCACAACGATGCCGTGGTCAGAAAGCGGTTCAAACTTCACAGATAATGTGTTTGCTGATGTGGGCTGGGAGGGGCAATTCCGGGTAGAGAGAACCCCGCCATTTCCCTTTCCGGCAGGCTGAAACACCCCGATATTTACATACATACATACCGTTGTATTGTTACGTATGTATGTATGTATGTACAGTACAATACACCTAATACAATACCGGAACCGGTTGCACTGCATCTTGGTTCACCAGGTCAAAGTCGTTCGTCTTGCCAAGTTCGACAGTACTCGCTCCATAATCATTTTGGAAAATGGGAAGAGGAAGCACCAGCTCGCCCGGGAGCTACTACAACACGACGCTCGACCGCCGCTCTTCAGCCTGTACTCCGGCAATGCATCACCATCGCCGAAGATCCCACCACCAGCCCGGTCTCGTATCGTGTCACTAAAGGCGCACTGATACTATCGTTTAGGCTTCTCTTCCTTCGGAATCCTGGCCCTGGTGAGGCAGACTCTGTCTTTAGCGTTCAGGACCTGGAGCGTTACGCCGTAACTGTCTGGGAGGAAGTATAAAGATTATCGTACCTACCTTAGAGGCAACGGCCACCGACCTCGACAGTCGAGTTTTAAACATACGAATTCTAAACAGCTGTGTTTGTTGGAAGGTAAGTGCCAGAACGACTAATGGATCTAGGGTGTCTTACCCACGAAGAACAGGCCCAACCAGCTACGTGTAGCAAAGGAGCCATTCATCTTGGGACAGCTCCTTGACAGCTGCAACGTTCCAGGTTGGTCCAAAAGGGAAGGCACCACTCACACGTTCGACAAGGTTTGAAGAGACCTGGTGTCGCAGACAGAAAGTGCATTCCGCACCAATTCTCAACTTGGCAGGAAGTCTTTCTGATCTAAGCATCCGTATCAGTCTTGATCTTCATCTGGTCCATGGTTTTGATCCATCTAGTGCCAACCTTGGCCCAGGCACGCTTGTATACACCATCAGGGCCTGTTATAAGCCATCTTACGTACCTCTGAACCTAGGTTTCTCTGGGAAAATGCAGACGGCGGTGCCCAAGACCAAGATTGCCGATCAGGACGGTCCGCTCAAGAAACGCACCGCTGAACCCCCCCAGCGCGGTACTAAACGGCAGCGGCAGATGCTCAGCCCTCAGCCGAGGGGGAACCCCCCAACACAGCAAACGTCGTTAAATCTGAGGGCTACGAAGCCTTCAGCTACCAGTCATGCCCTTGTTCCGCATCTCCATAGTTCCTCTCGGTCTGAATGCCACGATAGTGCCGAGCAGGGTTCATTTACATGGTCGGCAGGTCTATCCGGGTCCTCAGAGCCGTCTCAATTTTACACAACAGACAGTTCTCCTTACCATGGTCGAGAGCTCCCGTCATTTGCCGCCATTTCCGCTCCCAATTCCAATCCACAATTCAAAGACTATGATAACCAGTGCCATTCATTCCTCATCCACAGCACCCGGCTTCCACAAAATACGCCCGGTTTTGATGAAGCTCAGGCCCAATCTGAAGAGGGCTCCGGGAACAGGCAAGTCGAGAACACACAGCATCGACCAAGGCTTCCCGTCGAAAATGCCGGAACGGAGAAGGATAGTGTGTCAAACAGCGGCCAAATTCAACCAAGAGTTTCACCCGACCCGCCAAATGCTCCTTGGCCAGGCCACGCTTCCTGGGATGACCAAGACCACCATGCAGACTTTGACGATGATGAAGTTCTGGAGGCAATGGAAAGCCTCATCCGTACAGAGCAAGCATCCGAATCTGACGATTCGTGCTCTGTCACACGATCAGATGAAGAAGAAATGGTGCTGTTGGCGAGCTCATTCACACCTTCAAATCGGCAGGTCCCACCATCAAACGTTCTGAAAGACACAGACCCTCCTTCCTCTACCACCATTGACATTTTCAATCTGACGCCAGAACACCCGACTCTTTCCAAATCGGCTCATGGAGGGAACCTTCCCTTAACCGCGAGAAGACTGGCAGACGGTGAAGATTTGTTTGACGAGGAAATTGACTGGGATGGAGTAGTCCAAACCCTGGACCTCTGCCCCAAGAACCTACCTCTTTCCGCGTCACCAGCTCCTGCCCCATCGCTCCTATTACGTCCACCATCATCACCTTCGCCATTATCACTACCGCAATCCCGTGCTCCAAAACCAGGTATTCGCCCCAACTTCCCCCTTCCAGTGCCTTCCAAATCCCCCATTCCGGGTCTCACAAGCACGACCATCCTACGGATTTGCTTTCACATCAATCACTTCCTAACCGAAGCCTCGCGGTGCCACCGGGTTAGCCAGGACGCGATTTTCGAATGGTATGCCCGCGTGGCCTCCTCGTGGCGGGAGGAGCGGCCTGCCAGGATCCAGCTTTTCCGGTTTGCGGACCTGTACCAACCCGAACGCGATGAGATGCAGTGTCTGGACGGTGCATTAACGGGTTGGAAGCCTGGAGGCGAGATTGAGCGGTTGAGTGCGGTCTTCTTGGAGACTTCGGGGGCTGCCGGGGACGATGGGTTTGGGAATGGGGACCGATACAGGCATAGGGACGGACTGGGCATGGAAAAGAGAGAGATGAAAATGTGTAGGTGTGTGTGTAGGGCTAAGAGGGATGGTGGAACTCATATGGGATGGACGGTGCAGGTTCACTGGATCGGGGAAGTGAGTTGGGATGAGGTGGAAAAGGTTAGAAAAGTTTTTTGTGCCGATTCAGGGCCCGGCGAGACTGGCCATCGTGATGATATTGATCGAGGTGTTGGTCTGGGCGGCTGAAGGCTTTCTCTGAACTATGTCGGAAGGATCTGAACGAACGAATGGGCGTGTATTGCTCTTCCGCTTATATCTGGAGTGGAATCTGTCTTTGAATCTGCTAGCTAGCTGCAGTCCGGTTGATCATAGCTTTCCCTGCCACAGGATCTTGTTGGTCAGAGACGTTACCTTCTGCCGAAATATTTGCCACATTTGCCAGATCCTTTCGGTCTCATACTCCTGCCGGTCGTCAATAGTTTCGTTTGATAGAAATACGAAAGAAATAGCACAAGTGTGCCTGGCTCCAGCAAGCCTTTCGAATGGAGGTCTTGATAAGCTTGTAGACGACGAGTTTTGGGTCAGCCTCTGATCCCTGGCTTACAACCTCATAGCGGTCTGGTGGAAATGCGACTGGGGTTTTATTGGAATGGGGAATCTCTGCGTTTGAGGGTTGGAAGTACGGATATGGAATTGACTTGCTTCTCAAAGAGGTAGGCGGCGAGGAGCGGGAAAAGAAGGGGGAACTATATCACCATGGCAGCACGAACACGTTGACTCTAGTGGATCATGGTGACATACCATTTCATCATTCAAATTTTATCTACCCCTTTCACATGCACAATAGCCTCACACCGTCGATGCTCTATAGTTGAGAATATTGATCTCATTCGTCGAAACAGAGATCCCATGAGAAGACCACCCCATCTAACCCAATGTCCCTTGGTATCGAGAACAGCAAGCCGGCGAGGCTATGCAAGAGATCAGTGCATGTGGATGCTTAACGAAGGTAGGTGGCAGGATGGGCAGCCCGCTCCTTGATGGCGAGGTTTGTCTGTAGCATGCCCCGCTTCTCCTGATTCTTCCACTCTCTTTGGCGACCCTTGATGACGAGCTTCCTCACAGTCTTATCTGAGAGGTTCGTGACACCGAGTCCTCGCATCTCCCTCGTAACCAGAGCGCGCTCGCGGGCGGCAGCGGCAGCGTCCCTGCTTCGCCCTCTGGGTGTGGCGCTCTGGCTCTCATCACCGTCGACGTCCATCGCATCCCCCCGTTCCGCGGCCTCAATGGCGAGACGTTCCGCTCGCTCAGCCGGGCTCGGGTGATTATACAGATTTTGGCGGTAATACCGGTTCAATGAGCGGTGGCCGACCGACTTGCCAGAGGGCAGGTGAAGCTCGTATTCGTCGTAAAAGACAGCATGGGGCCGCCTGTGGCCGTGCGCATGCCAGCCATCGGCTTGGTGATGGGTACGAGCTGTATCGCGTGCATGGTGCGGATGCTTGCTTAGCCGTTCGTATTGATGGTAATGCTGCTCGGCCGGAACAGCATGGAGGTCGTTAGAATCGAGAGATGAGGCTTCACTGTCTGTCTCCCAGCCCTCCTCTTCCTCCACTTCCCCGCCGTCTGAACCAGTGACCTTACTGGAGCGCTTAGCCCCGAGTTTTGCACCGCCGTTTTGCTGCTCACCATCCTCCGACTCGTCCTCCCAATCATCCTCCCCATCCGAGTAGGTGCTACGGAAATCGTAGAACTCGCCTATGTCGAGCTGATCCGCCTCTGTAGTGTATGGAATCTGGCAATGCCCCTTATCCCGCATATGTGTTTGCACAGCATATGCATTAGCCTTCACTTTCCCGCATGTGAGACACTCGTTCAGATCGAAAACGCGTTCTTGAAGGTGGCGAAGCAAGCCTTCGGGGTCCACCAGATACTGCTTCTCGGGGACAAACATGCCGTGGATGCGTTCCATATGGTTCAGATTAAGTGGGGGCGTAGGGGACTCGTAGTTGCAGAACAAGCATGTCTTGAGCGACCGGGCCGGCACAGTGGGCTTCACGCCTGTCGGAGTGGCTGCGGCAGGGGTCGAGTCTTTCTCGCTGGGAGTCTGTGAAACGGGGTGATCGGGCTTGTACTGTTCCGCATCAGACAAGTGGGGATTTGACGGCCGCTTGACCGGAGAGACACTCTTGTGAAGCCCGGTGTTCTTCAAGCCCTCAACAACCTCGTTAAACTCTTCTTCAACATCGGAATCGAGCACCGAGTCTGTGGCGGCAGGCTCGCCCAGGGAAAACGACATGGAGCTTGCTTCATCATCAATCTTTGCGTTAGGCCGCGATGCTAGGGCAGCAACCCTCGCCTTGTGTTTGGCGCTGAGGAGATGATTGCGAAACGAGTTCTCGCTGTAGTATGTCTTTTGGCAGGTATCGCAAGCCCTCTCGAAACCGGCCTTGTCTGCTTGTGCCGTCGTCTCGGCCCGTGCCTGCAGGACCTTCTCGGTGAATACCTCGGATGAAATGGGAGGCAACGAGGCAACACGACGTTTGAGATTGTACCGACTGAGGGGCTGTGTAAGTCTCTTCTTCCAGGTCATGGATTAGCAGGAACACTTACTGCCAGTCGCTGCGCATGTGACCCCTCTGCAGGTCGCTGTTGCGGAAGGCGACTTGGCACGAGTTGCAGGTGTATGGATGAGGAGTGCCGGTTTCCATTCTCGAGCCATTGCTGCCAGGACTGTTACGACTGCCGGAAATGGTCGCCATGGCTGGGAGACGAGTTGCGCGATGGCTTGCGAACAAACTTCTTCAGCGGAATCTGGAGGGGAAGAGTGTTCTGGCCGAGAGGCGGGGTTTGATTGTTTCGCTAGGTACTCCGTAATTATCGACAAGTGACCTTTGTCAGCCTCGGAGACAAATGCCGCACACAACGGGAGTTAGAAAGTCGCGGCGTAAGGTAAGGGCCAGCTATATAAATGCAGAGAGCAGAAAGGATGAAGAACCTGCTGATTAATGGCCTGGAGATACCAGAGTTATTAGGGTTGGCCACTGAAACCAAAACATTATAAGAATTTCCAGTGGCGGTTTTGGTGGGGTTTGCGTTTCAACGTCACTTCGTCTTGGCATGCGGGAACCCCAGTCATCTGTCAAAGCCAGGGTTCCCAAACAGAAAATCATTCTTCGTCATCCAGCACTGCATCACCAGTGAGGGCCCCAAATTCTTTGCCGAAGTTCATTCCATTGTGTACAGCTGTACTGTGGTATAAACCTCGGAATTTGTAAGCAATACTCGATCGAACTCAGAGATTACTATTACTTGTACGTATACAGTATTCATATTATTGAAGTCTAATGGAATTGAAGTCCATCCTGCACGGTGCCCGTTGGTTCCACAACTTCCACGCCAGTCACTGGCAGTAAGTTTGTCTTTTGCCCATAGGCGTAGGGACAGATAGTCTCGGTCGTCAAAGAAACGCACATACATGACGACTTGTCTGTCGTACGAAGGTACTTCGTATCTTAGCTGCTGTTACACAGTAGTTGAAGTTCAGGGAAGCCGAGTGCGGCTGGAGCTCCGAGCCGAGCAGAGAACTGTGCCAAATCAGCTCGCTCACTGTGCTTCGGATGTCACATCTTCGTCGACATTGAACCGAAAGCTGATTGATTGCTTTGGCCGCATCACCACCAGTTCGACCACCGTAGTCTTCTTCACTTCCCAAATCTGGAATTCGACCATCCAACACATTATTCCCGGACTGCAATCCAACACAACGTCATTTCCATTCGATATACGGGAACTCCATGAGTGCAAGTGACGGTCGGCCGAGCGAGCGCTGCTTCCCTCCTGATTCCTGAACCCTCGATCCGGCCGCTCAAACTCTGGGCGCCATCGCCATCGCCATCCATCTCGTCGAGTGCCCGAACTCCTGCTCCGGAGACACGAGTCTGCCCAATCGGTTGCCGGCTACCTGCTCAGTAAGATTTTGACATCCATGTCATGACTGGGGACGCCATGCGGCCAGCTAGTGCCGGAAACAATAGCTACACCAACGTCGAAGATGTCGAACTTCTCGCTGGGCTTTGGGAAGAAGCCCGCTTTGCGAGACTACCATGCGATGCGCCAAGCGAGTTGAAAGACCTGGTTGAGGACATCGACAACCCGAAGCGTGTCTATGCCATCCACAAGGCTGCCCGCCGCCACAACTTCCAGCTACTTGTGCAGAGGTAAGTTGGGCTTTGATTCTCTTCCCAGACATCAGCTGACCGTCCTCATCTGTCCAGATATATCGTACAGCTTCGTGAAGGCTGTGGCTCTGAGTACTGCACGACATCGACATGCTTCACATGCCGGAGACGTGTTGCCGGGCGTGCTCCGGTCCGCAGGTACAACACAACAAGCGCAAGGACGCTGGCAACGTACCTGGCGAGTCAAGATAATCCCGAGAATGGCCTCTGTCCAGCTCTCAGACCCCCACGGACGCCTCCAGCCTCGCTCAACTCACTGGTATTCGTACCGTCTCCGAAGTCGCGGTTACGCGATGAACATCCTCGAAGAACCCAGACTGCCCACAGTCGCCCGGTCTCGCCGAAAGGTGCTGCTGGCATTGGCGGGCGACCCGTTATGCGGAGCCGCAGTGCGACAGTAAGCGAAGAAGGCAGGGAAGAATCCAGTCAGACAAGCCCCAAAAATCAATCGGCTGCTCAGAAGCAGCCCCAGCGTCCTGCTTTTACAGTCATCGAGGAACCTGTCAGCAAAGATCACCGGTCGTTTGCCGCAAACGTCTTCGGAACGGTGGCCTTCAAGATGCTTGAGTGGCTGACCCCAGCTGCAGTCGAGGACATGTCGCGAAGGACTTGGGGCTTTCGCAGCAACACGGAGGCCGATTACAGAGGCGAGGCGCCGGCCACGCCGGAGCCAAAGTTGAGGCATGACGAAAGCTCTAATGAACTGAAACCGGCACAAGGCTCGCCTGTTGTATCCGCTGAACCCAGCGAGACTCGGTCGAACGGCAGGGAACACATTGGACGTACGCCGACCGAGAAGGCAGAATGCGGATCTCAAGACTGTCAGAATTTACGCGACCCCCTGTCCGTATCCCGCACGACCGGCAAGCGCCGCAACTCGAATGCCAAGGTCCGGACATCAACTGCGCCGAAGCCGAAGCGCCAGCTCTCGATCGATCCCTATACACAGGAGGCTGCGAGTGAAGATGCTTTTTCCGGGCTGCTAAGGTCTCCTCGCGCCGCTGATAAGGCAGCCCGAGTTCCAAAGGCGGCAGGCTCAAACATCCCTCGTCCAATTTCCCAACTTTCTTCGGCAGGGTTCTTCGACGATGTTACCTTGGAGAAGATGCCGCCCCCCAAGACCATCGATATAAAGCCAAGGGCCGGTCGCTGCCAGCTCGATGAGACAGCGAACAGCCTCTCGGGCGGGCTCCAGGACTCCGCCGCCACTTCAGCTGTTTCCACTGACAGGTCCTGCAGCACGAGCTCAGCCACCGCCATAGGACAGGACTCGGAATCCGAGGACGACAGTGTACTTCCTCAGGCACTCTCCAGATTAGATGCCGAGATTGTTGACTTCATATGCGACGTGATTCAACAAGACGGCACCGCCGAGAAGCATCTCCTCGAGCCGCGGTGTATCACTAGGATCCACAACCAGAAGGCCAGCCAAGGAAAGCCAGCCAGGCGGAAGCGCCGGTCGGGGTCTAAGTATTCCGCGGATCTGAAGCTCGAGTGGAAGCTGTTCGTTGAGCAGACACTCTTCTACGTGCTTAGTGATCCACAGCAGGCTCTCCGATCCTTCACTCACAAGGGCCAATTATACGACTCCCAGACTCTTTGGTACTGCATGCTTAGGATGACACGGATTGCACCCAGTCTGGTATTCCACAGCCTTTGGCTCGCCGCGGCCAGTCTATTCGCTCCGCCCAAGGTGCTGCAGACTTTGAGGTCGCCGACCACGAAGCTTTTCCCGAAGAAGGAGGCCTCTCTTTCCAACTTGGAGGCAGGGCGCCTTATGTCGATATGCTTGCATGCTTTGATTGCCGCAGCACCCCTGACTACCGAGTCCCAGCAACTGTACGATATGTCGAGAATCCGATCCCACGGCTTAAGCCTTGCGGAAAGTGGAGCTGTAGCTCGACAGCCAAAGGATCTCTGCCTACAATACGAAGATACCTTCACCGATCCTCTCGCCCTTAGACTAGCGAGGCGGTTATTTGCAGCCATCACGACGCGTCGCTATTTCAACGAACTCAGCCGGTCAATCATTGAAGGCGATGAAGAAGAAGAGCAAGACGTGCTCACGCCGTTATTCTCACAACTAGATTTTCTGAACATGGATGCCGTGTATATTTTGGACTTCCCGTTCCCGGAGCGTGCCCTACATGAAACCCGCGTGCCGATTCTCTTGCTGGACTGGGCGAGAGCCGTCATGCTAAATGACTGGGATGGGTCTCCCGAGGTCCGCGGAGACAGTCCTTTTGGCGGTGCCCTCGCCTTGATTGAAGCAATGTGTAAGTTATCCTAGCCTAGGAGCTCTGACGGACCCATAGGCTGACAGTGATGACAGACAAGAAACGCCAGGAGCTTCTTCTGGCTGATGCTCAGTTTCGCTCCGACTACTTTGCAGAGCGGCTGGACTCGGTTCAGATGCCCATCTCGTGGCTGTCTCATGTCTCGAATCGGCAGCGATTACACCTTCTAGACTTTCCCTTTATATTCAGCCCAGCGAATCTTGTATCCTACTTTCGATCCATCAATTTCTCCAGGATGAGTCGTTCGTTCGAGGAATCCACCTCTCTACATGAGAAAATTGATGTGATTTCTGTGCGGACGGCCCTCCGTTCGCACCACAAAGCGGTCATTACAGAGCGGCTGAAAGTAGCAGCGGCAAAGTATTTGATCTTGAATATTCGGAGAGAGAGCGTCATCGAAGACGCTTTCAACCAGTTATGGCGGAGAGAGGAGCGAGAGCTTTTGAGGCCCCTGAAAGTTCACCTGGGAGAGTCGACAGGCGAGGAAGGCTTTGACTCCGGCGGCGTCCAACAGGAATTCTTTAGAATGGCCATTGCAGAAGCACTGAACCCCGACTACGGTGCTTTCACGGTTGATGAAAGGACCCGCATGGCTTGGTTTCTTCCTGGCTCCATGGAAGACGACTGGAAGTTTGAGCTCATCGGCCTGCTCGTATCGCTCGCAGTCTACAACGGCCTGACGCTACCGGTTACGTTTCCGAAAGCCCTCTACCGCAAGCTTCTCGGAGAGCCTGTCACCGAGCTTCACCACATTGCCGACGGCTGGCCTGATCTAGCAAGCGGCCTCACTTCTCTCCTAGAGTGGGACGAGAAGGACGGCCTCGTCGAAGATGTATTCGCGAGGACGTACGAGTTCTCCATCTCCGTTCTAGGCATGCACATCACGCGCGAGATGGAATCCGCTTCTTCCGGCAGCGACAAACACCACGACCGAGCCGAGCAGGAATGGCCACAATTCCCCAAGACCGTCGCACAGTCCTCCACCCTCCCTCCCCCGCATCTGGGCAATCCCAAGGAAGACGAAGCCCCGCTCGTCACCAGTGCCAACCGAAACGCCTACGTATCGGACTACATCCGCTACTTGACTGACGTCTCCGTCCGCCGGCAATACGAGGCCTTTGCCCGCGGCTTTCACACCTGCCTGCACCCCAAATCTCTCACGCTGCTCACCCCAAACCTCCTGCAGTCGGTCGTCGAAGGTGTGCAAGAGATTGATATATCCGAGCTGAAGCGCTACACGCGCTATGTTGGGTGGGACGCGTCGCACCGGACAGTCAAGGATTTCTGGAGTGTTGTGAAGCGGTACGACGAGAACATGAAGAGAAAGCTTCTCGAGTTCGTCACGGCCAGCGATCGAGTGCCCGTCGGCGGCATCAAGAACATGATGTTCATCGTGCAACGCAACGGCTCGGAGGATGATCCCGCAGGCAGGCTGCCCACCTCGTATACCTGTTATGGGACGTTGCTCCTCCCGGAGTATAAGGATAAGGAGATGCTGAGGGAAAGACTGGCCATGGCGCTGGATAATGCGCAAGGGTTCGGGTTCGCTTAGGTTCTCTATACCTGCCATGGGCTTTCTACGACTGGGCTTAGTTATTACGGTAAAAGGGCAGGGGGTGTGATGGTTAGGAGGAGAATAAATGGATGGGTCTGGATTGGGGGGGAATGGAAAACAAAATTTGGCTTCAATGGCTGGAGGCGTGGTACAGATGTGTGTGACTTTATCAGCGCTGAAGCTTAGTAAATACTTGAGCATGCTGCCTCCCCAGGCCAGCGATCTAGGGCTGTTTGCAGCGGTTTGCCTCAGGAGCTTGCAAAAGCCAAAAGGGAAAGCACTAGAATTCTCCTTCTGCGTATCTGGGAGGGGTGGAAGTCGTGCTCCAAACCATTATTGAAAGGTGTGACTGATCTGTTAGTCAGTTCAAGGATGTAGGTTGAGATACCACGGGAGAAATTCACATAGCGTGCGCTTCATTTCGTACATTCATGCATGTATCACTGCCTCCGGGTGTCTATCAGAAGCTGCCCTTGCCAGGAGGTCTAACATTTCTAATTTTTACTGCCTCCTCAGAAGTCCTCCTCGCCCGACCCGGACACAATGACATTATTCACCTTGAGCACCATCCGGCAAAGCTGTGTCGCCAACATGAGCTGCTGCTTCTTGCCAATAAGCGGGTCAATCACAAACGCCTCCTTCATGTCGTTGGACCCCCGGCCCATACAGTCAACCCCGAGGCGGCCGCGGCCAGCCGGCGTCTTGACCTGCTGGCTCTTGACCTCGGCGAGCGTGGCGATGGGGCTCAACCCGCTGTTCTCGGCCAGCGCCATGGGTATGGCGTCGAGAGCCTCGGCAAAGGCGCGCATCGCGTACTGCTCCAGGCCGGGTGTCTTGACGGCCGCGTCCTCGACCGCGAGACTGCAGGCAATCTCGGCGGCGCCGCCTCCGTAGACCACGCGGTTGTCGCGCACCAGGTTGCGGACCACGCAGAGGGCGTCGTGCAGCGACCGCTTGGCCTCGTCAATAATCTGCACAATTGTATCGTGGTTAGACGGCTTGATGCACGTGTTTTTGAAGATGATGTGAGCGGCTTACCATCTTGTTGCTTCCCCTGACGAAAATTGTGACTGCCCGCGTGTTGGCGCATTCCTCGATAACGAGCATCTTCTCTCTTGTTGTGCCAAAGGTCATCTCCCGCACGATACCAGCGGTACCCAGTTTCTCCGGCTTAAGGTCCTCAAAGCGTGGCACGATGCGTCCGTTGGTGGCGATGGCAATCAGCTCGATCTCCGGACCGCCCACCCACCTTACCGCAGGAAGGTCGTTCTGAAGGAGGAGGTGGTTGGCTTCATCATCGAATCCCCATTGGCAGATGGCCAGATTCGCGCCCGCGTCCTTTATTTGCTGAATCATTTCGATAAACTTCTCCCGCTCGTAGGTTTGCAGCTTCTTGAACTCCTCCACGCTGCTGATCTCAAGCTTATGCTTCGTCTTGGGTTTGGGGGGCTCGAAAGCGCATGTAAGAATGGCGATCTTTGCGTCGCGCACCTCGGAAGGCATCTGTGGGTGCGAGAAATCCTTGTCTATAATGACCCCTTTTACAAGGATCGTGTCCTCGAGGGCACCGCCCATCTTGCCATCCACCTTGATTAATTCAAAGTCAACGTCTTTTCGCTCTAGGTCTGCAACGGAGAGCACTGCATCCACAGCAATGTTGGCGAACTGATCGTGCGCCTTGGAGACGATCTTGCTGCCCAAGCTTGTCCTCGCCACCTTGACAAGGTTTGCCTTCTCCTCCCTGCTAAACTCAATAACGTCGGAAATCCTGTCGAGCTCGGCAACGGCAATGTCGCAAGCTTGATCGTAACCGTCTGCAATCCTGATGGGGTGGATGCCCTTGTCGATAAGCTCTGCGGCCTGCTCCAGCAAAGCGCCAGCCAGGACAACGACACCGGTGGTGCCATCGCCAATCTCGTCGTCTTGTGACTTGGAAAGCTCTACCAGCAGCTTGGCGACGTGGTTCGTGATCTCCATCTGCTGCAGGATAGTCGCGCCATCGTTTGTTACCGTGATATCGCCGTCAGGAGAGATGAGGATCTTGTCAAGGCCACGCGGCCCTAATGAGGTCTTGATGATGTTCGCAACTGTGCGGGCCGCGAGGATATGAGACTTGACGGCTTCGTTGCCGTACTGCCGCTTCTTCTTGCCCTGGCTGGGATGGACGTCAGTACGAGGAGGGCATGGACGGACGAAAACGGCGGCACTGACTCCCTCACAACGATGAATGGACGACCCTGCTCATCCTTCATCACCGCCGCTGCAGCGCATGCCCGCGTTAGCAAAGCCGTCAGTCACATCGTCGCACATCAGTGCATACCATTCGAGAGATCGAGATCTGGTTATCGTTATGTTAGCTCCCCCACTCTTAACTGCGGCGGGTGGGTTATGCCTGTAGACATACTCAACGCCATTTTGGACTGGATGCTAATCGCCTTGTATGGTGCGTGGTAGTTGCGGGGGGGAATTGTAGCTTCCACGTCAAGACCAAAGCTCCTTTGGCGTCGAAACAGGCACCAGCATGTTCCTCCACTGCTAGGCACTGATCGCTATCGCCAAAAGCTCTGAAAAATTGACATCTCTGGCGGCATGAGGCACGGGCCACTTGGCTAATTTGACCCCACAGCAAACTCACCGCCTTCACAGAAGAGAGCCATCACTGTACGGAGGTCGGGGCCAAAAGTGCGTCCACCAAATCGTTAGGCCAGCGCACGGGTCATACAGTGCTCCGTCCTCCAACTGCTTCAGCAGGCGTACAGTGCCTCTAGACAGTCACCGGAATGCTTCAGCACTTGGTCAGGTGCTAGAATAGGCCTAGCGTTCAGTGGAACTTAGCGAAAGAGAAAAAATCTGAAACACTGTGCGAGATAGCTAGAATTTGCGATATATATACTGTATGGCCCGTGTAGTAACAAAGTGGTGGATGGACTTTTGGCCCCGACCTCCGTATATCAGTGATCAAGAACAGTGGGGTCATTAGCGTTATCGGACGGCACTACCCCGCAGTAACCCGTCCTAGATACGGAGGTATTGTATTGTACAATAAGTTTCATGTAGGACTAAGGCATCGATGAATCGATATCATCATCAAGCTCACGACTTCAAAGTTCTACCTATCCCGCACTGCGCTCTTGCTGAGCTAAAATTCCCTTGAGGCCTTGTCTCTCTGATGGCTTGGGCAATATCCAGACTTTGAAGCTTTCCCCGCATCCCAAACCGGTGTCACTCTCAACTTTCTCAAGTCTCAACCCTCCTGAGTCCCGAGTCCGACGTCTCCCAATTAGACAAGCCAAAGGCGTACTATGGTCTTTGTCTCTGCTATACCTTAACCATCGTCTTTGTCTCTGCTATATATTTTAACTAGTTCACCCGGCTACATATCATCCCCGCCGCTTCTCGTCCCTGGACTTGTCACCAATTTCCTGGTTTCCGCTGCTGTACGGATAGCTCGACCCGAACCACGCCCAGCACGTCAAAATGTCGCGCCACCAGTATGTTCGGAGCTTGGATGTGCACGATGCGATGGAAGAGTTTGAAGGCTACTCAGAGGAGGAAGAGGATGAGCTTAGCCCCGAAGACCGTGCATTGATGAATCAAGGCACTATCGACGTCCAGGCCGCCCTCGGCGTCGAAGCCTCAAAAGTCACCATCGCCCAGATCGAGGAAGCCTTGTGGCACTACTACTACGACGTGGACAAATCAGTTGCCTATCTCACAGCAAAATTCATAAATCCACCGCCCAAGGCAGCCAAACCGGTCGCTCGGCAAACGAATGGTAAGTCCGCCGCAAATACACTTGGTCCTGCGGCAAGAGGGCTCTCGGATGAGCTGGACATCTGTTCCGACTGGGCGAGGGAGCGCTTGGATACGACAGACAACGGCACTCCTGGATCAGCAAAGTCTCGATCTATCCCTGGAAGCTCGCTGCCAGCACGGCATTGCTCATACATGCCATTCCGAGAGACTCCTATTGCCTGTTTTCGCGGATCTCGCAACTTGACGTCATGGTTCTTTCGCGATATGCCATGGGGGAACATTCCCAAGCATAGGGAGGCTATATTGATTCCACCTCCAATACCTCGTGTTGGGCTCCTCGGCGGATCGGGGGCACCTCCCAAAATGTCCAAGCTGCAAGCTCTCGCTGCCGCCAGGAAGAAAAAGGCCGAGGAGAAGACCGCCGCTCAAGACAAAGTCGAACAGACCCGGAACAAGATGACGCAACTCTCGGTTGACGAGCCATCGGCGGCCAAAGAGAGCAGTCCCTTGGCTGGGGCATTCAGCAAGCGTTTAAAGACCTCGGTTTCGACTGCTCAGGGGCGCATACCCCTGGTCGCCTCGGAACCAGCGAGATTGGAGCCTTCACAACGGTTGGTCGAAGAGCATTCGGCTGAGGAGAAGCCCGTGCAAGAATCTGACGAGCCGGCTGTCGACAAAGCTCAGCAATCCGCTTTCGCCCAAACCCTTTTTGGCTCTCGCTCTGATGCCCTCAACCGCGCGCGGCAGGAGTCCTACTCGTTGTATGCGAGCCTACCTTCGTCTGTCGTCGACGCCTTCTCCCAGCCCAGTCCGGATGACGTTGTTCTTGCGGCTCAAGCGAAAGGTTCGCTTTTGGGAAAGAGCAAGTGCTAACGTGGACACTAATAGTCGATACAGCTGGAAAGAAAACTCCCGCCGCCCAACCTAACAAAAAGGGGGGTTCTGCTGCAGAAGCCGTTGCCGCAGAAGTGAAGGACTTGAAGATTAGCGATGCCCCTTTGCCAAAGAGCCGAAATCTAGATGTAATCTCCGAATTTCAAAAGAGCAAAAACAAGAAGAGCGCCAGTTTTGTGGTTGTTGGTCATGTCGACGCCGGAAAGAGCACCATGATGGGCCGGCTTCTACTCGAACTCAAGGTAGTCGACCAGCGCACTGTGGACAAGCTCAGGAAAGAGGCCGAGACCATCGGCAAGACGTCGTTCGCCCTCGCCTGGGTCTTGGATCAACGATCCGAAGAACGGTCCAGGGGCGTTACCATTGACATTGCCACCAATAGATTTGAAACGGACACAACTGCCTTCACTATTCTGGATGCACCTGGCCACAGAGACTTTATCCCCAACATGATCGCCGGAGCCAGTCAAGCCGATTTTGCGGTCCTCGTCATTGATGCGAGCATCGGGGCTTTCGAATCCGGCCTGAAAGGCCAGACTAAGGAGCATTCGCTGCTGATCCGTAGTATGGGGGTGTCCCGGATCATCGTGGCAGTCAACAAGCTCGACATGGTTGCATGGTCTCAAGAGAGGTTCGACGAGATCAGGGACCAGGTGTCTGGGTTTTTGTCAGCAACGGGCTTCCAGCAAAAAAGCATTTCCTTCGTCCCCGTTTCTGGCCTGCATGGCGATAACCTGGTACAGAGATCGACCGATCCGGCGGCATCATGGTACACCGGGCCGACGCTGGTCGAGGAGCTGGAGAAATCGGAACCGAACGCTAGGGCGTTGGCGAAACCCCTGCGGATGACCGTATCAGAGGTCTACCGCACCATGCAGAGCCCCGTCACCGTCTCCGGCCGGATTGACGCGGGCTCTTTGCAAACAGGTGACGCGCTGCTCGTCCAGCCCAGCGGAGAGAAGGCATATGTGAAGTCCGTCCTGGTCGACGAGGCGCCGGCAGACTGGGCGGTTGCCGGGCAGAACGTGGTGCTACACCTGAGCCACATTGATCCCATCCACGTCAAGGTCGGCGACATCATCTGCGACCCGGCAAAGCCGATCCCCCGCGCCGACATATTCACGATGAAGGCGCTGGCCTTTGACTTTTTGATGCCGATGCAGGTCGACGTCCACAGGGGTCGTCTGCATGCGGCGGGAAGAATCGAGGCAATCCCGGCGCTCTTGGATAAGGTGTCTGGGGCGGTCACGAAAAAAAAGCCCAAGATTGTCAAGCCGGCCACGGTGGCTAGGATCGTGGTAAGACTGGAGGCGCAAGTGCCGCTGGAGGCCGGGCAACGGGTGGTGTTGAGGAGCGGTGGACAGACGGTGGCTGCTGGGTTGTTGGAATGAGGTCCCCGTTCCCAGAGCCTTGCGCATTTTTGCAGCGTACATAAAACAGCAACGCCGTCTGAATTAGCAGCTGCTACGGCGACTCAACTGTTGATATTGAACGTTTGAAGGAATTCTCTTTCCTCGTGGTCGGCAGGTATCTGCCGTTAGTGCCGCCCAAATTTTACGTGCAAAAATCGTCCTCTCGACTACCCCTTCTAACAGATTTGACTACTCGAGTGTAACCGGCACCAGTACTTGCCAGATTCAAGGTGATGCTTACTGTAAGTGGTCTGTAACTCACTGTACTGTACTCCGTATGCATACATGTAATCGCACAACTAGTCTACCTAGTATTCACAGCATCAAAGCTCGAGCAAAGCAAGCCATAGAAAAAGCTCAACTTGTAATGGATTTTTTAAAGGCGGCGACTTCTGACTCAGAATTACCATTCGGCTTCAATCATCATATTGTCAGGGGCTCGACGTTCCATTCATCAAAAATCCTAGGGGAGGAGTGACGGATAGCCACAACCCGAGTTGTGGACCCGAAGACGAAAGGCCACTCTGGCACAAACAGGGGGTTGAGTGCCACCGCCCGCCGCGACCCGCCCGGTTGGTTGTGTCCTGCGGGGCATTCCTCGCAGCGAAACTTACTGTTTGGCGATGGAATCCAGTGGAAACTTGACCGACTCGAGTAAGAAACAACTCTGGAATGCCTTCGTATACATACACTACATACATTGGATACGTACTCTACACATGCAAATGCCCTATAGAAGACATTGAGAAGGCTACACATATAGCTCTTCATTGTACGGAGCAGAATAGTTGTAGTGAACCACGAGGCATAAAACACTGTACAAGTTGTCGACCTGATCTAGATGCGGAAGAGTCGCTGCATGGAGGTCGTCCCAGATCTTCCGTCGCCTCTTAGGTGCCGCTCTGCAACGTTATGGAGTTGTGTAAGTTACATAACGAGGAAACAGCACTCCAGAGGTAAAGCGACCTCCAAGCGCCTCAATTATGCTGCGATGTTGTAGGGCTGCTAGTCACCGGTACCTCCCTCAAGACTGAATCGAGTAAGGCCAGCCAGTTAGGTTGGCGCAGCTGGGGCAGGCGGCGAATGGCCACAAAGACAGGGCCAGTGGGGGAAGCGCAGAGTGGCCTCAACCTAGGAGAGGACAGATTTCCGCTTCTCCAAAAATTTAAGGAGAACATTCAAAGCGTCCAACTTCTTTCCCCATCTTCCTCCGTCCCAGTCCTAACTCCAACACCTCAGTACTGGAGTCCCTTCTCGCCAGTATTTGGTAGGATCGGTTCGAGGAGAGCGCCCGCGTCGGCATTGACAACTGCCACTCTTTACCCTTCTTTTCCTCCATTCCCAACGCCTGCAAGCAGAAGCGTGAGGGTTCGGTTTTCTACACACAACTTTCAGCCATGGAACGGCGATCACGGAGCTGGGCCATCGGCCTCAGCTTCATTGGGTTCTTCGCCCTCTTATTTTCAATTGGCTTCGTCCAGCAGGTCCAAGCAGACGATGCTGCTGACTACGGGACCGTGATTGGTATTGTACGTCTTCTCCCTCTTCCCAAGCTGCGGAATCGTTGCATGGGCGAGCTAACAGGACTGATTTGCAGGATCTGGGCACCACATACTCGTAAGTCGCATCTTTCGCGAAGCTTTGATATATATTACTTTCGAGGAGGGGCAGATGTGAGGGCTTGAGGACACCGTGTCTCCTCTACGACCCGGTCATGCACATGCTACAGAGTAAGGGAGCACAAGGCTGACAGCTGTTAAGGTGTGTTGGCGTGATGCAAAAGGGCAAGGTCGAGATTCTGGTCAACGATCAAGGTATGACACTCTCATATCGACTCCCCATCGATCCGAAGTCCATGCGCAGCAGCTAACACCATGCTCCTTGCAGGAAACCGTATTACACCCTCATACGTCGCCTTCACCGATGAAGAGAGATTGGTGGGAGACGCGGCCAAGAACCAGGCTGCGGCTAACCCGCACAACACCATCTTTGACATCAAGCGCCTGATCGGTCGCAAGTTCTCGGAGAAGGAAGTTCAGACAGATATCAAGCACTTCCCCTACAAGTAAGAACGAAATGCACATTACACTGTTGTGGCCACCCACTAAACATGGAATTAGGGTTGTCTCCAAGGATGACAGGCCTGTTGTCAAGGTTACTGTGTCTGGTAGCGAGAAGACCTTCACCCCCGAGGAAATCTCCGCCATGGTTCTGGGCAAGGTACGTTGAGAACCATTAGCTATTCGATACATCTGGTTCGTCGCTAACAGCCGCACAGATGAAAGAGACCGCTGAGGCCTACCTCGGAAAGAAGGTTACCCACGCAGTTGTTACCGTCCCTGCCTACTTCAACGACAATCAGCGTCAGGCAACCAAGGATGCCGGTATGATCGCTGGTCTCAACGTTCTCCGTATCGTCAACGAGCCCACCGCCGCCGCCATCGCCTACGGCTTGGATAAGACCGAGGGTGAGCGCCAGATTATCGTCTACGACCTTGGTGGTGGCACATTCGATGTCTCGCTTCTGTCGATTGACCAGGGTGTCTTCGAAGTCTTGGCTACTGCCGGTGATACCCACCTGGGTGGTGAGGATTTCGATCAGCGCGTCATCAACCATTTCGCCAAGGCCTTTAACAAGAAGCACGGTGTCGACGTCACCACTGACCCTAAGGCGATGGGTAAGCTCAAGCGTGAGGCCGAGAAGGCGAAGCGCACTCTGTCCAGCCAGATGTCCACTCGCATTGAGATTGAGGCCTTCTTCCAAGGCAAGGACTTCAGCGAGACCCTGACCCGCGCCAAGTTCGAGGAGCTCAACATGGATCTTTTCAAGAAGACCCTGAAGCCTGTTGAGCAGGTCCTCAAGGACGCCAAGGTCAGCAAGAACGAGGTTGACGACATCGTCCTTGTCGGCGGTTCTACCCGTATCCCCAAGGTGCAGGAGCTCATCAAGGAGTTCTTCAATGGCAAGGCGGCTAGCAAGGGTATCAACCCCGACGAGGCCGTTGCCTTTGGCGCTGCTGTGCAGGCCGGTGTGTTGAGTGGTGAGGAGGGTACAGAGGAGATCGTGCTCATGGATGTCAACCCGCTTACCCTTGGTATCGAGACCACCGGTGGCGTCATGACCAAGCTCATCCCCCGCAACACCCCTATTCCGACCCGCAAGAGCCAGATCTTCTCGACCGCCGCCGACAACCAGCCGGTTGTGCTCATCCAGGTTTACGAGGGCGAGCGTTCCATGACCAAGGACAACAACCTGCTTGGCAAGTTCGAGCTCACTGGTATCCCGCCTGCCCCCCGTGGCGTGCCTCAAATTGAGGTTTCGTTTGAGCTCGATGCCAATGGTATCCTCAAGGTCTCCGCCCACGACAAGGGCACTGGCAAGGCCGAATCCATTACAATCACCAACGACAAGGGCCGTCTCACCCAGGAGGAGATTGAGCGTATGGTTGCCGAGGCCGAGAAGTATGCCGAGGAAGACAAGGCTACCCGTGAGCGTATTGAGGCTCGCAATGGTCTTGAGAACTACGCCTTCAGCTTGAAGAACCAGGTCAACGATGAGGAGGGTCTGGGCAAGAAGATTTCGGATGAGGACAAGGAGACCATCCTTGACGCCGTCAAGGAGGCTCAGGACTGGCTCGAGGAGAATGGTAAGCCTACCCACCTGCTTATAAGCCGTAAAGAGTAATGCGTTAACTTCTTTTGATAGCCGCGACCGCCACCACCGAGGACTTTGAGGAGCAGAAGGAGAAGCTGTCCAACGTGGCCTACCCCATCACGAGCAAGCTGTACTCTGGACCTGGTGGTGCTGAGGGTGAGAAGGACGAGCCGTCGGCTCATGATGAACTTTAAATTAGTACCATAGATTCCCCGTTTTCGTGTTTTATCGGTTTTGATGGCATAAAAAGAAGCCACCCTGAGTTTTAGGGTATCTTTTGTGTTTCCCCCTGCTTATGGTGTGCTTCCCGGTGTTTGGCAGGTAAATCTGGGCACGGAGTTTTGCATGTGAATGGTGGGAAGACTGCGGTGGCGCAGCAGTGGGTTATGTGTATAGTATGAGTCGGTGGAAAAAGTGGCAGTGGCACATACGACTTGAGATTCTCAACCTATTTGTGCCCAAGTTTTCCTCTTCCTGTGTCTCTTTCTGGAGGGCGCTCGTAGTTCCACTCCTCTTCCCGTGCTGTGAGTTTAGACCAGTGCTCTGGTGGAATTTGAGCCAAGGTTCTCCGCTGTGGCTGCCGCTGGACCTTCCTCAAGTGACTTGCAAAACTCAACCGTCTATAGGCTTGGACCTGGTGGATCTTAGCTAGGGCCTGGACGAGCATAAACAATTGGGCAAATCGGGGTGTTCTGAGAAGGGTGTGAGCGGCTGCTCCGACGGGCAGGACAATGGCAGAATCGTGCTTACAGTAGTTCTGTAATGCCTTGCTGTAAGGTTAATGGAAGTTGGTAGGTAGCCCTAGTTAAGCAAAGTAAAATTCGAGACGAGTAATTAAGGATAGTGTGTCGAGTAAAGAATGGAAAGGATTGAACTCGACATAACGTAATTCATGAGGGGGAACGCATAGTCAGTTTCACCTGGCATTGGGGTTGGAATGCAAGAGACCCAGCAATTCGCACTTAACACTGCAGATATCGATCATCTCAAATTGGAGATGCTCTTTGGCCTTGATTCTCAGAATGTACGGAGTACTGTACAGTAGCATAGCGTAGCGTGGGTACGCCCCCTGAAGAGCCTGAGTGGGGCTTGCTGGCTGTGCGGTCGCCTAGCAACCGGGCCCCCTTTTTTCGGGTGCAGTCTCAGGGGCAGGAGATGGGATCTTGGCTCCTCCTCGATGTCAACTTTCAATACTTGTTCAGCCGTATCCCTAGGCTTACGCGGTCTTGGTTTGCCATAATCAGAGTGTGCATTAGCATTAACTAAAATCGTCTGGCATAAATGAAACTACCTATCCTGAGGGAATACCAGGTGTTCTCTAATCGAATGACTCTGGAAATAACACATCCTCTCCTGTTTCGGGATCTCGATGAACGAATTGCTGTCGGGTTTGATCCCATGTCCAATAACCCTCCTCTTCCAGCTCCTGTTCGTCGAGGGTGTTATAATCGTTCACCTCTCTGTCCAGGCCGAGTCGCAGCTCACCATAGGCGCTTCCGATCCCGTCGCTGGACAAGTCTTCACAACTAGGGCTTGTAGAATAGCCCGCGGTTACTGTTGGAACTTGTGGAGGCTTGGACAAATGTGAAGGTCCATGTTCGTCAACTGGCAAGCCCTGCCTATTTTCCGAGTTATCGTGGCTAGTCTGTTTGCCGTCGAAGATCGAGAAGGTGGCGAACAGGCTAAATATAGACGAGAGAAGAGATTTCACAACTTCAAAGTGGTTCATGATACCAAGACGGTCGAAGCTAAAGGCGGTCTGGTACTCGTCGCTCGAATACTCGGGTGTTTCTGACGTGCTCACGAAGCCGTAACCCCGACAAGGCCTGTTGATATAGGGAATAAGGACAAACCACTGCATCTTTTGCGTGTCAGGTGTCGAAGCTGGGTTGTTGGTGATTCCCCGTGTAACGAGGAAGTCGCGTCTGTCTTCAGCGCTGCAGGTCGTAAAGATGTTCCGGCCGTTTATTGGAAGGTGACAGCCTTTGTTTGCAAAGAAAGTGCCAGCGACACTTCCTCCTGTTTTGGACGGCTCTCGTACTGTGGGTCTTGCCTTGGGCGAGACAATTGGAAATTTGAGCTGTCTGCCTCTCCCGGTTCCTGCACCCGACGGACTCTGGAAAGAGGGGGTAGCTGGTGCTATGGGTTGTTGGTTGCTTATGAGATCAGCCGCTGGCATCGTGTCGTGCTAATGACATGGGCAGGAAGAGAGGGTAAAACGGGCAATCCTTAACCAATGTCACTAGCCAGATCTTGCACCAAGGCAGAGTGAAAACAAAATGAGATAGTAGAGAAACCTCTGGTGAGATTCCCAAGCTTATGGAGTTCTGGCGAGGCGCTTCGAGGTCTTATACTTCGCGAGTTGGCGCATGTATGGGAGAAGCCGGGCGTGATGTCTTATATGTCCCTGAAAGTCAATCATGGGCAATTGGTTGCTTCGGTAAACAGCAAAAGAACATGGGAATTAACAGTGATACGCAAAGCCTTGTCGGTCACTTCCTGTTTGCCGCCCTGTTTAGCGCTGATGGCTGCTCTTAGCATAGCGGGTGGTGGGCAGGCAGGGGTTTGAGGAGTGTGAGTGTGATACAACACACGCCACACATTTTTTTATCACCCTTCCATTCTTGTTCTTAGTGGCGAGGGCAAAACGCCAAAGTGCTGTGGTGTAGAGGAGTAATTCAAGTCGCCGTCTTCCAAGATATTCAGAACCGTGGGTTTCCGAATAATGGTTGCAAAGGGCAAACCTCGAAAGGGGAAGGGCTGAGCGAGGTGCTATCAAGTTGCACCCCGCTTGCCCCTTCCCAGCGCCTTCTCCCAAACGAGACGCTTGCAGAATAGCGTTGGAGCGGCTGCGTTGGAAGGCACGAATCTGATTTTCCCCTTTCCAGTTACTCTTCCATGCGTCACGGGTGCTTCTGTGCCCGTATCGTCCTGCTCTGTGCAGCAACCTGGCCAGTGACTTGTGGGCTATTATCACCCGACAGAGCTATCTGCAAGATTTCCCGGTGAACTTGGTGGATTTGGATGAAAGTACAAACGCGCCTCACCATTTCCAGGTTTCTAAGCCTCTGTAAGGCCTCCATCTGGTGCCAAGTTAAGGCGTGGGCGCGTACTTGGGTTTCTGGGGCGTGACCCATGCTGTATGTATGTACTGCGCTATGGACTCGCCACCATCAAAGACGGGTCACGATGTGCAGAGAAAAGGACAAATTGGATGGAATTTGCGAATATGCCCATGCAAAAGCTGCCGGTTAGGCTTATTCGGGGTCCATCACTTGAAGGTTGCGTTTACATAGCCCCTTTCCTTTCCAATTCACAGCTAAGTATTTTACAGGCCCAAGGTTCAAAGCGACATCAGGGACCGCTGCCTTTTAGGCTTCTTAACCGGTTTTGGCCGAAGATACCTGAGGTACTTGGTCAACATTGAAACTTGAGCAGCTCCAATGAATCCACACTCCTGTGTTTCCTTCCCCCATCCTCAGGCTCTCCAATCAAGACACTCAGGACTTATTTGTCTAAATCACACTTCATTCTGGCCGCAGTTCCAAATGACAAAACCTCTCTGTTCTGTCTGAGTTGATTTGACACTCCTCTCCTCTCCTCTCCTATTATGCTTGGGGCATTATCAACGTCTATTGCCCGTCCTCTAGAAGAACGAGGCAGCACCACCGTTCCGTCATGGACACCCCTAACAACTACCAAGACTCTCTGAAGATGGGAGATGAGCCGAGCTTCGCCGGCCGGTCAGCATTGCCCGATAACGATGAGATCGAGCCGACGGAGCCATCTGCCGAAGAAGTCAGCAACCATGTTGCCTCACTCAGCAGACTCGCCATGCCTGCCGATGGTGCTGAGTGTCCTCAATTCTCCGAGCAGAATCCGACTCAGCGATTCGCTCCTCTTGGCGGATTCACATCCGACGTCCCTGTTGTGGTGGCATACCAGACTCCTACCAGTATGTGAAGTCGACTGACTACAAGTCGTGTTTTCGTTTCTGTACCCATTCTCGAGCTTAGCGTCGTCTCACTTCAGGTTTTACTGATATGAAGCAAAGTGTATCAAGGTTTTCATGGCTTCCATCCGCGGACAAGTGCCTCCTCCTCAGGGGCGCAGTTCGCGGCCCCAAGTGGCGTCATGACGCCCATGGTGTACGAACAGCAAGATGTCTTTGCGTCTGCTCCATTTTCGAATATAAACATAACTCAGCCGGTAAACATGCCAAATCTGCGAGAAGCTAGCAGGCCTCCAGCATCACATCCTCCGATTAATAGCTTCGACGTCGTCACTGCCAACATCAACGGCACGCGCATTATTGCAAAGCTTAACTGGCGTACCGACTTTTGCATTCTTCAAAGTAGGGTTGCAAGACAAGCTAGATTGCCAATCTACCACATTCCATGGCAAAGACAGCGAGCCATTATCACCCCAATTGGCTCCACAACGCCGACCCGTTACTCCGTCTTCAACCTCGAAATCCCAGAGCTCGGGGTTAGCCGCCGGACCATGAACGTTATGTTGGTCAACTGGCCTGAAGCGTTGACCCACATGTATCTCGGCCGACTGTTTCTCCAAGGCTTGAATGGCCAAGGCGCGAGTGAAGCCGCACCCCAGACCAATCATGCAGTGGTTCATGCACACAACCGCCCGACGAACCGCGTTAGGCCGCGATCACTGGGCTCTTCCGCCATTGGCAGTGATGTGTCCACGGCAAACAGAACCTCCACGCGTTGGGGAGACGACGGCTGGCAGACACGACAGACCGGGAGACCCAACCGCCATTTTCTCAACATACCTGGCACGCAGAGGCGAGGACAGACTTCTTCCACGCTTTCTCCCAGCAGTCACACCAACATCTCAACTGCTTGGGCCTCCATGTCGCCTCTTACAACCCCTTGCTCCAGGCCCCTGACCATCCCTTCATCCATGACCAGCCTGACAGGCCCTCAAACCTTGGGCATGGCTGCGGAGGACGATGAGATATATGCCAACGACTCATGCTTTGACGGCGACTTCACCGAAGCTTCAGCCTCGGGCTTAGATCCTACAGATGCTAACTCCTTCAGAGGGAGTTTCGAAGGCGACCTCTGATTCTCGGCATGGTTGATTCCCGCCTAGCAAGGAAGGGGCTTTGTTGACCTAATCCTTCAAGCACTGGCAGACATCTTCTCTCCTCGTTTTTCTTCCTTTCTCCTTCTTCTTTTAGACAGGCAGCCCACAGCACACCTTTTCTCTTACAATTTTACAAAGATAATCGAAGACAACAGGATATTTGTCACATTTGCTGCGGCGGGGATTTGGACTGACCCGGAGGATTCTTTTTGCTTTGATCACTTACATTACGAAGATATGTCTTATGTCTCAATCACCTGTTCACACATCAGCATACCAAAAACATTAGAAAGGGTTCACAGGACGGCATCATGCCTTAGATCTAAGAGGCCACAGAAGAAGAAGGCCATATCGGTTGCGAAACTGGATCGTACATCGATCTCCTTTTTCTTATAACTAATTTATTTTCATGTTATTTTCTGCTTTCTCTCTTCTTGATCAGGTTGTTTGGGGCAAGAACGATGGCATGGAGTGTTTGTTGGAGATTTGCTTTGAGACTAGGTGCGCTCGTTGTAAGCAATCCGGTTTACGTTGAACTGACGTGCTTGTGTTTTCACGCACCACCCCTGAATCAACGACACCTGACTGCCATAGCACGGCAACATTGGTTTAGCCAATCTTAGCATTATAAAAATGATGTGGACAATGCCCACACATGTCCCATGGATTAATATGTATTTTCACCAGCTGACTATTAGAGCAAGGAGATAGCCATGAGAATCCCTCTTGCATCGACATGTCAGCACAGATAAGATATAAGGCAGAAAAACACGCCCCCAACACCCTTGAACCGGCACCTTGTGGAAGAAAAGACCAGTGAGCAAATTATTCCTATATGAATGAGGCATCCACGGGGCTCCAGAGTCTCTCCCCTGTCGATTTGTCTTCGCGCCACCATCTCTGCACCTTCCCGTCCCACCGCCATTCGGTTAGCTCTGTCGTGGGAAGGAATGGCCGTAAAAAGTGAGCAAACACTCTCTGATCGCCTGCGACTCCGTATTCTTTGGCCAGTCGCCGCTTTTCTTGCTGCTCACGCTCAAGAAGTTGATGCCGTTTTTCAGATGCCGTCGCTGGCACTTCAGACGACCCTGTAAGCTCCGCCCCATTCGTGGCTTTGGCCTTAATTCCACCGGGTGTGCACCTTTGCCATCTTGTTTTCTTGTTATTCTTCCTCTTCTCATTCCGACTATCGGCTTGTGCCGGGATTCTTTTGACGAGAAGAGATCTCGGCCTTAAACTCCTCTCCCGCTTTCTGCAAGGATCTGAATTGGATTTGACTGGACAAAGCGTGGCTTGGTCTGGGCTTTTGCGGTTTGTTTGCCGGTCAGCAATCGTATTGAGGACTGCCGTACTGCTGATTTTCTCTGCCGTCCGTGTGCTTGGCATTGTTCGGTCATTCGAGTTCGAACGGTGCTGGCTGGAGATAGGCGCTTTGTCCAGGGTCGATTGGCTAGGTGGTGATGAGTAAGGAGGATTGAGCGACCATCACGTTGTGACTGTGGCTATGATGACTTGAAGGTGGTAGCGGTTGGGCAGCAATGGAACACCCACGACAGTCCGGAATAGCGATTGTTGACCGGGAAACCGGCAGTTAAAAAGCACCCCTTCGGGCCAGACCTGCTGTTTCAGCCGCTGCTCATAGTCGGGTTCATCTACTGTGACAGGCGTCTGGTGGTTACTATCGGATCGCAGCTGAGCTGAGAATCCAAGTGCATTCGAGCGGCACGGGTTACATGGTGGAATCACGGGGCTCGAAGCGCGATCAGCTAACGCCCGTCAGAACGCGAAAGAAAAGGAAGAGCGCCATCATACACGCAAAGAGATGCGACGGCTTCCAATGATACTACCAGGCTGCGCCCGATTTGCCAGCGTCTCTCTGGCATTCGTGGTGATCGCTGGGCAAGACTTGGACAGTCCAGGCCAGTGCTAATCGCCGAGGATCCGTCCTGGGGGGTTATTGTTTTGTGGCTGCCATCATTAGCTTGAATCCATGGATGCGTGCTGCATGTTCAATGACGCCCTCATCCGATCAGATGATTGTGCTGAAAGCCCTGGGCTGGGGCTGGCTTGCAGCGATGCGAACTTAGTAAGGCTCTGGTCAGAACGGACGTTCTGAAGCCCAGCCAACGCCAACTCTATTTGGCAGTGAGGCGTTCAGCGCATTCCCAAGAAAGCCGAACCTCCACTGGGAGGTGGGTGTGGAAGGAAGGCTCCGAGTTGGTACCTTCCATAAGCGTAGAATTTGGAAGGCTGAACCTACTCCGTACACCTAGGACCAGTAGTAACTCTTTGGTGACAATAGATGGATGTCCTGCAAGTTGGACCTCTCCAAGCAGCGGTGCCTTTCCCTTTCCTCCACATCCTCATCTTCCCTTAGTCGCCCACTGGAGGCGATTTTCCACTGCCACAGAAATCCAAAACGATGGAAATGTACTTGTATTGTACATTGGCTGCGCCCGACTTTCTCAACGAAAATGAAGACGTGCAATTCGCCCATCTTCAGCGAAGCGAGAGCCAATCGTCACGTCTAGTTTCGGTCTCGGAAGCTCCATCGTAGCCAAGTGATTCGATGGCCAATACCAGGAAGCTCCTTTACCCATCGGCAAGATGGAAAAGCGACTGATGCGACCGGGCCAGGTTGGCTTAGGAGGTGACACGGATTTAGGTCGAGAGAAGAGTCAGCCCGAGAGGGAGCCAAATGGCTTAGAGATACCCGTCGAGCTCGAGCTAGCGAGCTTGAGCCTGAGTCTGGATTTCCTTCTACCTGGCTCTTCCCACAGTCCGTGCCCCATCCCACGCTTGTCCAAACCACAATGTAAATTTCCATGGCCAGTGACCCCCATTGTTCCACCCCACTTTGCCAACAGCGTTGTGGCGAATTGAAGGTATAAACGACGGATGCCGCACTGCTAAGGGTCGAAGAAATTCGGCCTGCTAATATACACTCATCGTTTTGACAAACCCAGGAAGATCCAGTGGTGGCCCTGATCCAGATCCGGTGGTTTTGCCGGCTCATCGTCCGGATCTGGACACCGCTCAGCTCGACGGCCAGAGGTACCGGAAGTGGCTGCTCAAGGCAATCCTCAAATCTCGAGGGGTGATGCTTAGCCCTTGTTCTTCATGGCTCAACTACGTCTTGCTCTGGATAAAGGTGGACCATCGGCACCCAATCCGCTGAACACTCTCTCCCCTTCGCCATATGCCTTTGCTGGCCAGGCATCCCTTGGGTCCCATGGACCGCCAACCGGCAGACATCTCACGGGGGTGTCCTCGGATCAAGCAACGAACCGTCGCCAGAGATCATATGGGAACACGCGGCGTGGTAATATTTCGCCTTTCGCAGACACTCAAGTGTCTCCGACAGAACCAAGCATAGCCGGCACGGTCCAACTGTCGCACCATGAGACACTCATCGACGGTGCTTCCCAGGGCCCCCGCCCCCACCCACAAGGCCGGCTCAAAAGGAGGCTAATCCAACAATTGAGGGCGATAGGAAAGACCAATCCTGAGCGGGACTTGAGGCTGGCGGTGTGTGCGTTGTCGGCGAACTTGCAGAAGCACGCCCTCGACGCCATCTTTACGCTCGCTCTTGAATACTCCGTGATCACAGCAGGGGCAGTGATGTTTCTTGGTCTCAAGGCGGCCGCCTTGCCCGAGGGCCATCCCATGAGGAAGTCATTTCTTTCACCGTGGGGTGGTCGCATCGCTCCCAAGCGGTTCACCAGGATTGTGCTGGAGCGGCTTCAGAGTGGCCTTGCTCCAATCGCGGAGAATATACTGGTCCTTGATGACAACTTTCCTGACCACGGCTTCGATATTCTCCTCGGTCGCCGCTTCCTGCACCAAGCATGTGGTGGAAACCTCCCGCCAAAGCATATCGCAAACGGAAACGGAACTGTGAACGATCAGAACACCCCATTCCATGGAACGTACGCGCATACTGGCTGGGGAGGTGTCATGGAACCGAACACAAACGACTTCCCGAAAACAGCAAGCAGAGTGCCGCACATGTTCTTGTCGCCGCAGACGTCGGTGAGCGGTTTTCCGGTTCAGACATGGGGTAAGTTCTCACACTCAACGCTGTTGGCCATCTCCATCCACTTCCCTTGCCAGAGGCGGCTCGTAGCAGGGATGAGCGGCCCGTCGACATTTCCCATGTAGCGAATGTCGTCGTGATCTCGATTGCGGCTCTGCTCAAGCGGGCGGGGCAAAACCCGCTGTGGGCCTGGTCCCTGGCCAATCTAAAGTTTCGATCGCGGCTGACTTGAGATCGAAGCAGTCAATCCTGGTTGGAGCCCGCAAATGTCGTGCTTTCAAAACTTGCCGGGAAACGCCTATCAGATGCCTGGCTCGCGAACGCCATACGTGCCGGCCTATCCAGGCGAAAGCTTCATTCCTGGCCCAACGCGGCCGGTCGAGACAGGGCCAACACTGCCAAGTCCTCAATTCGAGCCCTTGTTGGACCCCAACACGATCTCGGGTTTCATGCCGACCCACTGGCCGGATGTCCCAACAAACGACCCGGACCTCGCTCGCGACCGGGCGGGATAATAATCCTGATTGGATCCGTCGTGCGGGCTCGTATGCCCGGAAGGCGAGTCGGCCATTGGCCAGATTGCTGATGAGAGCCCGCTCAAAATCTTTGTCGACATACGGATACCAATTGATGATCGGTTCTTCCTGCCATATTACACCACACCTCGAAGGTTTTAATAAGAAAGGACCTCTGTACAGAGTACTAATAGATGTCGACGATAAATACTTACGTTTTCCGGAAAATATCGGACACTAGGGGCGAATCAAAAAATGCCCTTGTTGCCAAACTGCAACAAAACACCGGTATACGTTTCCTAGGTTCCCGGCTGCTTGGCAGGGCAAATGGGACTCCTAGTTGGGATCATGTCACTCGCCCAAACATGAGTGCAAGAGAGGAGTGAGGAGAAGAGGGGAAGAGGTTGGCGGCCAGGTCTTATCAGGGCCTGGCAGGGTTAAGGGGCAGGGTTAGGGTATGACTGGTGATTGTTGCGTTGTCTGGTTTCCCATAATGGATATACTACCGAGATAGTACTTGTCGGTATGGGTGGATTGATTTTCAAATGAACTGTTCTTACCCTTAAATCTCGGACTACTTAGGTGTATTGAGCTCTGGGCCTCAATCTAGCAGCATATGTTCATGAAGTAGGAGTAAGGTAATCTTAGCACGACACCGTGAAGCTGACTCGGTCACCTTTACGGCAGAGCACAACCTAATAAGCCTGGAACTAGTTGCTGGAGGAGGCTACAGCTTACATTGGGCTTAGGAGCGGCGGCACTTGAACTGTAGAGTGCTCTATCTGTAACTAATCCCAGTCTTAGGCGTAACGTGATTACATGTGCTTGGCCGTGGTGGCTTCATGAATCGCGAGTATTACACGCAAGACGCTTCATAATTTATCAACTCAGGCTATATGTCTGGTAGAATGCTAAGTAGGGAATTTGGTTGGTATCGACTTAGAACTACTTGGAAAAAATCCAAACATGTCACACATAGCGTCATCATTCATAGTATGAGCGTCAAGTAGGAACTCTCTATAACCGAGCGAGCAATTAAAAGCACTGCTAATAAATATCTCCTGGTTCGCGAGGCCCATGGATGACAAAATGCGGCCCGGATCGAAAAACAAACATTCCTGCTCCCGTCAGGTAGTTACTTTGAAACGTGTACTAGGTAGTATTCCTGCCATCTTTCCTATGTTACTACTAATCCAGGGACGATATTTTAAATAGGACAAACTGCTGAAACCTCAGAGTCCGCCTCAGCTTTCCACGGCGAATATAAACTTGTTGCCACTTCCTGGGTATGATGCCTCTCCTCATTAGGTCCATCGCAAAAGTGTGGGAGCGTGAGGATCAGAGGTCGCGATAATACAATCATGAAAGCCGACTTGGAGGAGGTCTCTTGTGCATCTGTCTCCAGAACCTGCGCTCAAAACCTGGGGATTCCTGAAGGTTGCCAGCCCCCGCTACTTGCCATGGAAGCAAGCAAAGAAAGCAAGCCGCTTGTATCTCCATTATGTATGTACATGGCCTCAGCGGTTTGCCTTCGTTCGGGAGAGGTTGTCGGTGACTGGGCAAAATCGTCTGCTTGACAGCTGTCCGGGTAGCCAACCCCGGAAGAGTCAGGGTACTCTACGTCTTCGAATGACCGAGAGCTGAGAGTTTCGGTGTCGATCTCCGAGATTGTGGTCCCGGATGTAAGTTCAGAGCACTCAGAGAGTTGATCGTCCGCTTGTTCAGGGGATGTGGACCTTGGGGTGTCCGTGATATCTGCGGGAAGACTCTCGAATTCTGGTACAAAATTTGGCCAATCTCCGCCCGAATGCTGTAAAGAGAATTTTTGTTCAAAATCCGGAACAGGGTGAGCCGGGACCAACGGAGGTCGAGGACCCAGATCCGGAAAGCTAGCCGGTTGGAAAGTCCTGGTGTTCTTCGATATTCTCCGAGCCCAATCGAGACCACCGCTGAAGCTCAGCTCTCCCAGGTTACTTCGTTCGGTCAGGAGATGGCGGGTGGTGTAGCTGGGATATCGGACGCCTGGGAATTCCCAGGAGAGACTGATAAAACAAGCACCGTCGTTTGCCCGGGAGTGGATCTTGTGCGATTCACGGCCGCTCAAGCGGCTCACGAGTGCAGTGGATATGACATGAGTACGCCCAGATTCATGAGCGGACGGCGTCACGAAGTATTCCAAGCTCTGAACGCTGATTCCAGTTTGCCCATACGATGATAACCCTCGGATGCATATGGTCGACTGTTTTGACGATCAGCAAGCTGCTTGTCTAGGGACTCTAGAAGATGGGACCTACCGTCTCTGTACCACCTGTATCCATCCCCTTCTGAGCATGGATCGGGGTGTTTGGACGCATTGTGGTGAGAATTGAACTGAATAGGGTTGCAAAAAGAAGGCGGGCATTGAGAAAAACGACAGCAGCTGTCTTCGCTATGTATTTGCCTTGAAGTGAGAAACAAAGTGCTCTTTCTGGTCGATACCATCATCGCAAGGCTACGAATGCAGTGTGTTCTCCGGGCATTTCCTGGGCAACGCTGAAAGCGGCAAAGTCGGCTTATTGCTCTGCACTTGCCTATTGTGGCTTTTGGATATCTGCAAGAGGGGTAAGCCCGTCACATCAGCTGCATCCCCAAGCGCCATAACTGAGCAGGAAGGCTAGAACTTGGCATTCTTATAGACTGATGGAGTCAGGTGCATTTCTTGCCAATCATTGCAGACATTTCACCGGAGGAAACAGCAATCTCTCGGATAGGAGGCCTCGCCCTGGTGGAAACTACAACCGGCTTGCGTTAACTCCACGCACGTGCTGCCACTCTTGGTTGCTTTCGAGTTTTGGCTGTGATGAGCTGGCGAGCCGGGCAGTCTTTGGACAGCACCTCTGCCTACCCAGGCATATTCCTGGGCTCCCGCTCACAGAATCACTCTTCTCTGAAAAAGCCGCAATGGCACCGCTTCCCTCGAGTCCCGTCGACCTCAGCGACTACGAATTTGCTGTAGGTGCTAGCAGGTGCGGGCAGTTAGCCTTGGTGTTTACCGGGTGATTTCTCAGTTGCCTGACTTGCCTCGTCGTGGTGAGCACCGCGCACCACTCGCCAGAATAAAAAGGAAATTCCCAACCTTACGTCCTTACGGACCTTCCGAAGTTTCTCCTAGAGATAACCCCCTCACTTCTCACCATAATAAGGAAGCTATCGCCCACCCCGCGTTTCCATTTCTTTAAGAACGGGATGTCCGACTTGTGTTGCGAAGGAACCCCAACCCCAGGTTAACACTTTGCATTGCTGCCAATGGAAAGCCGTGATGATGACGGCTCGGGCAGTCCCGACGAAAACAGCCGTCTGCGACGTGAGCATTTCCGTGCCGCCGCATCGATGCCTGTTCCTCAGGCAGGGAACTCAGACATCCAAGTTCCCCTTTCGTTCCGTGCCTCAGGCATGACGTCTCAGCCACTGAGGCCTGCCCCATGGACACGCCGTCCGCAACCCATCAACACTCACGCTCTCCGACCCGACGAGTTCGTAACCGACACCACGTTCCTCACACCACCACCAGATAGTAATGGGGTTACGCTAAATCGGACACTTATCAGCCCTCGCTGGCCACAAACCTTCGTCCTCGCCTCGGTGGCCGGCGCCGTGGCCCACAGCATCCAGGCCCTACCAGCGACTGAAAGACGGACTTTCCTGACCCCGAAGGGTCGAATAACGTGCACGCGCCGCGCTCTTCTTGGGTTCGAGCTTGGACAACCCGGCTTCGGACCCTTTTATTCCGTTTGGGTCTACGTCCTCGAGGACGAGGCCCATGGGTACCTAGGGGTTAACATGATTATTGGGCGTAGGTGCAACTAGAGTTGTTCCATCAAATTTAAGGGTTGACTGACCTAGTTGTCCAGGTCTGTTCATTGAGTGGTGCAGACGCCGTTTCGACCCTGAGTGGCCTTGGTTTGGCCACTCGTACGTTCATGATGTGCCAGCGCCGAACTTTGATATCGGTATGGCCGTCGACTATCCGTATCCGTCCTTCGATTAAGAACATGTTGTGTTCCGAAGGACGACGAGAGACATAGGAACCCGGGAAACGATTTGATCATTTTGATGGATAGTATGTCGTTAAAACAAGCAATCGGCCTCGTTAATGATGCGGCGCTAACGTTGTGCTAGGGTTCGGTACCCGGCTTGGTGAACAATGAGATGCGGCAGACGGCAGATGGCTTCGGGATTTCGGTGGATCATCCGTTCGTGAGGCTCTAGTCAGCGCACTATTTCTTTGTTCAAGTAAGGTAGTGCATTTTTCTTTTCTGGTGACGCTTAACAGCCGAGCTGTGACGCAAAAACTGCGCTCAGCCATGTCGGCTGCTTTTGGTTCTTGGTGGGACCACTGGCTACCCTTGGCCCCTTTATCTTGGTCCATTCTTTTTTTGTTTTCTTCCTGGTTTTCTCGTCGAGCTTGCCACTAGACCGGTAATGTGTGGCCGATCATGGTTGCACTCAATTCACTGTATTGTATGTACAGTACATACAGCACAGATGTCTGGGACTCTGGCCCATGTTTTGTTTTCGGGCTTCATCATACCATAGCTTCGGCTTGCCGGTGGCCAACAACGCTGTCGGATGGGAATGAGTACTGTACGAGGTTTAACGACTTGAGAGAACAGACTGAGGATACGTTACGTTACTCCAGACCAGGTTGTCATAGTCGAAGAAAGCTATATGGCGCTATGTATTGTACCAGGCGTACCTAACCAGGCGTACCAGTCCATAGAACCAGTGCAACTATTTATCGTACAATAGTGCTCCTTCTTAGATCCGGAAAGTCACATCAGCTTTGAGAACTGTCCTAGTGAGGCAGTGAGAGAGAGCGTCGGTTTCATATACCCCTTCATGATAGCCCTGATTTGTATTCAATTAACATGTTTAAAGGCTTGAAAGCTGTCTCTCACGTTATTACATTACATATAGGAAGAGTAGAGGAATAATGATCATACTTTGGTGAGTTGGTCAAACTAGGAATATATGAGGGCAGGGAGATGGAAGGTGAGATCAGGGGGAAACGGTTCAATCTCTGAAATCAAACCACCCTGAGCCGCAGTGGCGGGCATAACCTAACAAGATCAAAAGGGAATCTATCTCACCACAGAACTAATAGCACAAATCACTGCTTTAAAAACCCTCGCCATCATCGTCTTCACCTTTGCCACTATTATGGTTTGTAGGTGACCACGGCCGTTGCATCGGTTCCTCCCCATAGGCCCATAGGTCCTAGATCTGGAAAGCCTCTCCAAAATTCCCATGAAATTCCATAGAGATTTCTGATGCGATCTAACTAACTACCTAAGATTTTCTGCTTCCTACTACTAGTCAAGTATTTTGTCCCGTCCCGTTGGGGCCATTGCCTCGTCGTGGTTACCCGGTACTGGATCCCTACTAGTACTACACGTACGTATGTACTACCTTCATGTTTCCCGTCAGTTCCGCACACCACCCCGAAACTTGTAGGTCTGTCCTAGGTATCGAAATTCCAATATGCCTCCCGGTCGTATGTAATCCCCGACCTACTAGCTCCCACCTCGTAGGATTTACAGCTTGAATCAAGAAACCTGCTGTTCTGGTGCCTCAGCAGTGCGGGGAACTTCGCCACAGCCAGGTACATTAGGTACATACTGTACTCGGTCCCTCACCACGGAAGAGGCAAGAGCGGGCCCAAACCATACCCTTGGCAACACCACAACGCCACAGCGTTGGCAACTGTAGTGCAAAGTGGGCAGGAGCCACTGCATCAATTCCTGTATTCATGGCAAGAACAACAACACCAACGAAGATGGGATGGAAAAGATGGCGAGAGTGGTTTTTGCCTGCTTGCGAATTTGCAGACGCGCACAGGCTCTCTGCCCTTGGTATATAGAGACTCGAATTTCCCACCTCACCCCCTCTTCCTTTGCTCAACCACTTCCTCCGCAGTCGCCCAAGCAGACACAACAACAGACCTCTGGCCTCATTCTCTGCCCCTGCTCTGCTCGGTGCGTTTTGTCTTTCTTGAAAGAACGGCCATCCCTTCACTCGGCAGCAATGGCAGCCCACAAACCGGCTATCGAAAACATCAATGCCGCCGTTGCTGGGATGAATACCCAAGTAAACGCGATTTCCCAAGGCCTGCAGGCCTATCATGGCCATGTTGAGGAGCTCACTACTGAGCTCTCACGCTCTGGCAACTACCTGGTTGGTCAGATACATCAGGAGCTGGCTGAGATTCGTCAGATAACGGTCCAAATTCGCGCCGAGTAAGGCCTTGTGCTTTTTATTGAGAAAGCTTGCTAAACTTCACTGTACAGGCAGTTCAACCTCCGGGCCTTGATGCGAAACGGCTATGTGCGAACTGCTAGTACACCTCTGGTCCCCATGCGTTCTGTCCAAGCTGGTCCCAACCCACATGTCCCTCTTGGACAATGGATCCCAAACTTTCCGGCGACACCGGACCACATAAGTCAAATGGATGGTATGCGCTCTCCCTTTCTATAGTTTCCTCTGGTTACTGATTCACTAATGTCCTGTATAGTACTGGAATGTCGTGCTCTTTTGGACTGCCTTGACTGGCCTTATCCTCGAGGCATAGGCCAGGTCCTGACAGAAGAGCTACAAAAGGCCGTGCGAGCTGCTGTTGGACTTCCACCTCTCTAAAGTCTTTCTATAACGGGGAGGATGGGAAGGAGAGGGTCAAGAATGAATGAGCGGTAACTACACTGCAGTTGGTATGGTGGGCAAGAGGCTTGCTGATGAGTTATGATGTATGAGTACCTTGCTTGTTGTGGATTCCCAAACGGGAAAGAAGGGTGTAAGCTGCCTCGGCTGCTTGCCAACTTTGCCAAGCCTAGATCTGCCAGCTCTGCCAAGACTTGACAGATGCAGGTCCAATTCCCATTGGCCACGGTTAAGAACTGACGGTGGTTAAAACTTTAAAGAGAAAAGCCCTACGGAAAATGGTAACGAGATACGGCTAATCTAATCTCTAAACTTTAATGACCCACCCTCGACGCGTTTCAATCACCTCGACGCGTCCTACCTATCTTTCAGGCTGGTGAACTGAATCCCAAACTTCTATTTCCTGTCTCGCTTGCACGGCATATGAAAATTATTCTGTCTATCTAACCTAGTCAATATACGCAACTTTCCCTTCGGCGTCCGCGTAGCCTATCAATCAAGATGCCACGCCTCCTTCAACGGACTCGCCGACCGGATGCCACACCCTCTGGTCGCTCGACTGCCGACGGTGCCCCTCTGGACCTGCCTCCTTATGAACAGCCTGCCTATCCCATGGATGAAAGGACCAAACAGAAACTTGCAAGCCTGATTAGCGGCCGCGACAGCGACAGTGAACGGCGCAGGTATGAAGCGCACCTCGCAAAGTCTTCGACCTACCTGTTCGAGAGCGTCGGCAGCGTTAATGACATTCTGTTTGCTCGCAAGCGGGAGCTCGCCTCCATGGTTGAGAAGCGTCGGACCAAGGAGATACAGGAAAAGAGCGAGGCCGAAATAAACCTGGAAGCATACGTAGCCCAGTTGGAATCAGCTGTCGGTGATCTAACCGACTCATCCGAGGAGGCTATGCGCTGGGTCATCGACTCACGCGCTGAGCTCGAGGATCAACGGGCCGTGCTGGAAATAGTGCTGGATGGTTTGAATGCGCAGCAGTCTCGTCCTGAACCTGAACCGACTAGGTCGAAGGAGAAAATAAAGCGACGTGAAACTGGCAGTGGGGATGGCGATGACGACGATGCAGCTTCGACACACGATATGGACGAGGACATGGAAGATACCAAAGATGCAGCTGCCGCCGCCGCACCTCCTATAACCGGCGTGACTGAGTTGTTGGAAAGCGCCCGTAGGGCCAAGCTCGAGGAGTACAGAGCATTGAGTCCTCATCGTCGCTATGCCCTCAACAACGACTACATCTCGTTCAAAAAGAATTGGCACGATGCCTTGCACCCGGAGGATCAAGTCCCACTCCCCGATGCGTCCACATGGTTCGACGAGCACGGCAGGCCCACCAAGGACATGGGGCGGGATGCCGACGAGGATGCCGACCTCGTGGTTGAGCGTGAGATCATTGATCTCAAATGTCCACTGTCACTTCAGGTCATGAAAGAACCCTGCAGCAACCACCAGTGCAAGCACACGTTTGAGAAGTCTGCCATTGTCGAGTTCATACGGAATTCCAACGGCTTAGCAAAATGCCCAGTTTGCTCCAAGGTAAACCCTAAAATGCGGTATCTATCGCCACTCTCCATATCCACTAACATCCGGCCGTAGGACTTACGCATCAAGGACCTGTATCTCGATGAGGTGATTCTGCGGAAGATCAAGCGGGCAGAACAAGCTACCAGGAGAGAAGTGGATGACACGTCGGACATAGAAGCCGACCCAGATGCTGATTCTAGTTTGGTTGTGGGAAGGTCCACCAACATCAAAAAGGAGAAAGGCGAGCATCGTCGCCGCCTGGAGGATATAGACGACGACTGAACCAAACAGCCCACATCTTCCATGAACTCTCTTCGCATTGGCACCAAAGTTTCGAATAATTCATATCTGGAACGGAAGCAATCCTTCCAGCGACAGGCTTTTTACTATCCTTCCCTTCGCTCGTCCATGCAGCCGGCTATCCGCTCCCTAGTCCTCCCCGATTGTTAGCTAGGATGCAACGGAGAACGCGGTTTCGGATTACCAACTGTTCATCTGATTTGGGTTGGGGGACTGCCGCTACTAACTGGCCAAGGAGAAGCCTCGCCCCGCGCCATGATCCTTGTTCATTGTGGTATGTCCCGACCAAGTCTCTTCTCACGCAATCCCTCCTTCGTCCGCTGCGCCGCCACCGAATAAGTGTTGAGCCAGGAACAAGGAGTGGAACCCTATATCAGCGGGGGAAACGTATAACAAGCATAGAGACTTACAAGATGCAGGAGGAAGCGGGAAAGGAAGAAGGCAGTGTGTCCCTGAGGTGAAGCGTTGCTTTTTGCGTTGGAAACCCCCCTGACGGCTTGCTCACTGAGTCCAAGTCATCACGTCACTGCTACCCGCCAGAGTTGAGGAGGTCTATCGAGTACCCATAGGCACCATATATGCCAGTCGAGTTGTTGCGATGAAGCAGCGTGGTCCTGTCTGGCATGGCAATCATTCTTTCCTTGGGTGCTTGCCGAGGGAGGGACAGTGGGCTGGGCGGGTAGCAACCGAACCCTTGCTGGTCGAACGAATCAATACGGGGGCCGAAATGGCCTGATGGAAATGCCGTATTCTGGAACGCGGCGGCGTGAGGAGACACCGTGAATTGATCATATTGGATTCGTGGTTCGACGAGGTTGGTAGAGCTGGTCCTGGGAAAGATATCAGCACCCATTGATGGGTTAAACGACCCGATGAGAATCTTGCCTCTGAAACCCAGCCATCGGCCCGAGACCACAAAGGTCTGGGCTCCGCAAGTCAGTCGGAGTGGTTGGCGACGCTGCGCGGGCGCTGCTTTCCTCGACATCGGGACTCTGCCGCAGCGACGGGCCCCCAGCGTCACCTGATATGGACCCTCGCCTCGGGCTCATGGAGCGTATGCGCTTGCGACGCGCATACTTGTGGACCTCCCATCTATCCAAGCGAGATCTGTATGCGCGGGTGCTGCAGCGCCAGAGGTGTCAGCTACGGTCTACAAGCATTCGAGTAGAACATAAAACACAACGGGGCTCTGGACTGCCCAAACAAGTTTAAGACCTGTTATACGGATTCTGCCGGGGGCGAGATCCTTGACGACGTGAACGGGACCCAACATACGATGCCTTGAAGCCGTATTTTTCCTTCATTATCCGCTGGACCGCGTGGAGCGGTTTGTTTTGGCCCTTGTATTCGGCAATGATGATTTCTCGGTACCTCTCCCACTGCTTCGTCATGGCGTGTCGACAGGTTCACGCTTGAGGTTGTTGGCGGGTGGCGTACCCAACAACTCAACAGAAATAGGGGTCTTGGACCGCCTGGTTCCGGGCTACAGCTATGTGAGGCTGTTGAGGCCCAATGGAAGGCGAATAGTCTTTCGAGGGAAGGCCTGAACCGCGACGAAGCCAGGTCAAACAAAGGGATGCCAACAAGGGTCCGGGCCATCTTGATATACACAGGGCAACTGACACATTTTGCCCGTCGAGGCCAACATTCTATGCACCTTCATCGTTGCTCACCTTGCCCGGCTGCCTCGATGTTTACGTCTGCAACATGCGTGTCATTCTTGTCCACACTCAGGAGATAAAGAAGGTGAGGCGGCCAATTGTGCAGACCCGAGCCCACGGCCTAGTGACGAAGCTGACTTGGGGGGAACCAAGCAGCCAGGGGCTTCTCGGAAAGCGCAACGCTAGGGCGGGCCGAGTTTGAATGGAGGTGTTCTAGGGGACGGAAGAGGGGTGACTTTGGAGCAATTCTAGCGTCGTCCGTCTCGCGGCTGGCAAAGGCCCTCCACACGACTTTGCGATCTCTTCATCATGGGGAACACTCCACACGTGCTGAGGGAGGATCCAAGACGGGATGGGAACAAAATGCACAGGTACGATGCAAGGCTGGGCAAGCCTCGCCCTACCATGGCCGGTCGGCATTGATCTGGGCCTGTCCGCTCCATATTCAGTAAGACGGCTCGTCAAGGGAACCAGTTATTGGTCAACACGATCCCAATGCATCTGCTGCAAAATCAGCCTCAGAAAACAAGTCGCTCAGCTTCCCCGCGGATTGGTGGTTTCAAGTCTCTTGCTTGGCTGCTACCCCTCCTCCCCGCCGACAGCTCGCCCCAACTTGGACGATACGTAGATAATTGCTTTCCGGTAACTAGTCCGGTCGTTCACGCCCGTTTCCTGCGGGAAAGCTAGGGCTGTATATTTGTGGCTGCGGACCGGTGTGATGGTTTGGCTGTAGGTCCTACGTCGCCGGCCGATGAGATGCTTTGCAGCATTATAGATGGACCGTTGGCTGGCTTGCCTGCTGGCAATTACCGGTATGCCTCCTTTTAGGACTGGCCAGCATGTCTCGGGCGTCAGACACGTGTGTGTTTATGGAGGGAAGATCAGGTCCTGAAATCGGCGCTTCCCATCCACAACCCATGGTTCTTCACGGTTCTTCCAGTACGACGGTATAGCTTAGTACCTGATCTTCTCTAGTCCATGATCATTTTCTAGACCAGAAATCATTGCGCCCCTTCATGCACCGGCCCCAGGCCCCAGGTTTTCCCCTCACTCTGCCTCCAGGAAGGGCGCACGTCGCAAGCTCCCCCACGCCGCCGGCTTCTGGTAAACCTGGATTGGTCGGATCTGAGATATTGATGTCCCAAATCCGCCAGCGCGCTTCGGTCAAGGTCCACGTCAGATGGTCCTTGCTGAGTGGCAGGATTTCGTGTATTGTAACCGGCTGCGAACCACGACCTCGGGTTCCGCACTTGTCACTCTTCCATTCGCGCCCTGGATCATGACCTCGCAGAGCCTATGGACTCTGTAGTCTGGCAGGTCAAGAACACCAGGAAAAAGCGAAAGGAGTACGTAAAAACAAGCATCTTATGAGAGACGATCCCGGCTATTCATCCAGTATCAAGGGATCTCAATTTGTCCCTGCTTGGGCTTGTCATAAAAGTAGAGCATTTGGCCCGAGAGACTCGCCCATCGCGGAACCCCAAACTCGCTAGAATCCGCCGTTCCCAGTGGTGTGCGCTCCGTGCTGCAAGCTTCCCACCCCCTTTGCGGGTAGGGCTAGCAGCTCCAAGCTTGCCGCTAGGGTATTCGGAGCCAATGGTGTCCCTCCTGTCAGGACCAATAGGTAGGCGCCTAGTCCGTCAGTCATTCCAGAAAAGATTACCTTCCCGCTCCGGAGTATTTGATGGTGTGTGCAGCGACAAGGCAGGCTGGGCGGATCGCCTTACCACGTAACACTGTCTATGTATTCGTATCTGTCTTTCCTTTGATCTTGTTTGTATAGCACGCCCATGGCGGTTCGTTGATGTGACCATACAAGCTGCTGCGGTGTGCCTCGGAGAGGGTAGAGGCAAGGCTTTCAGGTCGCATTTTCCTGAAAACTAGGGATCCTACACAGGCTGTCATAGCCCATAAGACAGGGGAGACCTCCTTTTCCACTATCATTCGACGGCTGGAGTCAATCTTCCCCTGACTTGTAATACGTAACTTCATGTTCTCAACTCAACTAGCGTAAGGGGTATTGCTGCTCAATGACAAATAAAGAGCACAAAGGTTACCAACCGGCCACTGCAGCCGACAAGTATAACGAGGAAAAGCATTCTCCCAGAGTACCCTGGCTTCGTATACCCAATGATGAATAAGAAAAAGGGGTATGAAGTGACCACGCATTGACTACCTCATCACCATCCAAGAATCGTTCAAATATCCAGGAAACCCGCCAGAACCCTCCCTCTCTTGATCAGGCCTTCTTCCCTGAAAACTCCACAGGCTCAGGCATCGACGGCTTGGTGTCCGTACTGACTTTGCTATCCATGGATCCCGGCTGGGAAGCCTTGGCACTGACGGGAGAGGCAGTAGTGGCGCTTGCAAGTCCGGTAGTGGCTACTGGGCTAGCGACAACATCGGTGTTGGTGACAACTCCCGTTTCCTGCTGAGCCGGGACGGCAACGACAGGTCTTGGCTTCTCCCCCACCGCCGCATTCCCGTTCCCGCTTCCATTCGCAACGGCAGCGGCAGCGGCGGCATCCACCGGATTGACCTGCGTATCGCTTCCCGGCGACTCGACGGCGGGCGGACCCGTCGCGCCGGCCACGTTGCGGATGACCTCGAACCACTTCATGGCCTCGGCGGGGGAGTGGGCCTTGAAGGCGAGCTCCGAGTTCCCCGCGAGCTTGCCGCCGAAGGTCTTGGAGCGGTCTTTGCCCTTGATGTTGAACTTTTCGCCGTGCGGCAGGCCGATGACGGCGTCGGGCAGGTAGATGCTCAGCTCGGGGACCGGGTCGCGGCGGACGACGTCGCTGTCGCGGAACTCGTGCAGGAACCGGGATGGAGTCACGACGTAGTAGGCCGAGTTGTAGCCCCAAGACAGCTTGTTGCGGCTCTTGCGCTCCAGGCTGCCCTCGATCAGCGGCTTGGTCGACGGGTGGTCCATGTTGGGGAACTGAATCCCCTCCACGGTGCGCGCCGGCTCCGAAGGGTTGGCCAGCGTGCCCTCGCAGCGCCGCGCAAAGGCCTTCCACTCGAAGTCCGGCGGCACCCGCTGCACCGCGCCCAGCATGTCGGCGTACAGCGCTTGCACCTTCAGCGCCTGTCCGCCCGCGTACGAGTTGAATGCCTCCATGGCTTGCTGGAGCACCTGCACGATGTGCTTCTCAAAGGCCTCGAGGTTGTTCTGCACCGCGACGAGGTCGTTGTGCTGGTTGTTTTCCTCCATGACTTGTTTGGCGAGGCGGTGCAAGACACCGCGCTGGATGACGTACGGGTCGTCGGCCGGCGTGGCCTTGCCGCCAGTAGCTTCAAAGGACGCCGTATGCTGGCCGAGGAGCTCGATGTGCTTTTGGGTCGTATTGCGCGCCTTGTCGACTTCCTTGGCGCCCTTTTCAGCGCCGTGGGCGAGCTCCTTGGCCTTGTGCTTGATCTCCTTATGCAAGCGCTCCACGACCGGGAGGACCGAGCCCTTGATCGCCTTTTCGGTCTCGAGGTTGGTATTGATGAGAGCCTGGGTATTGACGCGCATGTTCTCGAAGAAGCCGGCAATGCCGCCTAGACTCTGGTCGAAGTGCTGCCCTTCCTTAAGGGGCTTCGAGATGGCCTGTGATGCGTAAGTGGCTGCACTCTAGTTGGGGCTGGGGGGGTGGGAGAGACGAGAAGGTACCTTTAGCGCCCTCTCATACTCTTTCGCCTGTGCCTTGTGGATCTTCTCGATCGCTTCCATGTACTCTTCGAGGTAGACGACGGCATGCTTCCATGCGTGAAGCCTTTGGGCGAGGAGGCCGGCGGTCTGTCGCAAAACGTCAGGTAACGAACACGAGATATCGCTCCAGCCAAGCCGGCGGCACACTTACAGTGCTCGGATCCGTGTCAGGGATGGCATCGTCGCTTCCGGTGCTGGTCACAGTCGACTGTCTCGTCGGCACGGCGGGTTCTTGGGGAGCCATCGGGGCCGATTCCCTTTTTCCTTCTCGGAGGCTTTTCGATTTGCGGATACTAGTGAGCCTCTTCATCTTGTCACGAAATGGGAGCGCAGCACAGGCAGGGACTTGGGAATGGCTGATTGTTTGGCGTCTTTTTATTTGGTCCGTACCTAAGGTAGTTAACTAGCTTCTAGAGCTTAGAAAACACAAGAATGGCGAGGGCGGAGGAAAGAAGGAGACGGCAAGCTGGCAACCGAGTGACTCTTCAAATCAGCACAGACGAACGCACAAGTCAACGATTAGAAGAAAGAATGGTAACCAATTGCCCAACGCTCAAAGCAATGAGGTCATGATCAGACGCCAGACAAAAAAGCAGGTTGGGCACGACGATTAGGTTTACCGTATAGTTATGAGAGCTGGAGGATGATTGGCAGCCCTCAAGAAGACCTAGAGTACCACTTACGTCGGATGAACGACCCCTCAAATGGTGTACCGGTAGGCTGTTTCGGCAAAGCTGCCGATGGGCTGCGAAAAGAGCTGCGAAACGGGCTGCGAAAATGGGCTTTGCAAAAAGGGAAATCGAGCTGCCAGGATGCGGACCCTCGTCTGATCCCTGTGACGATCCGAACCGGCACAGCGTCACGACGAGCACCCCTCGGGCCATGACGTAATTGCGAGCTTTGTAGGGAACTGTCTATCGAGAGCATTGCACGGTTTGCACAGTTTTGCGGTGCAACGAAATCTTCGCTTCGAATGAGAATCGATCAAGGGAAAGCTACTATCATGATCCAAGTCGTTGCTGCCAGCTGTTTTCTCACAGCCAAAGGCCAAGGGCGACCGCGACCCCACCGAGCAGGGTGCTGGGTTCGTGACATGACGTAATAGGAAACCAGCCCGTCGATCACGAACCGCTACACCACCGTATTGTACCTGAGCGTTGACTGCTCCCAGCCGTGCCAGCGAAATTGATGAGGAGAGTGAGTCCATAACTGCTGGTTTCTGGACTGACTTTACGCCTTGTTCCGAAACGTTCAATGTTGGAAGAAAATATCTGCCACCCTCGGTCGCGACCAATCCGAAGGGGCCTCCTTTTAGGCGGCCTCGTCCGTGTTTCGAACACGGGTCTGGCCATGCATCACCGACCTTACAGAATCCATGTGTATGTCTATACGCGGCAGATTCCCAAGGCATCTGGACCTTTCGTCGTTTCCGATGTTGGCTTTGCCTATAAGAAGGCAAGCACTTATATCGGATTGGCCTCGCCTTGTACGCCTAGAGGAACAAACGGAGAGGAGAATCAGCAACCTGGAAAGCAAACTGTCCAGATTCATTTCTATGGCATCGACTGACGGGGTATCTAAGAAATATTGGGAGCAACGCGGGTCCAGACAGGTTCTACCAAACCAACCAGAAAGAGTCCATCTTGTCATATGAACATTCAACGCCATCGCGCCGTAAGCCCCCTACCCTTCCATTCTATGCCCATGCTCCATGCGCACAACATCTCAGGACCAACTTACCCAAAAGCTAAGCTGAAGATGGCAAGAAATAAACAAAGAATCCGTTACATGGTATGGCCCCTTCCCAGCTCAGGTCTTGACCGCTTCTAGACGGGCAGCCGCTCTCGCGCCTGAAGCACCCGCAGCCGTGCCCGTTCATCCCCATCTCCATGTTGGTGGAAGAGATGAGGAAACGGAAACACCAGCATGGGTGATGTTGTCCGCCGTCGGTGCATGGGCGGCGGGCTCCGGTTCGTCTGCTGCTGCGGAAAAGTCATGTGCTGCCCTGGGACCAGAGCTGCAGCTGGGGGCGTTGTGGTCGGTTCTTGTAGACCCAACGGGTGCTCAGCGATAATATCCAGCCCGTCGACCATTTCTGGCCTGGTTGGGCCGAGCTGCGGTGAAGGTGGTGCACTTGTAGCTGTGAAATAATCTGGAAGCGCGGACCCATCCGAGTAAGTGCTCAGTGGCCTGATTGGTGTTCTCACAGCTGTCCGGTAGCTCGGTACTTTGCTCAACTCCGAAATAGAGATTTCTGGCAAGTCGTCATGCTCCGGTGTAGGCGGGCTAGGCGAATGATCGGTGCTGTTAGCCCGGGTAAGGGGCACCGATTCCGGCGGTGAGTTCTGGTGGCTGTGGTCGCTGGTGCGAGGAGGGCTGCTGGACCGGGAGACACCTCCAGCTGAGGAGTTTGCATTCCAATGGCTGTCCCGGTGGTGCTGTTCCAACGACATGCTCTGTAACCTAGACGACAGTAAGGCTGGAGAAACTGCTCCGCCAAGGGTCATGGAGGCTGTCGAGCCACTTCCGTGGAACATGGCTGCCAGGTTCTCGGCTGAAGCTGCTCTCGAATGCCCATGCAATGGGCTGCTCACTCCAGACCGTCCCCCTGTCGGCGTATGCGGCGCTGTAGGGTCCATGCCATCGTACAACTGGTCAAGGACGTGCTCGCTGTAGCTGGGCGGCGCGATGGCAGCCATTTCTGTGGACGTCGCGTTAGGCAGTTGACGCACAAGGTTCCCTTCCTCATCAAGGGGCATGTTAGGTGAAATAAATATGGAGACAGGCAGCGTTGCCCGCAGTTCCGAGATGTGGCCATCAGGATTCTTGAGCGAAACTACCAGCTTCAACTTGTGCCGGATTTTGATTCCCCTGGTATTCACGTCCTGGAGGCACCTGCTCAGTTTCTTGGGCAGGTTAAGAGACATGTTCACGACCCAGCCTTCTTGGCCGCTATCGTCAATCATGTCTTGCCAATGCTCGTCTCGGCTCACCGAAACGATCCATGTATCAATAACCCTTTCCTTTTTGTGTTCTTTGAAGGCGTGGTTGGTCTGGAGAATAATTTCATGAATCTCGAGCAGTTTGATCGTAATGTCGCCCAGCTCAAGCCCTTTGAGCAAGGGGGTGAACCTCATGTCGAGAGGAATGCAGCTCCCGAATACAACGGCCTTCTGCGGCACCACAATTGAGTACTCGATCTTGTTCGGCCAGATGTTCTCGACGCTCATGGCATGCAGGAACTCGAGGGCTGAGGCTTCGAGTGTCCGTATGACCCGAAGTCGCTTGTATGCGTGTAGATCGTGCGCCAGCTTTCCCCGTGCAACTGTTGCCTTGAGTCTATATATGACGCTCGCCTCACGCAAGCCCTCGATGCTCTCGGTTGTATCACCATCTAGCAACAACTCGAATGGCCACTCGTAGTTCCCCGGGGCCAGAGTCAGGCCCTTCGTCTGATATGGATAGCCAGCTGGCACAGCGTCCGAGGCGGCGCCGATGCCCACAAACGGCTGCCATCGGTGTTCGTAAAACTGAACGGTCTTGTCTACTTTTTGGGTGGATATGCCCGTAGCTGTTACCTTCGTATCGGTCCACCTAGCCAAAAGTTGTCAGCACCCGGACTACAAGGAGGTTGCGCTGGGCCTGCACATACCCATAATGAAGTGTGCCGGTCAGCTTCAGGTGGATATTTTCGATCTTGAGCGGTGCAGACAGGCAGAGAACGACAGTGCCTTTCAAAAGCTGCCCCGAAGCCTCGTGGTCATTTCCTCGGAAGACGATGAAGTCGTTCTCGAGCCGGATTTCGAAGAGGGCGCAGGCATGCTTCCCACCCACCGAAGTAAAACGGTTGAAAGATGGCATCGCTTGCTCTCTCGCGGTTCGCAGGACGATTCTCCAGGCAAGAGGGCAACGGGAATCGCAAACGAGGGTGCGAGCCCGGGAAACTTAAGGCACTAGGAGAGCGAGAGGCTGAGAGCTGACATCTAATAAGACCGAAGGACACTTGGGTGTTCGGACAGGTTGGGGCTGAGTGCAGTATGAAAGCGGCGTCGTAGGTAGACTCTCTTTCAGGCGGAATGGGAAAGTTGGTGAGACCACACTATAGAAAAGAAAGGAAAATATTGGAGAGCAAAGGCTTGGCTGGCTCGGCTGGCTATCCATCATATCTGGTCTGGAATTCCAGTCATTATCACAGGGTTTTCGGCGGAGATGTGACCGGGAGCCACTCGACAGGGCTTTCGAAATCCCACGACAAAGAACCCGGGATTTGCCAGCACGAATCCCACCACTATCGGCGTTGTCCTGCATGTGAGCCGATAAAAGAACTGGGACTAACTGCATAGGGTAGTTTCTCGATCTCCGTAGTTCGGCCACCAAGAAATTGATGAAACGAGCGGTGAAGGTACTGTCCCAGTACATACAGATACATCGCTATTAGTGTTAATCGCCGTAATCAAGTCTCTGAAAAACGCATGAAGAAGTAATTTGCAGAATATGTATGTACTCAGTCCGAGTGAAACCCGGCTCATGCAAGCCCAGCTCGATCGATCTGAACGGGCAGCACGCACTGATAACCAAGAAAATCAGTACCGTTATGTATGTAACTACGATACAATATCTTGTACGGGAATCCGCCGGCACTTGAGCCTTTTCTGTAACTACACGACGGGAGTCGGAGTCCTGAAGGCAATTTGACAATCTCTAAAACTATATACAGCTCAAAAGCCCCTGAGACTATTCTACCTTGTCTTTTGCGGTGGATTGTTATGAATCATACGATGGGCTGTATCATCCGCAGGTCGCCCTTCGGGAGAAAAAATGGCGGAAAAAAGCGAAGTTTTTAAAAGCAAATGTAAGTGGGGCTTTCAACTTAGCGTGGGGTGTCACGAACAGTGAGGCGGAACCCAAAGGAACACGACAAGGCGACGCTGCGTGCATTGTTCGGGGCTCTGATTGGGCGATCAATGAGACGTCTGGGTTTTCCTTATCCCGGTCCACCATGATGTTCCACGTCAGGTCGGGTGCTTTTCCAAGCCCCATCGACACATCTAGTTTATCTCATCCTTCTACAGATATAAGGTACGAATATGATAGACTTGTACATTGGGCATTTTCAACCTTTCGCCTGTCCTACCTATAGCCATATTCCAGCTCTTCCAGCTTCAAAACAACCAGCGGGATGGTGGTACATACACTAGTATAAGGAAGGGGCGTCTTCACACGACCAAAAACCGAGTCCCACTTGCCTGACAGGGTACGTTGATCGAGGCATTTTTCGAGTGTAACATCCATACACGTGCAATCGGCTGCTTGCACTGTTCGGATGCCAGAAGACAAAATCATATGACGCTTATAATCACAACGAAAAAGAAGATTGGTGCGTAAATGAAAGCTATTGAGGATGAAGGACACGGCAAAACGTTTCAAGCGCCCAACTGATGATCTGACTGTGAATGCACTGACAGAACATTCGATATGCTCCCAGGAGCAAGTATGGGAATTCCTGCAACAAACACGCCATGAGTCTCGGCTCCCGGGACGTCACCCTTACCCTTGCAAGCCGATGCCAAGCGCGATCGGTGATCTGCGCGAGAAGCCGATCTCTCCCGAGGCCCGCCACCTGTTACCTCATTGACCCGAACAAAAACCGCACCGCCCTTCTATGCTCAAATACCCAGACATCACTCGTTCGCTTGACGCTCACTCGGTTGGTTCAGTATCAGCAACCTTAATAAACTGTTGATACAACCTAACACACCTTCCAGGATCGATGCCCTTCTGGAAGAGACGATTGGCTAGTCACCTTCACTTTTCGCAATCATGGCTGATTTGCCGCCGGCCGCAGACTTGTTCACCTCGTATCTTGCCGCGCTTGTGATGAGTCTGTTTGCTAGACACCCACCAAAGCTCGAACGGTGAATCGACTGGCTCTGGGACCATGTGTTGAAATGCAGCAACGTTATTGCGCCATATTCGCTTGAGCCTATCAGCCGAACCTTGGTGAACGAGGCCGCCACCACGTCCACTCAGCCTCATGGCGGAGAAACTTATACAGGTTCTTTTGAGTCTCTCACGTCGACTTCAACCCAGTCGCAACACTTCGCCGGCCTCACCCAGGATGTTGGATACTGAACAGATGCTCAGCATAAGGCATACAAAGACCTCAAATATATGATTAGGTATGTACTTATACTTTCCGTTTGTAGACCGGGACCAACCTGGGCAAGTCGAGAGATATATGTATATATCAATCTCAACATAAGAGCCTCGAGCTGCCTATGCTACCAACGTTAGACCACCGGCACCAACACAACACGGCGTGGCTGCCTCCCTCAATAAGATTTAGATTGGCGAGATTGTGCAAACATCCCGTCAAACCAGCATGCCTAACTTCTCACTACCAATCCACCCCGTCCCTGACCCTCCCGGCTGCTCGGTATGCGAGTGTAGTGTAGCGTAGACACGAACGTGCGGATGCAGGCACAGATAAGCGGCTTACATGCATGACGCACGCTGCCGAACGACGGGGACCAAGATTAGAAACGGGTGGTGTAGTGTCAAGGCAAATCGTCGATCGATGTCAACGTGCACTTCCGGCGGCTATCTATTAGTCCCGAGCTGAGCACATACAAGACTTGCATCACAGTACGTACGAGTAGAAGGGAAGGCGCAGTGCAACCCCTCTCAACAAAAGCCGGGTTCCAATCCGTCCGCAGATGTGACGAAACATTCTAGAATCTGCAACTACAGGCACACACCGAGCGTAAGTGATCAAGTCGCTAACGGACTGGTTAGCATCTAGGCGGACGATTACTGTAGGTACGCTACCCTAAACAGTTGTCAAGTAAGGTAGTTGCAACCAGTCCAAGATTACACGCGTTACCTGGTCCGTAACCCAAATCACATTGTCATACTTGATGCCAACTAACAGTGGGCATATGCATTGTGAATAATGTGATAGTAGGGACATTTCTTATCCAATTGGCCATCTTGCCCAGCAGTCGATTTCCTCGCTCGACTCTCTCGCGATCGAGTAGGTAGCATTGAGGACTGTGCTTCACCAGCGAGGATTCCCAGGAACAGATAGCACCGGCATAGTACGAAGATAACGTTTGAGCTAGTCAACATCCCTATCCTAAACAGTGGCTCAAAGGGTGGGTACATAACTCAACCGTGTAGCAGAATGACATTGTGTGTCTAGAACACCGGTACATAACTAAGGTGGTGTAAAACGCAGTGGGGGTCAGATAATGCCGCACTCGGATAAAGACGGCCTGGCACCAACCCAACACAAGCAGGTTGACCCCCAACAAGATGCCCAGATCAGCATGTGAAGCCATGAGTTGGCTGAGCTCAAAGCTCGATAGCTTAAAACGCATCCGGATTGCGGATCAGGTCTGCTTCTGCTCCTCCAACTGGGACGCCAGCTCTGAAGGACGGCTCCACGTCCGGATATGCCCTGCAAACTCCATTAGCCTTGGCTCAAGCCTGGCCCAGCGCAGGTCCCCAACAAAGGATTCGGCCCTACCTGACTTGCAACTCGTCAAAATGGCATCCGGCGTGAACTCAAGCCAACACAGCGGGTCTTGATCGACCGTTTTGCTCTACGTCTTGTGTGTCAGCGGCATTTCCATCGTTCCCACTTTCATTCACCCAATCCAACTCTCCGGGTTTCGACTTACCGATACAGGCGGGAGCATGGCCGTGGTAGCCCTTGGCTCAACAGGATGCGGGACCACCATCCGCTTGCCGCCGCCGTTCCCCTCCGCTTCCGCCTTCTGGGAGTTTGGGTCGGGGCCGCCCGGACTGGCAGCATCTCCGCCGCTGGCGCCTGTAGCATTCGTAGCAGCTGTAGCAGCCGTCTCGGCCCGGTGGAGCGGCGTTAGGCCAGGGCGGGACGAGACAGAGCCGCGGTGCCTAACCGATGCCTACCCCCCATTTAGATATCCCCGTTAGCGCCGGATCCCTCATCCGCATCGGAAGATACAAACGAAAAAGATGGGGTGGGGGGGCAAAGTTGGGGGTCGGCAACAAACAAGAATGAATGTGAAACCACATACCGCCCTCGGCCGGTGCAACATGCCAACACTGAAATCCCACAGGCAGAGCCTGCCGTCCTCGCCAACACTTCCGAACCTGTAGTTCTTGTCGTCGCACCGCCAGGGGTCAAAGGCCACGCTCGTCACCCACGAGTGGTGGCCCTGACAGCGGGCGACGAGCCCCGACGACCCTTCGGCCTCGGACGGGCACCAGATGGAAATGAGATCGTCTTGCCCGCCCGTGAGGACGTACTTACCGTCCGGAGACCAGCAGACGCACGTTAGGCCGCCGTAGTACGCGTAAAAGAGATCTAGGAGTCTGCTCGCGACGCGCGTTGGGGGGTTGGGGGTTAGCTTCAATCAGGCTGCGACCCGTTCCATCCAGCCGGCGGAGAATCTGCTTATTGCTTACTCTTCTTTGAGGTAATCAATTATCCGCAGCGATCCGTCCTCCGACACCACGGCCAGATGGCGGTTGTCGGGGGAAAAGGCGAAGGCGTTGATACGGTGGTTGGAAAGCTTCCACACGGCTACGGGGTTGGTCTTTTGGGTTTTGGAGTGGACCGATTTGTTGACTTGGATCTGGCAGGAATGGTGGGAGCCGCTGCCGCTGCCCATCTCGCTGCTGGTCCGGGCTAAGCCGCCCTCGTCCTCGGCGGAAAAGGAGCCGTCCTCCTTTTCCTTGTCGTAGACTATCAGAGAGCCGTCCATGTGCGCGGCAAGAAAGAGGTTTTCCGACCCTGGGATCCATTCAATCTCGAACACAGGCGCCTTGTTGATGATACCCTACCGTGGCATGAGGCTTGAGTTGGTCTGTCGGAGAAATCAGGAAATGGGGACTTACATGCTTGTTGAGACGAGTGTACCGCTGGGAGATGGGCTCCCACCAGATGATTTCGCCTGTTGAGAAACCCATGATCACGTCAATATGGGAGGAGCTTCTAGTGACCCTGTTCACGTCGTGGCATAAGCAGTGTGCCTTGGTAAATAGAATCTTGGTCAGGTAATCGGCCTTCTGACAGTTAGCAAGGGGTCCTTTCCGATACGTCTTTTCTTCTAACCTTTGCTGAAGACGAAAGGTCGAGCCATTGAAAGGCCCGGTTGATGTTGACAAACGCAAACATGCCGTCTGTAGCTCGTTCCTGTAATCGCTTGGCCAAGGTCTCGTGGTTGATCACCCTGGAGATGAAGGAAGAGTTGCTCTTCGACATGTTGTTTTTCGGTTTCCGTCGCTTGTTCGGATCTTTCTGTGCTGGCGGCGCTAGAGCACTGTTGCCCTCACCAAATGCTGGGGCGCTGGATGCCAACGGCGGCATCTCGCCCGAGTTGATGCGGCCGGCATCACTGCTGCTCTCACGCACATCTGTTGATGATTGGCTCTCATCTGGGTGCTCAGGAATGCCTCCTTGAACGCCATCTGATCGAGAAGACGTCCGGTAGACGGGAGGTGAAAGCGGGCCCGAATCGAGAGTGAGCAGCGAAAGACGGGTGCCAACGGTTGCCGGTTGAGCAGCCGTCGAGAGAGGATTTGGGTTGACGACGGGGGCCTCGGAGGGGTGTGGCGGGGGAGTTGCGAGGTGAAGGTCCTCCCTTAGTACATACAGACCCTCTCCAACAAGGAATTGATACTCGGGCCCGGAGGGCTTCGTCAGGACGTTATTCGTCTCGATCATTATTTGAGGCTGGCCAGTGATGGGCAGACCACTGTATCCCTGCTGGGATGCGTATCTAGGTGGGGGTGGAAGAACACTGGGGACCGGTCGTCAAGTTAGCCATTTTGTATTTCTTTCTTTTTGGTTTGGGCGTCGGCATGGCGTCGCAAGCCCGCTCGCTCATGTTGCTCTTTTAAAGTTCAGCAGTTTCATCTTACAACATGGTGGCTGCTGTGTGCCGTCGGAGCACTGCTCAGCTGTGGCTTGGTGCACTGGGGGACTGTGGAAGTGATAAGCAGCTTGCCAAGATCACTAGCACTGTGGCTTTCTATGGGCAGCAAACGTGCAGTTGGGAGTGACAAGAAGGCAATGAATCTGCTAAATTGGGCAACTTTGAAGATATCGTCCAATGGCCCAAGTGAAGGTGAGGTTCAAGTTGAGATCGCGGCCCACTCCAAAATGACCTCGGCCCGTCAGGAACGGATGGAGCACACTGCTCTCGGGTAAAAAGAACCTAAGCCGCTTTCTCATGACGCGCTGCAGCACTTACAAAACGGATGGATCCATGGTAGAACCTGGGCGTGTTGCTGTGGCACAGGGGTGTTGGTGCTGGCTAGCCAAGGATACGTCTCCGTAGTCTCCGGGACAGCGGGAACAGGCTGTGGGGAAGTGGAGGCTGCTGAGGGGAATGCAGTAAAACGGCGGGGACTCCAGACGATAGAAGGTTCAACCGTTCAACCCAACCTGTCATTCTTCAATGGCGGGGATTGCACATAATTCATACCTTATGCACAGGCCGTTCAAGTTAACTACCGCACTGCTACCTTACATGCCCGACTATGTGTAGGAACGTACTCGGCTTCCACGGGACGGCCTGTAGGTAAGGTAGCGTTTGGTGTTTTGGTAGCATTCATTGACAAGAAGCAACCTAGATGTCTTGCAGGTACATACGAAACCTATGGATCTGGCTTTAACATACGTTGCATCCACCGCTTGGGGTTGCAGGCCCTTACCTAGGGAGCCTGGCATGCCAAACTCTTCAACCATAGCTTTTCCCCGTCTCCTGCAAATATTGTCCAGACACTTTCCATGTCACGCCTCCATCAGCATCAAGAGCCATAGGTGTTGTCAGAACGCTCTTCCTTGCGATTATGCGCTACACGGCGATGGCTAGAGCAGCATCAAACTGATACCTCGGCTTCCTCCCCGCGAATTTCGGCTCAAGCGACACGCCTCCGGGGAGAGTATAGCCCCGCTGGTTCGACACCAGCTTTATGCCATTCCTCCAAAATCGGTTTGAGTAGTGCGTGTGACCAAACGCCCACACTTTGACCCCCTTACACCACTCTTCCTCCACCAAGTCAGTTGCAAATGCCGGTGTCCACGGGCTTCCGTCGTGTTCTGGCCGGGAAGAGCCCTTGATACAGGGCGCATGGTGGCTGACGACAAGAATGCTTCTCTTTCCACTTTGCGAACTGGCCTGGACTCGCACCACCTCGTCGCGCAGCCAGGCGACCTCCTCGCTGTGGACTTTGTTGTGATTGTGCGCGGTCCACTCCTTTATCTGCTTGAAGTCGTTGACGTTGCCTTCAACAAGAGCACATGCGTCTTCCGGGATCGCCGACCAGAGGGTGCAGCCGAGGATGGTCAAGCAGGAATTGGGATCGTCCCATCTGCTACGGTGCAAGAGCACCACCTTGTCAGAGAGCGATGGTTCCTGTGAGAGTCGTCGCGCCGTCTCAAGTCCTGACGCGTAATCCATGCCATAGAACTCGTGGTTTCCTAGCACCAGGAATACTTTCGTGTACCGGGCGGCTTGCGATTCGAGGAAGCTGCGATAACCGTCATAATCGATCAGACGGCCAATGTCGCCTGCCAGCAGCAGAAAAGGCGCTGTTGCAGGGAACGTGAAGGTTGAGTACTGTTGGCCTATTTCGAGGTGCAGGTCGGAGAGAATCTGGACTTGAGGCTTTGCTGGCCATAGGTGTTGCTGCAGGATTCTTAACACCGTTTTCATTCTTTCTCTTGGTGCAAGTCGATGATAAAAAAATATCGTGACTTAAGTTATTTAGTTTGTCCGATGTCGAAAGGTATTGCGCGCGCAGGTCGATAATGTGGTTCTCGCCTTGGGTAGGTAGGTATTTCCGATGTGGTCCAGGAGACGAAGCGCGGTACCCAACTTTAGAGTCAAAAGAATTCCAGTCTTGTGGAAACGGTGGTTTTGAAGGCAACGCACTCAATTCCTGCAAGTGGTCTTTCCATACCCTAAATGATCATAAGGCTTTATTATGAGGAAATAGGGTACTTTAACTTCTACTCTATTCTAACCACCACGGATGCTGGTTCTCATCTTGAAATATAAACTCTCTGAGCTTTGCCAGACCAGCAACATCACCTTCGACAGTTCCAGCAAGCTGCTGATCTACCCAGCCACGGGTGTAGCCACCTCCAAAATCGATGATCCAGGCATTGTCATCCTTATCGACCAGGACATTCTCTGCTTTGACATCTCCCCAAACGATCCCGGCGGCGTGCAGTGCTGAAACTGCGGCCTCAACCTGGTTTGCCCATTTGGCTCTGAGAGAAACATCAGGTTCGGTAGGATCGACATGGTACCTCAAGGAACACGGCTTGGAATCGATGTAGGTCAGAAGTAAGCCATAGAACGCGCCGTACTTCAAATCCGCCACAACGCCGTGAAGGCGGCATATATGCAGCTTGGCGTCCAAGTTCGAAGCCGCGATCTTCCTATACGCTTCAAGCTCATTTATGGTTTGGGCGCCCGAAACGCACTCTTTAAAGAAGCATGCTGTCGTTTCGTTGTCAATGAGCACTCTCCTAGGTCGGTCGAAGAAGGCAGCTTCGGGATCATCAGAGCTCAGAACGATACCGGCCGGGTCGTATAAGGAAGTCCACGTCTCTACATCGTCGACGACCTCGTCGTCTATCCAAGCCGTAACCTTGTGGTACGGAGGATCCTTGCCTTCAACCAGGCGTGGTATTCGCTCCTCGCCTACGACGTCCAAGACAAGGTAAAAGGCGTCTGGCCATAGCCATTTCTCCAGGGTCATCTTGGTTCCTGGCTCCGAGGCAGGCGCGAGCTTGGCGAAGAGCGGCTCAAACGGTTGCGCTACCCAGTCGAAGATGTCCTCCTCATAAATGAGCGTGGTATCCACCACACTGGCATCCTCGCCTGTCCGAAGAATCTCGAGGTAGGATAACCATTTTTCCTTGGTCTTTGGCGAGTCGACGAATTGCGAAGCAAATACGTGGATGTAGAAGGCCTTGCCGTTCCTGCGAAATTTGAAATACGTGTCATCGTCGTCGTCGTCGTGAGTCGAATAGTCTCAAACTTGTATTTCACCCGGCCAGAACTTTGCTTGCTGTCGGACGGGGGGGGTGGGCATTTCCGAGGTCATTGCCAATCTTGTGAAGGGCGATGTGATGGAAGTCGGTGAAGCATGGGTCGAATGTGGCCCGTGGCCTCAGCCGGGTAGTGTACCCGCGATGCTGACATCCCATGGCCACCTCTCGCTGCCATGACGTGCAGAAATCTGTTCCAAGGTTGAGCTCTGCTTGCGACCGGACTGGTATGCTTGGCGAGTATTTTCAAGCAGTGTGGCTAAGGCCAAGATACTCACTCGACAACTACGTACACACAGGTCAAGAAAGGCTTCCCTCGTTTACAAACTTCAGTTGGTATATCCCACACTGACCGTGATCATACTTCCCGTGGACTTCTTTGGTCTATAACCGTTTGAAGAAATACTTGCCCCGTCACCCGCGAATCGCGTGATTCATATCAGTAAGGGGCACAAGATCTCGCCATAGATGGCATCGCGACCTTGCCTCTGCCCCGGTCAGGACCTCTTGTCGCTGGGCTGGCCGAGGGGTACCTAGAGACACGGGACGATGTTGCCATGATTGGTTGGAGCATCTCATAGACGGAATGAGTTGTTGGTGAGCGGTGGGCTCAGTAAAACGGCGATCGGTCCGAGGCTGCGCTCATTACACCCACCATGGGTCGGGTAAACATCAAGAAGTCAGGGATAAGTCGCCTTTGGAAAAGGAAGAGGGTTGAGGACACAAGTCTGATTCCACGGTTTGGAGGACAGAGGCATCGCGTTCGGAGATTCATCCACAGTAGCAGTTGTCGCTGCCTTGTCGCATCGCGTCTAAGGGATATAGGATAAACCAACCCATTATGCGCTTACCAGCGTCGACAGCATTTGCAAAGCAACAATGAATGGATTCCGGGCTGCTCGCCGGGGAGGCCGGTTGCCTTCTCGACTGGACACAATCAGCATACAATCAAGCAATCACGGGGAAGACAGTGCCGTCACTCACCTTTCGTCGTATTCACGCGCATCGTCTTCAAGCCGGCCTCTATAGAAGTCAAAGAGCCATCGATGTTACAAGAAAGATTGAACGACGCGGCTATTGCGCTGCACCGAGTCCTGAACCGAGAAGGAATCCACTTCGGCATATTCGGCGGGTACGCGATAATGGCAACCGGAGGCGTCCGAGAGAGCAAGGACATTGACTGCCTGGCTGCTGTATCCAAAGAGCAGATCATCCAGCTCTTGAACGGCAAAGAGGGCTTCGTCCTAATACCGCAATTTCGGACCGACTATGTGGCATTCTTCTGGCTTGACAAGCCGGATAGCAAGCATTCCGTTCTGGTGGAGATTTTTTGTGAACAATTCCCAGGTATGCCACATCATCCCGACTGGTGGAACAAGAACAGTTTTCACTTACAAGCCAATGTCACCTCTAGGTGCACAGTTCTCCATGACCACTGTCACTTGCGATACCGTCATCATCCAGGGCCTCACACTCGGCCTGGGGATGAGTCGATTCCTCAGCCCTTTTTATCTCTTCAAGGGCAAGCTCTCGGCAGCTGCGAGCCGCAACGAGTTCCGCGACTCGGCAGACTTGAGAATGCTGGTGACCAAGCACGAAGCGATCATCAAGTCACGGGCCAGCGAGCTCAACCTGGAATATGTGGGACGTGCCGCAAAGCGCCATCTGGAGTTGGGCTTTCTGTTCGAAAAGCTTGGAATTGATGTGAAAAAGGCGATGAAAGTTGCCAAAGACATCGACCGACAAGTCCTCACTCCGGCTCATGGAGAAGTGCAGCGCGGTTTGCTTGCCTAGTGTAAGGCTGAGGTAGCTAGCGGCAGATGTCCAACGTTCCGTCGTTGGTTGAAGCATGATGGCACTGGACAATATTTGTCCATGATATTGGGTGGAACGGCGCGGGAGTTCGGACGGAGATCATGGAGACATGGGTCGGATGTGGGGCGATCTGGTCGATACAACATCGCTAATTTGCTGTCCTGCAGTGGGTCACTGGCAGGTAGGACGTCAAAAGGCGGGGCTTGTTCAGAGGTGATTCCCGGAAAAAGATCACTCCTCAGCTGGCAACTGGACCTGGGAGCTCGCGGAGCTCGACCCTAGCCCGACGAGCAAAAGCACCATGGCCTGATCAGCCCATTGACGCCGCGATTGTATCGACCATTTGCCTTCTCATAGAAATACAATTCTACCAATCTTCATCTACCAGTTCCCGGGTTTGCCGTGATTCCGCGGGCATGGCGTTGCACTGAAGAAACCCATCGGAGCGTATCAAACATCTCACGGTGCTCTCTGCAAAATGACGACTGGTACTTAGTGGTTTTCCTTCGGCATCGCTGGATCAGCCAGCCAGACTGACAGAGCCCAGCAGTTCGAATTTGCGTTTGCGGCGACGAAGGGACAGGGAAGTCCAGCTTGATTGCCTCGCTGGTCAAGGATGTCTTCGTTGCCAACAAGATCCAGTCCGTCCTGCCGCAGGTTACCATCCCTCCGACCATCGGCACCCCAGAAAATGTCACCACCACCATCGTCGATACGTCGGCCCGGCCGCAAGACCGAACGACACTGCGCAAGGAGATCCGGAAATGCAATGTAATCCTGCTCGTCTACTCGGACCACTACAGTTACGAACGGGTAGCCCTCTTTTGGATGCCCTACTTCAGGTCTCTTGGCGTCAACGTCCCGGTAGTGCTCTGCGCCAATAAGTCGGACCTTGCTGGCTCTGGAAACACAAGCCAGGTGATTGAGGAAGAGATGCTCCCCGTTATGGCCGAGTTCCGCGAGATCGATTCTTGCATTCGCACGAGCGCCAAAGAGCAGCACAACGTTATTGAGGTCTTCCACCTCTGTCAAAAAGCTGTAACACATCCGATAGCGCCTCTGTATGACCACAAGGAAGGGAAGCTGAAGCCAGCGTGTGTGGCCGCTCTGCGGAGAATATTTTACTGGAGCGACAAGGACCAGGACGGGTACCTCAACGACCAGGAGATGCACGATTTCCAAGCCAAATCCTTTGACAAGCCGCTATTGCCCGAGGAGCTCGAAAACATCAAGTTGACAGTCAGCAAGGCGGTACAGACGTCAAACCCGGAGAAGGGCTTGGACCTGCAGGGTTTCCTGCAGTTGAACAAGATATACGCCGAGAAGGGGCGCCACGAGACCATCTGGATCATTCTGAGGAACCATCACTACACTGACAGCTTGAGTCTTGAGGATAGCTTCATACATCCACGATTCGATGTCCCGGACTATGCCTCGGCGGAGCTCAGCCCCGCCGGATACCGCTTCTTCATGGATCTCTTCTTGACATTCGACAAGGACAACGACGGTGGTCTTAACGACAAAGAGCTGGCTGCACTCTTTGCGCCGACTCCCGGGTTACCAACCTCCTGGTTGGAGACCTCGTTCCCCTCATCCACGGTCCGCAATGAGGCAGGCCACATCACCCTACAGGGCTGGCTGGCACAGTGGAGCATGACGACCTTCCTTGAACCAAAAACCACCTTGGAATACCTTGCTTACCTGGGCTTCGAGGGCCCAAACGCCCGCGACTCGACAACAGCCGCGCTCAAGGTCACGAAGCCGCGGAAACGGCGGCGAAGACCTGGCCGCGTGGAACGGAATGTGGTCCTTTGCTACTTACTCGGCTCGTCCGGGGCAGGCAAATCTTCTCTGCTGGACGCATTCTTGAACCGGCCCTTCGACCCGCTCTACCATCCCACCATCAAGCCCCGCCGCGCTGTGAACAGCGTAGAACTGCACGGCGGTAAGCAGTGCTACCTGATCCTCGAAGAGCTGGGCGAACTTGAGCCCGCCATCCTCGAGAACCAAGCGAAGCTCGACGCCTGCGACCTGATCTGCTACGCGTACGACTCCTCGGAGCCCGATTCCTTCTCGCACATTGTCGAGCTCCGCAAGCGGTACCCACAGCTGGACGAGCTCCCGGCCGTCTACACGGCATTGAAGGCGGACCGAGACAAGGCGACACAGCGCACCGAGCTCCAGCCCGACGCGTACACGGCCGCGCTCAACATGGCCGCCCCTCTGCACGTCAGCGTCACATGGAACAGCATCAGCGAGCTGTTTGTCGCGCTCGCCGAGGCGGCCACCAACCCGAGCACCGCCTTCCCCAAGTCGGAGGAGCCCCCTGACCGGACGAGCCTGTACATGGCGCTCGCGGCAACGTCGTGCGCGGCGCTGGCCGCCTTCATGATCTGGAGGCGCTCTACGAATGCCATGTAGCGCATGGCTAGGAAGGCGCTGGATTCTTCGCTACGACCGCTTAAGGGTAGCAGGCGGATGGAAGCAAGAGTATCTCTTGAGAAGGGATGGGAAATAGCAGAAAGCGCTCCGTTGGCATCAAGCTTTTCGCCTTGGCCACGTAGTTGGGAGTCAGTTTTAGGTGGCCGGTAGTCGTAGCTCGACCCGGGAGAGCGATGGGTGTTTTAAGAGAGGGTGCGTTGGAAAGGAAGAGGGTAAACTGCATTGCTAGGAGTTCTTTCCTCTTTATTATCTTCACCACCTCCGATATGGATGGGGTTCTAGCATCGTTGTTTTCGTTGTATTATCTCGCCGCGCTGCCATTCTGCTTGGTATTCGTTGATGGATAACAGGCCGCTGCTGTTCTCTCTCCCCTGTCGGCTTGGACAGGGTACGGGATTATGATACCCACGCTGCTCTCTAACTCTCTACTACGCGTAGCTCATTATTGTTTAATCTTTGCTGGTAATACATCTAGTGGAATGCACATCCCAGAAAAGAGCATCACAGTGAGAATTGGGGCAGAGTTGGATCCATTTCTTAAGAAAGCACCGCTAGACCGGCTCGTGGTGAGCCCGGGACCTTCGACTTTGTCGCATTATGCTAGAATCGTCAGCCATCACGGCTGAAACCCATGGGCATCTAGCTCTTTTATTCATACTATACAGGCTTCCGGGCTGTACCCTAGGAAGCAAGAAGATACGTAAGAAGGCATAGCGAAATCCCTCCCCGTCCAATTCAAACCCTATAAAAGCAAAACGCCACATAAAAGCTCGCCGCCTCCATCTCCTCGGGTGAGACGAGCAGCTTCCCGCCATGGCGCTCGCGCACGCCCATGCGCTCGCTCAGCGGGCCCAGCTCGCGGTCGTCCTTCTCCGTCTCCCAAACCTCGGGAAAGGGCTTGTGGTACTGCAGCTCCAGGTTGTAGTCCTCCGCCAGGGCACGGAACGCCTCCCAGGGCACCACATACTCTGGCACCTCCTCGACCGCCTCGTGAAGGAAGAAGCTGTACTTCCACCCAAAAGGCGGCCGGAAGATGCCGTCGGCGGGCGTCTTGCCGGGGAACCGCACCCGGTAGATGTCATTGCCCCATTGGGCTGTGTCTTCGGCTTCGCCTTCCTCTTCCTCCCCCTCCTCGAGTTCGCCATCTTCTTTTTGTTTTGATGGAGACGTAGATGGCGAGGGGCTGTCGTGGGTTTCGGGGAAAGACTTCTTAGCTGCGGCCTCGGCTTTGGCCTTTCGTTTCGCTTTCATGCGCTCGTTGAAAGCGGACACTCTGGCGCTAATGACGTCTGAGTTCGGAATGCAGCCGATGAAGCGGCCGCCTTTCTTCAGCGCCCCCGACACGTTTTGGAGCATCTGGCGTGCCTTTTGCTCCGTCTCAAAGGCGTAGTGCATGCAGAACATCATGCTGACCACGTCGAAACCGCGGCTGCTGCTGACGTTGGACTGCGAGAACCCGACCTGCCGGACAATGTCTATGTCACCAATCGACTCGGCGTAGCAGTCCTTGACGTGAAATCTCGCTTCAAAGATACGCGGCGGCGGACGCCGCTGGTATCCTCCTCTGCCGCCTCGCCCACCAGGCCCCCCGCGGTTACCCATACTCCGGTACCGCTCCCTCGCCTGATCGATAGACACCTCGGCGGGGTCCAGGCCAACGTACAGTTCCACCGGCTGCGGTGCTTGCTGCCATTTGCCCAAATCGCCGCCCTTGCCGCATCCGATATCCAGCACGAGCAACCGATTTCCGGAGGTGATTCCCCGCTCTCTCGCCCCCGGTGAATGATCCTCATCGGGCGAGAACTTTTGAATGATGCAGCTCTTGACCCAGTTGTTGAAGGACCTCAAACCCTTGATCCGGCTGTCCGTCTTGCGCCAGTCGCGGCCGCGCTCAGGGACAGCGTTGTAGTGAGCCCGCACCACGTCGTTGATGGTTGATCGCTCAGCCTCAATGGCCGCCTGCTGCTGGGCCTGCCTCTCGCGTTCGAGCGCCCGCTGCCGGATCTGCTCGCGCTCGGCTTCGCTGATGCGGGCGCGCTGGCCAGGCCGCTTGAGCTTCCGCGGAGGCTCACTCGCAGGGCTGGCGCTCGCGCTTGGCGAGGTTGAGCGCTGGCGCTTTTTTGCGGGTGCTAGCTTCTTCGCGTCAAATGGCTGAGGGAGAACGTCGTCGTCGTCATTGTCATGGTCGGTGTTGGAAGATGGAGGAGGTTTAGAGGGCAGCGGTGATCCGTTCTTAGTCCCGCTGCCGGAGCGGTCATGATCGCCGGCCATGGCGATTGCCCAGATCGGAAATATGGGGGATTATCCCGTTTGTTCAGGACGTCGATGGTGAAGTTGCCTGAGAGTTGTAAAAGTGTTTAAAGGAGAATAAAACTCGATGTCGATTGGAAGATCCTTTATTCGAGTCCTTTTGACCTTAGTCTGCCAATGTTAAGTCAATTAGAGGCACCATACGAAATACTGTACTCTGAAAGGTGAACCTGGAACGCAGCGGCAGAGAAAGGCAAGATGTCGTGGTGGGTCTAGCTGGTTCTTGGCGCTAAGCTAGGGCACCGAATCAGAGCTACGCCTGCCCAAAGCCACTGTCAGGCCAGGCGCAGTGACGCGAGCTTTGCAGCCTTGCGATCAGCGCTCGAGCCACCGAGCACTCAACAAGGAGAGAAGCACCGGCACCTACCTTACCTTCACTGAGAAGCTTCACGCTCTGTCCGCCTTCCATCTCCGATTGTGTCCTCAACCTAAACGATATCGTCCGTCTCGACCGCAACCCTCCTTGCATACGACCCGAGACGAGTTGGCGATAATTACAGTTGCAAATCAGCAGCATCTTCTTACGTCTGCACCGTTGAAAGGCGAGGGTAGACAGAAGCTACCCATTCCGAGGCGGCGATTACATATCACATCACACATCAACCAGAACCATGGGCTCAGACCCGCAGTATGCAAAATGGCCTCTCCTGCCGCTTGCACAGCATGTGTTCACTCTCACCAACCCATACGCCGCCCGGGCCACTCAGCAGGCCGCAGCTAAACTGCTGCAGGATGCCATCGCCGAACACAAGATGGCACCGCTGTACCGGTACTTAGCACACCCGTCGGAGGGCATCCTTAACTCCGTTGGCGAAGGCAGCTCAAGTGCACCTGGCAAGGCTCTCGGTAGGAAGAACAGCGCCGTTGGCATGATTGCGACCAGGGGCCCGACCGCCAGCATAAACCTGCCTTGGGACGAGGCGCTGTACCAGTCGCTACAAGCTGACAACGAGCGAGAGCTGGAAGAGTTTCAAAAGGAGGAGGAGGAGGCCGTCGAGAAGGCGGGCGACACCGAGATTCTGGCTGCGCGCGGCAAGAGGGCTGAATTCTGGGCGAGGGTGGGAGATAAGGTCCGTATAAGTGACGTTCTCGATCGAGTGCTTCTATGACTGACCATTTTTCGTTTCATTTTCCCGGAGCAGGAGAAAGCAATTGCAGCATACGAAGACGTTTTTGACAAAACCGGCGTTCTCGGCACAAAGATCGACATCGTCCTCGCCATCATCCGGATGGGCCTCTTCTACGGCGACAAGCAACTCGTCAAGAAGCACGTCGAGCGCGCCAAGACGCTGGTAGAGAGCGGCGGCGACTGGGATCGGCGCAACCGTCTCAAGGCCTACGAAGGCCTGTACCTGCTTACAGTCCGCAGCTATAACCTCGCAGCCCCTCTGCTCCTTGACAGCCTATCCACCTTCACCTCGTACGAACTCTGCACCTACAGCAACCTTGTCGTTTACTCGGTCCTCGCCGGTTCCGTCTCGCTTAAACGAGTCGACTTCAAGTCCAAGGTCGTCGACGCACCAGAGATCAAAGCCATCCTCGGCGACGGCGAGGACAAGCTGCTGGGCCTGTCGGGCGCGATATCCGCCGGGCCCACAGCAGACGCCGAGATGCAGGACGCCAGCGCGGCCGCCGGCGCCGGCTCCAAGAAGGGGGTTGTCAATCTCACCACGCTGGGCAGCTCGGTCGAGCAGCCCGAGGCCGAGATGGCCGTCGACTTTGGCCCGCTCGCCCAGCTGGTGAGCAGCCTTTATAACGGGCGGTACAAGCTCTTCTTCCAGGCCCTTGCCCTCGTCGAGGAGCAGTTCCTCACCCAGGACCGCCACCTGCACGAGCACAAGAACTGGTTCATCCGCGAGATGCGCCTGCGCGCCTACCAGCAGCTGCTGCAGAGCTACCGTGTTGTGGGGTTAGAGAGCATGGCGGCGGATTTTGGCGTGACGGTGGATTTCTTGGACCGGTGAGTCCTTGTCTTTTGCATTTTCTCAATTTTCCCGTCTTTGGCTCGATACTGACCGCGCTGGGTGCTTCTAGCGACCTCGCCAAATTCATTGCCGCTGGCCGCATTCCCTGCACGATTGACCGTGTCTCGGGCAACGGCGTCATTGAGACGAACCGCCCGGACGACAAGAACAAGCAGTACCAAGACGTGGTCCGCCAGGGTGATCAGCTGATTACCAAGCTGCAAAAGTACGGCCAGGCAGTCAGGCTGAGAGGGAGTGAGAGGGCATGATGCCGGACAGGGTGTAAGAGAGCAAGGAAATAGTGGCGGACAGGGAGTTCTGCATAGTAGGGCAAGGAATGGGGGTAAAGGAATTGGCCAAGGTTAGAGATGCCATAACATGTCCCGTCCCTAGGTGTGTGGAATAGAGTACAAATCAGACGGTGGGCGTGGTCGATTCCCTTTGGCCCCGTTAATACCGCTCGTGCAGGTTAATTTTGTACCTTAGCAGTATGATGCTGCGGTGGTCAGACGAAGCAGCCTCGGACGGATGAGTGGATGTGCTGGCACAGCATGTGTAGTCTTCCGTTTGATCTGATCATAGGGCAGCACCTTGTAAGATGCTCCTCCACCCTACATGTCTATGTATTCGCTTGCCGTGAAAGACAACTAGACCTCAAGACATCAACCGCCTTTTCCCTTCCTTCTGTTCAGAGTGGGAAAAAGGAACTCGCTACAAGCCTGAGAAGCCAACGCATGCATGCTGTGCTCCAGGGGATATATCGTGCCGTCCAATACAATGGGATAAATCGGCCCTCGCCCTTCATTTTACTCTTTTTCCCAACGCCTCTCTCTGAAAAGCTAACCAAAGGGGCGATCTAACACGCCGGCGGTCCGTAGAATTGGCTTAGATGCTGCTTTACCCCGACTGCTCTCAGCGGTACTTGTCCATGAACTCCTTGTGGAACTTGACCATGCTGCCGACCCACTCGGTCCCCGGCGCGAGGAAAGTGGTGCGGAAATGCAGGGTGCCCTGCTTCTGCCCGAACCCGGAACCGGGGACAACACAGATGCCTGTAGCCTCGAGCAGGCGCATGCAGTAGAACTCGTCCGGCGTGCGGCCCTCGGCGGCGGCGGCCTCGGCTGCCTTGGGCGGGAGTTTGATGGTGGGGAAAAGATACATGGACCCCTGGGGAGTGCCGCACTCGACGCCCTCCATCTGCTCGAAAGCCTTGTGCAGCGCGGTAGCGCGCTCCTTGAGGCCGTAAAAGATGGCGTCGTACTCCTTCTTGTAGAGCTCGTAGCTGGGCTCGCCCGGCTTGGGCGGGTTGACCATGAGCTCGACCAGGCACTGGCCAATGACCGGGGCGCAGAGCATGATGCTCACAAACTTGTAGATCTCGGCCTGCACCGCCGGGTCAAAGTTGACTAGCTCGAAGTAGCCGCCGCGGTGGCCGCACTCGCCCACCATGCCCTTGGACACAGAGTGCAGCGACGCTAGCTCCACGTTGTCGTACACGCCGGGTTTCTCCTTTTGCATCTGGCGCAGCATGCGCTTGAAGCTGATGAACTCGCCGATGAAGACATTGGTCTGATACACCTCGTCGGCTAAAATGACTAGACGCTCCTGACGGGCGAACTCGATAACAGCACGGATATCCTCCTCGGACAACGAGGCGCCGGTGGGGTTTCCGGGGTTGATGATGACGATAGCGCGCACATCGGTGCCTTCTGCCTTTGCCTTCTCGTATGCCGCCTTGATAGTGCCCAGGTCAGTGCCCCAGTTCTTGGACTCGTCCAGGAGGTACGGCACGCAGGTGGCATTCAGGACTGAGAGCGAGGCCGTGTACAACGGGTACTGTGGGATTGGGACAAGAATGCCCGACTTCTCGTCGGCACAAATGATATGGAGCAGCGTGTTAACGCCCGAGGACGCACCCGCCGAGAGATAGATATCGGCCTGGTTGGCAGGGAAGCCATCTCGTCCTGAGTAGTGGTCAGTCATATATGCCACACAGACACATGATCTCTCACAGTTAGATCATGACTCACTTTCCAGGAAATCGGCAATGCTCTGCCGGATGGCGGGGACGCCGTTGCTAGCACTGTAAGCGCCCACAGAGCCAACCTGTTTGAGCAGCCTCTCTGCCCGCTCCAGGACGTCGGGCTTGTAGCCAAGGTCGTTCACCAGCACATCGCCCTTCTCGAGCAGAGCCGGATTCTCGAGAATGCTAAGGACTTGGCGGAAGAAGGTGAGAGGCTTCTGGTCGAGCTGCTGGGGGTTGCCAATGTTGGCCGAGATGACCTGAGTGAAGGGCAGATCACTCGAGCCGGTCTGGAGGGAAGCCCGATACTCCTCTGACTTGACAGCAAGCTCACCGCGCACGGCATACTTGGCTGCCCTGACGTGTGGGTTTATGTTGTTGATATTGAGCCGCCGGCCAGAAGAGGACGCCATTGCACGTTTCTGTTGGAATTGACTTATGGTGAGGACGGGGAAACCGCTGCGTCTTGAGCGATCCGCTAGCGGGGTAGTAGAATATAGAGGCGGGGCAGCAACTACCGGGCTGGAGATGTCTACAACAGCAAAGTGGACCGTTAGAAATTACCGGATTGGGGACCGGGACAGTAGGTAATCTTGAAAACACCAGGTCTTCACGGTGCAGTGATAATTTGGTGAGAAAGGGAAGACAAGTCACTCCGAGTGATATAGCGAGTGCAAATTCTCTCAAGACATGCGGACTCGGGCGAGGAAGACGAACAAGATGAGGGCAAAAGAAGCCCGAAAAGGCGGGAGGCGGTTGGCTGCTAGCCAGCTGAGGGAATCAGACGCATCAGGCTTCCCTCATCCGACTGAGTTGTTTCCGCTTCAGCTGCTTCAGCGGCTGGGCAACCCCGGAACAGGTCGGAGGATGGATACCAGGCCACCGAAACCGGGGAGAAATGCAGGGTCCTCTGCCGGTCCGCTCTCTTCAGCGTTTCAAAATCGGACGACTTCCAGCAGCAAAATCGCGCTGTAACCACATCAAGTGGCGGATCTTTGAAAATTGCGAACCGCTGTGAAACAGACGGCAAGCGGAAGCAGCAAGAGTACTAAAAGTAAGGGTTAAAGAACAGACTTAGAAAACGGTCCCGTTACCTCGCCAGCGAGCAGCACCTTGTGATAGGAGGCCAGCGGTATCTGTAATCCCAGCACTGTGCCTAAGTGCTGAGGGATTCACCGCCATCCCACGACGAGCGAATTGCACCGTGAAGGGCGCCATTTATGGCGTTGGGTTTGATGTTTGATGAGAGTTGAAGTTGGAGGTGGTTGCCGCAGCTGCAACTTTTCGGGGGTTCTTGTTAGCTTAGGTATTGGCGTTTGTGCTGTGGTTTATGTTGGCACCATTGGCCATACATTTGTCAAGCTGTTCGAAGTGTACCTCCTATTGCAACATTGCTGCAATGGAAGATCGTTGAGCTCGGTCTTAGCAGATTGTATAGAAAAAAAGGAAAAAAGCTACGGGGTGAGTCTACTGTATTGTCCGTGATCGCGCTGCTCCGAAAATGGAGATGCGGGCCGTGGGACTCGGGCCCTGTTGGTCAACACTAACAGGATATCTTAATACCGGGGATGAGTGTTAAAAGCTCCGAACATTGGAAGTTACGAGCATCGGGTATGCACAAAGTACCTGGTTTCCAGATTGTGATCATCCAGAAGATATCCCTGGGTGCAGCTTTTCCAGACAGAGCAACACTGGCAGTGCAGGTTGTTGTCTTCATTTGGTGAGATTTGCGAAGGGTCAGAATCTGAGGAACGGAGTAAGTTACAGTACAGTACCTTAGGTTATCGGTAGGTGGTTGATTATGTAATTACCCGAGCAATCCGGATCAAATCTGCTTCCGCACCGTTTCGTTTCAGTTGCAGTGAGTGGAGCCCCTCAGCCCAGCCTGTCCGGTCTGACCGTCTGAGCAAGACCGGGCCGACCCGGCAGTTCGGTCAGTGCGGTGATTTGCTGCAGACAGTGCAGGTGCTCCTGTGTTCTGCGAAGTGCGAAGCGCAAAACCTCGAATTGGATCGCCTGTGGCACACCAACAACATCAGAAGACGCAGGCTTTCAAGAAAACGGGAAGGAACAGGTCAAGAAGCCTGAACTCAAGATGGCAAAGAAAGGTAAGTCGCCATATCACGCAACCGACATCCACCTAAAGCTAATGCTTCAAAACCCTCCAGCCAAGTCACGTATCATCAGCGTGCGCCTCATCTCGATGGCTATGACGGGCTACTTCTACACTTTTACAAGACCCCGAACGAGGATGCCCATGAGCATGATCAAATACGACCCGATTGGTATGCTTCGCTTACCATCTCTCCTTGTTCTCACACCGGAAGAGGATGCCCGGCAAGCCAAGCAAACCGGGGAGAGGCTATGCGGGTGTAGTAGTAGGCCAAATCGGGGATCTTGCTAACTTCCCCCTCACTCTAGTCCGCAGGAGAGTTCTCTTCCTCGAGCAAAAACGTTCCGGCAAGAAGTAATTGATCGACTCGCAAGAAAGGAATGGAAAAAGGAGAGGGGTGGAAGCTCCCTACCTGACGAGAGAGCTTCGACTCTGGCTGGAATGGCGCCTCTAAGTGGAAACGCTGATTGGCACGACGAGGCGAAGGACGGACGGGATGCTCGACTTTGCTAGATCCGACTCGGCTCGACCCCAACCAAGGAGCGAAGGAGAAGGGAGCAGCGGGCAAGCTCTCGCAGCCTAACACGGCTCACCACGAGATGTGGGTGTATTATACCATGTGTTTGCCACTGTAACAAAACCCAACCACGACAGCATGACGGCGTTCTATGTTTGGAGGACGGAGGCTTAATGTACAATTGGATTCGTCTACAACCCCGCTGGCAGCTCATTTTTGGTACTCAAAGGATGATGGTAGATACTCTCAGCCAGGACGGATACCCGAAGAACACGAGCGACACTTCTTGCAGTCTTACTTTGCTGCTGCATCTGGCAACAATTGGAAGTCAAATGCGGCTTGAGGGCTCGCTAGGCAAGACGGGGAACCGTAAGGCAAGTACACCCCGCGTGCCCGAAAGGGCCTATGGGGCACATCCATATCCTCACCGCCGTCATACGATCTAAAGCGGAAGGCACAATGAGCTCGAGGCAGTCGTTGCATTCGCCGCCAGCGAATTTCTCACTTTCCCTCCTCATGATCAGTTTCACTCTGGTCGGTGTATCTTGAAACGGAAGAGCATTTCTCTTCAAATCGTTCAACAGAAAGTCCATTCCCACTTGACAAAGCTCATTCCACCCTTGCATCTGGTTCATTGCCATTCTACAGACTTATCGCCAATTTCGCAGTCTCCCACGAACACTAGACTCATGCTATGCCATGGCACACTCATCGCCGGGACAGCTTAGGGCCTCCGATGCTACCGACGGAGCAGCTGCTACACGCAGTGTCGGCGAGTTTGCTGCGAGTGGAGTGGACCAAGGTCACGGCGATCCAGGTACCTCGTTCGACGCGCAAGAACCGATAGTCTCTGATGAGCCACTGTCAAGAGTCTCTGGCTCTGGTCAAGGGGCTGTCGATTCTGGTGTATTCGACTCTGCAATGCCGTTGAAGCGACCGATGATTAGACCGCCCCCTGACCTGGACAAGGGTTATGAATTCGGCCCCGCGAGGCCACTGGCCCCTGATCAATTCACGAAGCGCCTCATCAAACCCACGCTACTTCACGATGACCAGCCTCGCCAGCCGCACGAATCCGCTCTTCGCCTGGGCGGGCGAGATGATAGGCCCCGGTCTTATTTCCCTGTCGCGGATACGCGGTTAACAGAACCTGTCAGAGATGCGCTTACATCCACATCCCCGGGCGAGATGCGCTTGCAACCCCCGGGAGGTCAGCATCGTGAGGAAGCTAGTAACGGCATCACCCGCGAAATGGCTGCATCGAAATTCTTTGGGACGCTTACGACGCCTCCTTTTCTAGACACTCCTCCCAAGCGTGCAGAAAGGAAGCACGCTCAGAGTGAAAACACGCCCCCGGAAACGAGACGTCCAGTCTCTTCAGGCGACGAGACACTCAGGGTTCAAAATCTCGGTTTACCAGCCGTTGGAACCGATGAGCACGGAAGTAGCTCACGCTCTCGTCAGCCAGAGACAACTGAGAAGGATTATTCGCCTCACACTCGCCTGCATCGTCAATATCCCCAATATGATCCCCAACGCTATCATGGGGGACAGCAGAAAGAGACGGAGGATCTCGAAGGTCGCCATGCTCCACTGCCATCCATCGCTGGCTCCAGTACCTCAGGAGGGAAAGCTACCCATCAGGGAAGAGATCACATGGCAAACAGGCCATTAAGGGACGTGTCACAGGGGAGAGTCACCAAACCAGCTCCACAGCAGCGATCAGGTTCACGGAGCTCTAACGTCTCAAGACGGCGGTTCGCCCGCGATCTGAGCATACAAGCTGCCCGCGATGTCGATCGTGTGGAAGGGTCCAGGGCAGGTTCCATGATATCGAATCCGATTCCGTCGGAACGTAGAGTCGAAATCAGTCGCGAATTTGCCGAGGGCTTAGCTGGAATGATCAACCAATTCACCTGCCGGCAAAACTCAGCTTTAGAAGAGCAGAAAGCAATGTATAACAAGTATATCAAACGACTCAAGCGAGATCTTGCCGAGGAGTCCAAAGTCACTGCCTCGCAGAAGGCGGAGATTCACTCTCACACCAAGAAGATCAAGCATCTGCAGGCTTCGGAAGAACGCCTCACGGACCAAATCCGGGACATGGAAGTCAAGTTGGCTGCCTCTGAGGATCGAGCGCGGAGGCTCGAAGAGAAGTATGAGATTTGTAGAACGCACCTCAACGCTGCCATTCAAGAGCAGCAGGATTTGTATACCCGCTCAAAAAAGCAGTGGCAAGAGGCGGTTGAGAAAGTGCGGGCGGCTGGCAAAGCTCAAGTTTCTGAGGCTGAGATGGTAATCCGGAAGGCAGAAGTGATCAGGGAGCAGATGATGGAGAAGGTCCGTCAGGTCGTCTCCCAGAACAAGAATGAGTCGTCAGAACGTAGGTCTCCGTGCCTTGCGTAGCATATCAGACTACTGACAGTCTGACTAGTGTATAGGCAGCTTGATTCCTTGACACAACAGATCCAAGGAAAAGAGGCCGAGCTAGAAAGAGAAAGACAGTCGGTCAAGGCCTTGACGGAACAAGTACGGAGTCTTCAAACTACCTCTAATGAATTTGAGGTTCTTGCCGAGCATAGCAAAGAGATCCTTCAGAAGCTCGAGGAGCAAAACGCTCAAGCAGAACAGCGGCATGAAACTGCGACAGAGGAATTCCGAGACAAGTCAGTGGCCTTGAAGTTGAACGATTGAGTTGATGGCTCATATGTTCTAGCAGGCTTGACGATATTGCCAATCGCCTCGCTGTACTCTTCAGCATGACATCGGAGCAGCCAAGTGCACTCTCCAGCATACGAGAAGCTCAGCAAAAATCAGTCACTATGTACGTCCCTTTCTCTCTCAGGAATCCCTCGCCATGGGACTGACCTTGGAAGTATCACGGCCAAGCTTGAGACTATCTTAGAATCCCATGATACTGCCCAGAAAACAACCAGCCAGCTATCAACAGATCTCGAGCATCAGATTCGAAAGATCTTGCAATGCCTGGAAAATCAACTCGAATCATTGGCCAAGCAGCTGTCAGAGAAGGCAGAAGAAAATGGCATGGTGTCTACCCTATACAAGAGAAAAGAGGCAGAGTGCGAAGAGCATATGAAGGAGCTTGCATCATTGCGGGATACCGCCAGAAAACAGGCCGAGCAGATTCATGAGTTAGAGGCTAACCTCATTGCGATGGATGCAGCTCATGACGACAGCGAGGAGAGAATACGACAGCTTGAAGTTACTGGCAAAGAGGCAATACGACTCAGAGAAGAAGTCAAGTCCAAAACGGCTGTTATCACCGAACTTCAGAGCAAGCTCGATGCGAAGGAAAAGGCGTACGAGTCTCAAGTGGAAAACCTCACCTCCAGCGTAAACCAGATTGCCCAATCGATGCAGGAGAATGATCGGCTGTCCCGGATTGTGGCTGATCAGGCTGCAGCGATCGCTCGTCAGGACAGCATGGAGAGGTCTGCCGCTGAGACTACGAAACTTGCGATCCAGGGAGAGCGCGAACGGAAGGTTCTGGCCGACCATCTGGAGAAGCTCAAAGAAGAAATCCAGCAGAAAGAGCAGAACGAACGCCGTGATGCCTCTATAATTCAATCCCTCCAGCAGAGCCTCGCCACGGCAGAATCCAACAGAAAAGCGGCTGTCCAGGAGCTCAACCAACTATCAACCAGACAAGATCAGCTGGAAAGCCGGTTAACCACGAAAATCCAGGACCTAGAGACAAAGCTCGAGGCTGCCCAGGGCAAAGTGGTGGAGTTGGAGAAAGAGAATAATTCCCATCGCGCAAGATCGCGGGCCCTTGTGGACATTTTGAGAAAATGGACTGTTCAAGAGGGACTATATTTTGATGACCTCAGTTTCCTAAGCGATGGTGGCATAGGGGTTGAGGAAATCACGGCAAGACTTGCCCAGGTACTGGGGCAATTGTCGCTCCCCCAAAAATCGGGCAAGACGCCGGATGGGGAGTGCCCAGAAAACACATCAAGGCCTGGCGAAACCTCCAAGTTCTTTCCGGGCAATCCTGGCGAAACACCGCAGGAGACCTCGAATAAGCAGAGCGACCTGGGCCAACCCGATCGGGATAACAGCAGCAGCACCTTAGGCGACCATTCTGGAGCAAAGGGTGGTGTTGCCGGAAGCGCGCTTGAAGGAGCGAATCCACAATTGCAACTTCACCACTTGAGGAAGGTCATCGTCCGCAGTCCAGCCAACGTTCCCACTGAGCCCGTTCCGCCATCAGTCGACCAGGAGAAGACGAGGAGAAGGGAGGCTCTCCAGCCAAGATCTATCATGAAACGGGTCACTCGAAGCAGATCCAGCCTGTCACAACATGTGGATCCTGATCCAATGTCAGAAAATGGAGCATTCGTGAGACTTACTGATGAAAGCCATACCATAGATCCTCTTACTCTGATTGAATCAGGCAACAAAGCTTTGGGTAATGGTTCTGGTTCCGCACCGAACGAGTGGCCTGCACAGCGCACCACGGCAGCAGCATCAGGGCGTTCTGGCAAGAGACGGCGCTCAGATACAGCTGCAATTGAACGACCCGGTGGCCAAGGCGGGCGTTCCAAGCAAATCAGAATTGAACGCTTAGATTCTACGGCCCTGGCTCGGACAGACGAGCCTGTTGTACCGGATAGCCAACCTCCAGCCGTTCTGGAACCAAAGGTTGGTGAGCGCCGCCACCACGAGCACACCTCCGGCCAAAGCAAACCCAAAAACAAATCTGTCGCAGCCAGGAGTTCGGGGTCCGATGCAGGCTTCGGATCGCAGACTGCCAATGGGTCGTCGTCCCGGAGTTTCCGACAGGTGCTGCGCCCAAGACCGGCGAACATGCGGACTTATGGTTCTCAGAAAACGGAGAAGCCGACCGCTGTTGGTGGACAGGCCGATTCTCAGTCAACACAGACTCGGTATTGGTCGAGATCGAAGGACTCACAGGCATCGGCTATTTTTTCACAGGATGTTGTCAACCCGGGGGAGGATCTTCTGCTTCCATTTCAAGGCCAAGATCAGGGCAGAAACATTGCTTGACGGATTGCTCAATGGCGTCGAGGACTCTGTCAACCAGTCCATGATTGATATCTCCATGGTCTGCTCAACCAGTCATGGTTTGCTCAAGGAGAGAAACTAATTGGGGAACAAGGGGCAGCACATCCACATCTTGGACCTGGCAGGACTACACAGATTCGCGGCGAGACTTGACGGGCGGCACCCACGGCTTATCACTATGCATGGCGTATTTGATAGAGAAAGGAAGTCCAAGTCTCCAAGATGTACAAGTCGCCGAGTGAGTGAGTGAATGCAGGTCCTCGGAGATGGAGTGGAGTCCCATGGGGTTGAGCCCGGAAAGCTACAGACACCGGTCCCACAAAAGCGTTCAAATGATGGATTCGAAACCCAACAGACATTAACATCAGGCAAGATGGCCGAGCGGTCCAAGGCGCCACGTTAAGGTATTCAAACCTTGATCCTCTTCTCTCTGAGAATTCCGTGGTCTCGAAAGGGGCGTGAGTTCGAATCTCACTCTTGTCAGCTGATATTTTGTAACCACGGTTACACGTTGACTTTTTTGGACGGATGTGACTTGAAGATGCCTAGGCTAGGTTTACCCGTTGGCTTGTTCTAGGCTTGGTAGTAGCCTCTCAGAGTAACGAAGAACGAGTCAACGGATAAGCTGGCGAGAGTCGAGCACCGGTGTTGATTGGTGTGGGGTTGCAAAGTCATTCCGCCCCCGAGTTATCTCCTCGAAATAGACTGGTCTCATTGTCCCTTCCAGACTCATTGGGGATTGTTGATCTCCTATTTCCCTAGTTACAGTACTCGTTGCTCAGGAGGAAAGTTTCGCGGACGACCTCTGATTGTCTCCTTTTGACGCGCGGGTTCAAGATCCATGACTCTAACATATTAGTCGCAGTAGGTAGATACCGGTGTCAATGCAAACAACAACTGAGTGGTCCAAGATGAACGAGGCCTGAATCCATAGACATTGTCATTGATTACGTCAAAAATAGTAAGACGTTCAGTCTTGTCGTTTCATCAATCTGGCCTCAAATGCGGCCCTCATGAGATCGGTTGCTGGGGCACGAAGTATTTTGGTAGGATCCCGTCTGTTGGGTTTGTGCTTTGTGGGGTATGAGAGCCTGAAGTATTTTTCGCAACGGGAAGAGGAACATCCGCTGCGGGAGTGCACCATAAATAGATGTTGTACACCACTGTTCTGGATCTATTCGGTCTCATTGACTCCTCCTTCAGACAATGCATTCCCCTAAGAGCCTAAGAGTGAATGAACAGAGGTCTACCTGGCCCTCTTATATGCAGGAAACGAGATTAGCAAAGAGCAACTCTGAGATATTCCAGTTGGAGACGTGTAGCTCCAATCAACTACAGCCTTCTTTAACCTGAAGCACGGCGGCAAGTGAAGCAATGAGGCTTGCTGACCAACGCCCAAGAATCCCAAAATGCAAAAGTATGTATGTACGGATACTTCTGCCTATGGATTCAATGGCGGTCGAACAAACGCTTCCGCTTCTTGAGCTGCCATCGAGTAGCAAAGAACTGAAAGTCCTCGAGAGGGTGGAATTCTTTCACTCAGAATTCACTATATCGAATGTACTATTGCTCCCAGATATCTTCATGCACGATATGCAAATGCGTTCCTGAGCAGAGCAAGAAAGGGGATGGATGATGTGACGTGATACACTAAAAGTTCAAAGGGTCACAAAAAAGTCACTGAACCATCGAGCCGCCCGGCCACGTAATTGGCCAGCTTCTCGAATCCTCCCCACCCGAGCCCCTTGTCCCCTGTCCCGTGCGCCGGTCTTGGACCGCCAATCCCTTGTGCGGTCCCTAACGTCACCACATGGTCGGGCGCTTTGAGCGCCAATGAGGTGTCGCGCCGAGTTTCAACCCTTTTTGTCACTCCCCAATTGCAGTGCAAGAGGTGTGATGCAAATGCCGAGAGGGTGAAAGGGACGGGGGACGGGGTCTCGTTCTGCATGCACAAAGGGCATCACACTCTTTGGGCTTGCTCGTCTCTGCAGACACACCCGCCAGGAGAGGAGAAGGAGTTAGATGCTATAACAAATAGGACTGCTTCTCTTATGGACATGCGCAAGAGTCCATGTTATCGAACCTATCCTCATCCATAGGTTGTGAGTGATGGTCTGATCTAAGCCGCGCTCATTTGTTTGGACGCCCACGCCCCCTCTGGGTATCTCTGTCTCTGGGCAGTGGATGCACCGGTGTCGAGCTGACATCCTTGGGTGCTAGATAATACTCGGCTGGTGCGCACCCCAGCGGCGGCTCCATGTCCCTTCTGACCCCATCCATTCCGCCCGGCACAAGGAAGGGTTGTCGTCTGATACCATTGTCTCCTTCCGTTTGCGCTGCTGGTCGCGCGCATCGTTCGGTTTGTTGTTCCACTTTCCGCATCGCCTGTCCTCTGGAGGCACAACACCAACAGACAAACCAGACAATTACCAACGGAGAGGGAAAGGGAAGGCGAGTAAGAGAGAGAAACAGACGAGGAGGGGGATAAGATGGCAGACACGACCGGTCACTTCCCGCTCGCCACCGCCGACCCGTACACGGGCTCCGACGGGCCGGATGCAATCGATGACGGCAGCGCTGCGGGCGCATCCGGCACCTCAAGCGGCGGCCTGGTGCTCTCCCAGGGGGCCGTCATCGCCATTATCGTTGTCGTTGTCGTCGTCGCCCTCTTTGGCAGTATGTTCCGCCGCCCCGAAACCCAACCTCCCACCCTCAATCATCCAGCTCAACCCACACCAGCCATGGGGACATCCCCAATCCCCCCGTCCCACACCTAACCCATATAGACTATTCCGGATAAATACTAACACCAAAAAAGTCTCAACCTCAATCCTCTTCTTCGTAGCCAAGAAGCGCGAGTGGACAGTCAAGGAGACGCTACGGCGGTCAGCGAGGAAGGTGGTGACGGTGCTGACGCCACGGCGGAGCGAGTTTCCGCGGTCCGTCAAGGAAGGCCGCGGAGCAGGAGGAGGGCGGGTCCGGCTGGACGACGTGCCACCCACGCCCAAAATCAAACCCGAGCACCTGGCTCTCGATCTCGAGAAGGGAGTTGTTGGCGACAAGAACCATAACAACAGCCAGGATAAACAAGGGGGGAAGAAGAAGAAGCTTGCTAACTTTAGCCGGAAGTGAGTGAGTGGGTCGGATTGGAATGAGACTCGGAGGAGGAAGCGAGGCGGCGGCGAGGCCTATGGCTTCGGCAAGAGACGCATGTCGAAATGGGGCATGATCCTGATGTTGATGTGCATTTTGCGGATGTGGGTCGTTTTCACGAAGCAATGGGTATATTTGGAAATGGATATCGCATGTTCTGTTCTCTTTTGGCATGTATAGTATATAAGAATTGGGCGGGTTTCCAAGGCGGTTTGGCGTCTAGAGCCGTCGGAAGGTGTTTGTGCTGGCGCTCCGTCTCGCGTCTTTGCGCTTGCTCGTCGGCTCGGGTGGGGGCTTGCTTTTCCTTTTAGATTCTGGTACGAACGTTATTTGCTGTTCGCCAACAACGTCGCCTGTCCGAGTCTTTGTGGCCCGCGTGTTCTTCTGCGTTCGGGAACCAAGTGCGGTGTCTCTGAGCTGGCCACCCTGTGCTTTCGAAGAAGAGATTTGCATGACCACTTCGTCCCTGGGCTTCCCATGCTCGCTTTGGTCTTCCGAGCCACTGGAATCGTCACTGGAATCAGCACCCCCCATGTGGGTGTCCCGATCTTGGGTCCCTTCGGCCCCGGGCACCTTAGTGCTAGGGTTCAACGCCCGGAACTCTCGGCTGGTCTCGTCCACCTTAAATTCTTCATCCTCAAACAATTTACCAAAACGAGAATCACCCAGAAGACCCGCTTCGATATCCACCTTGCCTCTCTTATCCTGTCGTTGCAGTATCTTGTCCGCCAGCTTCTGGTTGACCTTGACCTTCTTGACTCCTCTGATGCGGCTGGCGCGCTCCTTCTCGACTTTCTCCTTGATTCTCTTTGCCCTCTCCTCTTCCCAAATGTATGGGTTGGCAATGAGACGAGCCTGGTCGTAGAGCTTGGCAGCCACAAAGTAGCCGTGCATATATGGTCGAAGCAGGTTGGTCTTCCCAACAAGATGGTCCAAGCTGAGGGATTTGAGCTCGGGCATCGTCAAGAATTTGTAATTGTCGTAGGTCTCTGTGTGGGTCTCGTTCTCCATTTCGTGAACCAGGTTGTCCAGGAAATGGCACCACCTCGGGGCAAGTCCTAGGTTCGGAATGAAGAAGCTGTGCATTTGCTTGCCCTGCACCCATCACATGTCAGCACCTGCCGCCGTCTGCGTCACCTGTTGCAGCAGCTTACCTCGTTTGCGGTCAAGATCATGCCCGAGTCCGGGACATGAGTGACGAAGTTGATGTCAACTAAGGGTTCGACCGAGGTCCAGAGGTCCCCACTCTGCTCGTCCCAGATCTTGATTATCCTCTTGTCAGCAGAAAGAAGCTTACGCTCCTCCGTGGGCGTTTTTAGATGAATCAGGTTCTTAATCGGAAGTCCCATGCCCTGGTCTTTCTTCAGGAGAGGACGTGGATTTCTTAAATCGAACACGCGGATCTGGCCTGTGCTCGTCCCCAGAGCTAGAGACAACCCATCCTCGCTGTAGTCCAGGGCGGTGACTTCGCCCTCCTGTCCTCCCAAGACCGCCACCCGTCCCTTGCTGCGCGGGTCGTAGAACTCGACGGTGCCTATCGAGGTACCAAAGGCACAGAGACCGTGCGTCTTCTCTGCCACGGCCGCCACGTTAACTGCGCCCACGTGTATGCTTCCCTGAAGGCCGCTCTGGGGTTCGTCTTCGCCCACATCAACCTGCCATGGGCGGAGAAATTGGCCCCTTTCCAAATCGAGCCGGAAGACCTCGCCATATCCGGACCCGTCCGAACTCAACCCGACGGCAGGGACGAGCACTTCAGTGCTCTGGCGGAGATATGCCAAGTCTCGGCCGAACCTGGGAAGCCTGACCTCATAGTGACATCCCATCGGCGTATGGAACTCTAGGGATCGGTCGGTCTGCAGATGCACGCTCTTGGAGTAGTCTGGACTGAGCAGGAGGAACGTTGTATTCTCTGACTTGGTGTGGCGGGAGAAGGACAGGGAGAGCTCTTGAGTCGAGTGAACGTGAAACTGGGGCTTGTAGGTCCCTGAGCTCATGATCCAGTTGCCATCTTCGCTTACTCGGACGCAATTGCTCGCTGTTGCGATCCATGTTAGCTGTGTGAGTCTGAGTCTGGGTTCCGCGGCGCTCGCGTGACATCTTGCCTTCCTCGAATTCGAACTCTTGCAATAGTTCAAAGTTGTTGAGATTCTCAGGATCGTACTTGAATGATCTTTTCCTGCGGCGGGCAAGCCAGTCTGGCAGTGGCCTGGCCGTCGAGGGCCCCGCGACAGTATACCTATCGGCATCGGTTAGTACCTTTTTTTGCCGCTTGCTTTTTCGTCTCGTTTTGCTCGGCAACAGGGAATGTGGAGGATAAAATGAGCGGGCAACTGCTTACACTGGAACTGCGCCTGGATTTGTCAACTTCATGATGCCAGTATTGCAGGAAACAGGAAGGTGCTTTGTTCGAGTCGCAAGCTGCCCTCACCACAGTTGCAACTTGCAAGCCATTTCTGCGGCAGAAACCAAAAAGTTTCGTCGCTCAAACCTCAAACGGAAGGCGGGGAGAAGGCTTGAAGGGTCGCTGGACCCACCCAGTTTTTAGCGTCGGCAAGACCCGCTTTTTACACGGCGGTTCTTGCCGACTTCATCAGACTCTGGCAAGAAAAAAAAAAGTGTCGTGGAAGAATATAAGTTGGGCAAGTTGCCGTAGGTTAGAATCAGTGGTAGCCCAGTTTTACAAAGCAAAGATAAGCGCATCTTGTATAGTGTAGGCTTTATTGCATGGTAGTAAAAAGTGTATTGTCGCTTTTTATATCGTTATGGTTGATGTCCAATTGTCCATGTGTCTCCCATGCTCGTGGGCCGCCTTGGCAAGGCCTCCTCCACTTCGGAATCCCTGCCGCAGAGGCGCGTTGAAAGGTGCAGCAGGATTCCGTAATCCGCAACTACCTTACGGAGATACTGTGGGCATTGCAGTGTGCTGGTCAGCGTGCTACACTATCGTATGCAAGACAAGAGCCTGTGTCCATGGTTGCACAGAGTTAGCAACTAAGGTGCCACCTTCACCTTCACTCCCGCCCCGACTCAGCGCTCGCTTTCCTCGCTTCAGATTGGACGCAAACACAGTAATTAAGAAACACCACAATCGCGGTTTGCCACACGCCGACCTACGAGCAAAGAATTTCCCGACTACCCCGGAATCAAGGGCCTGGATGTCTCGGGGGGCGAGTTGTCAGTGATTCAGGGAGCTTGTCCACGTTGAGGGCCAGCCCGTTGCCATGGAGGAGCCCGACGCTCCGGCACAAAGAGCTCGATTCATCCGATCTCTCCTTTCCCTCCCCGTGGCCGAAAAGCCGCGAAGTGGCCCCGACTTGGCCCCCGGGTTTCGATAGCTGCCTTCGGTCCGTATGCGCCGGCTTTTGGTTAGACCGACCTTCGACGTCCTGCCTGGTGGAGGGCCACCAGATATTTCGCGCTCTCGTCTTGCGCGACGCCTCCGATATGGACGCTGGAGAATACGAGACGAACACTCTGTTGATTGTAAGATCCATCCCTGACTCTAGCTCCCGCCGCATGCCTGCTTACAAATCTGCGTTTCAGAGCAATCTCTCTGCCATATCTTTCCGCATCTATGAGCCTATCGCGTCGCAGTCCTCGGCCTACACATTCAACGCTTCCGATGTCGAGGATGCTCTCCGGAACGATGGCCACTTGGTCTACATGGACGCCGTCCGGCGCGGGATCTGGTGTTTCTACCTCTCATCTGGGGACCCTGCTACGTCGGGTCATCCGGAACTCCTTGGGCTTCACACGAGGATGGAGGTCTGCGGATACCCTTTGGGTTGGGTCAAAGATGGGGCACTGGAACCAATTGGACTACTCAGGAACAGACCGCCAGGGGCAAGCTCCATTACGACGCCGAACAGCTCCTCGTCTGCTGGCTCCGCCCAAGAGATGACTATGAGAAGCGGCCAGACGTTCAATCTGCCGCTTACACCCGTGGCCGTCGATGCCAAGGCCGCACCGCACCCGGTCCCCGATGTCAAGGGCTACAGCTCCGTTCCTGCACGCGAGATCTATGAGTTCTTCATTACGGCCGCCTTGTCGTCACTGACCACATACTTTTGCCGCAAGATTGGCGCTATCGCTTTGAACAGCCGCACTGTTTTGCTTCCGCAGCACGCCTTCAATTCCGGGGATGCCGGCTGGAGCCAAATGCCCCCGACCTCGGCTCTTGCTACGTTCCGCATCTACCTCACAACAACGGGATCGTTGGTCATATCCCTGCACGTGTCCCTACGTCACGGCTTGGTGTCCTCTGCCGACATCTTGCGGTCTAGCTTGTTACCCGCCGGTCCTGTTGTCCTTGCGGCGCCCTTTGGTGCGTTTGGCGCTTTGCAGGGTGTTGTGGACCCGGACAGCCAGGTTGCCGACTCGGGGCTCGGCCAGTCTCCTGATACGCAAATAACTAGGCTTGGTTCGGGGCCGACCGACAAGTTGTCGCAGCTGAAAACCACGTGCTGCAAGTTGCTGCAAATGCGTGGCATGTCGCCATCGTTGTTGGACGGCTGTTCTTGGCTGAACATACACTTCCTCAAGAGGAAGCCATACGAGCAGAGACTAGATGGCAAACGGACGCCCCTAGTTGGCTCGGGCTCCGTCGCCCCATGGCCAGCCGTTCTCTGTTTCCGTAAACCAAAACTAGAGGCCATGTTAGATGTGACGTCCGAAAAGGCGTTGTCCGCAACAGGCGGCGGCGATCACATGGATCCCCTGAGCAAGGCAAAGTCGTGGTGCCGCGGCGTGTCTGAGCGGGAAGATGCCATCGTACGAAGGAGAAAGGAGAGAGAGGCTGCTTTGACGCGAGAACATGGGGACTTGGACACGAGAAACTTCCAGGGCAATGGGTTCTCGCCCATGGCGCTCTGGCGCTCCACCAACGGGGGGCCTGTGCCGCCACCCGGGGCGATGTATCCGACCCCTCCGGATGGAGTACAACCATCAGGCGTGACACCTTCGTTCGACGGCGCCGCGGTGTTGAGTCCGACGGGGCAACCTGCCGCAAATGCCCTTGGCGATGCTGACACAGCAACACAGCAAGATGTCCCGGCTCACGAGGGTTTCGACGTGGGATGGCATGGCAGCGAGCCCAAGCCCGAGCACACAGCCAACAATTTCTCAGAGGAAGCAATTTACGGCGGCTTGGGCGAGAACATGTTCGACAGCAATGAACTAACTGATGCTGATTTCAATTTCTTTGATGAACAACCAGTTACGGTCGATATGGATCTATCGGGAATTCCGGGCATCGCCCCGACAATGGGCATATCGGATAACCCAAGCCAACAAGGCTTTTCTGAAACCGATCAAGCCGCAAGCAGCATGGCGGACAACCGGGCAGAAGGACGTCCCGTGTCACCCAAGTTCACCAAGCCCGAGCTCAGGCACGCCCGCAGCACATTGGCCGAGGAGAGTCGGCAACATAATAATCAAAGTTTTAATATTAATTCTGCAATCGGAATCAAGAGGCACCCAAGCCCCTTCAACTCCGAGACAGTCTTCAAACGGGTCCGGGCGTCTATCCGCCCCCCGACGCCTTCGACACCCTCTCAGAGAGGAGCTCCACCGCGGCGTCGCAGCTTGTTCGACAAGGTGGATTTCGATCCAGCCCTGTCAATAGATAGCAAAAAGTACGAAGAAAGTGGACCATTCGACTTCAGATTGCCAACCCTGAAGGAGAAGGAAAATAGAGCGCTCCTGAATGGAGGCCCTCTGACCACTGGCAGACTGTTGGGGGCTGCCAGGCAACGCAGGAATCTTAAGGAGCTGCCCTCGGGCATCTCCTCCATCCTAACCAAGATGGCGAGCGTTAGAGCGAGTAGTCCCTTGCAAAGGGACGATGCCATCTCGGACTCAGATGACACTAGCTGGGCTTCTGACGATGATGACGCAAGCGAGCCCCTGGGACGTGCTTCTTCCCCCGCAAAATCGAGTGTGCTTCGAAGGCGTCTGGATGACGACGTCATCTCAATGGCGGCGTCTTTCAAGGAGCTGGACAATATATCCGCCGACTCACCTGGCTACGGGCCGCTAGACCTGTCCCGCCTCTCAAACTCTGAGATACCGGAATTCTCTCTCTCTAGATACTTCCTTGACCCTGAACCGGTGCCGCTCCGTATATCGGTCTCGGACGACGACTTCATTACCGTTGCCCAGATTCTTACTGAACAGGCAGCAACCGGTTTTCTGAGGCTAGTCCCGCAGCGTTCATCATTGAACAATCAGGAGACGCGCAGAAGTCTCATCAAGGCGGTTCGGTACTCAGTCCAAGGGCTGAAGAAAGCCTTACCACGGTCTCTTGCGGGAGCAGTCGCTTGTCAGCTTCGTCCCTTCGCTGAGGTGCAGGATGTGCCCCTGCTCGTGCAACCAAACGGCCGGGTGCAAGTGAGGCCTGCCGAGTTTCCCAAGCCAAGCATTTTCACGATTCCTGCACCTCACGTTGAGCTCCGACGCTACGAGAATCAACTCTCGGTGCTGCCATCCGCCGTTTCTTTCTGGGAGACACTAGGCCTTAGACCAGTGCGGGGCCCCAAGGATATCGTTGCCGTGTGCGTGTTCCCTCATGCGGAAGCCATGCGGGACAACGCTTCCGCCTTCTTGGATAGGCTGCAAAGCACGTATGAGACTCTGGGACTAGGCACCTTCGAGAGGCTCCCAACAGTTGGGAACATCGTTGGCGGCCTTGTTCTGCTCAGCACTGACCAGGATAGGCTTTCCCCCGGGCTCAGCATATCCCGGCCCCGTTCGGCGTTCACTGATCAGATGGCAGCTCTTGCTATGGCGCTTGCGAACTCGTCCATGTCGGAGAAGAACTTTGTCGTCTTCTTCACATATTCGTCGGATAATCCAAGCTCAATTGTGGATGCCTGTTCTGCATTCCAGGAACTCTTCGAGCATTACAAGCGATGCATGATGGACAGGAAAAAGGCCATCGTCAACGAATTGGTTCTTCAGCTTGTGCCTCAGGACCTGCTTGGTTCCGAATCGTCGCTTTTCGTCCTAAGCCCTTCAGACTGTACGAGGCTTTGCCTCGAGACCTACGATCGATGCACCCTCTTCGGCGGCCCCATGCCATCGCCAGCGATTTTGCTTGAATGCGCTCTGCCGAGAGGACTTGATTTCAAGCTGTCTGCTGCACCATCGCCAAATCTTTTACGGGAGAACTCGTGCATGCACATTGCATATGCGCGAAGTGTAGACGAACGATGGATCACCGCTGCATGGACGGACAATAGAGGCAGCAGCCAAACAATGGCCTCGTACTGCCTCGGGAGGCGGGGCAGGCCGCTGTCTCGCCAGCTTGCCGAAGTCGTTCACGAGATTTGGGAGACCACTCACGACCTGATCTCTTCCTGCAAAGTCCACTGGCGGGTGGTCGTGACCAAGTGCGGTCCCATGGATCAGCAAGAAGTTGACCTCTGGACGAGCATGGCACAGAGCGAAACCCGGTCTGCTGTCTCGCTCGTCCTTTTAACGGTGGACACCGATCCGTCACTCCAGCTCCTTCCCCCAGCCGCTGTGGTCCCCCTCTCCGCGCCATCCATGTTCTACACCACGCCGGTCTCAACGCCGCAAGCTTTATCCGTCGTCTCCCCCGACCAAGGCAGCAGCACGGCCAACAACAATAACAACCCCGCAACACCTATAACGGCCGCAACCCCCGGAGGCGACACCACCTCGTCCCAACCATTTCCGCAGATCAATGCAGGCTCAGAACAGGACGTAGACACAGTTCTGGTCGAAACAACAGAAACCACGCACGGGGTCGTCATATCGCATAGGCTCAACAATTCACCCTCTCTGACGGACCTTAATCCGGCGCTCGCGAGCGGCTACCTGGTCAAGCGGTCCGGCGCGAGGGCCGAAGACTCGCCCGCGGTCCTGGAGGTCAACGTCGTTTATAGCGACAATGCCAGGGCGGTGGCAGGCGGCGCGGCCATATTGTATGATGGCCTGCTGAGAGAGATGCTCACGTATTTCCGCGGCTTGGGTACGCTGGCGAGAGTGAGAGGTGTCGTAGAGCGCGAGCTGGATGTCAGGCCTTGGCATGTCGCTGCCGTGGAGAAGGCCGTTAGGGCTTTGTATCTGCTTATGTGAATGACTTTGGACCGGACTGGTTTACGGAGGTGTTGGTCGCTTATTTTGGGTCGGGCGGGTGGTGTTTGGGAGGAGGTTAGATGATGGGCATACTGCTGGTGGTTGGTTGCATTTGAAGTTGTCGTTTGCTTTCTGATCTTTTGGTTTGTTGTCTCTTTCTACGTTTTGCTCTTCCCTGTTCTAGCGGCATACATGGATACCAAATGGATACTTGCATGCAATGCGATATGTGAACTTCTGACGTGTGCACAGTAAATAATGTTCCTGGTTGGAAAGATGGTTGAGTGATTTCATGGCAGTCATCTATGTTCCTCCTGCGCCAAGCTCTATCGATTATCTGGTATCGTCTATCAGCTACCCATCATCGACGCTTCCTCCGAAAAGAAGCGAGAATCAAAAGAGAATACCGCCGGATCCAAATCTAGACTCAATCATTCATCCCAAAACCCGGGGAAGAGATATTCTACCCTCTTCATCGCCTCGGGATCCCGTCCCGCCGGCTTGGTCATGAACTTGACCGCCCCCTGGACGGTCCCGGCCAGGTGCTTGGCCAGCACCAAGTCGCTGTTTTCCTGCTTGCACAGCTCATCGAGCACGGCGCCCACGAGGTGCTTTGCGTTCTCGCTGTTGGCCGCCATGTACTTCATGACCATGGCAACGTCGACGTCGTCGGTCGTGTGCCAGCAGTCGTAGTCGGTGGCCATGCAGATCATCTGGTAGGCCATCTCGGCCTCGCGCGCCAGCTTGGCCTCGGGCAGCGCGCTCATGTTGATGACGCTGCCGCCCCAGGCGCGGTACATGTTGCTCTCGGCGCGCGTGCTGAACTGGGGGCCCTCCATGCAGACCACGACGCCGCCGCGGTGCAGCTTGACGCCGTCGCCGCGCATGGCCGCCGCGCACTTGGCCACAACGTCCGCCAGCCCGGCGTCGAACGGGTCCGCGAACCCCACGTGGCCCACCACGCCGCCCTCGAAGAAGGTGAAGGGCCGCACCCCTTTTGTTCGGTCGATGATCTGGTCGGGGACGACAAAGTCCATAGGCCGGATCTCCTCCCGCAGCGACCCCACGGCCGAGAAGGCGATGATGGAGCGTACCCCTAGTGACCGCAGCGCGGCCATATTTGCGCGCGAGGGGATCTCATGCGGGGCTAGGTGGTGGTGCAGGCCATGCCTCGCGAGAAAGGCGACGGGGACGCCGTTGTGCTCGAGAATCAGGATGGGCGACGACGGGGCGCCCCAGGGGGTCATGGGCTGCAGGGCGGCCACGGGCGTGTAGCCCTCGATCTTGCCCAGCCCGGTGCCACCTATTACGGCGATGTGCACGGGTCCTGTTTAGCGATTAGACATGTTAGTGTAATTCGTAGCTCGCTCAGCTAAATAGAGTCTGGGTTGTGGTAGGGGGTTGGGTTGGGAAAGAAGGGACTCACTGTCGAAATGGTTCGGGAGGTCGATCGTCATGGTGGGTGATTGATGATTTCACTGAATTTCGGTCCTTTCAACGATCGGGACTCGAGAAACAAAGGTGGTGGAAGGGCCTTTACGGTTTTGTCTAAACTTGATGATTGGAACCCCTCGCTTCCTCGCTTCACCCGACTCACAGGCGCAATCGCGCAATTTACCCCGCCGTCGCGATGAAGTTGAATGTGGTGGGGTTCCTGGCCCCTGCCTAGTGCCTACACTCGGCTACACTGCTGCCCCACCATCACTTAAAGTTAGTGCAAATCTTTCCGTCCTTAGCGGGTCTCAGGCTATTAGTCAGCAGAGTGACCCACTGGAGGAACCTGATGGCTTCACTGACACGCAGTGGGGCATGTCCTATTCTTCAGCAACACAGCGTTCCATGATCTGTAGAATTTGCAAGCATCATCAGTTTGTTTCACTATGACTCGAAGGTTACGATTCTGCTCGGTGCTCCGACGGTAATATAGCGCATTCAATAGAATCAACAGTGGAACTTTCCGTCTGGGCAACCATGTCGTCCACCACGCAGCCTCCCGGTCCCGAAAATGAAACGGCTGAGACGGCCGAAATGGCTATTCCGGCACCGACGAGCGGTCGCCGGCCCTTGAGCGTCGAAGAGCTGTGCTTCACATCCGCCATGAGCTGTTTCGAGGGATGGCTCAAGCTAGACCCGGCTATCGGCCATCGCACCATGATATATGTCACCAAGTTCATTTCGAGAACGCTGGAAAAGACACACAATCTCAAAGACGTCAGGTATAAGACACGCAACCGGACCATTTACCCAAGATATCCTCCTCAAGCCCTAACACACTCGGCAGGGAGACTCTGTCTAGGAGCGTCGAGGTCTGGATATGGCTCACTCGAGACTTCGCTGCCGCCATCCCCAGCCTGACCACCAGGTCCATCGGGCCCTTGGCGAGTCTGAACGACCCCGACAAAGGGGTGACGCCGCAAGAGAGCACGGCGCTCATAACCAAGAATTACGGGTCGCTAAAGGACGACTTGCAGCTGCTTATCAAACTCATGCACATTGCCAGGAACCTTCTTGTCGTGCCAGAGCCTGAGATCCCACAGGACCTGTGTGCTGCCGCCCAGTTCGACCAGATGCTCTACCAGACCATCATCCTTTGCATCAACGTCACTAGTAAGGCTTACGATGGCGATGTTCTGGAGGAGTCTGCTCGGCTCAAGCTTACCGAGATCACTGAGCTGTGTATGTTGCGAGGTCCCCTTTGGTAGTTCATGCTGTTGATTTAACATGACGTTCCAGACAAGAAGCTGCTTGTGACATGTCTGCAGCAGGCGCACAATTGGATTGCCAAAAACGACAGGAACAAGATGGCCTTCTGGTCTACGGTTCTGTTTGATGATGAGGCCCTCGCCGACGATCCGGACGGCAGCGTTTACGGCGATTTCCGGCCAGATGTCGCCAAAACGGAGGTCCAGAACTGGTTCGAGCGGAACTCGAGGTTCTGCGACAAAGCAAGGCAACTGCTCTCTGAATATGAAGAGACCGTGGCAGCCAAGAAGCTTCCCCCAGGTCGCCTGCCCTGCATTTCCCCGCTAGCTTGGAACTGGCTGCCCGAGGGAACGGTGCGGGTGCGGGCAGACGACGTAAGCGATGACTCCAAGATCACACCTCAGTGGAAGGAGGACGAGCCCGACAAGTTCGAACAAGACAAGGCATACGGCCGCGTGTCGAGGGAAATTGATACCTGGTGGTTGAAGACGCGGGATCCCAATTACGACGACTGGGTCGTCCCGATGCCCACTGTTGAGTTCGCCCAGCAGAGAACCGAGAATTGCAAAGCCAATTTTGTCAACCGCTATGCCCACTCATATCGGACCGCTGAGCATGAGGGCTCTGTCCACTCTGCCGCCGAGGCACCGTTGCCAGAAGGCTCTGGGGAGGAGGACACCAAAGACGGTGGCCATTACGCCCACGATTACAACGACGACGTGATCGAGGAAGAAGACATCGACGATGACGATTCGTACGGCGAAGGCCCAATGAACGGCCTGCTGACCGATGTACCCAATATTCTCGACCCGAAACAGATTGAAGCGCTGCACATGATTGTTAAGTCCTGCATCCTGGACAATGCCGGTTTGTCATTGAGCAGAGCCGGAGAGAATCTTCAAAAGACGAGATGCAGGATGTTTCTGGCTCTCGAATGCGGGCGCAGCCTGCTGAGAGAGATCCTCGTCTTCATCGCCGTTTGGGAAAAGAGCGAGCAGTCCCTGATTTTCCAACTTACCACCCAGATTGTCGAAGCCATCCACCATAGCGCTCTGGTCCCGTATGCCTGGTCGTCTCTTCGTATCCCCAAGGATATCATCTCTCCCGCTCAGACTGTCCTCCTGAGGCTTGTTAACAACATGTTCCGCGCTCGGAACAACGACCCTCCGCCTGCCGACTCGAAAGAGCATCTACGGGATGTCAAGCTCCTCCATTTCCTGTTCATCCAGTTTCGCAGCCGAATCGTGCCCGAATGCGCGGCACTGTTGCATATCCAGGCGCAAATACGTAACAATTTATATGACCCGGCCGACTTTCCGGTTGACAGTTGGGACATGGAGCGCGCCAAGGACGGCATCCAGCAGTTCCTGGAGCTCTTGACAACCGTGATCGAGCTTCCGGAGACACGACAATACCTCATCGAATGGGAAGCCACTTACGAGCTCCTCGTGCTGCTCAAAGGCCTCGAAGCGGGCGTTCCCAAAAAACCCATGGTCGAGCTGCCGAACCGCTCGGCTAACCGTCAGCAACAACAGCAGCAGGCCGGCGGCAACAGCAATGGCAACGGTCACGACGATGACTACGACCATGGCTACGACTCGGAAGACCACCCTCTTGCTCCTGGCCGTCCGCTCGAAGAGGAGCCCGCGCACACATATCCCTGGGCCGGAATCAAGGGCCAAATTCTTCACATCTTGGCCGGTCTCCTCCAGCCGCCTGCCGGCCGCAGCGGCCCGGGCAATCCGGAGGTACAAAAACAAATCCTCCGCCACAACGGCGTCATTTGCCTGCTCAACTGCTGCGTCTACGACGACTACAACCGCTACGCCAGGGAGCGCGTGCAGATCTGTCTAAAATGGCTTATGGACGGCTCCGACGAGGCGAAAAAGTATTTGCACGAGCTGATCGCCATGTCACCGCCACCACCAAATCTGCGGCCCTCACAAGCGCCAACAACGACAGCCGCTGGGGCTGGAGAATCAACCGATGCTCAACAAACAACCACGCTGAGAATTGATGGCATTGCCGGCGAGGTCAAGGTCAGGGTGAAGTCGCCCGCCCTGAGGGGCACTCCCGCTACCCAAGCTAAATCGACTGCTGCCGTCCCTTCGTCGTCTTCTTCTGCTACTGGTAGGGCGCTACCACCGTTAGCAGCGGCTACGGCCGCTTCTACGATGACGGATATAGACCACCAGCACCATCACCATCGTCATCACCATCATCATCACCACCACCATCATCATCATCATCATGGACATGCTAGCAGCGCTAGTGGTGACGTTGCGACGGGTGCAAGCAGTATGGGCAATAATAATAACAATAATAACATCACCCTGCCGCCCATCCAGGCAGACATGTCGTCGGGCCAGGGCAACCGGAGCCGTCCCGAGGAACTCCTGCGCGATATTATCACGCTGGCGGACGAGGCGGCCAGGCTGGCGATGGGCAGGCGGCTGGATGGGGATGAGACTGAGGAGGAGGGGGATGGGGCGGAGGATGATTTCATGTAGACTGACCGGCTATCCGTAGGTCAGGGTTTGCATTCGTTCCGTCTTTTGCTGGCGTCGTTTTGCCTGTTAAGGGAGGGAAGAATGTCTGGATTTGGCCCTTAAGGAAGGGGTCTGTTTGCATGGCGCTGTTGGGAAAAAACTCTCTGGCTGTGTATAGTCTTTGGAGTATCAGGTAGTGAGATCAAAACAAGGCGTGGTGGAAGGGTGGTCTCATGCCCAACACTATTATGTAGTGGAGAACTACAAGGTGTATTGTACAGATAGCGTATAAGACTGGTGGAGGATTAAGGCACAGTGAACAAGTCATGAAATTCATAGGTTTAAAGTGGCGAATACAACCTGTTGTGAGGGACTATGGAGCTGGCCGCCCTTATTATCTGGGCAGTATTCTACTACCAAGACTTCGAGTGTCTCAATCCTAAATTCCTAGGCAAGTATTTCCCCTGATTTCACTGGCGGTCAAGTGCCATAAGGTACGTAGTTGAATAACGGTTGATACAACGGAGACAAACTTAGAACCGTTTCCTTTACATTCGATGAACGAGCAGTACTGGTGTGGCTTTGGTGTATCTGTTTCTACGGTAATCTTGGTGTGGAGGACTTGATTCACTTGTTGATAGGTGGCCAGGACGGTTCCAAGGCGGCCTGAAGAGAGTATTAGACTGTGCTGAGTATTTAAGTGAAGTCCCCCTTCCTAACTTTCACCCCCTACGGGTAGTAGTAGTACCATGGTGAAATCGTCGTAGTCACATAGCCACCCCCTCCACCCCAACTGTTGAGGCCCTCAGTTCGATTCACAGCGAGAATGATCCATAGCGACGACTGTCGCCGGCGCCGCGGGTGGCGAGGACCCAAATGGAAACAACAACAGCGGCAACAGGAACTCCAAGCCATGGAGACCAGTTCAAAAGCGGAGACGCTCCCGGAGGGTAAGCGCGGGTAGACAGAGGTGCTATTTGCACATACCCATATGGTGTCGGCACGGTTTGGTGCCTTCTGGGCTAAAAGGCAGCCCGCCTAGTTTGCTGTAGCGGCCGGGTACCCCGAACCGCTCTTGCCAACGTGGTCGCGCTTCCCAAACCGGTTTCCTACTTCACGTTGTCGCCTTCGTTGGATTAGAAGGACGAAACCCGGGCGCAAACATGCAGGTTAGCCACCTGTGTGACAGGCGGAGCTGTTTCAACCCAGATCACCTGCGAGAGGAATCTCCGCAGGTCAACAACAGCCGCAAAGGCTGCGTTGGGCCGGTGTTCTGCTGGGACCACGGACATCTCCTAATCGACCTATGTAGCCACAGTCCCAAGTGCATCCGTCCTCCGAGGGAGGACACCGTGCTGTCTCGCTATACGCGAGAGTGATATCGGGCTGAACGCCAAGGTCAAGTGGAGCAAATCCAACCTTAAGCAACGTGAGAAGCTTAGCCCTGTCGTCAAGGGCTTTATGAATGCCCGCTGTTTCAGGAAATACATCCTGGAATACCTCCAAGAGCCTGACGACCCGGATCTCGAATACAAGCGCCCGGTGATCCCAGAGAAGTGTTGCAATGGCTGCAACCATGAGCTTGGAGCGGTTCCTGTACTGGGTCCGCGTGAGAAGACCGGGGAGAGGGCTGGAACAGCCAGCACCGGGACTCCCAAAGCTCCGTCAGCACACGACCACGAACCTCAGCACAGCTAATCACTGTCGAGTCTCAAGAAGGCGTCACCCCATCGAGGAGGTTGCAAGAGTGGCGGAGCCAGTCATCAGACAGTTTTGGGGGTGTCGAGGATCTGGAGGCAGCAATAGCTGCGGGAGAGCTCTAAGGGACTTGGAGATGGATTTACCATCGTTTGTATTCAGAAAAACGCAAGCATCTTCTCTCCTCCCCCCGGCCCCCACAAAGTCTTGGAATTTGCCATTTGAGTCATAGTTACTCCCGCCGTTTACCCGCCTAGTTTTGCTGTAGCGGCCGGGTACCCCGAACCGCTCTTGGGGTCTATATACCCCTTGCGCAACCTCTCGAGACATGCTCGGCATCTTACCTCGACATGTTGAGAAGCTGTTGGGCCGTCTCTAAGAGGGCTTCGGGGATTGAAATGGGGATGGGAATGGGAAGAGGAGCGAGTTCAGTAAGGGGCGGCGCAGGCTGAAAGTCTCTTGGGGGCGCCGACTGCTTACCTCCTTTTCCCTAGCTGGGATATGCCGGTGGAAGAGAGAATTTGCCAGCGGCTTTCATGCTTTAGTTTTTTCATCCGGGCATCATTCTCCCGGATTTCGGCTCAAGCTCCTCGTCCATGTCATCGCCGTCCTCGTTTTGGCCGGTGGGAAGCTTTCGCTTGCGCACACCACGGAGGCAGCACAGGCCAGATCTGCTCTCCGTGTCGATAGAATGCTCGCTGCCAAGGGAGACTGGAAAGTATGCATCTCAAGACCTCAAAGAGGAAAGGTTATTGAAGGACGAAAGCCTTGAGATCCGTGATACAGGAAGCCAGGCGAAGAAACTGGACGGCATTCGAACACATACACCTACAGTTCTCTCGTTCTTTCCTCGAGCTCGACCCGATTCCTCCTCCTTCCAACCTGTCCGTACCTTCTCCTTTCAACCTGTCCGCACCTTCGCCTTCCAACTCATGCGGTCTTTCTCCTTCCAACTTGTGCACACCTTCTACTTCCAGCCTGTGCGTGTCTTCTCCTTCCAACCAGTGCGCAGTCTTAGCTAACAGTACTAATACCCTGGAGGCAGGAGACTTGGAAGCTGCCTATTTGCCTTTGTCGTTCACATGCAAATCTGATGGCCTCGAAGCCAGTCAATATTATATCTTGAATGCAACCTCACTCCAACCACACCCCAAAGATCACTTCCTTCCCATTCTTTCTCTCCTTCTTCAACCAACAGAAGCTCCACACCGTGAGCAGTACTGGCCAAGTTACGTCCGTATTGCCGTCTGCCCAAACCGCCCAACATGGGGTATACGAGCAGGGGCGTACCAACCCGCTGGCGCGATATAGAGCTGCTAGATGCCCAGAGAATGAAGTGTTCCGGGGCCATTCTCAGGGACTAGAACGCATGGGCAGAGCGACTCACTAGAGCCCTGCGAGAAACACGGTGCTGCCACGCCTTTTGTCCGAATCTGACGGCGAACCGTCCGGTTGTGGCAGTCCCATGTCAACAACACAAGCCGATGTTGATATCAACGTCGATGTCAATGCCGATGCCGATGGACCCTCACGGGCCGAGCCGTCGGAACAGGTCATAGAGGAGTGGAAGAAACCGCGTATCAATATCTTGCGGCTCGTTGCGGCGTTTTGGGCCTTCTTGATCAACGGCATGCACGATGCCTGCCTTGGGGTTTGTGCCCTCTGGAAGCCTGCCTCAGACGTTTTGAGCTGACAACCCCTCGCAGCCCCTGATTCCATATGTAAGATGAAGGCTTGGAGAACAGTTATGGTTGTTTGTTACTCTACGTTAAGCTATTTCACAGCTCGGAGCATATTACAACATCAACTACACGGTCGTCTCCCTCCTCGTTCTCTCGCCCTTCCTCGGATATCTAGCCGCAGCCCTGGTCAACAACCGCATGTTCCTACGGTTCGGCCGCCTCGGGGCTGCAACCATTGCACCAGGCGCGAGGCTGATCACCTACGCCGTCGTCGCCGCCCACCCTCCCTTCCCTGTCGTCATCGTCATGCTCGTCCTTGCCGGGTTTGGTAGCGGTCACCAGGATGCTAGCTATAACGCTTGGCTGGGTACCACGAATGGTGCAACCCACTTGTTGAGTTTCTTGCACGCATTCTACGGGCTTGGGGCTCTGCTGGCTCCCTTGATCGCGACGTCGATGATTGTCAAGGGGGGACTGATGTGGTATACATTTTTCTACTTGATGATGGGTTTTCGGATCCATGATGCTATGCACCTTAGCTCCCAAAGGCACCCCGTTGACTCTAATACAGATGGGGGCGCAAGCCTTGGAAATCCTGGTGGCCGCTCCGGCATTCTGGGATGAGGCAGGCGCTGCCCGGGGCACATCCTCTGAGGGCACGTTCAAAAGCAAGGGTGTGCTCCGGGAATCTACTCTCCAAAGACCAGCCGCTCGGGTGACCTGGCTGTGCGCCCTCTTTATGTTGGGCTACGTGGGCACGGAAGTCGCTCTAGGCGGCTGGATCACAACCTTCGCGCTCAAAGTACGAAAGGCCGACTCCTTCAGCAGCGGCATGGCGGCAATGGGCTTCTGGTTGGGCCTCGCCTTGGGCCGCTTCACCCTCGGCTTCATGACCAGCTGGCTCGGGGTACGACTAGCCGTGAGCGTTAGTTACTTCTACACATTACCCTACGTCCCGTACTGTACACCGCTCTCCCAACCCTTTACTCAGACTTGCTTCTTGCCAGATCTATCTCCCCTTAACAGTCGGATTCCAGCTCCTCTTCTGGCTGGCCCCGCAGTTCTACGTGTCCACCGTGGCCGTTGCGCTGGAAGGCTATTTCCTTGGGCCAATATTCCCCGCTGCCGTCATCGCCCTGTCCAACCTGCTCCCCGTCCGTCTGCACATCTCAGGCATCGGCTTTGCAGCCACTGCCGGGAAATCAGGCGGTTCCATCTTCCCTTTTGCAGTCGGGGCTATTGCGCAGGTCAAGGGGGTTGAGGTGTTGCAGCCGATCATAGTCGCTCTCGAGGCGGCGATTCTGGTTCTTTGGCTTTGCTTGCCTAAGTTACCAAAGTAGTACACCACTTGTTCACCCCGTCCTAATCGGCATATACTGGGATGGAAGAACCTCATCACCGTGTTCTTCACTTGATGTACGCACATATTCGCACACAAAGCCACCGCAGATTGAACGATCCATATGATCTTATTGCATATACACAAGTTTTATGTTCAAGTATGTACAAGAATCAACCTTGGTCCACCTGATCCTCCCCTCACTTCACCATCAGGACAGGTCTCCCGAGTCCCAAGTATTACTAGGACTAGTAATCTTCCCCCCCCCCCTTAGCACACCGTGTGCTTAGGGAAGGCATTGGCTGTACCACTGGTTAGACACCTTGCAGGTGCCCTGGGCGCAGGTGGTCGGGCCCGTCCAGCCCTGGCCGCCGCACTGGCCATACAGCGGCGCACCAGCACCGCTGCCGCCCGTCGGGGTGGATGTTGGCTGCTGCGCCGTGGTAGTCGGGCGGACCGAGGTGGCCAGGGTGGTGCTAGCGGGCGGGGAGTTGGCGCAGTTGATGACGGCGGGACCGGGGATGGGGTAGGCGCGCCCGCCGTTGTCGGGCCGGCCGCTGCTCCCGTAGATGGAGATGAGGATGCCCGGGTCCGAGGCGCTGTAGGCGCCGGGGAAGGAGACGGTTGAGGATGGGGTGAAGCTGCCTGAGCCGGTGACTTGGATTCTGTGAAGGGAGATGTTGGGTTAGCTTTGTGGGGGGAGAAAAATGAAGGAAGACGTACTGGGCACACTCCATGTAGAACTGGGCGCCGCCGGTGCTGCCGGCCGAGTGCAGGGCGATGAGCTCGACGCGCATCAGGTAGTGGCCCGGGGCGATGCACGAGGGCATGGTGAAGTAGTGCCAGCCGTTGTTGGCAATCATGGTGTCGACGGCCCAGGTGCCGCCGCTCAGGCCGGCCTCGGCGATCTTGAACCATTTCAGGCCCGTCGTGCCCGTCGTCGCGGCGTTGTCCACCTTGGCGAGGTAGACGATGATGGGGCCTGCATGGAAGGGTCAATGTTAAGGGGAATACAATAACTGGGTAAGGTTAGTAATTAGTACGCACCCTTGTGAGACGCAGCAATCGGGTTATCCGGGTCGTTGGGGCCGGACGGCCCGCCGATCTCGTGCTGCCACCAGGCGCCGACCCTCGCGCCGGCGGGGATGGTGAGGACCGTGTTGTCCTTGAGCTGGATGTTTGCGTTGCAGGCAAAGTTGGCGTCGTTGACGTTTTGGATGGGGCTGTTGCTGTAGGGCGCGCGTACGCCCTTGAGCTGCCCCTGGTCGACGCCGTTGACCGACACGCGCTGGAAGATGGCGTGGGCGCTGGCCGAGGCCGCCAGGCAGAGAACGCTTAAGGCCTTCATTGTGTCCGTCTGTTGGAGGTTATCTGAGGCGGTTGTCAGATCAGATGAAGACTGTTGGGGTGAAAGACGGGTTGAGGATCAGGGGGCAGACGGTTGGCTTTAAATACCTTATGTGATGTGGTGGTGGTCCGTCATCTCAGGGGCTCAACAACACCCCCTCTCATCATGCTGTCCTAACCTGGTTGACCCAAGCCGGACGAGGGTGGATCTTGGAATGCCAGTTCCAGGAGACCGGAACGATACTCCTATTCCATTTTCTCGACTTCCCGGATAGGGAATCCTCGGAAGCCCTACCGAGCGAGCCCATCCATGATGGTGAAACTATTCAAGCTATTGCAAGCTCTTGTCTAGTTGGTTGGACGGCACCCAGGGTGAAGCAAAGCGGCCTGGTTGTTGGTTGTTGGTCATGGGAACCCATACCCGGGCGTCCACACGTGCTTCTCTGCAGTTCTCTCTCGAGATTCCAGGAGCACGCTTTCCCCACAATCCCAGGAATGGTGTTGCACTGACGGGTCTTGGAGGTGCCCACGAGTGCGGATTGAGGCGATCGGAGTCGAACCCCCGAGAGGTAAACGTCCTCGGCCGCCGTGGCTCGTCTTGGAATAGGGGGCTTGGCATGTTTGAAGCTTAAAAGCGGAGATTGGCAAAAACAAAAATGTTTTGACACCAAAAACATGCACTAGGGATCTCGGGACACTATCCATTGTCTCCACGGGCGATGCAACTGCAAATCTCGCCAAGGCGGGACTGTCTCCATTGCTACCCGGAATCCGGGTTTGCCTTTTTTCGTGCCCAGGTTGTGTTGTTCCTGATTCTGATGAATGGAGCTTCCAGAGACTCGGAAATTAGCCTTGTGGGAACTTGAAGAAAGAAGGTTATTGCAAAGTCAAACGGCCGGCCTTGACGGAGGTTGAAAATAAAGGGATACTGAGTGGATCTACACCTGAGGTTAGATAGGCACGTATCTGGCATGGAAAGGGGCCCTCACTCGAAGTGTAGGTCCAAGACTGACAACCAACAAGGTAGCTTCGTGATTCCTGAACTACCGGTACTCATGAATCGGACTGCGGACGGGGCAATGATGCGGCAGCCTTCAAGTTGACCAAGGCAGCATGCAGCCAACTCGGTATTGTACCCGGTCTGCAACCCGCGGCACCCCAGATGTTCCCCCCTCTCGCCTCTCACGGCACTGCATTGCCGGATCCCGGAGCAGAAGCCTTATGTCTTTCTCCTTGGCTGGCACCAGGCGAGCATGCCAAAGATTGTACATATACAATACGACAGAGGTAATCGTCAGTCAAGAAGGTGGGTCGCGGCAAACTCCGAGTCTTGCACTGCAAGCTGAGGCAGGGCTCAGCTGGGTCGATGATACCGGCTGCTTTGCGGGGGGGCATTTCCATCTGTTGACGCATCGGATCCAAGATTGACGGCTTGACGGCGCTCAAGAACCGCGCGGCGGCCTCATGAAGCCGTCCGTTGCCCTTTTGAGTTTTGGGGCGCGATCAAGAAGGCTATCCGGTGACATGTCCGAACTCCAAAGAGGCCGCCGACACTGCAAAGACAGTGGTATTGTGATTGTTGGTTTCAGTCAACTGGTTCATTGGCTGCATTGAACTGAACGGGTCTGGGGGGGACAGAGCCATAATGCCGCTACTTGTCGACGTAACCATTGGGGAGGCGATCACAGTTGGAAGGGGGTTGGTGTTCTACGGGGTATAACGGGGAGCGGGGGGAGAGGGGATATAAGTGAGCTTCAGGGGAGTGTTCTAGCTTTACCTTCCTTGAAGGTATACCTAAACATCTCAAAAGTTTAAGGGCTAGCTGAGGGCTCGGACAAAGTTGGCTTATGTGTTGGGAACATGTTCGACGTCATTGAGTAGACAATCAATAATCACCCAGACTTCGATGAGGGCGAAATCGGCGGACCTAATGCCAACGACGTTTCGGCCAATATTCTCGAAAGAAACTTGAGTCCATGCATGTGTAAGACGATGTGTAGTTGGTAGAATTTGGAAGTTCCTAGCAAGCTGATGTGGACTGTTGAAGTAGGTAGTCCTGGCCTCTATCGAGGGAGACAATGGAAACCCCCTCCTCCACTGTAGTAATTATAGTAACTCTAGTTAGTGCTGACCTGGGGTCTTGCGTCCGTTATTCCCATCAATATTGACTGGATGCGATCAGATCAGGACCGGATAGATGCAAGCGAGCGAGATCAAGCGAGGTGGAAAAGAGGAGGGGGTTTTACTTATGTAGAAGCAACCAAAGCCCACCAGTCTACCAAATAACTTCCTGCCTGATACAGGTCCCTTTGACAGCGGCCTCTGAGCGAATACGTAGCACGCACCAACGGGTAGATTAACTGGAATGAGCACATCCCAGCCCAGTTATACCACGCACAATGTCCAGACAAATAAGATAGCCAGGTAGGTAGTTCAAAGGATATTTAACAATAACGACATGGTCTCAAGAGAACCGGCCCAAAAAGAATACTGAAGACCTCTTAATTGAAGAGGGTGGCATACGGTCCCCTCCTCGCTACCCGTCTGGAGCAGTGCTTAGGCTGTTGTGGTGAACATTCTATCTTGGCTTTCGGCATTCTTCAATTTTCCCTCCCATCCTATCCTTGATCTTTCCCTTCAAACTTTCGTTATCCTTCCGTTTCCTCTAAAATTTCCAAATTCAGTCCCCAAGACACAGATAGGAGCCTGCGTGGGTAGGGCTACTCCCGCGCAGGTCTGCTGTTGACACCCTCCCGGACAGCAGCCAAAATCAGCTCCTTGGCCTTCTCCACGCCTTCCTTAGTGCCGACCACCTCGATAGCCTCGCCCTTGGCCTGGTCACGGGGCACGGTGATCTTACAGCCGCTCTGCTTGCGGATCGAATTGACTTTGCTACCGCCCTGGCCGATGACATAGCGGTATGTCTTCGGATCCGGAAGAACAAGATAACCCGTGGCGGTTTGCTTGCCGGCCTGTTCAAGGGCCACCTCAATGGCCTTCTTCGCCTTCTCGACGTTTTCAGGTGAACCCCGGAGAACCCATGGAATCTCTCCTTCCTCGCCCGATGCGAGTTCCACAACCTTCCACGAGTGGGCGTCGGCAGCCGTCTCGGCCTCGTCGGTGATTAGCGGGAGCGGACCGCCATTCGCCCGCGTGCTGGTAGGGGCCGCCGGCTTGGGCGGAACGGGATGCCCCGCATGATCGACCGTGACGTGGTAGTCATTCCGGAGCCTCCTAAACATCTGCCCATTGCTAGACACGGCATGATGGAGAGCACGCGGGATCTGAATCGTCTCTCCTGGTTGATCTCTGACCAGGGACTCGATATGAGCCTTGGCCTTCTCAACGTCGGTCGACTGTCCGGCGATCTTGACGGCGGTCTGGCCGCTACCTTGGCGAGGAATGTCGATAGAGACCTTGAACTGAGATTCGAGACCTCGCTTGACTTCACCGCCACGGCCGATCAGGGACCTATGCTTCTCAACAGGCACTTCCAGAACTTCTGTGACCTGGCTTTCGCGCTCGGACACGATGGCCTGGATCTGGGCAATGATCTTGTCGACGACCTCGCTGCGGCCCTCTACCTTGATGGTGTTTCCATCGGCATCCTGCTTGGGGAACTGGACAGTGCGTGCAAGCTCCCGCCTATCATCAGAACCGCCTGCCTTGAGGACGATGTCACGCAGGTTTGAGCCTACATTGATTAGCGATCATGGTGAGAAAGTGTACTGCGCAATGGGCAGCTTACCGCCAGAACCGATGAGAGCCTTGTGGTACTTTCTGTCTACGTCGATCGTCTTGACCACAGTGTCCTCAAAAATGGCCTTCTTCTCCTCCAAAATCTTCTTAGCCGCGGCGACCTGCGTTTTAGTACCTTTAATCAAAATCTCCACCTCAGTGTCGGCAGAGTCTTTTGCGCTCGGAATGTCAATCTTGGCACCAGTAGACTGACGCAGCTCTTCCAAAGCAGCGCCGCCTGAGCCGATCAAAGAAGGGACCTGCTTCTGTTGGACAGTGACAGTGGCTGTGAAGGAGTTATCCCTCAAATATTGTACCAGCGACAGCAATTCGTCGCGCGCCTCATCGGCACCTCGCTTGGGGCCGCGGACGATAACTTCGTCGGCGGCTTGTTGACGGCGTGGCTTGCCGGCATCGCTGGCTGACTCGGCAACAGACTCGTCGTCCCTGGTGCTCTTTGTGCCACGGGGGAAGAAGATCAACACCTTGTACCGGGTCTGAAGGCGGTTGATTTGTGCGCCTTGGGCGCCGATGAGCTCGCGGTGGAACTTGGGGTCAATCTTTAAGACGTGAGTTGTCTCATCCTGTAGCTGACGAGCAAGAGCATTGATATGCGTCCTCGCCGCCTCAGCCTTGGCCTTTGGACCCTTCAGCTGGACTTTTCCGTCGTTGACCTGAATGTCGACGTCGAACTTCTCGCGTAGGTCCCGGATGTTGCTCCCCCCTTTACCGATTAGATGATTAGCAAACTTTTGAGGGAACTCAAATTCCAGAGTAAATCCTCGCTCCTTCTCGTCCTGCTTCTCTTGCTCAATGAAGTCCAAGCACTTGCTCGCGAGGGATTCCACGGCCGAGCTAGGACCGCGGATGTTGACCGTTGTGCCGACATTCGACACGCGAACTGGAATCTGATTGGCCGGCCGCTTTTCCTGTTCTTTCTTGATGAACTTCCGGAGTTTGTCATGGTACCTAGGAGAACTCTAGTTAGGAGATTTATCACATATTATGCAGGAAGGGTGAGCTTACTTCTGCGGCACTTCAATGGCTCTCGAGGAGAGAGACTCCTGCTGATTGATCAAGCTAGTTATGTAGGCCTGAGCGTCTTGCAGCCACTTTTGCATCTCCTTGAGCTCGTTTTGGGTGGGCTGGGATCGCGGAATCTGGTATGAGTCGGCGGCTGAAGTTCCCTCATACACCAAGAGGACAGGCGCATCTGCCTCCGAGGCTTCGGGTACAACCAGGCGAACGCCGTATTCCCGTCTGACCTGGGGAGTTACGTCGTTACGAATGTACTGATGAAAGAAGGGATCGACAGCAACAGTAGCCATGCGCGCTGGGGGGTGCGCGTCCACAAGGCCCTTGATTTCAGACTGGGCCCTGATGGCGTTCTTGCCGTCGCGCGAGTAGAGCTCCCATGGCAGGGCGCCTTCCTCAGAGAACGGTGTGTTAAAGTGCACATTATACAACTTCTCCAGCCGTTGTATCTCCCTCACTTGGCGGAGATAGCGAGTTACGTTGCGTGCGTGAGCTGCAGCACCACCCGGCGCTTGACGATGGAAGCGAGAGATGTCGATGTTGGAGCACTGCATATTCATGGCCAAGTCCATCGCTTTCTCCAAACCGGCCTGAACTTGGTCAGCCGGGCCGATGATGGTCACCATATCGTCGTCCTCGTCGGTTGGCATGACAATTGTGCATCCTGTCTCCTCGAAGAAGTCGTCCAGAGGGATGCCTCTCTCCCCAATGATGAATTGGTGACGTCCACGTTGGATGGAGAGCTGCTCCAACATCAGCTGCTCGCGGAGCTCCTGTGCACGCTTCTCAATGGCTTCGCGGGCGGCCTTGACTGCCTCGCGCTCGCCCGCCAGCTGAATGAAGCTCTCGGTCGCAGGAGCGAACTCCGGGCGCTGTCCAGGAGCCGGCACAGTTGGAGGTTGGGATGACCAGGCGTGATAAGGAGGTACCCGAACCTGGATCCCCTTGTCCTGCTCGAAACTGGTAATCGAGCTGTTCTTCGGGCCAGCGATGAAGGGATAAAACTCAACAGGTATCCCCTTCAGCCGCGTGGTGACGTTGGCTGCACGCTCGCCGGCGATCTTGAGGACAGCATTTCGGGCTGCGGCGGCCTCCTGAGAATTGCCTTCAATGATGACATCGATCAGACTATCATCATCCTCCTCCACGGGAGCCTGACCCTCTTCAATCTTGGGCATGTGAATCCGAGCGCCGGTCTTCTCCTGCAATGCCTTGATGGTAGAGCCGCCCTTGCCGATGATGTGGGCCCTGGCGGAACGAGGAATAGACACCTTGATGGAAAGCTTAGTGCCGATAAGAGTAATGAAGTCCTTCAACGCCTGTGTCGCGATCTCCTGCGGGCCAACTGCCTCCACCCTGACCTTACCATCGGGCTGAGTCATCACCTTGACCTGGGCACGCGACTTGCGATTGAAGTCCTTGACGATATCCGGCAGAGGCCGCTTCAACTGAGTACGAGGAAGCACGTGGTGAGGTTCGAGAAGCGTGTACTCAACGTTGCGTCCCGGAATGGAGAGATTCGGCGGGCCGCGCAGAGCCGGGGGAGTGGGCGTGGAGACGCCAGAAGGGGGCGTTGACGTCGGCGGAGTGCCATTGGCCGGGCTGGAGCCATTGGGCTTGCCGTTCACACCAGCCCGCGCAGCCCAGATAGGGGGAGCGGCCGAGGAGGGTTTGGGCGCTGCTCCCCCGAGTTCTGGGAACAGCTCGTGAGATCGGGTGGCCAAGCCCGCCGTGTCCTGGTTCTTCTGTTTTTCAGCTCCTTTGCTGGACGGCGACGCTGCTGCTTCGCTGCCGGATGGTTGAGAGGGCAGGTCCTCATCAACGGCATCCTCAACAGTGGCACGATGCGACATATGTTGTTGCAAGAGTTGGCTCGCAGCGGACTGCTCGGCGGTGGTATTATCGGCCATGATGACTGCTTATCGATGTCACTGTAAAAGATCGACAGGGCAGACTGCAATACGTCTTTTGGGTTCGAATCGAATCTATCCAGATTCAATGCCAACGTTAGGCCGGTGTGTCAGATCCTTGTGCCGGGTGTATTGAAGCACTGGGGATGCTGCTCTACGTGGCCAAACTTACGGCTTGATTGTCAAGCACTCGCACTCGCGATTATAAGTCCAATGAACTAAGAGGACCGTGAGCAACGGAAGTTTGTCTCGCACTCGGTTGCGGGGAGGAGAGTGTGCGCCACCGATGGTCAGCCGTGGACGGAAGAAGGAAAGCAAAGCCTGGGGAGCGTCGGCTCAGTGATCAGAACATTGCGCGCAGGGGAATTGTGCACGAAGTGTGGTTCTGGCAGTTATATAGGTAGAGGCGAACGGGAAAACAGGCCAAGGGCCGTGTCCTGGCAGCACAGAGAAAAGGCCAGACAAGCGGCGGAGTGAAGTTAAACTTTAAGGAGTAGAGTGGACTTTCTGGCAGCCTCCTAGAGCTTTCACCAAAAAAAATGTTCAGCAGCAATTGGAAGGCCTTGTCGGGTGGATCAGACTGTGCCCCGCAGAGGTTTTGCCGGCCCTGCAAACCTGTCAGACCGTTGCTTGTCACGAGTTATCAGCTGCCGGCCTCAAGCCGCCTCAACAATGGGTTTCTAGTCGAGTACATTCTTAGATCTGTCGGAAACCACCGCTTTGATTGAGTACTGTACTGTACAATACCTACTACCCTCCCTAGTTAGGATTGCGGGAGATCGACCATACCCTCACTTGTCGGTTTTGCGCCTGTGCCAAACGGAAGAATCCGTAATACCGATGACAAAATGAGGGCCGGGCTGTCCACATCTCTGGCTGTACGGAGTACACAACTTGGTAGGTAGGTACTCAACAGAGATGGAATCTGAGGCTGCCTGCGGCGACAGGAGAACGGTGAGGGTAACGGTTTAATGTCACCGGTGCAAAGGTGTGCCATGCAACGCCGGAAACCCAACCGTACGTAGTGCGATGTGCAGCGGCTGCAGGTACAGCAAGGACGTGCTGGGGATCTGGGGTAGTGAGCAACCCTAGCTTGGAGATATCGTGGTTTGACGTGCCGATTTTGCTGCCGTGCGGGGGTGGCTTCTGTTTCTCAAACTCTTTTTTGATGCCAAGTTTGCCTGTTCAACCTGGAAGGTTGGCGACAATGCATGTGCAATACATGTGTACGAGTTGACTCCTCTGAGGATGTATCCACGGCCCTTCAAATTCCCCCGCCTTCCAGCTCGTCCTACGATTCGGATCCTTGCTGGCTTCTGCGCCGGTTCTGGAAGGATGACCTTCATGAAGGAGAAGATGCCGCCGACTTGAGTTCACTGCTCTTGCATGTATGTAAACTGCCCACTGGGCCAGGACCTAAGGAAAGGATGAAGGTATACACAGACATCGAGCGAAGGCGCAAAACGGTAGAGGCAGCTGCAGAACAAGGTGTTCGTCCCATTGACACGCCATTGGGTTTCTCACCATTCGGGTTGCAGCACATGAAATGACCCTGGTCGACGGCCAAGGATATGGCCGCGTGTCTGTTCGGGAATGGCCACAGCACCGCGCCATCCAGATGATGTCCACTGGGGATTGGATCTGATTGCCTCTCACCAGATTGTGGCTTATCGTATTTGCAGGTCAGGGCAGGGTCTCAGGGAAAGAGTGCTCTAAGGTTCCATTAGGATAATCGATAAAGGAAGAGGGAACCTGAGTCTATTGCCAATCAACCGGTTCGAGGCCAGACCATGAAAGCACAGGCTTACAGTCCTCGAGACCAGTCATCGAGCAGGCCGGTACTGTACCTTGCATTACAGCTTCATGGCAAAGGCACTTGGTGATAGCCTTGAGAGATCTTGGTGTTGGTGTCCGTATCAAAGCCGGGATTGCAGGGCTAGGGTCAACGTCGAGATTTGAGAATGCGGTTACCGATTTAAAACCCCGATCCCTCGCGGCAGTTGCAATCGAGACAGATCGGCGCGACGGTCAGAAACCTTGCTTGGTGACTGGGTGCTTCGAGCCCCAAGGAACTCACCTTGCCAGGACTTTCGTACTATATATGTGCCGTATCACAGTCGATTCTAGATAGATATACGTCCGTAATTGCCCGATATCTTGAGGGTCTCGAGTGTGTTGCTTTTTCGGTAAGGATGGGAACTGCAGGTCTGGTACTGTACTGTACTGTACACAGACCTAGCCCTACCAATGTCTGCGATAGGTATGTACGAAAACTGTATTGAACCTTGTTTTGCTGTTGTGGGCACGCACCGGTCGAAGGTGTGCTGCGGGCTGTGCATCTGGCGAGTCTGGGTAATATGGAATAGCAAAAGCGGGCCGGGTGGCAAAAGTCAGGGCACCTCGGCTGCAAGATCGTGATCATACTGTAAGGAGGCCATTGAAGATGCATGGAAGTTTCCAATCTTTTTGGACGGCTTCGACGGCGTGGTGTAGGTACCGAATTACTACGACGTATTCCTTTGCCCGCTATTCGCAGCCGATCGGCCGATGCAGACCAGTGAGGACACTGCTTCTCCGATCTGCATATGGTAGGGTAAGGTAGCTTGCATTCAACCTTTCATAAGGCTACCCGTACCCACGGTACTTATCATACCCTTCAATTAAGAGTTCAGACCCCTCCTGAGCATTGGTTTTAGTCTGCAGATTCTGAGCGGCTTGAGACGCACAGGGACACCCGCTGCCCGCTGCCAGAAACCGAACTCGGGATGAACAGCAGTTGGTGACGTCGTCGTGGATCGTATTCATCAGTGTCGTCCCGACCATTGTATCTTCGCCACACCTGAACAAGCCATCACCACTGGCATTGCAAACTTGGTCATTCAGCCAGTGTGAGCATGGACGTTGTGCCCCGCTTCTACACTACCTTAACATTGCGGAAGTGTATGTACGTACGTACGTGTATTTACCGTACTTGGTACATACATCCATACATACCTGGTAGGTATGTAGTCGAGACGGTGGTGGGACCCCAGATGCAGGGCTAAGGGCACTCTACCAAAGGCTCCTGTGTATGTACAGTACGTGCAATACTTATGGAAGGTTCCTAGGTCCTCCTCAGCTCTCGACGATCATGCTTCTGGGAGCTGGTCCCTCGGCTGTGAATGGTTCGAGAACGCCCGTCATGCTCTCCGTTGACGCACCTCAACCGCTTCAAGCCTTCAACGCTCTTTAAAAAGTGCCAGCCATGCCTAGTGCGTTATCTGTTCTGTCCCTTGCCCCTGCTAGCCTGCTTCATCCCACTCGGCCAGCAACGGCGGCGGCTAGCAATCCCCTTGGCTGGGGCTATTTTCTCCACAACCTCAGACACTTCTACCATGCCGCTACAATGATGGCGCGAATTGATTCACTTCAGCTCAGCCTACCGGTCAAGAGCAAGATGAGAAGGACCTTTGAATACAGGAAGTGCGTGACAAGTGCGCAAAGCTGGGCCTTCTTCTGCTGTATCCTGAGTATGTTCTTAGGTTCTACTACTCCGTAGTGCTGTGTGTCTTTCGGTGGGCACTACACTTCGCTAGTAAGGTATGTATTGTACTGTACAATACATACATAGGGTACCTATAATTTGCGAGAGCTCCCGCCTTCCGTTACCTACCATACAACCATGAAGCGATTCGACTAGTATTCTGGAAACGCTTCCATCCAAAAGGTTCTGTCCTTGTCCGTTACGCCTATTTGGCCCGTTTTCTAGCGCCACCTAGCAAACAACTTCACCTACAGCGCGGGTACTACAGCAAGGGTCGACAATTGTCACAATCCAAGTTCCGTTACAAACAGCGCAGCAGTCAGATGTTCGCACTGTGAACCCCGGCTCTCAAGCAGCTTTTTGAACCTCTAACTAAGCGAGACTTGTCAATCACGCCGCAGATTCAACCAGAGACGACCAGTGCGCGACGGCAGCTCCGACGGAAGCTAAAGTAGAGAGCCAAGCAGAGGACGAGATCAAGCAGAGGGTAGGAAAGGCCAAAACGCAATTTTGCGACCCTCGGTTGCGTGCCTCAATTTGCTACCACCCATCCTCCAAGAGTTGCTTTGTCCGGCTCCCGACGTATGTTGAAATTTTTCATTATTATTCTTCTTTTTGCGGCCCCCTAACTTCTCTCCACTGTGCCGTGAGATGGATAGCCCAAAGATCCCTTCCTCCGGCACCTCACAACGTCGCAGGCTCACCAAGAAACCTCCGTCGGCCCATCATCACCAGCACCAGCACCCTCACCCTCACCACCACCATCACCGCAGCCACTCCAGCTCCATCCACAGCATCAGTCTTGATGGTCGTGTTGACGCCCCATCTCTAGGAAGCAAACGCAGCTCGGCCAGCTTGAAGCGGACCCCCACTGCTGCAGCTGCTGCAACAGCAGCAAACGCGTCCCCCTCGTCCTCGCCACGCTTCCCCGCCGCACCTTTGTCGTCCGCTTTCTCACCCTCGGCCCGGTCGCACACCTCGCCCATCCTTCCCGCCGGCAAGCCTACGGCGCTGTTTGCCCTGTCGCAGCCGCATTCTCACCCCGTGCACGCACGCTCGGACGCGCCTCAATTCACACATCCCGGCCCAGCGAATGCCCTTCAACCCCTCAGCACCAAGACTTCAGACGAACTAATTGGCGCTCCCTTTGACGGCACAGCGATTCTCAACCGCATCGAGGCGCTCAAAACCCGCACGCAAAGCAGTGACAGCAGTAACTACAGCAGTAACCACAGCAGTAACAGGAGCAGTACCCTGACCCCGCCCCGTTCTGCCGTTCCTCAGTCGCCCGACGCGAACGACGGGACGCAGGCCATGGGTCACTCGCCGCCGCCGCCGCTGCGACAGTCTGCGAGCTTTCCTGCCACCGATCTGCCCATTCTGAACGAAAAGCCCGGCACATCCAAAATGGAGGCTTCAACGGCACCTAAGCGCTACTCGGACGAAACCAAGGAGAGCAAGATCCCCAGTGTGCTCAGGAAGAAGTCGGGCTTCTCCGGCTTCATGAACAGCCTAGTGGGGTCGCCCAAGAAACCGTTGATCTCTGCACCGGAGAATCCAGTTCACGTAACACACGTCGGTTATGACAGCTCAACCGGCCAATTTACGGTAGGTCATTTTCCTTGCGTATGGCCCATGCCGATTGCTGACGGTGTCGAAGGGACTGCCCAAAGAGTGGCAACGGTTAATCAACGAAAGCGGCATCACAGAAAAGGATACGCGGGAGCATCCGCAAATCCTCGTTGATGTTCTGACATTCTACAAGGAAACCCAGGAAAAGCCCCAAGAAGACCAACAACTAGAAAAATTCCATGACGCGCGGGCGGCCGACTACCGCGCCATATCCGGCACCCCGTCATCCTCATCCACTCTCGTCTCCCCCGGGCTGATGCCCTCGCCCTATGGCGCGATCTCCCCCTTGATCAGCCCGCCTGCGAGTCCGAGGTTTCCAAACGTCACTCATGAAGGCAGTTTCGAGAATCCCCGCGCTCCCCCGCCAGTCCCGAAGGGTCCTTCCCTCCCGGTAAAGGACATAAACCTAATGCCCAGTCGACCCGCTCCCAAACCCCCAACAGTCCTAGCGTCGAGAGGGCAGCCACCATATCCCGCCAAGGATTCGGGGATTGGCATGCCGCCGCTTGGTGAAGATGGTTCACCTTCATATCTCCCGCCGAAAGACAGTGTGCCAATGCTGCCAGAGGAGCACCGGTCAAGGTCGAATTCACGAGCAACCGGCGCATCGCCATATTTACCCTCACAGCCGTCCCCCTCTCTCCCCTCTCCAGCCAATCAGACAGCGATGTACCAACAGCAGTTAATGCAGCAGCAGCAGGAGCAGGCAATGGCCCAGGCGCAAGCTGCCATGAGCGGCCAGCTAGGGCGGCAAACGAGCAAGCGCCAGCAACCGACTCCGCCAACCTCGCAGCACCAGCACGCGCAGCAAGGGGACGCAAACGGTCGGGTGCAACCAGCACAAACCAGGCTTGCACAACCGGGATCGAGACCGCGGCACAGGCCACGGCAAAGCAACGGTGTTGACGTGGTGGCTGCCTTGAAGAGGATATGCTCCGAGGGCGATCCGCGGGAGATCTACCGCGGCTTCAACATGATCGGTCAAGGCGCGTCCGGGGGCGTGTATACCGGGCACGAGAGGGGGACCAACAGGCTGGTGGCCATTAAGCAAATGAATCTGGAGCAGCAACCAAAGAAGGACCTGATAATCAACGAGATTCTGGTCATGAAGGAGAGCTCACATCCTAACATTGTCAACTTTATCGACAGCTACCTGTGTGGAGGAGAATTGTGGGTAGTGATGGAGTTCATGGAGGGCGGAAGCTTGACCGATGTGGTGACGTTTAACATCATGACTGAGGGTCAGATTGCCTCCGTCTGCAGGGAAACACTCCGGGGCCTGCAGCACCTGCACTCGAAAGGTGTCATTCACAGGGATATCAAGTCTGATAATATCCTACTCAGCATGGAGGGCAATATCAAGCTGAGTAAGTTTCATTTGTTCCTTGACAATCATCCCTGCTGGCGTCTTGCTGACTTGAGGGCCTCTTCCTTCTCCAGCCGATTTTGGTTTCTGTGCGACGATCAACGAGGCGCAGAACAAGCGGACAACAATGGTGGGAACACCGTACTGGATGGCGCCCGAGGTGGTGACGCGCAAGGAGTACGGCCGCAAGGTGGATATCTGGTCACTGGGCATCATGGCCATCGAAATGATTGAGGGCGAGCCTCCGTACCTGACCGAGTCACCGCTGCGCGCCCTCTGGCTGATTGCTACCAACGGAACGCCGCAGATCAAAAACGAGCATGAACTGTCGGCCGTGTTCCGCGACTTTTTGTACTTTGCCCTCAAGGTGGACCCGGAGAAACGAGCAAGCGCCCATGATCTATTGAGGGTGAGTTTTGACCACGGGGAGTCGTTCTTTTGCGGCCCGCTGACGAGTTACTCTGATAGCATGAGTTCATGAAGCAATGCGTCGAGCTATCAACATTAGCGCCCCTGGTCCGAGCCGCGCGGGAAGCGAGAGCACAGGAAAAGGCCCGGAAGGGACAATCATGAAGCGGATGCCTGTCACTTTGGTCCTTGGGGATATTGATACTTCGACTAGACGGCCGATCTAGCGATATTTGGTGTCTTCACTTAGCAACCCCCTTCAAAGGGCTGTTTGGGGACTATTCCTGATCTTTGCGCTTTTTTTTTGGCAGGAATATGGGAAGTCTCAGCACCATTTTCTTTACTTGCAAGAACTTCAACAAAACCTGAATTTGTTATTTGCCATGGCGAAGCTGGCTAGCAGGCGGGCATTTGTGCAATGTATTCTTGTCTTGTTAACCCTTTCAATTTTGTTTCCTGTCTCCAAAGTTGGCAGGCTCATCTTCTATTTATCACTTCATTTCTCAGAGGGCCAAACAAACATCGCAGATCAGACCGTGGTCGCTTTTCGTGGTCTTGCCCTAGCTCGTTTTCCTTCTTTGGTTCAATCTTGGAATCTGTCCCGTCATGGCATGTGTCATATGGCGAGAGACAGGTGTAACGGAACGCATAGGATGTCTGGATGGATGGCTGGATGGAGTGGAATGGAACGACATGGAAATGCATGTGGGCAAAACGAGCACTAAACAAACGCGTCTGGACTGACGGTCGGATCACGTCGATTTGGTCAAACTAAAGAAAAAAAGAAAAGAAACAAAATAGAGTGCATTCAGAGTCAAATCGCCCACTCAACTTATCAGAGTCGCCAGTCAGTCGAAAACAAGGAATATATGTTGATGCTGTTCAGAAGATGGCTATGTATCTGTGACACCCCCTGCTTGTCATATTGCTTGCTACCAGTACCGCTAAGACTCCTGCTCCTGTTGCTACTACTTAAGTCTGCTTAAGCAAGAGCCTGCCTTTATTCGTTCATTCTGTAAAACCGTCGTAAACCACACTGGAATATCTGACTCAAAGCGTAATCCGCTCAGGGAGGCAGTGCCTCCGTCCTGGGCAATTTTCGTTTCTATGTGAGGATTGACCATATCTCCCCCTTACAAGTCACAACATTACATGACCGGACATACACGTTATGCTCTATTAGTTGAAGAATGAGATGTTGGGACTCGGGAGGAGTGACCTTTGGCGAGAACGGTACGCACATGGATGATTACAACCAACAACAACCGATAATTCAATTGGAGCACTCTTTGACCTCACCAAACTGCACGAGAAAGCGTTCTTATGGATATAGTTATGTAATGTCGCAAGGCTGCATTGAATATATGCTCGAAGCATTCCCTCTAGCCATACCATTATTCATGCCCATTGCCGATGTGAATAGACGTTCTTGCCCGAAATGCCAGCCAACCCTGAAGGAAAAGATCCCTTTTTGTTATCGTAATTTCCGCTGTACGCCAGTCCTGAAACCCGATCCTCAAAGGAAATAAGAAACCAGAATGAATCCCAAGAAAGGAAAAATGGCGTGCCTGCCATAGCCGCACGCTAACCCTGAGCCCACCGATGACCTCGAACCCCCAACAAACATTAACGCGGTACCTTTGAAGAATATGCCGTTGGGAAAACAAAGCCAGAACCGTCTATAGGGTATCCCATTAAGCCGACGAATGCAGATCCCGGATTAGTAAAGAGTGTAGCCGCCATCGATAATGACGTTGGAGCCAGTCATGAAGCTGGAAGCGTCCGAAGCAAGGAAGACGCAAAGACCGTTCAACTCATCCACGTCACCCAGGCGATTCTGGGGTGTCAGACTCTTCCAAATCTTCTTCTGCGCATCGAGAGCGGGGACCTTGTTGAGCGCAGTGTCCATGTAGCCGGGCGAAATGCAGTTGACGCGAATGTTGTACTTGGCCCACTCAGCAGCCAGCGACTTGCCCAGCTGGATGACGCCAGCCTTGGAGGCGTTGTAGCATGACTGCTCCTGAGGGTAATTGACAATGGAGCCCGACATGGAGGCGACGAGGATGATGGAGCCTGGCTTGCCAGCGGCCATCATGGCGCGGCCGACGGATTGCGACATCAAGAAGGAACCAGTCAGGTTAATATCGATGAGGCGGCGGAACATGGCCGGGTCGTACGTCTCGGCTTTGATGTTCGAATCGGCAATACCGGCCGAGTTCACCAGAACGTCAGGGGGTCCATAGAGATCCACCACATTCTGAACGGCGGCATCAATGGCATTGCCGTCACGGACATCTACCTTGAAAAACGAAACCGGCAGGCCCGTCTTCTGGTGCAGTTCGGCAGCAGCCTCATCACCAAGGTCCTGGTTCGCATCGAAGATGGCGATCGCCTTGGCGCCGGCTTCAGCACAAGCACGGGCCATGTGGTTTCCGAGTCCACGAGCACCACTGCAAGCCATGTTAGACTCAATTAAGACAAGCGAAGCGATGTACAGAAGGGTCAGGGCTTACCCAGTGATGATAATGACCTTGCCCATAACGCTCATCTTCTGAAGCGTGCGAGGCATCTGCTTATAGACCTTCTCATCCAGTGGAGTGACGGTATCGTTCTCCTCGGCGACGGGCGGTGCCGAAGGACGGGAACCCTTGACTGGGATGCTGAAGTGGCCCGGAGTGGACGACGCCGCACCCTTGGCGTCCGGGTTGTAGACCGAGACGGGAACCTCAGTCTCCTTGATGACCTCAGACTTGGTGCGACTGGCGGACACCGAGAACCCGGCACGCTGGAAAGCCGGAATGGAGGCACGGGGGGCGATTGTAGGACGAGAGATGCTGGCAAGGCGCGAGGCCAGACGGCTGGTGCGTGCGACAGCGGCCATTGTTGCTTTTCTACTCAGGAAATATCTGAGGACTTGGGAGGATAGTGCGATTGGTGCACAAGTGTTCCTGGCAAACTTTGAAACTCAAAGCGGCCAAGGAGACTGGGCCCAGGAGTGAGTGCGATGCACTTGTATTAAGGCCGCAAGAACCAGACGGGCTGGTGAACGAACGAGCGAATCAACGGAGCTTGAATACCGTCGGCTCAGAATGCCAAAGGTTCCCAAAGACGGACAACAAAGGATGTCGTCCTGAATTTGGAGCGGGGAGGGTTCAAGCTGGTTGGGGGGGAGATATTGTTAAGGTACGTGGAAGGTACCTGGGCTCCTCAATAGCGACCACAAAACTGCGCCTCTGAAGAGAAAAACCTGACAGCTATGGAAACCGTCAGGTTGTTCGATTTATAGGCGAAGAGGTACTGCGAAGACTGAATACCCGAGGCCGGAGCGCGGCAACCTGGAAGCACAGAATTGGAGATTTCGGGCGAGGCGAAGGAGCTAGCGAGTCGAGAGCGATCTTTCTGATGCAACGCAATCCTTGGGTACCGCGGATCGTTTTGGTCTCCACACGCCCTAGTTTTGGAAACTGCCGGTGAAAGCGCTTAGTCGTCGAAACTACCTGCAGGTTGGAAATAAGCTCGGGGTCTGGATGCTTCCAAGTGTGGCACAGGCGAAGCTCTTGCCCACCACGCGGGGCACAGAACGGGAGGACGACTCGGTGCTTGATGCGACACTCAAGAAGGGAATAGTAATCGTGGGTGCTCACCACAATCTGCAAAGAGCGGTTTGTCTCGGCACTCGCCGACGCTTACTTTGGCAAATGTAGTGTGGAGGTGCTTGTTCAAGTATTGTAATGGGTACAACACCGAAGAGAGGACATACAGAGCCCGTGAGGTGTGAAGCGACGTACCTCTTTTCTTGGTGGTTTTCAATCGAATTGAGGCGGCAAATAAGAAAACGAAACACGGCCTGGCTTAAATGTGGGATGATGTGTTCTGCGTCAACCTCGACTCTCGAGTCCTTCTCGATGGCCTGATATTTATCTGATTTTGGCGTTTGGCGGAAGCCTTCCGGAGATGGTTCAGGACCGAGGGTGCCGATGCAGCACCGAGGGGCGGTGTGTGCGTTCTGTGGGACCCAGAGATTGGGAGCAAGTCACAAGACCAACTGCAATTTTCAAAATTCCCCGAAATCAACGCCGTGAGAAACGCTCTTTTCCAATTCGCGACCAGACTTTTTGGTGTTTCAATCATTTGCTAAATCTGCTTAACCAGACTGGGGAAGTGGGGAAGCAAGGCTGGCAGCCACATATCTTGGCGAACCCCGCTCATCCATGTAGCAGCTCTCCACTGACCGATCCATCACTCTCCTATCTCCTGCAGTTTCTGCTGTGACGCGTCGAAACCGACTATCATCCCACTGACAGCGCAGGGATTCGCAGAGAGAGAAATTCCTAGACTATCCTAGCGTACTCTGGAGAGTGTCGAAACTCCTTGATGCTTCAACCAAACGGAGTGCTTCCGCCTTGGCATGTAATGATTATCCCCGCTCGAGAAGTTTACTTTGTCCTTCCCGCTTGAGAGAGTGCATTGGCACAGCTTACCCATTACACAAGCCTATCTACACTACATTGGACCTCTCGTATGGACATACAGTATACGTGTATACATGTGTTCAGTATCTATCGAATCAGCTTCAAAACTCAAGGCTGGTGGTGACTGGGGAAGTGCCGCCGCAAAATGATACCATTCAGATATGGGAATTCGCAAATGCCACTTCAGTTTACCCCCACCTTTCAACCCCACCATGGCCTGCTTTTCTAACGTATCATGCTGGGTCCATCCCAGCACCGCCAGCACATCTCCTGCATGCGTACCGTTGTAGCGGGTACCGGTGTGTACACTGAAGGTCCTAATTTGAGAAGACGGATACGCTACAGGTAATGACAGCACCCCTGGCGGATGTTGTAGAGGACAGTGGCTTCCAAAATAACCAAAAACAAGGAAGACAAAAGGGAAAAGGAAGAGATACGAGGATTTGCGATAAGACCACAGTTGATATGCCATCCAATGTAAGTGTCAGGTACAGAGCTACAACTGTGAAGCAAGTATGTAGGTATGTACAGTACCTTTCGCTACAAACAGATGAGTGTGGTGGGACGGAGTCTACTCGTTCCTACACTCTACTGCGGTGTTTATTCACTGTTTTCTAGTGTAGCCTAGAAACTACTCCGGCGACCGGCGGTTAGAACGATCAGCAGCTGTGCAGCGCGGCGTATCTAGGAGTCGCTAGGGGCGGTTCGAAATTTGTTGACCAAGACGCATGGATTATTCTTGCGATTACGAGGTACAGATGTGGTCCAAATCTTTCCTGTCCTGTGTGATTGCCATTCGAGCCAGCATTTCGTTCAGTGGCGATCGTTCTAGAACTGACATTGCCCTGTCTAGATACGTCGGGTAGCATCCGAGTCAATCACTACAAGTAAGCACCTTGACGCGCGAAGCACATCGGCATTCGGAGATGCAGGATTGCAGGTGGCCACATGATCAGCAAGATTCTTTCGCACGCGAACCCCCCTGCCCTCTGACTGAACGCTGAGTACGTATTTCCAACCTGTTCAAGTACTTCGAACTTGGGATGACTGAATTATCTGGGAAAGGAATTGGAATCCTCTTGACAAAAGTTATGCTACACTGTCTCAACTGTATACAGCGAGAGAATCGAATCAAGTCCGAAGACAACGTGCATACCTCCCGTATCGTATACACGTGTACATGCTCGACATGTCGGACAGGCTTTGGTGTAGGATTTACTGGGCTCTTTGCCTTATTTATCTTGGCAACTGTTCAGATCAGGAGGGAACCTCTTTCAGGACTTCATTCCAATTCCTATGTTGTTAAACCTGTCCTCCTTCGCCTTTGCCTCAAATAAGTCATATCGTCTGAATTAACCAGAGGACGTATCACCAAAATTTCGCCCAGAGCCCAGGAAGCAAATGCACAAGCATGCCAAGACGGGGTCCACGATGTCTTCCCGCACTCAAGCGGGCCGCCACAGCAATGGAACCCCATGTCCCAGGCGTTCGGTTAGGACAACGGCCCGCTACCAATCGAAGCCAGATTCCCCCGGATCTCACGATGGTTTCAAAAATTTAAAGGATTGCGGCGACATGTACTTGTACCCGGCTGTGCGCACAAGAGCTCGGGCCACATCAGATTCAAGTCGCAGCCCACTTTGTCCACTGCAGCATGAGCCTTCCACGATGCTCTGGCTCGCTACTAGGTATAGCTATGTCGGATCTTACGCGTCCCGTCCCTGTTTCCCGCTTTATCACCTAGGCAGTACTTGTGTCGCCTAATTGAGCCGAACTGATTGATGTGCATTTCCGTGTGCCTCTAGTCCCAGGAATGTGGTGCTAACGCCCGGGCTACCGGAGGAACATATCAAGCGACACCGCATCGTCAACCTTGAGGTAGGAAACAAAAGCCCCACGCTAGTCACACCCACCTTGGGAAGGTAAGGTAGTGTAAGGTAACTATAAGAACCCGCCTGTTTTCTCCATTCTCCCATTTACCACCCGCCCTTGCTTGGGTGCTTCGGTTTTCCCTGATCCCAATCCATCCATCTCCCACGCACAGACGACCTGGATGCCTCAAATTCTCCTCATCGCCGAGAAGCAGCAGGAACAAGAATAGAACTCAATACAACATTGAAGCAAAGGTCACTAGTGCCCACCCGTCGCGGTCGAAAGCCGACTCACCCCCAGACGGAGCCCCATGCATTACGATCCTTGTCCCTTCCAAGCAATTGAAACAGACTCCCCACATACGGTGCAAGCAGCCGATTTTCAGTGAAGATCTCCCAGAGCCTGGGCATGACGGGCCTGAAAAGCCTCTCGTTCCACCCGCCGCTACTGTGCTCATCGCCACGGACCCCTTCATCTTCACCCTCGCCATTCGCAATAGCACCGGCAGCGGCTTCTTCCTTACATAACCTCTGCTCGGCAGCAGTTTTGACCACATTCCTGGCGATGTTCCTCAAGATCAGGACGGCTGAGAGCGGGATGCCTGCGGCCTGTGGGGGCGCGTTGGGATTCCGCTCGTCGCGCATGCTGGCCGTCTCTTCGTAGGGGAGGGTGACTGTCCTGGCCGGCTTCACCACGCGGGGCTGCCTAGAAGCTGACGGCCGCTTGGGGGATACGGCGGCGACGCCGCCTTGTGCCGGCTCGCCAGGCTGCTGCTGCTGTGGCTGCTGCTGTGTCTGTTGTTGCTGTTGATGATGCCGCACAGAGTGTCGTTCCTCTTCTGCCCTCAAATGTGTCTTGATGTGCGACGTGAACTGCACGAGCTGCAGCTTCGTTGGCTGGGGGTATTTGGTGCAACTGTCCCAGACGCAAGTGAAAGTCCCTTCTCGGTTCTTGAATAAGCCGTCTTCGCCGCGGACTACCTTCAAATGGTCGATGAGTATGTGCTCATACATCCTCTCGGCGGTGAGGTTCCACGCTAGGCACTTAACCTGCGGCCTACCCGCGTGCTGCCACTGACACTGAAAGTAGCCGCGACCCTCTGGAGTGATGGGGTACGACCTTGGTCGGATGCCTCTCATAATGAACTTCTGAACCTCTCCCATGGGGCCTTCGCGGATTACCTGGGCACCTGCGCTCTGATAAACAGTGCTGATGTGCCGGATGAATTCTGGAGCAGGAATCATGATGCGACCCATACGCTTCAGAGGTTCGAGGAACGCGGAGTTGTAGGCCTGCCAGATGGCAATCTGGGTGATTTGCGCATCAGGGTCCTCCTCAAAGAAGCACCGGAGCCACGCGTAGCACCGCTCGGGTTCCTCCGTGGCAAGGAGGCGCTCCAATAAATCCTTGGGGCATGGGACGACATTCTCAGAAGGTTGTTCATAAGCAAGCCGCGCCTCGCTCACGACGATCTCTCGATAAGAGCGCTTAGCACCGTGCGAGAGTAGCCTGACCAGATGGACCACCAAATGCTCGACATTGGTTTCCGCGAGCATGAGATCAAGGTTGGGAATGACCGCCGTGTACTGGTACAGGAAATCGAGGCAGGCGTCGAGAAGTTCATCGTCGTTTAGCAGAAGCCAATCCATCAGACGCTGCAGGGTAGAGGAAGGCACACCGCCCAGCTTATTGGTCTGTGTAGGATGGTTCATGGCGATACGGCCAATGGCTCGGAGTGCCGTGAGGATGATTCCGCGGTCCGACGATACGAGCTGTGCGAGCAGCGTCTTGTAAAGGGGATCTTCTGAGTCTAGAACCAGATATGGGGTGATTTGCTCTGCTATGTCGAGAGCGAAGTGCTTAAGTTCCACAACAAGCTCCAGGGGTGGGAGGTGTAGAAGGATACAGAGAAGATCTTTGATAGGCGGGTAGTCGGCCATAAACCACGCATTGTCAGGGAGCATCACCATATTTCGAATGGTTAGGACTGCCTCGATGACCAATGTCAGTTTGTCAGTGAATTCCGCCGGCTGCAAATTGTCTTGCACGTCCTTGGGCTTGAGCTGGGCAATTCTCTCGAGAATATCTGCCGAGCCGTTGATCCCATCAAGTTCTCCGATTTCGCCCTCGTCAGAGTCGGGGTCATTATTTATTGTCCAGTCGACGTCGTAGAACATGTTCCCGACACCGAGGGCAAACTCGGTCAACCCCTCGGCCAGCCCCCCGAACTGCGAGAACTTGTACTTATCACCCCGCTCGAACGAGATCTTGACCAAGTGGTTTAGAGCGAATGCCTGTTCTGCCTGGATTCTAGAACGAAGTGAAAGGAGGCATCGTTCATATATGTTAGGACCGTCGAGGGTTCCTAGACCATGTTAGAATAATCTGAGCCGGACGAGTCCCTGGGCGTTTTAGAGAGCTTACCTGCAGGGATGGCAGCCCGTAGAAGCGCCCCTGGGTTCGGCCCTGCAACAGCAGACTGTCGAAAAAGTCGCTGTTTCCTGACGAAGAGGTCGGGGTTGCTGGCTGGCGTGTCTACGATACGCAATTGCACCTGACGCAGAGGTGGTGGCTGGTAGTTCTGCACTACGGGATTGCTCGTGTCGAGTCCCGGTGGGTCGTAGTAATGGGAAGCACCTCGCAGGCTGGGGTGTGGGTGGCTCTGCGCATGCAGTGGAATCGTCGTGTTGCCGTGCGTACGTGAATTAGGATGGGATGGGGCTTGATGCTGCGGGTGGGGGTTGGAGGTTGATGAAGTGGAATGCTGACCAGAAGCATGGCGAACCGTCCGAGATGGGTTAGTATCCGGGTGAAATATTACTCTCGGGGTTGGCGCCTCTCTCAGACCGCGCGAGGCTCGCCCGGAGTTGGGTGTATCTTCGGCTCGGCGTTCTCTGCTCGGCGTCCCATCTTCGGTCGACTCTTCCCTATCCGCCGCCTTGGCCTGTTTGGGCTGGAAAGTTTCCACTGTCCTCGTCAGGAGGGAGCCGCCTTTCGCAGTTGTATGCTCTAGAATCTCGGGTGGGGGTGGCTCCTTGTTATGTATCGTCTTGATCTCATACGCAGCGAGGTTCTTGTAAAATATTTGCTTCAACGTATACGCGTCTGCAGGTGCGTTGTGTCGCATCAAGCCCAAACCCTCGCACATCTTACGCCACATGAGTTTCTCGTCGGACACCTTGTCATAGCCTCCGTGCTCGACGATGTATTTAAACAGCTTGAGGAGGTCAACCGTGATATTTCCCATCTTGGGCTCTGGATCGAAATGGGTACCGCGCTTCTCATGGAAGGCGCGCAGATCCTCGATGAACTTCTCATATTCGGCGGTCCTATCGACGGTATGCTCGATCGCGGGTTTCGGTGGGGCCATCCCGGCGCATTGAGGTACGGCACCGGCGTCGCAGGAGATGCAATCGTGTATATAACCGGACTACTTCAATGTCGTCGTTGCCGAATGCCAGTTTTTCAACAAGTCCCGGCCAGTAAAGCGCGACGTGATGAAATATGGTTACAAGGAAACAGTAACGAATTGTGCAGTGATTCGACGCGAAGGTCCGCGACTGCGTGCACTTCTTGATTGGTAAATCCACGAGACCCCAAAGCCCCATTAGGCCCACAATTTTAGCTCAGAACCACCATCTTTAGCTGCAGTGCGCACGGGCTATACAGCACACAAACCATCGTACTGTACAGTACAGTACACTTGCTAGTAGGTACTGACAGTCTGACCCTTCACCAACAAATGGAATCCAACGATTTGGAATTGATATTCATCGAACCTATGAAAACGAGCCCAAATGAGGTTTGCAAACACAACAAGCCGAGGGCCACGATGCCAATCATTTTCCTTCGCTCTACGGTGGCCAGTCCTTGGTAAGAGGAGCAGCCACGTATAAGATGCACCTGCACTGGAGCCATTCGATTCCGTTCTCAAACTCCGGCTGATACAGTATTTATGATCAAGACAAGCCCAAGATTCGTGGTAACGGCAAGACTCAACAAAAGGTGTAATTATGTTCAGATCCAACTGAAGCTCGCAAGTGCTATGAAGAAAGGGCCGAATGGAAGGTACAGTACGCCAGCAGTGCCTTCTGTATCCAACAATCTGGGCAGTCCCCCAGCACCTGCGCCTGCCTTAGATGTCTATTGCTACCTCCACTATCCCATTTTGCCCAGGTAAAGCGTTCGGACAGAGTTGCTACCTTACTACTGGTAGGGTAAAGGGCAGCATCTCAGGATCCAAGCCTTCGTCCTCTTGTCAAATCCGTTGCATGTCCTTGGCTTCACAATCAACATGAACGCCTCGCAGAGCACAAGGCACATGAGGCGAACAATACTCCGGTTTGCCCTGAAGAGTATCCTCGTAGACGAGAGACCGAATGTATACAAGGACCCTCAGCTGGTACTGAAGCCCCAGCTTGAGCTGCCTCCTCGCAGGCCGTACACAGGCTCGCGACCCCGGGTTCCTCTTTGGCGCCACTTTCTAATGGTCCATGTCAAAGACAAGGCAGAAGAACTTGTTCGTTTGAGGTATGCGCTCGCTTGGATAGGCTTCTAATCTTTTCCATCAGGTAAAGTTCGATCTCAGCGGCTTCAAGAAAGTCCAATCGGCAATCGATCCGACCTTACAGCACTGGGTTCGATGCTCGCCTCCGGAGCACTCGTTCATTTTTCAATATGCGAACGAGCTGGAGAAAGTACGAGACAGCAATCTGGAGATGCTCATTAGCGTCTTACTCACTCATTGTGATACGTTCAGGGCTCCCACATCCTCAGAGTCACGTTACAGAACCGAGCCGACTTTGAAGCCGTTTTCAGGGAATTCGAGGCATTGGGGCTCGACATTGTATACGAACATCAAGACAGTCAAGTCCAGAGCCATGCTACCGCGCGCAGCCCCGCTGGAGATCAGGGCATGCCTGACCGGATCCCATGGGTACTGAGAAGCTTAGGGGAAGTGAGCAATTTAGCTCCCCGTCCAGCTGCGCCACCAGACATAGGGGCTGGCTTGTCAGCCACGAGGAGCTCACTATATCCGGCGACAATCTACCGACCTCCCAGCCAGCCGGTAGGGCTGTCCGCCAGCTCCCGGTTAGGACAGGGAGGATTGTCACCAGCAACCGTGCCCTCGCGGCCAGCAACAACCATTGGCTTACCTGGAGTACTGGGACAAGGCATTTACAAAGTCAGCAAACTAGGCTATGGCTCTTTTGGGCGACCGATGGTGAGGACTCCGACCATGCTGGGAGGCCAAGGTCCCAGACTGTACACTGTCTCAAAGCACTTTGACAAGACAATCGATCGAAGAGATATTTACCTGGCGCGGAGACGGTCTTCGGGTGCAGGACCTGACGGCCCAGGGTTGGGTCTGTCCGAAAATCCCAGTCTTATGTCCAGTCAACCTGAAAGAACCTATGAGCCCGCCCGGCAGTATCTAGGCGCTCTGCAACTACAGGCAAGGCCATCAAGTGACATGGGAGCGGCTTCGAGGAATACTCAAAATCGCTCCAGACCAAGCTGGTTACACCGGACCGACAATAGTTTAGATCCAGCCCGTGAGTATTATCCATGGACACAGTTTGTCCCAGCTCCGGCAGTCAACACGGGGAATCAGCCCTTTCCTTCCTCTGCAGCAGAGGATGCTGTTGGAATGGTATCTTCGCAAGAATCCACAGCGGTAAACGACGACTCTGTCGGCGATTATTGCGACATTGATCATGGGAACGACTTGCTCGAGGTACTGGACAGGCAAGAATTGGGAGAGAACTGGCTATTGCAACTCTTTCAAATCCAACATGAAGGGCTCTGTGAAGCGGGCAGGATATGGGACGAGCTTTTGGCGAAAGGTGCCGCGGATTCAGCATCAGCCAAGGGCCCGGAGGAGCTCGTTAGAATATTGTCAAAATTTGAAGGGGAATTTGTGAAGAGCTGGGATGCCATTGTTTCTACTACTGCGCGGAAAATGAGAGAGGTACAGGCTCAAAAGTTGACTCTTTCGGATGTGAAATAGGCTTGCATGCGATGCATGTTACAGGAAGATAAAATCTATTCCAAGACTTTCTATGCCCGTTACTGACAGAAGATGCGATGGGGCTGGGTGACGGGCGGCTCTTGGAGTTTCTGACACTGCAAGCTCCTTTTAGTTGGCTACGTTGTCTGCCCTCGATCAGTATGTATTGTATACTGGCAGATATTGGAACAATAGAGTCCTCGCTCCTCTCCAACCTCTACATAAGATGCCCGCATTCCCTCACTTCGTGGCCGCCGACTCACCTGACCCCGCCTCACGCGCTCATACTTTACTCCCGTCCTTACCCTGCTCAGCGGCCTTCCTCGATCCCTCCGCCTGTCCGTCCCCGTCCTCGGGCGAGAATTTCAGCGAGATGCTGTTCACACAATGGCGCTCGTCGGTGGGCGTGGGGTACCCTTCCCCCTTGAAGACGTGGCCCAGGTGGCCGCCGCAGTTGGCGCACACAATCTCGGTGCGGACCATGCCAAAGGTCCGGTCCTCGTGCCGCACCACAGCCCCGGGGATGCTGTCGAAATAGGCCGGCCACCCGCAACCCGACGAGAACTTGTGGCTGGCCTTGTACAGCGGCGCCGAGCAACCCGCGCACCTGTACACGCCTGACGAAGGGTAGTGCTTGTCGTACTCCCCGGTCCCGGGCCTTTCGGTCCCCTTTTCGCGGAGGATCCGGAATTGTTCTAAGGGGGGGATTAGTGTTTTGTTTAGGTCGTCTTGGCTGTGTGAAGGTGGGGGGAAAGGGGGGATATGGGCTGTTGTACTAGGGGGAAAAGTGAATCAACCTGGGCTGAGAACGGCGCGCCACTCCTCCGGGCTGCGCTGGTCGGGATAGGATGTCATTTTGTTGCTGTTGGTGTTGTTGGTAGCAGAGGAGCCAAATAAGGCGCTGAGGAATGACATCGATTGTCGCTTGGTAGCAACTCGGGGAGGTGGATGGAAAGCTCTGGGATGCTTGAGGGAGGAAATAGAGCGCAAAAGGCGGAAGAGAGCTATTCTCATGAAGTGCTGTTAGATGGATGAGGAGGGAAACTAAAGTGTGTGAGGGTGATGGATAAGGTAGTATCTTTGGTCTTATATCTGTGGTTACCAGTTGCTTGAGATGGCTATGATGTTTCCGGTTTATACTGCGGTAAGAGGTGAAATACTCTACATTTAAGTTCAGTGGTGACAAATCACCACTGCCGAACTAGGACAACTCGGCTTGTGCTGTGGTTTGGAAGCGGTCGGGGCTGTGCTTTTAACAATGGCCTTAGCAATGGACTCGGGCAAGTTGCGTCAGAGACTTGTCCCGGCGAAATCAACCATTGAAATCCCCCGAATTGCGGACTGCAAAGCTCACGTAGCTGCAAGTCTGCAACACCTCCGTAAACACCTAGTACATGATTATCCGGAATATCTGCGGGTGCCACCTCAAACACATGTCAGCGACTCAGCGTATTCGTAGGGTTATATCCGTAGATTTGCAGGTATCCATAGGGGCACCATTACGCTTCCGTTCGCTAAGCGGATTAGGAGATATGATTATCGTCCACCGTATCTGCAAATAATTGCTTTCTCTAGTTATGAAAGAACTGGGCGGCTTGGAATGATACTTGTCTCTAATCAAGTCCCTTTCCAAGTCAATTACCTTTCTGGACATACTCTAGCAGCCCGACGGTCCACTCTTTGTCCTCTTAACCAGACACCTGAGGCAGGTGGAGTGCATATACAAGAAACTACGGATAAGCCTTTGATATATGCATAATACAGTGTCCTAGGCTCCTAGCCCGTAACATCTGGCAGCCTATTCTCATTTATGCTTTTGCCGCGGCTTTGCAGTCATTGGTACTGAACTGTATTGTACTGTACAGTACACGCATTGTCTTAGGCCACCTGCCTCGAACCTCGAGTTCGGAGCGGCACACGATCAACCTGCTGAGACCTGCCTCTTCTCTCCGAGCCTAACCCGACCCAACATACTCTCCTGGCAAATCGAGGAACCGCAGAACGAAATTCAAGGATATAATAGTTGTCATGTCTCGACGTCCTCCGAACCCTGCTGCCGAGCGCGCGGCGCAGAACCAACAGACCATCAAGAACCTTTTGAAACTGGAGCCAAACAAGGTGTGCGCGGACTGCAAGCGCAACAAACGTAGGCATCTTCGTTCCATTCCTGCTGTATCCGACAGTTATGCTGATTACCCCGTCACCAGATCCGAGATGGGCGAGCTGGAATCTCGGCGTCTTCATCTGCATCCGCTGCTCGGGCATCCACCGCGGAATGGGTACCCATATCAGCCGGGTCAAGTCTGTCGATCTCGATGCCTGGACCGACGAGCAACTGCAAAGCGTCCTTAACTGGGGTAACGCACGCGCTAACAAATACTGGGAAGCGAAGCTGGCCCCAGGACATGTCCCTTCCGAGGCCAAAATCGAGAACTTTATCCGCACAAAGTATGAGCTCAAACGATGGGTCATGGAAGGGCCGATGCCCGATCCCTCGACTCTTGACGCCGAAGGGGACGACGACTTGCCGCTTAGTGTCGTCAAGGAGAAGCAGAGTGTGGATCAGAGGGAGTCTCTTCGCAAGGCGTCAGTGGGCAAAACCGCCGCACCGCAGGCTGATCTTATCGGAGCCGAACCCACCCCTGCGCCAGCACCGCTCCGAGCCAGTAGCACCGGGCCGATGGCCATGAAGCTTCCTCCAAAGTCGGAGCCCGCTCCACCCAAGGCAACTAGCACGAAGGACTCTCTTCTTGGACTAGATTTTTTGGGGACCGAATCTGCCCCCCCTGCACGGCCTGCAAGCACAACTGGAACCCCTAGTGGTGGAGGCCAGTCACGCCCGGATCTTAAGCAGTCCATCCTCTCCCTCTATGCGACGGCTCCTCGTCCCCAACCCCCGCCGCAACAAGTGTCCCATACGCCATCGGGATCGCTCAGTGGAATGTCGCCGCCAGTCACGAGTCAGAGACAGAACTCAGTTGGCGGACTCAATGACGCTTTTAGCAGTCTCAGTTTCGCGAACTCGACATCCCCAAAACCTCCTCAAAACGACGCCTTCTCTGCTCTCGGTACATTCAATTCCCCCCGCCCAGCAGCAGCTCAGTCAAGCAGCACTTCTACCTTTGCGGGTTTGAGTGGTGGCAGCTTCTTCGATCCTAAGCCCCAAACATCTGCTCACCAAGCGAAGCAATCCATTGGGAACTCCTCTAGCTGGGGATCTGTTGCTTCACCACCAGCGCCCAAACCTGCTCCAGCACCTGCATCAGCCGCATTGGGAGACTTATTTGACTTCTCCGCACCCTCTCAACCCATCGCGGCTCCAGCCAAGCAACCGGTAATGGCGTCAACTACGACGACAACTTCTACATCTGTCTTCAATCTTTCTGCCACTCAGCCTAAGGCGTCCTCCCTAACTGCGAGCTCCACGACAACCTCTAACCCGCTGGGCTCCATCGGTTCGCTAGGCACGAACAACTTATCCAATGCAGATGTCTGGGGTGGAAACGCATGGGCTACTCCTGAAGCGCCCAAGCTCAGCCCAGAGCCGCCCAAACCAACTACTACATCGAACGATTTCGGATGGGACTCACTCGCCAGCAAACCCATCGTTCCCGGTGCATCCGGGGGTTTCGCACCCAAGGTAGCCGCCGACGAGGAGTTTGGCGGCTGGACTAGCAGCACAACTCCGGCAGCGACAACCAGCACATCTAAGTCGGCCGGAGGATTTGGCGGCGAGGATCTGTTCTCGAATGTCTGGCAATAGAACAACGGCAGATGGTGTACTAGTTGGCCGTGAGCCGTTTCTGAAACCACATAAAACAGGATAACCCGTACAAAGACGAATATGGTCATTTGGGAGGTGGCTTCTGATCATTTCAGGGGCTGTAAAGCAGGAACTGTGGTAGGTTGCGTTTGAGCTAAGGGGGAGCAAGAAACAACGCGGGGGCAATGGCCTCGTCCGGCTTCATGTTACCCATAGACTGTCCATACCAAACCAATAAACCATCAACATTCATATTCCAGGTCTTCGGGGTGTGGGGGAACGAGGGAGGGGAGAAGGAGTATATAGCTGTGGCCGAGCAGTGTTAGCAGGCGGTCTTCCTATCCAGCTAACTACGAAACCCTTTAGCTTCCCGCCATTTTTTTCCATGTCACATTGGCTTGTTTCATCAACAGAACTTCGAGATTCGGGCAGGTTCAACCGAATTGTACATTAGTCTCGCTGAGACAAGAAAACCGACATGAACTTTGACAACCGAAACCCCTTACGCCCATGCTATGCCTACACTCCAATAAAGCAACCCAAACCAAAGAAGCACGGCATCACCCGGGTGGTATCCATAATCCATACAAAAGCCATCATATCCACTACCCGCAGGTGATGACATCCCAACTTCCAGCTTCAGAACATCAACCTCCACAGATAGTACATCACCAGGACGGTCCCAATAATGATGCCCGCCAGCTTGAGGATAGCAACCTTGTTCCCTGCCGCCGCCATGCGCCCTAATCGCCCGGCCGAGCCCTTGAGCTGTGTCGTCATGGAGGAGAATGTCTCGGACTAGCGGTGGACTTTGTTAGGGGAACATTTTTGAGTTCTTGGATGTCTTTCGTGCTGATTCTCTATCGCGCCCCGGGGGAAAGGGGGGGAAAGGGGCTAAGGGGTTTGGGAGTTATAAAACTACATACCGTAGAATCAATCACCTCGTGGGATCGCGCGCTGTCGTAAATGTCGATGGTCACGCCGCGCAGAGCCGACACCTTGGCCGAGAGCTCGTCCAGGCGGGCATTGTTTTGGCGCTCGCGCTCGTAGGCTTCTGACATGTTCCCCCCCTTTTTACCTTCTCTGCTCCTTGTTTCCTTCTTCCTTTATTTCTGCCTTCCCTGGTCGCTGCTGGTTCAGTGCTCGGTTGGTTGGCTGCGCGGCCTCTTCGGAGATAGCGGCTCTCGTACGTCAGTCAAGGAGTGTGATCCAGACACGTGTCAATCCCCTTCTCTGGGGTAAATGCGGCTCGAGAGATATAGCGGGTGGTTTTGGGCCTTTCCTGGGTTAGGGGCGGAGGGAGGTGCTCTCGGCGCAAGTCTCCGGCGGGCGGGGAGTTGGAGGTTGCGAGACGGGATTTGTTTCGGCGGTTCTACTGCTCGCTCGGGCGTTGGATAGCGCAATTCAGAGAGGCGGTCAAAGGAGTATAGAGAATATCTGGCTGCTAGTATCAGGTATGGGCGTGCCAGCTCTTTGCTGCCGGTTTTGTTCGTTCCTCGGGTCTGATGACTTCAACCTTTCGAACACAAAATCAAGCCGTTGAGGTGTGGCAACTGCCAGCTCACGAATAAAACCCCAGAAAGGGGTCGGTCAGGGATCCGTCCAGTGGGCTTGGCTATTGGCTTGGCGAAGGTCTTGCATACGGTCGAGAAGTATGATACAGCCACACTGTGGCTGACAGCGTTTTGCCAGTGGACCCATGATGTCAGTTCCTTGCGGCAGTGGAGCATTTGAAGGTACTTCAGTGTGGGGTACGCAGGTGTACACTGTACAGGTTGGGAAGTCCACGTGTTTTATCATTCAGGGTTATGAGAGCTGCTTTTCCTCATAGGATATGAAGAATATTGGACATTAATTTCTCTCTGCCTCTAGCAGCTGCTTCAAGAGATCCAATTGTAGGAGTACAGTATGTTCATGGATGATTTTCGTCTTTAACATTGCGGCCGGTCACTCCAAACAGGCTTGGCAAGCCATCAATCACCCGCCATCTGCGGGGAAGCTTCGACCTCGTTCTCTCGGTCACCGTTTGTACCTACGGCGAGGCAGTCACCTGCCCTCGCGGTTGTCATCGACGCGCGGCAACTTCCAGGTTGTCAATCGTTTGACGTGAAGACTCGTCTTATTGCAGTACATTAGCGTAGAAAGAATTAAGTTTACACCGGAAGCCGTTCTTCTGCGCGATTTTCCACCTGTCAGCCGAGCCGGTAGACTGCAAGACCCAGAGCGAGTTCCGTCCGGCAAACGGCAGCAAATTCAGCCCGTTCACACCCCACATTCCTCCTAACATTGTTCGCTGGCGGCCTCATTGGCTCACCTCAACAATTCGAAATCACCATTCGGAATACCAACCACAAGAGCCCTTTACAGCATCTGACGTCGATTTCCACCCGTATCAACCGCCCCCAATTCCCAGACAACCCGCAGCGCGCATACCCATCCAGCAACCATGGGTATCAACAATCCCCTTCCGTCGTCTTTGGCGTGTAAGTCTGATCCCGGGTGTCCCGCACCTCAGCCCAGCGGACATTGGCAGACACTGTTTGGTTACGCAGGAAGCTAACACCTTGGTCGATAGCGGAATGCAGGAAGTGCGGCAAGATCCTGTCCTCCTTTATCGATCCTCGTCAAGCATTCGGCCCCGACAAGGTCATCCCACCATCTATACTTGCCGGTGCCAAGGTATGCAGTCATCACTCCCGCGATTCACATCACTTGTTTAGGGAGGCGACGCTAAGCATGTCGACCACGACAGGGTCTCGCAATTCTCACAGTGATAAAAGCCGGCTTCCTCGGTTCGGCCCGCTTCGGCAGCGGTCTCGTCGTCGCGCGACTCCCTGACGGTTCCTGGAGCGCGCCCTCAGCGATCGCGACCGGCGGCGCCGGCTTCGGCGGCCAGATCGGCTTCGAGCTCACCGATTTCGTCTTTATTCTCAACGACGCGAGCGCTGTCAAGACGTTTTCCCAAGCCGGATCCCTCACGCTCGGCGGGAATGTGTCAGTTGCTGCAGGGCCCGTGGGCAGGAACGCAGAAGCGGCCGGCGCCGCATCTTTACGGAGCGTGGCGGGCATCTTTAGCTACTCCAAGACGAAGGGCCTCTTCGCTGGTGTGTCTCTGGAAGGCTCAGCTATTATCGAGCGCAAGGATGCCAACGCCAAGCTTTACGGTCGCCCAGTGTCCGCGCGGGAGCTCCTCACCGGAGGGGAGCGGCCGCCCCCTGCCGCGGCACCCCTCATGAGCATTCTCAACTCTCGTGTCTTTAATGGGATGTCGGCCGGAGTCACGGACGACAGGATGTACAATGACATACCAGTCTACGACGATCGCCACGACGAGGTAGTGTGGGGCAACAAGACGGGGTCTGCTTATGGGGAGAACCAACCCAGGGATACCGGCTCCGGCGGTGGCGGACACGCCCACGACGAGTTTGGCCGGCCTAAGAGGTCGACTACTTGGCAAGACGATGTCTACGACCAGCCGCGGTCGTTTGGACAGCCCTCGCGGTCCAACACGATCCACGACGGCTTTAGGGCGTCCAGTACGGCCGGCAACGGGACGGAGAAGAAGGTTGCGCCCGGGAGGCCGGCAGCCCCGAAACCAAACTATGCAAGCAAGGAGGCGCTCATGCAGAAAAACGAGGCGATTGCGCTCTACACGTTTGAGCCGGACCAGCCGGGGGATCTCGGCTTTAAGAAGGGGGATATCATCACCGTGCTCAAAAAGACGGACAGCGATAACGATTGGTGGTAAGTCCAGAGGATTCCACACATTGAAAGTTTGGGAGTGATCGGCGGATTCTGACTGACCGTGCGATAGGACTGGGATGATCGGGACTAGGCACGGGATATTCCCGAGTAACTATGTCAAGATGAAGGAATGATTCACCATATCACAGCACGGCGATATCGTCGCGCAAGGAAGGCCGGAAGTGGCGCTTGGAATGGATTCAGATTGATGGCGTTACCAGGCAACCGAAACACCTGCCGTATAACGGAACCGAGTACTCCAACCGGTTCGATGCAGGGAACGGGATCTGTGGATGATGGGTTCTCCCTGAGAATTTTCTCTTTGGTTTGCATTGCTGTCCCGCTTGGCGTTAGGGGGAGGGTGGGATGGTAGGAAATAGTTCTTTTCCTTTCTTGCCTTTGTTTGGGCTGTCCGTCTTTCCCTTCTTGTAGATTACATTACAGTACCCAGTTTCTTGGTAGTCTGGATTATCACGACCTCCGTCTGTCAGGCTGGCAGAGTTTCTCAAGCCGAGCACGTCACTACTGCAGGAACTTTGCATCAAGACCGAGCGGCTAGAGGTGCCGCCCGAAGTCTAAGTTGATCGGTCGGCGGGTTTGTCGTCCTCCCACACCGTCGGGCCGTCCCGCGACAAGATACAATTGCGGGACTTGAGGATGTTAGCTTCCCCGGAACTTAGCACGGATATGGGCAATGTCCCAAGCTAAACCTCGGAACTTATTTACGGCTGGAACAAAGTACTGATCTATGGACATGTAGCCATCTCTTTCCGCCGCCATGATGTAGTCTTTACCTCACCTCTAGTATTTAGATGGCCCCAGGCCCTCTACTAGAACCGATTTTACCTCACAGACTGAATGAACATCCACCCTCCCGGCCCCTTTGCCGGCCAGCTACAGCCCGTGAAATCTCATCAAGACGCCCAGGGATTGCCTTACGGCTGCTTGAAAGTCGAGCCGATAGGACCAAACTTGATGTTTGCTTTGGGCAAAGTCAGCATCATCAATAGAATGGACACAATAGCCCCAACATAGAGAGAAGGATGGCCAAAACTCACAGAAAACCACCTGGTTGTTCCCCTGGCTGGCCTCAATCTCGGCCGGCACGCCCGACGAGGTGTCGCACGTGCCGCGGCCCTTGCCGGGCTCGTCCGGGCTGGCGTCGGTCGGGTAGGTCGAGTCGAGCCAGAGCATGTTGGCGTAGTGGTCGTCCCACAGCGACATGACGAGGACCATGGGCGCGGCGAGGGCCTTGCTGAACTGGGGCATGCCGCCTTTTTCCTCAAAGATGTCGCGGTCGCCAAACGCCACCTTTTGCGCCCGGCAGTACTCGGCCGTGATGCTGTTGCCCGGGTTGCCCTCGATGGCGCTCTCGGCGTTGGCAATCACTTTCCCGCCCTGCACGTAGTACCGCTTGATCTCGGACAGCTGCCCGTCGGAGCCCTTGAGGAACTGGGTTACCACGGTCATTTTTTTGGTTGTGTCCACCGTCATGCCCGGGCCGTAAAAGTCGCGCACCCCCTGCCGGTACGCGTTGAAGTCGCAGCCGTCCGGGTCGCACGTGCCGGAGTACCGCTCGTTCGAGTAGGTCCCGCCGCAGCCGTCGCCCTCGCACCGGTGCTGGCCGACCGTGGTGCAGGGGTGGGGAGTGAAGGCGGTTGAGATGGAGTTTGCTTCCCTGTTATGATATATATCTCTGGTTAGGAGATCATGTTGAAGCGAGAAGACTGGGTGAAAGACGGCTGAGCTACGTACCAGATATCCATCTCGGTGCAGCAAGAACCGTATTTCCCCACACCGGCATTCGCGTCGTTGGACGACCCCTTCCAGTCGCCTACATTGGCCTCGCCGTTGATGAACTTCAAGTCACGCGGGCATTGCGCATCGCAGTAGCCAGTACCATACTTGGCGCCGGCCTTGTTCCCAGGGTACTTGGAAGCGCCACCGTCCTCGTCCATGGAGACGAAATACAGAGCACCATTGAGACCGCATCTTGACTAGCTGTTAGTCTCAATCCCAGGCTGTTAGGCCCATACGGGGTGTGACATACCCGAGCTTCGAAGTATCCACATCAAAGGTAAACTCATTGCCAAGCAGAGTAAACATCTGATACTTGGAAGAACTAGCCATCAAGTACAGGCGGGAGCCAATGTTGGTAGCTTCGCGTCACATTAGGTTAGCCACTCTTCTCGATAAAACCCAAGGACAGGTCCAAGACATACAATACTCCCCCTTGGTGACAAACTTGAGGGTCAAGGCATTCCCGCTGGTCGAAGCGCCGTACGTGCCGGCGTAGTTGGCGCCGTCGACGGCACAGTTCGACGCGCAACCCTGGGGGTCCTTGCAGATGGTCGAGTTCCACGAGTTGCCGTTGTAGCAGTTGGTGTAGCCGTTCTTGTCGTGCACCCACCGCCAGTTGGAGTCGATGGTGACCTCCCCGTTCACCGTCGTGCACGACCCGCCGGCGCTGCACCTCTGCCACGTCATCTTGGGGTGCGTCTCGGTCGTCTCCTTGCCGACCTGCTGCGCGGCGGCCAGCCCCATGAGGGCGGCAAAGGCGGCGAGTCTAGGCATCATCCTGGCAGAAGTCTCGAGGGAGAGAGGGAGAGAGAGACTGTGCGTGACGGGAGAGGTCTAGCGGATGAAGCCAACGCCTGGATCAGGGCCAAGGGCGAGGAGGGATATGGCAAGATTTTATAAGCTGCCATGCCTCGGTCATTCTCTTGAGATCCGTGACGAGTCGTTCCAGGCGCTCGAATAGGAACTCTCCCTCGAGGCAGTTAGATTTGTTCTCTAGCAGGCGGTAAACAGGGCCCGGAAGCCGAAGGCATACTCGTGAGTAACTGAGGCTAAGGTGACCAGTCTCGCAGTAAATGAGTCGGCATGGGGTTTGAGAGAACACGCGGCCTGCATAGACGGTCCCAAGCGCAATATATTTGTCTCAGGAGAACTTTCCTAGCTGCCTACCGTTCCGCCTGGACCAACTGCAAATGCTGAGGGCCCTGCTGTTGGTTTGTGGGGAACGGTTTGCCAGCCAAGGGGGGCACGGTCCCGGTTCAGACTCAGGGCCTTGGTGTATCTGGCGTTGCTCGAATGCTCCTAGGGATCCCATACGCAACGTCAGATCAAGAGCCAGGATTTGTTAACGAAGCTGCCAATAGTCTCTATCCTGGACCTTGCAAACACCGAGACAATATCAAAGGCGGCTCACTGAGAGGCAGTGGTTTGTATGCCGACCCCTCTCCCCACATGTTGTACCACGCCAGTTGATAGAAACAACGGGCCGTCCGGGGGAGTTTCCCCTTGGCTTTAGCCCAGACTTGCAAAGAGCAAGCATTAGACACACCCGCGCTGATGCATCTAGCGCTCATCAGGACGGGCCGAGACCTGTGTGTGGGAAAGCGTGGAAATCTCGCTGCGGAGGCTAAAGATGCAAATGGATATGACGAACCGCTCAAGGCGTGAGCGAGAACTGTGTGAACCGTGATATCAGAGTGGATCTTGCCTCTCAAGCCGTCCCCTGTGCCGCCGCGACTGGGGAAACTACTCCAGCTGCGACTCAACGTTCGGCACTAGATCCGCTGACATTTCACGATAAGGCGCGGAAAGCCAGCCGTGTGTAGAGAAGCCGGATAAAGTGCTCATTGCACGTCCCAGTAAGCAACTTGGGGACATTGTGCAAGGATGAAGCGTGGGGGTGTCCAGAAGTTGAGGAGAGGACAAAGATGAGATTGGATATCTCTACCCTACGCTGGTTGCCAAGGTTGAGAACTCGAGGTAGCAGTCAAGACAAGAGTTTTGGAAAGAGCCTCAAGTCTCAGCTCCTCGAAAGGAAAATATTCCGGTAGGCCCAGAAGCCGCTTGAGCAAATCTTGGAGAGCGAGATCCCCAAAGACGCCGGCTGAAGATTTCAGACCAATCTAGTGACGCTGCGAAAGCTGTTCCCACCGAATGGGTGGGCGAATGGGGAAGCAAAGGGTTAATCCGAAGAGGCTGTCCGGGATATATTAGCCAGCCGCCTGCCTTTAGCCAATACCGCAACCTCAGCCTCAGAGCTTGTCTCGACCCCGACAGATCACCGCCGGCTGAGTCTATCGAGCGATATAGCGGAGGATACCGCATAAAGAGCCAGACTCGATCCATATGTTGTTATCGTTGGTTTGTAATCCGCTCAACCGCCTAATGGTCGAAGGATAACGTTGCGGCGGTTTCTTTCTAGCCGGAACGGACAGAAGGTCCCCGGCCCGAATGTAGACGGGCGAGTCCTGAGCCTTTCCAACTTTGGGTAGTCAGAGGAGATGAGAAAATAATCGCTTCCACAAACTGCAGGCAACCTCCATGAGTTATATGTGATGTATTATCAAGATGCTATTTGAGGGTGGGTAGGGACTCCACGTTCGCCTTTGAACTCCTGGAGCGAGCCAAGAATAGAGCATGCGCAAAACCAGGAGAAGGCAGTTCCGAAATTACGACAACACATGAAGAAGACAGCGACGCGTAATACTTCTAAACGGACTCACCTCATGGGCATGGCAGACCCGGGGTGCAGGGACCAGAAGACTTCCTGTGATACTTGTTGATGTTAGCTTGAGTTTTCAAGACGATGCAGGAAAATGGAAGAACTCGCAAGGAGCGACTTTGTCAGTATTCAAGCCGTGTCACCGGCAGTATCATCAAAGCATGAGCTATGTAGACCGTCGTGATAAAGTTGAAATCATCATAGGAGTCGGGGCTGAAAGGGTATGGGCGTGATAATGCTTACCATTTGCTGTTGGGTTACCAGCGTGTGGCCATGTGTCGTCCATCAACTCGGCGAAGGGCAACTCTGCGATAGTCAGCCGGTGTCAATGCCACGATATGGGCTAGCGTGAAGTGTCGGGTAGAGGTCAGACATGACGGTGTCATCTTCGCGTGAGCTCTGACATATGCTTGTCAAATTTAAAGTCGAGTCATCATGATGGTGTAGGTGCTGTGAAGCGGGAGGCTGAGTTTGCGGCTCTTCGGACAACATACCGGATACAATCGATGCCGAGTGAATACATCCGCAACATTGCGAGAACTGGACCGGTCAGCTGAGATTCGTTCATCGAAACGCAATGACGAGGGGCCGTCCATGGATGTCAGAAAGAGCATGAATGGTAGTTGAAAAGGTTGTCGTCATCCCCGGGATTCCGGATAAGACTCGTCATCTAAAATCATCATGAAAGTGGGAAAGGTTGGGGATATGTTCTTCCATAGACTTACAATTCGGAAGGGTCCAGCAGCTGAAGAGAGTCGTCTCGGACAATCATTCTTCATATGACTGTTAGCTCGATCCCCACAGGCTAGACAACTAGGTCATGTTGTAGATGCTGATCAGTGGACGAGGTTTTCTAGGCCTGTCGCAAAGTGGCATGTCTGCTCATGTGAAATTCGGAGCCCAGTGCCGCTTCATCATGGAAGAATGTTGAGTGCTGGCGAAAAAGCATCCTACTTACTCAGGCAGTCATTGCCATCTGTGTCTCCATGGTTAGCGGCTGATGAGCACAGAAGCAGTCAAGGGAGGGGTGAGGATGGGAAAATCAGAAACAGCCAGTTGTTTTCTTCAAGGTGAAATCAGTCGGTAATTCCAACTTGCCGAAGCAAAGAAGATGATCATCACGTAGAAAAGAAGTAAAGAGTCAAGTTATGTACTGACCTATTGGCATTTTGACCTTCTCGGTGAGGGTGAGGTTGTAGTGTGCAAGGGTCGTCGTGGCTAAGGGCCTCTGTAGCACGCTCCAAAGATACCATTCAACCTTCATCCCACTCGCAATGGCGAATAACTCAAGCCATTTTCAACTCTGTAGCCTGTCATCGGGACTCGTGAGGGTCAAATCAATCCTCCTGGTGGTCTAGTGTCCTACTTGCCAATCAGTTCCTGGCCGGTTTTGAGTTTGAGGAGAACGCGACAGCAACAGCGACCGTGATCAGACTGACGTATCAATTTCTAGTTTCATGTCCATGTATGGATCAAAGACTCTAGTTTGCGGTATTGTGCTGTCATCAGGTAATGGCCTGGTGCTGGCGCGGAAACAACAGAAATGTCACTTACCAGGTGCTGTGATCATGGTGCGAGTTGGAGACTCGAAGGGAAAAAAGACGTGAATGTCCGAGTTTTTGAAGCTGATTTGAGTGTGGGGCACAAGGGAAAATTCCGGTGCAATTGTGGAAGGGTGCTGTGGGGTCCAATAGAGGAACTGCGCCATATTCACGTGAGATCGTTTCGATTTCGCGTTGCTCCACGAACAATCGCGTGCAGACCTGTCAGCATCCGGAAACCGCGTCAGTACATTACATCTTTGTAGAGCGACAAGAAAAATACATCAAGTCCGCTTATAAGCAATACCCATCATGCCTGAAATTGCTGAAGGTATGCTTTCATGAAGAAGACACAAACCCCTTCTCAATACTCGCACTGACCCTAACCTCTGCACATTGCAGTTGCCCGGATTGTCCATTATCTACGCCTGCACTTGGTGGGGAAAACCATCAAGAGTGCAACGGCAATAGAAGACAGCAATGTTTTTGGAAAAGTCGGAACTACCGGCCCAGAGGTGGCTGCGGCATTGACTGGGAAGAAGGTGAGCTGCGGGATGTCGGACAACGCCGTGTGGAATCTAACCTAGACCAGGTCCTTTCGGCGGGAACTCAAGGGAAATACTTTTGGTAGGCTAAAATCGATCAGAGATTTCTGAGACACGCTGTTCTAATGTTCATCAGGCTCGTTCTCGACAAACCGCCGCATCCCGTAATGCACTTTGGCATGACCGGTAGGCCTGGCCCCTAGAGAGAATTCAGTGCAACGACTAAGCAGGAGCAGGCTGGATCCATATCAAGGGAGACCGCACGGCCTACACCAACTACTACAAGAAGATGAAGCCGGAAGAGATAGATATGTGGCCGCCTAAGTATTGGAAATTCCAACTAAAGACCGAAGATCCGGCAGTTGAGGTGGCTTTTACCGATCCTCGGCGCTTTGGGCGCGTCCGTCTAGTGAATTGCCCTGGCGGCGACATCAGAAAATACTCACCGCTGGTCGAGAATGGGCCGGATCCGGTTGTGGATACCGACATCTTCACCGAAGACTTCTTGAAGGAAAAGATGTACTCCCGTCATGTACCCATCAAGGCCCTCCTTCTCGACCAGGCCGTTATCAGTGGGATAGGGAACTGGGTTGGTGATGAAGTTCTATTCCAGGCCGGGCTCCATCCTGAACAGTACTGCGACGATTTTAGCGACGAGCAGATCAAAAAGCTCTACGAATCCATCCGCCACGTCTGCCAATTCGCCGTTGACAAGCTCGGAGATTCAGACCAGTTTCCCGAAGATTGGCTATTCCATTACCGGTGGAGCAAAGGTGCAAAGGGGGGCGCTCACGGTCACCTGCCCAGTGGCGAACGGTTGGCTTTTCTGACCGTTGGTGGGAGAACGAGCTGTTACGCGCCGGACCGCCAAAAGAAGAGCGGCCGAGTTGTGCCAGGGGTAAAAGAGGAGCTCATCGAGTCCGATCCTGAGGAGTCGAAACCGAAAAAGACGGCTAAGTCAAAGGTTGCGAAGGGCGAAGAAGGCCAGGCTCAGACCAAGACAAAGAGGAAGGCTGAAGAGGATGAGAAGCCCGCAAAGAGAAGCAAGGCTGCGCCGAAACAGCAGCTAGCAGCACGCTCGAAGACTAGCAAGACAGAGAAGCCACTGGTGGAATCCACTGAGGTGGACTCTGGCAGGCGGCGTTCAGGGAGGTTGCAAGGGAAAACCGGCTGACTGAGGGACGTCGTCAGTGTTTATTGTCCATCTTCACGACAAATCTACAGCGACGGTTTGGCCGAGGCAGTTTTTGGTCAGACTGGTTGGATTGACATATTCACAGCATGTTTACTTCTTTCTAGAACCATTTTCATTCAGCGAGTAGCTGCGCCCTCAGACATTCCTTTGCCTTAAGTCGGGTCCATTAGGGCTCCGACTCGACATCCGGCGGGAATGTGCCAAACAATGCCATCAAGTGCCGGACCTCGCCTGGAGCGAGCTGTTTGCCACCCTCGGATGCCTTGGCGAGCATTCTGAAATCTAGGGGTTGGTCAGCAGGAGCATTTTCGTTGTTGCCGGCTGATTCGTCAACCGGACAACAAGATCACTCACAATCAACATAGTGACCTGTTTCAAACTGCTGTCAGCTGGCGAAACTCGACGAGAAAATGCTACAGGGACACATTTCATACCCGGAGTAGCAGTCATGTAGCATGCAGCATCCTCCGTCTCGGAAGCGTTCTTGAAGGTATGGATCGCCCCAGGGGGCACTGTCATGAGGTCGCCTTCGGACGCAGTCACCTCGCCGTCGGGAGTCACAAATGTCATGGTTCCTGAACGCGGATTCTACAGTCAACAAAACGACGAAACTGCCCCCCTCTTCCCCTGCCCCCAACGCATATCACCTGCCTTTTGTGACGAGGAAGAGCTCGTCATGAAAACGGTGCCAGTGCATAGGCGGCCCGCTCTTGCCCGCAGGTACCTCAACCAGCACGGCGCTGACTCGGTTCTCGGTCAGCGAGCCATCCTCGTAGACGCGGATTGTCAGGGGCCCGACTCGGAGCGTCTCGGCGGCATCTCGTTTGTACAATTTCACCGGGACGGGACCGCGGATGGGCATTTCGATATGGTGTTTTTTTTTTTTTTTTTCCCACTTTCCTCCTTTTGATGTTTGGGTTGTAAATCAAGCGGTGTCTGAATGCGGGTTTCCCGTTGTGAGGTCTTCGGGGGGGCAGCCGGTCCCCGCTTTGACTTCGGCTTGCTGCTGTGGACTGCCAGCGCTCCGGGCCGGACCTCCAGTGGCGGCTTTCTATTTACACTAGTGTTGCACAAAGATGACCTGAGCGGCACAGCTATGCGTACCTCGTCTAACCTACCCGAGGCCGCTCAACATGCGGTTATGCCCAGGTCAGCAGTGAAGGACGGAGAGTCGGCGGCTTTTATGGTAAGCTCGTGTTACGAAACCGTATCGTATCAGTATCGTTATTTACACCACTACAACAGCTGAGCTGAGCCAAGACCTCAGCTTTCAGCCCACTGTCCAGGCTCCAAGGCACCTTCGCGGGCTGGATCAACCAAGTCCTCAAAATGTCTGCGACTGCAAACCGCCCGGGCTCCAAGTCCAGCGTCCGAGTTTTGTGATTAGCCTTCCAACGCTCCCTTACGACTCACAACACCCCGACATCCGTGGCAGCCATGCCCGAGTCTTCGGGCTATACGGCGACGGATGTGATCACCTACATTGGCGTGCCGCTTGCCGTGCTCGGGGTGCTGCCGATCCTGTACAACACAGTCGCAACGCTCGCGGCGCTCTCGCGCATCCGGCGCATGCTGCGGCACAGCCGGCTGACGGCCCTGACGCGCAGCGACGTGGTCAACCGCGTCATCGAGATCGAGCTGCCCCGGTACGCCGTGCGGCCCTGGGACCGCTTCGCCAACCGCGACGAGTACTGGACACTCTCGCGCCACCCGTCCAGCATCCCCGGAGGCAGCTGGACCACATTCAACTGGCGCACCAACGTCATTGGCCACAACACGCAGCGCGTCGAGTATGCCGACCAGCTCCGCCAGCCCCAGGTCGAGGTGGCCTTTGACGACCTCATCTGCTACCTGCTCGATCTCGGCGCCGTGCCCGATCCTCATGGGTGGCGGCTCCTGCGTTCGACGGGCCTGTGGACCCCCGTCGGCTGCGCCCTGATGCTGTCGCCCGACGGGAGAGAGAAGGCTCTGACTCTTGCGCCGCTGGACGGTTCAGACGGGCATCTGAGTCTGGCCGTCTCCTGGTTTGGTCCGTGGACTACGCGCGACTACTCTCACTTGCCGCCGTACTGGGTGCGTCTGCCACCACCGCCGCCGCCGCCACCGGTTGATGGAACCAAGAAGAACTCAATTCCCGGCGAAGACTCCAGGTCAGCGGCAGAGGAGAGCGTGGAACCCCTTCAGGACGGCTCCTCAAGTCTGCACAAGGCATCTCTGGATTCTGCGCGGCGGCAGGGCGCATCCAACGCGCGGCAGCCCATCACGTGCCAAATATCCGCGGAGGGCATCGTGACAGCGCTGTGCCAGGACGCAGAGGCGCCGCTGCAGAGCACGCTGCAGCTCGACAGCCTGTACATCGAGCACATCCGGGTGCGGCGACCCGGAGGGACGGCGTCATCGAACGGCGTCTGGTTCGCCAGCGCCGCCACCGCCTACGGGACCACGAGCCAGACGGTGCTGTGGAACTACAAGATCCCGGACGAGATCCTCGCCTTTTCGCGCAAGGAGACGGTGCCATGCGGTGTCATGGTGCTGCTGGATGTAGTCGGCGAGTCGGCGACGCCCGATTGGGCGACAAAGCACGGCGGGGACCACGCCGCGCACCTGGAGCAGTTCTCTAGGAGAGCCCGCGAGCAACGAGCAGCTATGGAGGCCGAAGCAAGGCTGCCGCCGGCGGAGAAGGCGCAGGCTGTGAGGGACAGGATGATGAGGGAGAACGAGCAGCGGATGCAGGACAGTAAGTCGAGCCAACAAACTCGAATGCCGATTCCACCCAAACTCACCTAAACAGTGCGTGATCGGCTGCGGCTTGAGACCCAGCGGAAGGAGGCCCGCATGCAAGAAGCGCTGCAGAGCCCAAAGTGGGATACGAAACTCGTCGCCGAACACAACCTTGCGTGGCTAAAGACCACGGGTGTCGTGTCTGCCGAGATGGGGCTGAAGGAAGTCGTGGGCACTCTACTTCACCGGATGGTTCTCGATGGCGAATTCACTTCGACGCTCTGCAGGATGCTCGATCTGTGGAAGGCGTGGGCCGAGAACGGGGGCATGCGGAAGTCGGACTTTGCCGCTCTGCAGGAGGATCAGACTACGTTTGCGTATGCCACGCTGCTGGTCGCCCTGATCAAGGACACGGCGACGGCCCTGGAAGGCACCTTGTCAATGGACCTGCAGGAGTGTCTACGGATGTGGCGCACAGTCCGGTTAGGGTAGCCATGTAATCGCTCTATGCCTGTACAGATCCAACCATCCATCCGCATTTGCCCATGATATCCATAATATACAACACTACAAGTATTTGTACAGCGCCCACCACACAACCACCCTCATGGATCCCCCGCCTCAAGTTCTCAACCAAGCCTCTGCACCCCAAAGAAGTAATTCCCCACCTTCTCACTGCCCCTGACCTCCCTCCACCCAAACCCAGGGACATACACCACCCCCATGACCCTGGGCGTGCCCCATCTGCCCAACCCTTTCCCCTCAGCACCCGCAAAAAACGCCTCCAACTCATGCGCATTAACATACTTTGCCCAGTCGTGCGTACCGCGCGGGACAACCCTCAACAAATCCTCCGCAACAAGGTTCGTCACAACCCAGCTGGTCCACGTCCGTGCGATGGTGCTCATGACGAGCCAGCCGCCGTCGGGCCGCACGAAGCGGGCCACGCGCGAGAGGAACTCGGCTGGGTAGTCGACGTGCTCGAGGACTTCGAAGAGGGAGACTACGTCATAGTATCCTCCGTTGTTATTGTTATTGTCATCAGGAAGGGGAAGCGCCTCGATCGGCGTGCAGAGGTATTCAAGCTTCCCGCGCAGGGCCGGGTCCCGCCGCGCGTGGGCGCGCGCTACTGACAAGACTGCCTCAGACGGGTCGACCGCACGCACGTGTGCTGTGTTGGCGAGCCGCGCGGCGGACTCGGCGAAGATCCCGCCGCCGCAGCCTACGTCGAGGTATCGAAGTTTGGTTGGAGTTTGTTGTTGTCGTTGTTGTTGATGTGTGGAGGAAGAGGAGGAGAGGCAGGCGCGGATAAAGTCGTGGCGCAGCGGGTTCATCAGGTGCAGCGGTCGTGACGGGCCGTGAGGGTCCCACCAGGACGAGGCCAGCGCGGAGAAGTGGGAGATTTCGGTCGCATTGACGGAATATGGTGATGATGATGATGGTGGTGGTGCGTGGGATGCGGAGGCGGAGGAGGAAGCTGTTGTACTGCTGGTTGCGCTGAGATAATGTCGTGTTTGTGTTGGTTGCGACGGATGAAGAGGCAGTTGTGGTGCTGCACCGCGACGGGCGTACAGCCGCCCGGGGCGGAGAAGCGCCGTCGCGTGTCTTGAAGGCGTTGCCCGCATGTTCGGTTCGGAGAAGCGGGCGATGACGGAGGAGGTTCAAGGCTGGGCCGGAACTCTTCCCGGGAATTTTGATTGTCGGCGTGCCGCAAGGGTGCATGCAGTGCACCCGCAGGGATTGCAAGGGCGCGCGCGTTCTAGAACAATTCTAGCGCGCCCTGCCCTTGGCCCCACAAACGAAGACCCCGCGGCTGCAGCCAGCCGACTTTTGGCACCATGGGCCACTGAGATAGCCGAGGTCGGTGGAAGGAGAAATAAGGTGTTTGTCAGCGCCGGTCATCAATTAGTTGGCAAGACACAAAGACATCGTGTTAATTATGTAAGAATGACTGAAGATTGGCAATGGCATTGTATTTTTCCTGGTCCTTCGGGTATAGAGAACATGAACTTTGTATAACGTTGACTTTCCCAGAGGATGCCGAATCTTCGGCATGCGGGGCCCACTTGCGCCGATTGATCCCCCTCTGACTGGCTTCTCTTTTCGACTGACATCTGACTCTCTCACTTATAGTCTCCTTGTTTGTCAAGACGAACCTGAAATTTTCTCGCACAATTGAATAAATCACCGGTCCTTAGATATTAGATGGTTGAATAATCCAACTAGTGCAATCGAATTGGTATATCTCAAACCTCCAAAATCCGCCTCCGGTCGATCCGCGCCATCTCCCCGCTGCCGCAAACCAGCACCCGCCGACCCAAATCGCACGATGCCTTCCACCATCTCCCCAGGCGAGATTGACGCCTCACAATTCGACAGCATCCCCGACGCGATCCAAGCAATCCGTAACTGGCCCCAAATCCCATGACAAAACCACTCACCCACCCACTAACCACCCCTCTTCTCACACAGGCAACGGCGAGTTCGTAGTCGTCCTGGACGACCCCTCGCGAGAGAACGAAGCAGACCTCGTAATCGCCGCCGAGGGGATTACAACGCAACAAATGGCGTTTCTAATCCGTCACTCCTCCGGACTCATCTGCGCACCAATCCTCCCACAGCGCGCCGCCGACCTGGACCTGCCGCCCATGGTAGCGCGCAGCGAGGACCCCCGGGGCACCGCCTACACCATCAGCGTCGACTCATCCGACCCGTCCGTGACGACGGGCATCAGCGCGCACGACCGCGCCCTGGCCTGCCGCGCGCTTGCCGACGACGAGGGCTCCCACCGACAGAGCTTCCGCCGGCCGGGCCATGTCTTTCCCTTGCGCGCCGTCCCCGGGGGTGTGCGCAAGCGCCGCGGCCACACCGAGGCCGCGCTTGACCTGTGCCGGTTGGCTGGCAAGAAGCCTGCGGCTGTGATTTGCGAGCTGGTTGATGACGGTGAGGAGGTCCCCGGCCGGGCGGTCCGTGAGGAGCCCGGGATGCTCCGCGGCGAGGCATGCGTGGCGTTTGCGAGGAAGTGGGGGCTCAAGGTGTGCACCATTGCCGATCTGGTTAGGTACTTGGAGAAGACTGAGGGGAAGCTCGAGATAAACGGTTCGTGACGGGTCGGGTATGAAAAGGCCACGAGACGGTACGGGACGTTTGTGCACCGATGGCGGTCTCGTGTGGCCCCAGGTGATATGCTGTATCACAGGGTATTGTTTCAAACGCATGGGCAGGCAGTTTGGATATGTTCGAGGAAACTGTCTATACTACAAGGTTGTGTAACTATGCTCTTGGTTCCTGGCGCAACTGTAATCTGCATAGGGTGGGTTGGTAGACTAAAAGGAATTATCTCGACTGCAAATTAGATCGCGACTCATTCCTCATCCCAACTGTCTTACATACACCAGTCAAATGCAAGAGACATGTACCAGATGACTCCAATTCCACTTTTGTATATCCGATCTATGCAATAACCCCTATGCCCAAGCCCAACAGCTATCCTTAATACATCGGCTTTGACATTGGCGCAATGATGCCCTGCTTGACAATGACCCTCGGCTTGGTCGCGTCCTGGAAAGTCTCCTTGGTCATCCATTCCGGCCCAACAGGCAACCGCAGAGACCGTTCGTATTGTTGCTGGGACTCGAACGGGTGAGGCAGCTGCGTGGCAAGATACTTGTCGTTCTACACAAGTCACAGTTAGCCTTGGCTCGGAAAATGCAGTCGATTACCGGGGTAAACAAACCTTTCTCACGCGCTTCTCGCTCACAATAACTCCCTTGAGCCTGAAATCCTGACGGTCCTTCTTCTTGACACCTTCGACTTTGGTGACGAACCGCCCTTGGTGCCGCTTCTTCTCGCGGTTGCTCACGCCCTCACCCACCCAGCCGCCCCAGCCAGGAAGAGTATTGTCAATCTCCTTTTCGTCGTCCTCCCGCACAATCTCGGCCTTCTCCTCCTCAAATTGCGCGGCAACGTCATCGCCGGCAAAGGCCCGGTTGAGCAGCTCCAGGTCGCGGATGGCCAAAGGCAGGTGCATAGCATCTTCATCATCTGAGTCGTGAGCGTTGTCTGTAGAACCCTTCTCAGCCGGCTCGGACTTGGTTTTGGGCTTGGATGGCTTGGCCACAGCCATCGCCTCCTTGGAGAAGTCGAGCTCCACGTTCGTGCTCTTGGCCACCTTTTTGCTCTTACGACCATCGGGCCCAACGTAAGACCATGCGCCAGCCGCGCCAGGAGCTGACGGCCCCGTTTCGGTGTCAGGGACACGTTGGGATTGTGATGCCGATTTCGCCTGATCTGTGGATGGCTTGGATGAGACGGACCCAGGCCCTGTGGGCTTCTTGGCTGGAGCCGGGTTGGCGGGCTTGACGGCTTCAGCTCCATTGCCCATGCCAAACTGTCGGCGACCAATATCCCTCTCGTCCGGATCAGAACTGCCGTCATAATCAGAGTCTAGCTCGCGTCGTATCTGCGCAACAAGTTCGTCATTCTCCTTCTTTCGCTGCTCCTCGGCCCGCTGCATGAACTTCATTTGCATGAGCTTTGACCGAGGCTCACCCTCGTCTTCGTAGGCAGCTGCACGGTCAAGCTCTGCGAGGAGACGACGTCGATCGTCCGCATCTGAGCCATCCGACACCTCGGAACCGTTGTCCTCATCGTCTGAGCCGTCCTTCCGGCCCTCAATACGACGGCGCAGCTCTTCCTTTCTCCGTGCCATGTCGGTAAGACCAGCCCGGAAATCTTCATCCCACACTGCGCGGCCGGCTTTCTTGCCTAGCTTAGCCCACTTGCTCTCCCGATGGCGAGTGCCCATCCGCTCCATGGCTCTCCTCCGCTCCTGGGCTTCGCGCTCCTCATCCGAGTCTAGCAGGCCCGCTTCAGCCAGTTGCTCATGCTCGGCCTGTTCCTGGCGGAGGAGTTCTTTGCGGTGGATGCGGCGGTACGCCTTGCTCTTGATCTTCTTGATACGCTTCGCTCTGGCCATCTCGCGCGAGTGCCTCTCCCGCTCGAGCCGGCGCTGCCGCAGAATTTCTTTCTGCTCAGCTTGCGACAGTCCAGGCTGCTTGTCACCCTCGCCCTCCTCCTTTTTGGGCTTAGCGCTAGGTCCAAGCCCACTCTCCTCCATGATGGCCAGGATGGTTTGCTCCAGCTCCGTGCCTGACGTTTTCTGTGTGATGGGCATGAGCTCTCCGCTATTGAGGCCTCTGTCGTGGGCGTTCTGCGCGAGAGGAAAGATCAAGTGGTCGGCTCGCCGGTTGTGCTTGACTGTCTCTATCCACCGGTCGAGCGTCTCATTTGTCTTCTCGTACGCTGCACTCCGAAGCAGCCGGTCCTGCTGGCGTTTGGCGAGGGGAACATCAAGCTTTTTGGAAGAGCCCGGCTTGACGGCCTTATCTTCCTTGTTCATGAGCCTGATGGACCGCTTGATGTGCTCATCCTTGACGCCAAACAGCCCGAGATCCTTCAGAGTCAGCTTGTTTTTGTTCTGTGCCGAGTCCTGGCCCTCTTCATCCTTCTCGTCTTCCCCGGCAAACCCAGCAATCATGCTCTGCAAAGCGCCCAGTTTTGACGGGTCATCCTCGTCCTCCTCATCCTCTTCACTCTCGTCATCTCCATCGGTAGACTCCTCGTCCTCTTCTTCCGAGCCAGAACCAGACCCCTCACCCTGTTGTTCCCCGTCCTCATCCTCCGAGAACTGATCCAGGGCAGTTGCCAAATCAATAGCATCCGAGCCGAGGGACTCCAAATCCTCCTCTCCTTCCCCTTCCCCTTCCCCTTCCCCTTCCCCTTCATCTTCCTCCTCTGCTGCCCGTTTCTTCTTGGACCCGCCCTTACTCCCCGAAAAAGCAAACCCCTCAAAGCGCTCCTCATCACTCTCGCCAAACGCCTCGTCCGAGTCCAGCTCCGAGTCCTCATCCTCCCCCGCTACGCCAACATGCCACTCGTCGCTTTCGCTCCCGCCTTCGGCGTCGCCGCCGTCGTCGTCAGAGAAACCGTCAAACCCATCTCCACCGTCGTCCCTGCGTGCCCGCTTATTCCTCGGAGGAGCAGCGCCATCCTCCCCATCACTGTCACCAAACCCATCTTCGTCTTCTTCCTCGTCGAGTTGCCTCTTCTTGCGACTCCGTTGACCGCCGCCGTCGTGCTCCTCCAGCCCGCGGGTGCGCACGCCCTTGGTCGACTCGGGAAACTGTTCAGCGGCGAGGGCAAAGGCATCGAGGGCTTTGGAGGTAGCTTTCGCCCGGGACTTTTTGAAGGATTTGGATTTTGATTGGGAACGGTGGGATTTGCTGCTGTTGTTGCTGTTGCTGCCGCTGCCGCCCAGAAGCGGGCGGCCATGGGCTTGTCGGCCAGGCATTTTGCCTGGACTGGCTTTGAAGTGATGGGTGCTATGTACCGATCGGGGGTGTAGAATGGGTGTGCTGGGAAATATTTATTTTCTGCCGGGGGATATTCGCGGGTCGTTTGGGCGGTGAAGAAGGAGGATTGGCATTGGTGGGGCGGCGGGACTCAGTATTGCGGGACAGCAGATGTGGGTCAGTCTTGGCACGCTTTGCCTGCCGGGAATTGCGAGGGTTGATGCGGCAATCTCAAAATTTCCCGACGGCAGCAGTTTCGCGAGTTCATCAATCCTCGACCCCTAGCGTCGACAGCCACGCGCGATCACCCATACTCACCCTCTACACACCGCCCCAGCCGGACACCGCCAAAATGCAGCCCACCCGCGCCCTTCTGGGCATGCGCTACCGCAAGCTGCGGCTTACGACCAAGGACATCAACAAGGGCTACTACAAGGGCACGCGAACGGGGTCCATGGGCCGGCACACCAAGAAGGGTGGCTACATTATCGAGTGGCACAAGGTGCGAACTTATGTCTGCCCCCCGCTGGACGGCTTCAAGGTACGCAGCAACCACGGCAATTCCATGCGGAGGAGGATTAAAGGGAAGGGAAACGAGGCAGAACGGGTTGAAATGACGGCATGGAATGGAATGACAAGCTGATGTGGGATTCTAGCTCACGCCGTTCGTGACCAACAACATGCCCAGGACGTTCGGGCAGTACTCTGGTGACCCGCTTGGACCGAAGAGCCCTGCGTTATACCTTGCCCGGTGGAAGGCCGAGAACGGGTTGGATTAAGAGACGTGCCCATGCCGAAGAACCGAGATTTATGCTATCGGTTGGGGACTACTAGTTGGACTTTGAGGATCTAGAGAGCCCCGGCGATCCTGGTCTAGAGACAGATGCCACTAGGAAGGTGGGCAATGTCTTGTACGCCTGCGGCTGCGACGGAGAGGACGGTATTGTATTATGGAACGGCGTTCTCAGGCGTTGTCGAGGTAAAATCTGTACAAAATCGACTGGGCGAAATACACAATGGCTTTCACACAATCCACTTGGTGGAACTCCATGGGGTGGTGCAAGGAAGACGGCACCGGCGGCTTGGTCAAGGGCACATATCCACTCGAGCTCTATCTATGTCTCGAAGATCTGGATGTATTTGGGGATGAGGGATCGCAACTCGGCCGAACATGGTGCTATCGCCCTCATTAACAACGCACAACAGTGCTGATCGAACGCCTCCCATAGAGTACAGTCAGCCCAGGTGAGACGCGCCAGCCAAAAGATCCCTTCGTCAAGAAAGGGGCCCTCGGCCCCTCGGCCTCCCACTCTTTTCCGCTAGGCCTACCTAAAGCACACGGCGGTCCCAAAGTGGCTTTGCATCTCTTCCTACTAGCAGCGACTGGATAACGAGAACATGTTCGCATTTCCATTTCCACCTCCTCAAACGAGAGCACTGTAGAGTGAGGGTACAATGTACCTATCAAATGCGTCTTCTGACCCACCTGCTATACACTTCTCTATTGCGGCCTCCTGGCCCTACTCCTGAAAGAGTGACTGGCCCTACTCCTGAAAGAGTGACCGTCCAGCTGATGGACCTGGTATTGATCCACTATATAAGGGAAGAATCCGCCTTCGTTCCGTCACATACGATCATACCTACTGGAAAGCTCGGGATCCCGTCCGCTCTCCCCTAGATAAACCAGTAAGGGCCAGATTAGTAGTTGGGTCGGTGACGACCAGCGAATCCCTGGTGTTGTATGTTTTTATTCTTCTGTTTTTCATTATCTTTGCTTATTATTCTTCTGCTTGTTTATTTTTCTTTTGCATGAATCAATCTCCAATGCAGTTGGCTTACACCACATACATATTTCGTACGTCTATCCTGCATTAATGCTTGGGGTCCCAGATCCGGCCGACAATGTGACTGAACCAACACAATAAGAATCAACATCCCAAGGGTATCATACAGAGCACAGACGCTAGGGACTCGCCCTCGGAACCTCCTCGGCCGTGATGAACCGCTCCATGCCAGGCCTCTCAACAAGTGAAAACGGAGTCAGGAAAGGGGTCGCCGCTGTTCCCTGGCTTGCATCATCCCCATCACGACTCCGGTCATGCTCGGCACTCTCTATCGTCCCAGGATTCTCCGAATCCTCGTTCGCCAGGAGCACCGCAGAGGCGCTGCTTGAATCTACGGTCGATGGCCTGATGGATCTTTGATCCATCGGAGTCGCAAGCGTTATCATGCTGGCCGTTTCTGGCTCCTTGCGCAAGCTGAACGGCGACGCCAAACCCCCGAGCATGACCCGCTTGCCGGTAACCCCAGTCACCATGGCGTCGTCCGGGGACAGCAGCTGCTTGGCATTCGTTTCCGGCGATGCCAGCTTCCCAGTGTCGCCACCGTCATCTCCAACGGGCCCGGCAGGCCGTAAATCCGCCTTGCCGCCCGCCGCGTCTCCTCCGTCAGTCTGGTGCTCGTCTCTGACCATGGTCCGCCACGCACGACCGGTGGCTCGGTCAGTCGTCGACGGCGGCAGATTCTCCTGCCTCGCCGACTGCTCCTGCTTCTCCAAGTCCGAGAAGGCGCGGGCGCCTTGTCCCTGGCCCGGCGTAGCAGCCGTAACCTCGGGCGTCTTTTCGGCCTGATGTTCTCTCTTGACCGTCATCTGATCGTGCTTGGATCCCCACAGCGCCCAGAGCGACAAGCCCATACTTCGAGCTTTGGCCTTCTCGAACTCCTTTGTGCCGAGCCTCCTACGCCCGGCTAGCGCGCTCGGCGGCGGGAGTTCTCCTTCTCCGAATACCTCGTAACCAACCGCCATGTCCCTTAAGCGCTTCATGTGAATGCGGGCCTTGGTTTGCTTGTACCGAGCGTCCCACCGCCTCTTGTGCTCGAGCCATTTGCGGACCGTGCCGACTTTGACCACGCCGACCAGGTCGCGTGGCATGCTGCATCCCGGGAGCTCTTCGGGGGGTTCTAGGGGAAATATATCGCCGTGTCGTGTGACTCGTTGACGGATCATGTGGTTCTCGAACGGTGGAAGCGGGTACCCAGCTCTGCCAATCGAGGTTTCGATACGGCGTCTGACCTTTTGCGCTTTGTCCGATGTGTTTTCCTTCCCATTCTTGTTCGGCATGTCAGCACTCATCTTGGGCGATCTTGTCACATAGGACTTGCCTTTTCTACCTCTTCGCTCTCACTTGACGAGCTGGACGTCGAGATGACAGATATCGCATCGTCGTGAAGGATATCAATCTCTGTTTTCTGGGCTCTGGCCAGTGCCCAAGCCGAGAACTGTGAGACGCTCTGGATTGCAGTCAGAACCTGTAGGTGAATAAAGCACCGCCTCCACATACCCTGTACATGTACTTTGCTGGTCTGGTAAAACTCAGCGTCGGCGCAACATGGCACAGGTCCTCCCACACTTGCAGCTGTACGTCTGTGGGCTTATACCGGTCGACCAAACCACGGGCTTGTTCGTCCATCAGCGCGTCTGGCGGTAGATACTTGGCCGGGTCGGCACATTTATGGGCAAGATAGATTTGCTCGTCCCGCAGCATTTCGCCGCCTCCAACCATAATCAGCAAGGGCGGTAGGCCACCGAGCGTCGGTTGCATTATGGGGCTGACCAAGGGGTGAGCCAAAAGCTCGTTGGTCGTATACATCTTGGGTCCTCATCAGTACAGATTAGACGACTCGCAGCTCAACAGCGAAACGAACCTGGATCTGCTCCTTGACTTCGACTCGCTCACCGTCAATGTCAAACATCAGTCGATGGGTCTTTTCGGCGACGTCTTTGACAGTCGGGATGCCACTACTCTTATCCGGTCCGCCCACTTGGCCCTCGATTTTCTCTTTTTGTTGCAGAGCAGCCTTCTTTAGCTCTTCGAGCTCTGCCTCGTCAGGAGGCGGCCACGCCATGGACGGCTTGTGATGGAACCCCGATGGTGGTATGTAGTCGAGCGGACAATCTCCTGCCACGCTGGGAAAGGAATGGGTGAGATCGACCCAGGGACTAATCAGCACAGCTCCCGCAGGCAGCGGCACCCCCCTATCTCTGAGAATGACCATCATTGACAGAATCATGCCAGCACCTGCCGAATCACCGGCCAGTATGATTGTGTTGGGGTCCTGCGACGAAATGAGGTACAGATACGTGGCAAGGCAGTCTTGAAGGCCGCATGGGAAAGGGAACTGGGGCGCAAGGCGGTACTTGGGTGCAAGTGCCCGCGCCTTGAGCTTTCTAGCATATCGCTGGATCTGATAGCGGTGCTCGTCAACGCTGCCAAAGTAGTAGGCGCCTCCGTGAACGTAGAGCATGACGCGGTTTCCGGGCTCAGCGTTCTTCTTGCGCTCCTGATAGTCGGACTTCATTTCTATCCACTCTGCTTTGAGAGGGCTTTTGGGCACGCGCCACTGCCACCACTGTTTCCCGCCGACCTGGCGGATGCCCTCTGGTCCGAGCTGCTCAATCAGAAGATCGGCCGCATGCAGAAGGTCCTTCTCGGGAACCTCGACATGGTCGACCCTGACCCATTGTGGATGTGGCACCCACTGGCTGGTGAAGGCTTGCAGTTCCTCGACGGTATGGCGCGAGGAATAGGCAAGAAATGAGCGGATGAGATGGAGTCCTTCATCGTACGAGAGATGGGCTGTTGGCTTGTGAGCGAGAGGCTTACGCTTGAAATACTGTCCCGCTGTTAATCCATGTCTCATACCCCCGATTATCGTCTATAACTTACATGAGCAAAGAGCGTGGAGACCACCGTAGGGGTGACAGCCAGGCCCACCGTCGCAGTGTTCATCGTGATCAACTCGAGGGTCTGGTCTGGCTGCACCGTCGTTTGTAGTGTTGCACGGAAATGGGTGAGGGGGCTTGGGTAGTAAGAAATTCCTTTTAGTTTCCCTCTAACTTGATGTCATCAACAGGTGAAGCCCAACCGAAGGCGTTTGCCGAGACCAATGGCATGTGCTTGGTAAGGTCAAGGGACAGTAGTGTAAAGCGATTGGATGAATTCCTTGGCACAGATCATAGGTAAGATGCCAAGGTGAGCGGCGTTGATCTTGCCTTGGGACGAGAATCTCTCGGGGGTTGGCAACTGCCGTACGAAGGTATAACAAGCCGCACAACGGGCAAACACCAGGTTCCTTTCAGACGAAAGTTTGTTGCAAACAACTTCTAATGTGTTGGCTAAGACAACCAGATAGTAAAACTCCCAAGGGAAAACCAAAATCGATCGACTATGCCGTCCCAGGTCGTACGTATCCGTACACTAGGTGCTGTTTTGAGATCTCGTCAGGGGCCGAATTCAGGTACAGTAACCCCTGTAGTTAGCGTTCCTTCCCGAAAGATAGCGCTAAGCGCTGAAGCTTAGAGCACAGACCTCTCTCCAAACCGCCCGATAGCGATAAGATAGGCAACTCGAGGAAGATGCAAGCACCGCGTCACCTTGAGCTGCCTACCCTACCTACCCTGAATTTCGAAGCTCCTCCTGCTGCGCTCGTTGAACGTTTGTCAACCCGCCGCACCCTCAGCATGAGAGTCGAGATACACGGCATCATCGAGTCGAAATAGGAGCACTTAGCCAAGTCACCATGGCGACTCAATACGAAAGTACGCTCACCACGAACCAACGCGGGGTAGCATCGCCATGCAATTGTTTGATGCAATGCGCCGCGGGGGCAATCTCTCTACCTCAACTAACCTCGCCACGCACAGTCGAGCACAACATCAAGCCCACGGGCACCACCTCCCGCCGGCGGCGGCAGGTCGACATGTCGACCTTCACGGCGCACCTGCACACCCTCTCCCCCGACACCCCCTCCTCCTCGTCCAACCAGCACCACAACCCGCACGCGGTGCCTTCACCAAGCGACACATCCGCGCTTTTCCGACTACTACAAGACCAGATGGGCACACTAGCCTCCACATCACCGACCGAGGCCAACCGGGCGTTCCTGCAGTCGCTGGTGGAGATGCTCGAGGAGGACGTGGCGCGCCCGCCGCGGGACATGGAAGGGGTGACGCAGGAATACCTGGACGGGCTCGACCGCGTCCCGAAGCGCCGCCTCAAGCCCGAAGACGCTTGCCCCATCTGCGCCGAGCGCTACCTCGACGACGAGTACCCCCTCGTCGTGGAGCTGCCCTGCCACGAGAGTCACAGGTTCGACCTCGAGTGCGTCGGGCCGTGGTTAAGGGCCAAGGGCACATGTCCGTTGTGCAGGAAGGAGTTGGGTAAGAGGAAAGCGGTCGAGGTACCTAGAGCGGGCGGGGCGGAAGGGAATGGGGTGGAAGAGGAGGAGGAAGAGGATGATGCGGATGGTCTGTATGCTTGAAAACGGCGCGAGAGGGGGGGCGTCCTGTTCGGGCCCACGGGCGCTGAGGACGATGGAGGAAGGTGACTGGGTAATTTGATTTGCGCCGCTCCTTTGCGGGAGCTATTAATCTGGTGAGGCGCTTGATGGCTTGCAAAATTCAATGAAACAAGATATGAATTATGAACAAGACTTTTGGACTTCACGCTCTAGTCCTTCTTTATCATGCCCGCACTATCGTCGTCGTCATATGTTCACAGACAGAATTTGTACAGCCCCCGATAACGCGGCTTAAACACCCCCAATCTGCAACCAGCCTTTTCCTCTCCTCTCAATCACGCTCCCTCTGTCGTGGTCTTGCCATGCTTCTTCTGCTTGCCTCCGGCGCTGTGCGTCGTCTTGTTCCTCCTCTCGGTGGCCTCCTCCGGGTTGTGCGGCTGCGAGAACTCCTGGTTGGCGCCGCTTGCCTCGAGCGGGTTCCCGCCGCTCTCCCGGTCGACCGACTTCCCAGCCTCGACGGGATCTGTCGTCTTGGGGTCGTAGGCCGCGCCCGTGTCGGCCACGTCCGAGTCTGACCCGCTCTTGGTGCCGTCGTTGGGCCGGGGCCTGAGCGTCTCGCGGTCTTGGTCGTCTTTGTACGCGAGGTGACTGCCGGTCTGGTGGTACTGCCGGGTAACCGTCATGGATATGGTGCGGGGTGCTGCTCCAGAGCGTCGAGCACACGCCCTAATAAAGGCGGAATGGGTAGGTAGCCGAAGGGAAGGCATTGCTTGTATTGGCAACTGATGTCTTGTATAGTTGAATGGTCAATTGGCCGTTTTGGAGATTCTATTCGTTCGGAAAGAAATATCTGTTCTCAGTGGATGGTATGCATTTCTAAGACACGTTGAACACTGATGTCCAAAACAGTCGGGGACGGAGGTAAAGCACGTGAAGGGGTGACGTCACTGTAATAGTACGCATCACCAATGGTACGGAGGTACAACTTACACTGCATGGCGTGTACTATACTGTACTTTACCGTACGGATACAATACTTACAATACAGGCTGGAAGCCCACCTCGGCCCACCCTCAGCCTCTGCAACTGCTGTGATGCGGTCGTTGACTCCAAGGGGTCTCAGGCACGGGACCACATCGCCAGTCAGGACAACTATAGGCAGGTATTTGCAGCGATATCCATCGCAGTGTATTGCCAGAGCATTGCCATACTAAATGTACTACTGGTCTTTTCACAGCTGAATCGGCTAAACAGACGCATCAAAGGTATCATGTTCCGTACCGTACACTCACTCCCATCAAGCAGAAGCGCATAGGTACTTGGATACAGATATTGCTTTACGCATTCCTGGACCACGATTTCAGCCCTCGCTCCAGGAAGCGCGGATCGATCCAGTAAGCAGGAACACGACCGCTTGCCGCGCTTAACTGGGACCGGTCCTGATCCGGGTGTTCCGTAACGACCCAGTTGCGTTGGTCAATCTCCAGGCCCATCCACTTCAGCACGGGTCCTTCCGCATCGACAACGACACACAGACTCCAGCCACGGAACTCCAAGTCCTTTCTACTCTCATGGTACTCCCAGATGACCCTAGCGCAGGCTTCGTTTCCGTTGACGAGAGTAAAGTGGAATGCATTCAGAGGCGTCCCGTCGTCAAGCTCCGAGACGAGGGGAGCATTCTTGCTCATCAAAAGCGCCATGCACCGCGCCGATCCGTTCAAGGCGGCCATATGCGCGGGCTTCAAATGCAACGCGCCGGCCTCGCAGGTCACCTTGGCGCCTCGTATGAGCAACTCTTCCAACGCTTCGGCGTTGTGATCTCGGCTCGCAACATGGGCAGGCGTAAGGCCCAGATCGTCCGGCAGGTGTATATTGGCGCCAGCTCTCACGAGGGCTGGAATGCTGTGAGATGAGTTCGCAGCAGCTGCGTGCCACAATGCTGTTCTGCCCATGTTATCCGTGGCATTGACGTAGTTTGTGAGCTGCCAGTGGAGTCGCATAACGTCGGAACGTGTCATGAATCTAACAGCATTGCTGTTCGACATTGCCGCTGCGCGATGAAGCGGTGTCTCTCCAAGGAAATTTGTCCAGTTCATGGCCCTGAGATTCTGGAAACGTTCCAAAGTCCAGAAACTGGCAGTCATTGTGTATGCTGCAGCAAAGTGTAGGGGGTAGTCCCCGATCCCTGTCGTAGGCTGGGCATGTCCACGGTCTTCGCCGAGGTGGACAGTTAAGAGTCGGTCGCAGAGCAAGTCGGTAATGGCTGCGTTTCCTGTCATGGCAGCCAGGTGGAGGCTTGTTAATCGGCGGGCTGAGGGTCCTAAGGGATCAGCGTCACTTTCGAGCACCAGCCTCACAATCTCGATATTTTGGCCCATGACCGCCCAATGGATTGGGCGTAGCTGGAGGAATGGGTCTGGCTGCCCTTCAATGCGCCTCCTGGATTGCAATGATCGCAACAATGCACGTGCCTGCTCAACGTCGTTTCCGCATAGCACCTTTGCTATGTTTCGAGACTCGGTATCAAGAGAGGGGAGTGTCTCTTCGCAGTACTTTCGCAACTCTCAAAGCGGTGAAGAGGTCTTCTGACGTCCATCATGGTAGAGGACGGCCGCACTACTTGGCGTAACCATGCGCACCTTGTTTCCCAGGTTTACTTTCTGGACGACGGTAATCTCGACTGAATCTTCCACGCGGGAGCATTCCAGCAAAGCTTGGAGTTCATGATCCCAGAAGCCATTCCCCCACTGTGCCATCCTGATTGTGCTTGGCTGGTAATCAGGCAGACCAAGTCTTCTCAGCTCCTCCGCGGTCACCACCTCCAGGCCGCTGAATGGTTCGTCAACCATAGTCACGTCGTCAATCCTAGAATCTTTGGGCGCTAGTTTCGACGTGAATGACCCGTCTGAGACGATATGCAGAGAAACTTCGATTCCCTTCTTGCGGTTTCTCTCCGTAACGACAGCCCATGTCGGCATGTCGACTTCGTAGATGTTCCTGGTGGACAGCTCGGCAGGCCTCAACTCCCGTCGATGCACCTCTTGCACAAAGATATTCCACGAGTCTTCCGTCTTGCGGCGCATCGTCCAACTGCCAATGATTTGGCACCAGCTCTTGCATGTCCTCTCGTTGTGGAACCCCATGCCGACAGCCACGTCCACGGACAGAGGGTCGTGTCCGACAACGTCGACCTCGATCCGGAATACGGCAGTTGGCATATCAAAGACTAAGTCGCGAGTCTCAAAGTACTGCGCCTCTTCGTTCCAAGCATGCCTGGGGTGAGCCTCCTTAACTCGCCACACCAGCTCGGTACCCCGTGGCTTGAAGTCACGATAGCCGGGGAGGTGAAGTTGCGAATTATCCAGTGCCGGCACGATCCGAATGACACGCAAATCCAAAGACGGGTCCTGCTTGACGAATACAGACTTGTAGAAACCGTCTCCCCAGAGGTGGACGTTGAGAGAGACGAACTGTCTCAAACCGGTGCGCACCCGGGCAGAATTGTCTCCCGTCCCCCAGATCCGCTTTAGATAGATCACAGGCACCTCCCGTTTGCCCTGGGTGAGCCTCTCGCAGCTCAGAACGGCCTGGAAATCGGCGTCGTGCACACCGTCACACGGCAAAAGAAACAAATCCACCCTCAATCCTCTGCTGGTGAGGGCGGCTGGTTCTCCGCCCAGTGCCAGTGGCGTAGCAGTCGCGATATCACCGGTTGCCCAGAATCGTCGAGGCGAATCCGCGAGCAGTCCAGACAGCGACTTGAGTCTCGACACGGTCCCAACGGTATCCGCATCATCCAATTCCTCCGGTGCGTCGTCTGTATACCAGGCAAACAAGCTCTGGTCATCATCCCGCAACAATATCTCTTCCTGCAACCTGATGAAAGCCTTGGTCCCCTCGCCATATAGAAGGGGCATGTTGACATCAAACAGACCCAGCAAACAATAGGCAATGTCCTCGACGCGCGTCGTCTCCCGGAAGGCGGCCCAGCGCATGCGCACCGACGCGATGCTGATGTCGGCCAGGCTGTCGTGGCCGGTCAGGACGCCGTGCTGGACGCCCGTGATCTGGTGCAGCAGGCTGGTAAACTCGGCACTTTCGGTCTTGTTTCCCAGGTAGCTCCAGTCGCCGGCGAAGAACTCGACCTTGCTCGGCGCGATGAGCTCCTGGAGGGTCCAGCCGCGGGTGAACCACCTGCTGCGCCGGAAACTCGACCTCTCGTCCATCGGGTCTTCGGTCCCCGCCGGGCGCACGTCCTCCAGGTAGGCATAGCACACGTCGGCATCCTGGTACCACCGGTACATGGAGTTGATGGCCTCGGACAGCTCGGCGCTGCTGGTTTTGTCGATGCAGCACGTGTCGATCCAGATGTAGTCAAAGCCGTTGCGCCTGGCCAAGGCAGTGCTTTGCTGGAGCTTGGAGAAGCCCTTCTTGCCAAAGACTGAACCATGCCGGGGAAAGCTGTCACGGTGATTGTCGGGCTCTACTACCGCGGATCCGTCCGGCAGGTCCCAATCAGCCGGTCCCAGAGCCTGGAGGTCTTGGAGCAGTACCTCGTCGTCGGTCCATGTGTGAGAAAGAATGGCGTAGCGGGGGATGTTGCTGCCATAGACCTCAGTCACCCCGATTTGACGAGTACTGAGGAGCCTCATGGTTGTGGCATGACGGTTATTGATGGTGGATGAGTATCATGAGTGTCATGACTGTCCAAATGAGGGCGGTTGCTTCAATTCAGCTCTTAGTCATGAGCTGAGAGAACAGCCGCCAGTGTCGTAGGTATGAACCGTGCCACAGCCTCCTCAGCCTCCCCATGACCATCCTTTTCGAGCTTTGCCGGTTCTTGGCAGCGAAACAATCAATCATTGACAAGAATTACAACTGAAGTTACCGGTACGCTGCGGGGGAGCGCGGGGTCTTGGGCAACGACCTCTTATAACCGAGTCCCGTCCGATTCATACCGTAGTCCGTACTGTTAGTGTTTGCTCCGTGTTGGCGGAGAAAGAGGTCTTGCGCATGTTACAGAGGTTACTTGAGGGAAGTTTGAGCAGATTTTTGGGAAAAAAATTTGATTTGTAGGTAAGGCATGAAATAGTTGGGCCTAAGAGATACCCGAGTGGTATTGCTCCTTCCACGCAGTCCCGCTTAGACCCAAAAGCAGGCTTGACTTTCCCACATGTTGAAATCTCATGCAACCTCTTTCGCAGGCCTGGAAGGCGCACGAATTTCCTTTCGTATGCTTGGGAAACTACCTTGGAGCGCTTTTCCTTCTTTGATTCGCTGCCTTGGGAATGAGCAGTCAGGTTGGTTGGATTCATGACTCCCAAGTTACTTGCTCCTGCCGTCTTGCAAAGCCAGTGGAAAGCAGAGCCGACTACTAAGGTACTGTCTATTATCTAGGTGATGTATCGTATCACCCCTGCCTAGGTATCTTGAACTCATGTGAAGACAGCAGCTTTCAATGATAGCGCAGGGCGTGGCATTCTTGGGGCGCATTTTCTACGTCGAGTACGATGAAGTTCGGGCGTCCTTGAGCCAACATGTCCAAAACTCGGGGCTAGAGAAGATACATCATACATCGGCTCCCGGTCAGAAACGTAAAAGAAATGCCATTGACATTTATATTTCCGCCTTTGGCCGCCAACCACGACCTTAACTTACCTTCAAGAAGGGCTGCAATCCGCAACCGCATCACCTACCCCGACGCATGACGCCGGAGGATGATGCCCCTTAACTCGGAAAGACCTCTCTTTGGCGATCTAGACTGCCGCCTGGTGAATGTTTAGAGATGTATACACTACCGCAGCGGAGATATGTTACACTACGTATGTGTAACCGGTCTTGGTTTAGTGCGGTCGGCATCTTCCAGTACATGCAACACGGGAGCACATGGGACCGTCTGAAGGAAAAGCAGATGGCTGGTTGGCGGCGGGCTGGCTTATGCGGGGATTCGTGGGAACGAAGGGAACAGATCCGCACACATGTCCGGCGGCACCGATTGGCGGAGGAGTTGGATTAATGAGAGTAAAGCTGAGCCGGCGAGGGATAGCACCTATCCACGGGCAGGCAACGTCCGCACCTGCATACCAAACTGCACTTGGACTCGTCTCGAAGGGCCCTCGAGATCCCGAAGCGACGCCAACATTAATCTAGTACTCCAGCGAGTAACCGAGCGAACGGCATCAGCGTGCTGACTTGTCGGCAGGCGGGCTGACGGGTCCTGGACCGGCACACACGATGATAGAGCGGTGTGAAGCGTTGAAGGTCTAGGAAAAACAAATTCGCATTTTCTATCCTGACGTTAGCTTCGTGGAGGCTAAGGGAGAAGTAGTAGGGAGTAAAGGGAGGCGCGTCGTAAGCCACCAGGAGTGTTCAGTGGTTGAAAACATGTCGCTGGTAGACTATAGCCCATACTCCCCTACGATACATCCCGTGGAACAGCTAATCTTGACGTCTTGGTAAGATCAAGTATCTACGCAGGTGTCAATTGTCAACACGTCAGCAGCCTTTTTGTGTCGCGTCAATGCCGGGAGCTGCATCTTCAAGGCGGGAATTGGATGTTCAGCGATCTAGGCACGTTCCTCTCGATTCTCGAATAATTCGTCTGACGTCTAGAGCCGGCATTTCCATGTTACAGAACCTAGAAATGGATTTGGGCGATTGGGAAGAGATGCCTGGCTTCCAGGGGTATTGAAGTGTAGCCCGTCAAAACACGAACGTTGGAATGGTGCTATACATGAAAGTACCGGGTTCGCGTGAGATATCCGACCTTCGTACGTATCAGGGATGTCGCGTGTCCAGGGTCCGATTCCGTTTGTTCCGGCTCCTGTTATTCTGGAAGCCACCCACAAGTGTCAAGTCGCTGTCTTAGATGCTCATGTCATCCATGTCGCTTGATTGGCAAGGTGCAGCATCCGTCGTCCACAGCTCGGAAGTCGGAACAGAGGTGAAAGAGGCTGGTAATATTCGTACTAGTACACTGCCCACTGTAATTACACTGTATCTCATGCGAGAACTACATGTAATCACGTTAAGACCGCTTCTTCACGTAGAAAGCTAGCCCTGGCTTACGATATATGGATGCACCGAAACATAACCCGCGGCTTTGTTCATTTAATACTGAAGCCGCCTCTTTTCGCCCGCTGGTAGACCTTTTCACGGTCGGGATGGACGGCCCACGGATCTTGTCCCGACGGTTCGGGACAATGCAAGTGATCAGTCATCAATCAACCCGCATTGGAATGATTGGATCGCGAAGACGTCTCAAAAAATCTCTTTGCTGGCCGTCCCTGAGGCACAGCACCCCTGTAAACCTTTGGAAATTTTCTCGAAGCCTGCCTTTCTAGGATTTGTCTCATTGGTTTCAGGTTGAAGTGTTGTTGGACACCTCAGTGGGAGCGGACATCGCCGAACCCTATCAAGTGGCACAGCGGCCATATGAAGAGGCGAACACACAGGTGCTTCCCAGATTCCCACAAAGTGTACTTTGTATCCGCACAAACATATATACGTCTGATGGTTGAAGTGCTCACAAGTAATCTCAGGACCTTTCAATGATTCCCAACGACGGATGTAGTGTAACATGAATAAGGTTATTCCAGAGTGAAGGATTCTTCGCGGCGTACATACACGCAGCTGTTGGTGTAATTATTGTATCCGTATGTATTGTAATGTACACACCCTACCGTAGTGTAAGTCATCAACGTCTCACAGTGCCGTCCCTAATGCGGCTTGCACGTGGGAAAGCAAGGATTTTATGTTTCTTTGGAGTTCAGGATTCAAGTTGCCGAGGTACTGTAGTGTATGCATAGCGTAGTGTATGTAGTAGCGTCGTATGTACTCCGTACGCATCCTGAGACGCATCTGATTCTGTGATAGCAATTAACCTACACTACCTCGACTACCTACTAGTGTATGCAGGTATACCAGGCAATAATACCGTAAGGCGGTAAGTAACGATGGTCTTGACCGCATTGCAGGTGCGTTAGCACACATCGAGCAGAAGGGAGACTTGATGGCAGCGCACCTGGTGATTTCCCAATCTGTCTCTTTGCTGCTACCCCCGCACATCCTTTCAGCTTTCATCCCGCATCTTTCCTGTGGTATTTGTACACTACTGTACGAAGTATGGACGTCGGGTCGCGCAGAATTCCTCGGTTTGCATTACACTACTGCACGGACCCCACTCAGATCCTTGCAGGTGATAGATTCATCGTTCCTCACATTTCCAGCCACCAACAGACGCTAGTTAGTTACCTGGAGGTAGCCAGATGTTCGCCTGTGAGCAAGAATCGCTCCTATTTCTACTGTTAGTATTGTTAAGGCTATTGTGTTAGGGAGCTGGATTTGAATTGAGGTAAAGCAATCTAGACAGGTTCAACTGATATGGGTGGGGATCATAATCATTCATTATTACCAGTGAAATGTTGGGTACGTTACGTGAATTTCCAGTAACTAGTCTGTTACGGGCTCTGCCGGGTTGTCAGGAATGCCACGAGCCAGCCCCACTCAACCACGCAAGCCACGACCTCGTGGTCGCCACGCGATAGGAGGGCCACGGAGATAGATCTCATATTCTCATCAATGTCGGGCTGCCATCCTCGTGGCTTTTTACCCAGGGAGCACTTCAGGAGCCATTGCAAAACCAGCTTTACACTACAGAGACTACCTTCTAATCCGCTGTCCAATTTACGGTTTTCGGTCGTTGGTTCATCTGTGAATGAAAGCAGTCAGCCGCGCTGCCATGTGGCATTAGATTACCCGCTGAGACCCAGGTGGTTGGGACAAAGCATTTTGGATACAACTGCTTTGAACCCTTTGTTGATCAGATGTGAGTGTGGCTTAAAAGGTAAAAAGCCATGGCGGCGCATGCAGAACTTCCATGCAGAATTCAGGGCGCGATCTGCACTCTCGAATTGGCCAAGGTCATTTTCCAGGTTGATTCCAGACGTCGTTCGGAGAGACACTCGGAACGACATCCACGCCAAACAAGAAATTCTTTTGGGTTCTTCTGGAAAAGAAAAGGCGAGGCAGGGAAGAGAAGATGGGGTAATATATCACGATTGCATGTGTTATAGGGTACGTACAATTACACTTGAAAGCTGAATTTCTTCTTTCGTTATGGAGAGAGCGATATTGCTGGGGTTGGCATCCTTGTAGGTAATCCCGAGCTGCCCACCTCAGTATCTTACGCTACGGAGTACCAGACTCCTTGCCGTCACCACGCCTCCCACAGCACTCCACCCCCATTTCTTGTCCATTCTAATAAACCCTACGTTCTTTCGACAGCGCTCCCTGAGGCCCCTTAAATGCCAACCATCGCCAGCTTCAATCAAAGTTGCAGCCGGCTGCCTGGGTTCCTCCTCATGAATATAGATCTGTTCCTACGCTAAATCGTGGAATTTGTCATTTTATCCATTTCTTTTCCCTCTTCTTTCCCCGATACCCCTCAATCACCGACCGCCTACCGTCGTACTCCGCGTTTCGTGCCGCCGTTCGTACTCCCGACCGAAAACACCGCCGGGTAACACGGCGAAGCAACCGGCCCGGTTCTACATCTCGGTATTGAGGCATTGACGCTTCACGGAGAACACTTGCACGGCTTCTTCGCATAGTAACATTCCAGTTCCCACGGACCTACAGACCCGCGACGTGGATCCAGCGATCCTGCTCTGTTTCACCCGCAAAGACAGGTCCCGGATGTCGATCAGCTCTGATCTCAATCTGCTCAAGAGCCGCCCAGACCGTTTCCACCACTGCCCGGGGACTATAATGTTGTTTCATGGTATTGGCCTTGACTGGTAATCCAAAATCACGGAAACGAACCGCCCGCTATTTAGAAGAGGCCCATCAAAGTCGGGTAGAAGACTGCCATGGGCAATAGTCAGGGCAAACCCGTCGAGTTTGACGGTGAAGGTGGGATATCTACCTGATTTGGCACCGGTTTCCGTTATACGGCCTGCTAATCTTGTGCCATTATTTTCTCTGTAGTGAACCTGAACCACTTCCGTCTGCTTAGAGTTGTCGGCCGAGGCGCTTTTGGCAAAGTACGCATCGTTGAGAGGAAAGATACGGGCCTGTCGTTTGCGCTCAAGTATATTCGAAAAGATGAAGGTGGGATTGCCGTCAAATTGTCGCAGGAAGTCGAACCCTGGCATTGGCTGACTTGGCTCGACTGTAGTCGTACGGTCAGAGAGCGTCCGCAACATCATCCGGGAGAGACGAATGCTCGAGCATGTCAACCATCCGTTTATCTGCAACTTGCGGTACAGCTTTCAAGACATTGAATACATGTATGCGAGGGCCCAGCAAGTTTTTCGATCCTAGCTGACATGAATAGGTACCTGGTTGTCGATCTCATGAGTGGTGGTGACCTCCGATTCCACATATCGAGAAAAACCTTCACCGAGGAGGCAGTTAGGTTTTGGATAGCGGAGCTGGGCTGCGCCCTGAGGTATATCCATGGGCAAGGTATCATCCACCGGGACGTGAAGCCGGACAATGTGCTACTTGATGCCGACGGCCACGTACATTTAACAGACTTCGTGTGTACCACCACCCTTGAATATGGCAGCGGACCGGGCTAACCTCCTGCCAGAATGTCGCTTCGGATATTGTGCCAGGCAAGATCCTGACTAGCAAATCGGGAACGCTGGCCTATCTAGCACCAGAAGTCTACGCGGGGCAAGGCTACGATGTCAGAGCTGATTGGTGGTCACTTGGCGTTCTGTTTTACGAATGCATCTACAACAAGGTACGCCACGATCCACACGACTACGGGAGGCTGCAAGGTTCTGCGTACGACATGCGCAGAAACGATGCTAACAACCGAGCAGAGGCCGTTTGAAGGCAATTCTGAGACGTCCTTGAGTGGCCAGATCAAGGCTGCCAAACCGAAGTTTCCGGTTACCAACCCCCCGGTATCACTACCTTGCATGTATGCCATCAAAGATGCTCTGGAGCAGGATCCGAATAAGCGTCTTGGATCTACATGGGAGAGCTTCACTGGCCACGAGTTCTTCTCTTGCATCGACTTCGTGGCCCTGGAACGCAAGGAGATCGAGCCCGTTTTCGTGCCATCCTCCGAGAAGACAAATTTTGACGCGACCTACGATCTAGAGGAGCTGCTGCTGGAGGAGGCACCGCTCGAGGCCCGCGCGCGAAGGCAAAAGCCAAGGGAGAGATTAAAAGATGATGCGACGGACAAGGAAATACGGGAGGACGAGCTCTACCGCATGATTGAGACCGACTTCCGCCCGTTTGATTACACAGTCGCGGCTTACAAGAAGTACGCTCTCTTCCCTTCTTGATCCCAATTGTCCAATCCCGACACTGACATATCGCACTAGGATTAAGCAGCAACAACAGGAATGCACAGAGGCTCAGGGCAATGTTGCGGCAGAGGATCTTCAGCCTCGAGCCCTGACAACCGATGAAGCCACGCCCAGCCCAGTTCCCAACGACACCTCAACAAAGTCGGGGCCTGAACAACAACAGCAGGCTCCTACGGGCAGCAACAACAACAGCAACAACCGCAATACCAGTTCCACCAGCGGCAGCGGGAGCAACAAACTCCAGCGGCCGCAGAACAGCAGCAGCCAACAACGGCGCGGCACGACCGGCCGGCCGGCCCCGCTCGCTCCCTACCCACAGACGTACAGCGCAGGCAGCGGGCGACCCGGACGACCCGGGGCGCCGGGGATGATTGTGGAGAGCCCGACGGGCGGGGTACAGGTGACGCTGGACGGCGGCAGCAGCTGGAGCGACCTGGCGCGGCAAGACGCGACGCTGCCCGCCGACGCGAGCGGCGCCAACAACGACCTGCTCGGCGTCGGCCCCGGCGGCAAGGAAAGCTCCGGCGGCGTGTTTGGCTTCCTCCGGGGCAAGAAGGGCCGCGGGAACAGCCCCAAGCCCAAGGAGCGCGGCGTCCTTGGCAAGGAAGGCGCCCGTGTGGTTATCGGTTAACTTTTCTTGATGACTGGCTGAGGATTCTTTTCACTCTTCGCTCTGGCTTGGGAGTTCGAGGAGGGGGTTGCTAAGGGAGGTTAACTGGGGGTGGTTCGGCTATACGGGGCTGTATAATAATCGCTTGCATCATATACGTGTACATGGAATCTGGGGCGGTCGATCCTCTGGCGAGTTGAACAAGCGAAGGTTGTCTGTTGTTTTTATTTTCTGGTTGTCACATAGTTAGGTAGGGCTACGATTTTCTATTTGTCTTTGGTTTGGCCGGTTGGCAAGGAGATGGGGAAGGGGGCAAGATGAAAGCATTAAACCAGCTCTGCTTCCAGTACCAGGTCTCTTGCTAGGCTCTACTGGCCTCTGACGTAGTCATCTGTTGTTTTGTGCTGTCCTAGTAGAGGGTTCAGGGGCTAGGTATGACCGGAGGGCGGGAAGGCAAGCTCAGTCAGGCCTGGCCTCTTCTCTGTCCCCCGTTTTCCTTCCTCCCTTCCATTCGAGAACAGCCAGGGCAGCCCTTTACGTTTATGGTATATGTCGTCGGGTTGTAGGAGGGTTCCATGATCTGATACTTCTTTCTCTATGGGCTGGGACACTACTATACTTGGCTGAACCACGCACTTCTCTCATGCCTACCGTACCTTTCTTGACTTCCTTTCCTGGACTACCAGGTTTCTACGCTCCTTGAAGTGACTGATGGTCTTAGTTACTTACTAGTACCTTATACCGTCGCAGACCAGGTGATCTCTCCTCCGCTGAAACTCGGTCAGTGAACTAGCTGCCTTGATGACTGAGCGATGGCTGGTGGATAGAGTGTTGATGGGTTCGTTGAGTGAAGATGAGCAACTGCGCTCATTTGTATATGTATCACTGCCGTTGGCCGAGGTTGCGAGACGGAACTTGGGAAGTGTGCCGTGGACATGTTGAGTCTCCTCAAAGAATTCATAACGTCCACGGGCGGCCCATGGGATGACTGGAAGAGCGCCCCTGCTCTTCCGCACGGTGGGTTGCTTGTTGGTCTAGGCTGTTGACTTGTCAGTGATCACTGATATGTGTAGCAAGCAGGGGCCCGAGACAGAAATTAATATCTGGGTATTGGTCTTTCCTCAGGGCCAGACTGGGCAGCCCTAGGTAATACTGTCCAAAGGGCACCGTGGAATCAATCTGTTAAACTCATGGGCTTTGCGATGCGTCACGATGACAGCTGTCACGATAGTTGCTCTTCTGCCTTTAATGTCTAAAGTTGACTTCGTTACAAGCAGCTTTGAGAGCGGTTCATAAGCATTTCCGTTCTGACCTCTGCCCATTCTCCCATATTCCCAACGATTCTCATCCTCCTACAAAGCTCCATAACAGAACAAACTTCTAGATAGCGAGAGTGACTAGCCATTAAGCTGCCGAACCGAGCCTGCCAAAACAAAGGAAAGAGCTGGGAAAAGAGCCGAGTTGATAATAAGGGTACAATGTAGGATTCAACCATCCTCTGAGACCACTCCATGGTTCCACACGAGTTCCATGACAAAGACAATGGAGATTTAACCATGAGATCCGACGTAACTCGGATTCCGCTTGGTTGTCGAAGCAAACCGTCAACAGAGCATCAAATAAACCAGGCCTTTCCCAATCCCCAAAAATAAACGCAGCTCACCGAGCCTAATGTTTTCAAATAGGTATATCCGCTATACTCCAACCCTTCCCTATCCATAGCTGTTCTGACCCGCAGGGGCGTCGCCTCAACTTCCTCTCCAAGACCACTATTTTGATAGGCCCTTATTTCGGGCCACCCCCTGATGCGTTTTATCCATATAACCGGGTGTCGAGAGCCAAGCCACCTGATCTGTTGTACAATAGTATAGAGCAACGAAGAAAGCATGACTGCGGCATCAAGACTGCGTTGCGGAGCATGCCTCAGGTACGTCGCCGTCGTTGCAAAGGTACTTCTTGACGGCCTTGTTGAAATCTTCTTCTGGAACCACCTGCTTGCCGCCGGAGCACTTCGCTTTCTTTTGAAGATCCGCACAGAGGCCATCCAGATCGAACTCGCCCGTTGCTACCCTGGGGCAAGTGCTCAATTTCTCCCTGTGATGGGGGTCAGTCAGAGTCCACGACGTCAGAGCCGATTGACCGTACCAGATCTTATCATAACCCAGCAATTTGGAGTCACCATCCGCCTCATCCGCTTCCTTGGCTGCGTCGATTTGGGCAACGAGATCCTTTTTGGGGGCCGTAGGGCCCGTTATGGGTAGGTTGTACGGCGTGATGAAATCCGCATCAAGCGCGTCATTGAAGAAGCTATCATCGAGCCCTTGCGACAGTATACTCTCCTGGGGCTCGCGGTAATCGCCGAATAACTGCGGATTGAATTGATAGTCCGACTGGGGCAGCCACTGGGCAAAGTCATCGAAGCCGGTGTTTCCAAAATGACCAATACCTGCTACACGGTTAGCGGACAATTCGGGTATTACGAGACTTGCATATATTCCATCCCAAGGGTGCTTCTCACCTTGTGATAAGCCGTCAAAGCCCGGCTGCTCCTCTCCAATGGTAGCCAGAGTATCAACAGGTTTGAAGCCCATCGGAGACTGGGTAAAGGACTCCGGAGACGTTCCACATGAAGAGCTGTTGCCGCCAACGTTGGAATTCGAGGAAACAGACGGCGAGCTTGCCGATCTGGCGCTGCCACCATTGAAATGCGAGTCCAAGCTAAAGGACGAACCGAATGGGCCATTGCCGGTGTCCTGAGGTGGTGTAGTGAAACCAAAGGAGCCGTCGGCCAAATCCCCCTTCGATTGGGAATCGGAACCATTCTGACTGTAGCTACTCGAGTTGCTCGGGCTGGCGCCATTGCGCGAGTTATCGGTTGGACTTGGCTGGTCAGCACTGTTCCGCTTTGCGGAAGCCGAGGAAGATGGTCCACTCGAAGATTGCTTCGGCTCGTTCTTGACCGGTTGGCCTGGAAGAGAGCCGAACTTGGGGAACTCGAATTGGAAATTGACGTCATTCATGCCCTTGAAGAAGGCATGGCCGAATGGCCGGGCCGGGCCCTGGTGGGCAAGGCGGCTACCCGATAGCATGGATACTTGCTTCTTGTACTGGTTTAACTCGGCCGTGATGGCATCAATCTTGGCCCGGAGCATTTCATTCTCGCTGGTCGCAGTTTTGGACAGCTTCTCCAATTCCTGGACCTTATTCTCTAAGTCCTTCAGATGCTTTTCCTTGCGTTCCCTGAATGCTCGCTGGGCGGCCCGATTCTGGGCCTTCCGCTTCTGTTGAAGAAGGTCAGCAACCGGCCCAATTTCAGAGAGGCGCCGGCGCGGCGACATGTTAAACTTACAGAAGTTGGTTCCGTGGTCAGAGGTTTCCTGCCTGGTTTTTTTGCGACTTTATCCTCACTTTCCCGCCTCTTGGCCCCTGTATTTTCCTCTCCGTCGTCAGGATGACTTCGCTTTTCTGGGGACTCATTATCGGGCGAATCCGATTTGGAGGACCTTGGGGCGCCAGGAAGGTCCCCAATCATCTTGGGCTGGTTGCCGGCGTCAAAGAAATCAAGGCTCGAGTCTGGTCCGTTGAAGTCATAGTCGTAGTCGAATTCTGGACTGCCCTGGAAGCTCGCCAATCCGTCGGTGTGCTGATTGGGAGATCCATCAAACTGTAGCGGCGACATATTGAGAATGGAACTTGTCTGCTTGTTGCTGGGCTTGTTGGAATTGAGGGCGGCAAACAGCAGATTCTGTTGCTGCGGGGTGAGGACGAAGTCCTCCAGCGGATTACGGGTAGACGTCATCTTGCTGACCCAGGTTCGCCCGCGACCGCTAGTTAGGGGACCACGAGACACTTCCCGGTTAATTGGCCCAGAGAATACGGGACGGCGCAAGTCTCAAGAGAAGGCGAAGAGGATTCGCCCCGGGAAAGTGTTGTGTTGTCGAAGAGAGATGGCGGAGATAGTCTAGGATGACTCCTGCCTAAGATCAAAGTAGGCGGGGTATCTCAGATGGTCGAGACACAAGGCAAGGGAAGGGGGAAGGCGTCGCAACTCTCCACCAGTGAGGAAGCCCCCCGCGGAACTCGGACGAGACTACTTGAGGCTCACAATTGCCACCGTGGTCTGCCACGTCAAAGGGCGAGTTCGAGGTAGCGTACAATACAGTTTCAAGGCAGGGCAAAGTTGTAAGAGGCCACGATGGAGCCGGATGGATCGGCGGAAACAGAAAGAGAAGTTGGTGCCTGACTTGCTGCCTTGGCTTTACCAATGGAACTTTTGTGCATCTGCACCTGACATCAGCCGTTTCGTTTTCTGAAGGAGACTGACGGTGGGTCGGCGTGGTCGGTCATGGCGAATGGAGGGGGCCTGAAGGAAGAATGATGGCCTCTCTGGATTTGTCAGCGACGATTGGGAATCCGACCGTCACCGGCTGGCTTGTCCGTGCACTTTGGAGGGGCTGAAAGCGCTGATGGAAGTGGCTTAACGCTGCGTTATGTTAAACCGTTTGAAGGCCGTCTTCAGTCCGTAATCTCGCTCTTTCATTTGAAACGGAGCTCTGTGGGTCCATAAAGTCTGCGTACTAGTGCGTATCCGTACTCCGTATGTACACTGCCTTCGTACATTCTCCGTTATCTCCGTCCTGGACCACAGAAACGACATGCACATCTCCTGTCCATGCGGATACCTAACTACACCATTACAAGAACATAGCTTTGAAGTACACGATTATTTGCTCCGTTATCTTTGCTTCCGCATCGACAGTTAGAAGCGCTCTCCATTTACAGTAGATCGGGTTGTGGCCTGCCGCCTCCATGTCGAATAAAGGGCGCTGAGTCAGACCGAAGAGCGCATGAATTACCGGTAGCTAAGGGGGAACGAAGTAATTACAGGCCCGTACACAGTACATACAGTGTCACCTGTGACCCCAGCCATCAGCACCCATAACCTCCGTGTCAAACCGCAGTGCTTGCAAGCTTGGTCTGCAGGTGCCTCGAGAGTTGCAGATCCACCAGATTGAACTTTGAAGATCTGAGAGTTTTGCTTGCTATATCCAGGATCAGGCAGTCAATTGTACATGTGTGTGCATACAGTGTAGGTAGGCGTTCCGTGGCCCGCGGGACCTTGAAGCTCAACCGTTAAGCTTCTGGCTCGTGCGTTTTGCTCAAGCTGTCCGCTCGGCTGCCGGAGAGAAGAGCCCCGCACGACGCATGATTGGCGACATCCCGACTTGGCGTTGGTTCCAAACTAATTAGCCCCAGACCGATGCAGCCTCATGTGATCGTTGACCTTTGTGCAGACGTCAACTCTACCAGACACCCTCAAGGACATTTATTAACTCTACAAGAGACCTCGAATCGTGATGGACTTCGCTTACGATCACATTCAGGAGTCGACTTTTCCCGAGGATAACAGCGAGTCCTCATCCGCCGACAAGAGGCCTGCTCAGCAGTTGAGTCTGAATGCCGACCTCCAGGATGCCTACCGTGCCTTCTCCTCCAGCCCTTGGGGCGCTCGGATTGGGGGCTTCTTTGGCAGCGTAGTGAAGCAGGTGTGTTACCTTTCTCTATCGCCAGTCTGAGCCCCCGTCCTGACCGCCGCCTGCCACCAAACACAGGGCGAATCCGTCTACCATGAAGCCCAAAAGGAGCTCTCAGCCGTGGGCCAGGACGCGACCCGTGGTCTCAGCGATCTGCGCCAATCAATCATCAATCGCACACGATCACTCTCCCTGAATACCTCGGCGGCCGCTGGCGGGTCCTCCTCGGAACGAACACGGGAAGATGGGGGCGAGAACACCGAGACGACGCCCACAACGGCCAGGGAGATGTCCTCGGAGGATGCAATCAAGGAGTCCGAGACAGTGCTGTCCCGCCTTCGGGACGAAGCTGCTAAGCGATTAAAGGACCTCCAAAAGGCCGAGGACGCGGCGGACGAGGCGCTGCTGAGATTCGGAAGCAATTTACGGGATTTCTTCCGCGATGCGATCAAGATTGCGCCACCCAATAGCGACCAGTCAGATGACCAGGGCAGCACAGTACTGTTTGAGAGCAAGGATGCACATGGAAAGAGGGTGATTCACACCTCCCGCTTCGACGCGCAGCTGCATGTGATTCACACCACCACCGACAATTTCATGAAGGACGGTTCCGGAGCTGAATTTGAGGCTTGGGCAAAGGATTTTGACATCGAGAAGAAGACCGAGGACATCAGCGCCGACCTTGCCAAGTATCCCCAGCTAAGAACGACGATGGAGAAGCTTGTGCCCGACCAAGTCCCTTACGCAGACTTTTGGAAGAGATATTACTTTCTCAGGCATGGTATTGAGACTGCCGAAGCCCGGCGAAGAGACTTGCTTAAAGGTGGGTCAGATGCTGCTCTCTATTCGCTTCTAGTCTCTGCTGACGCTGGACAACAGCCGCTTCCGCCGAGGAGGAAGTCGGCTGGGACGAGGATTCGGATGACGAGGCCCAGCCCAGCAAACCGGCAGCGGTTTCCAATCGGCCCGGCTCCACCGAGTCCTCAACTACCATCCATCCGCCCGCTGCTGGCCAAGGCCTTCTAAAGCCGTCCGAGCCTCGAAAATCCAACGACGAGAAGTCGCAGGCTGACAGCGAGGCGAGTTACGACGTTGTCGGCGCCACATCCGGGGTTCCCAGTCAGGCGCCAAACAGCCCGAAGGAGGGTCGGAAAGTTGACGATAGCGACGAGGAGGAAGACTGGGAGTAGGAGTGTGTATCGGACGTTCGGGAGCGAGACTGGGTTATGCCCCGAGGCAGGCGTTCGGGTGCAATCGTTCGTTTGCTTTGGTGTGCGGTATTGAATATTCGTTGACGGCTCTGGTTTCATGCTCGGGTCCCGCTGCTCGTGCAGAATAAGAGAAAACCCGGTAATAACATCACAGATATCGCTGAAACCTTTGCCAACCCAACCGACACTCTACCTCTTCTTCCTTGTAACCTTGGTAAAACCGTCCTCGTCTACTTCAGGCGCCTCCTTTTCTTTCCTTGTAGGCGCCTCTACCAGCGGGGGTGCTTCACCCATCTCAATATCGCCATCCTCCTCGTCACCATCCTCGTCGTCGTCGGTATCCCAATCCGTCTCGTCCTCCTGATCCTCCGCCTGCTTAAAAACAACCTTGTTCCCCTTCCTTCCTTCCCACCTCCTCCGCAACGCTTCCACCTCCTCAAACCTCCCCTTCAAGCACTCAGCCCGTATGCGCACCACCTGCTCAGCCACCTCGAACGCCGAATCATCCTCAACGTTCACCTCAAACTCGTCCAGCATGACTTGGAGCAGGACCGTCTCGACGTCGACCTGGTCCGGCTCTTCGTCCTCACCCACTCCTCCGCCTCCTTGTGACTGTGACTGTGATTGAGACTGTTGTTGGGCTTTCCTCTGCTGTTTTTGCTGCAGCTGCGCCGGCGTGAGCTTGGAAATGTCCGGGAACAGCTCCACGATCGCCCCCGCGAACCAGTCCCGCTTGTCGGCCGAGTCCGGGCCGCCCCAGTTGTTTTGCACCGCCAGCGTCAGCGCAGGCCACAGATGCAGCGCGAGGGCTACGCCCTGCTCAAAGTTCGACTGGCAGGTCGCTAGGAAGCGGGGAGCGTTGTGTTAGTTCAAACGCAAGGAGCTGTGAGGGCTTGTGTGAGGGCTTTGCTGGCTTGCTTACCGGGACTGGGATCGGCGCTCGCCATTGTTGAGTTCTTTGGCAGCCCCTGGTTGTGCAGAGCTGGATAGCAGGGGTGTGGAGGGCTCTGTAAGCTGGATTGGACCGAGGGTCTGAGAGTTCGTTCGCTGGAGGAGGCTGCTGAGGGGTGGATGGAGGGGTTGTTGAATTGGGCCGAGATTTTTTCCAAAATCTATTTCCCTAGCAGGGTTAGGGTTTACTCGGACTCGCCTCGACCCTGGAACCCACAAGCTAAAAAAATGACGACATGTGTTGCACGACAGCAGCTCAGAACGAAGTACACTACGGATACGGACTACACATCGGCCTAAATAACTCGTCCGTAGGGCACGCGTCGTTGCATACGTTGCACGGCAATCGGAGAGTCTATTGAGCCGATAGGTCTCAGGATAGAGAGACCTCCAGAAGAGAATTCCCGACGGCGAACTTCAACTTACCAGCACATCCAGTCCCCGACGCGAACTAATAGGTGCTTCGTCTGAGACGATCACGCAATCTAAGCTGCCTTGAACCTACCTCCACCACTTGAGATATTTAGGCCGTTTGATCTCTAGCGAAGTTGTGGATATACACACTTGATCAAGTCGATCACTGCCATTTCCTTCCCTTCTACTCTATAATTATCCATCAGACTCATTCACCATGGCATCTACCCTCCTAATCGGCAGCACCGGGCTCGTAGGCGCGCACATACTGAGCACGCTGCTCGCCAGCGACGCTGCGGGCGCGGTGCACACCATCTCGCGGCGGAGCCCCAAGTCGACTGGTCCCAAGCTGCATGCGGTGGTCGAGGCCGACACGGCCAAATGGGCATCCCAGCTCTCGGCCATCACCCCTCCCCCGACGACGGTCATCTCGTCCCTGGGGACGACACGCGCCCAGGCGGGGGGCATCGCAAACCAGTGGAAGATCGACCACGATTTGAACGTGGACCTTGCGCGCGCAGCCAAGCAGGCCGGCGTGCGCAACTTTGTCTTTGTCTCGAGCGCCGGCACCAGGAGCTTCCTAAGCTCGCGCGTGCCGTATAGCCAGATGAAGCGGGGCGTAGAGGATACGATCAAGGAGCTCGAGTTCGAGACGGCCGTTATCCTCAGGCCCGGGGTCATCCTGGGCGAGCGAGAGGTGCCGCACGCGGGCGGACCGCTGCTCAACAGTACCGTGAGGGGACTGGGCAAACTGCTTGGGCAAGGCGTGGCCGACAGGTTGGGCCAAGAGGCCGAGGTGATTGCACAGGCTGCGGTGCATGCTGCCAGGCTTGCGGAGGAAGGCAAAGCGCCGGCGAAGTATTGGATCCTGGAGGCGGCGGATATTGTACGATTGGGCCGGACGGAGTGGAAGAGTTAGGCAAGATTTCCATCCTTTCAGTTCGCTGGTCGAAATGTTTCCGGGGTGGCGTGGTTTGCACTTAGTGATAATGTAACATCTATATTGCTCTTACATCGCGCCCGAATCCTCATCGGGTGACTGATGGTGATGGGTAAGGCCATTATCGCCCAGGTTCGACTTGCTTGACATCATCAATACGATAAGGAATACAGGGCCGAGCAGCAAGGCTCAACAGCACAGAATATAATGTGAAGGATAATCAAAACAGAAAACCAAAAAGAAGTGAAAGGAGTCAGCACTCCTGGTGGGGCTCGAACCCACAACCTTCCGATGAGCTTCTCTTCGCCAAGTATGGAACCGTAGAAGTCGGATGCTCTTCCATTGAGCCACAGGAGCAATCGCATTGGTTGCGCTCACAAAATCAAGGCCTATGACGGGAAGGTGAGGGTCACCGACGAATGGCCTGGGAACCACCGTGTATAAACAACAGGACTTCGAATGGCCTACCTATAGCGTGTATGACGATTGACCAACTTTGGATTCACTATCCGTATCGTAATTTCATATTCCTTCGTTTAGAAAGCCGGTGGCTGGAAGCATGAGCCAATAGGCATTGGGCCAAGCTCTGTGCTTAATGCGGTAACGTTATCGAGTTGCATCATCGTCCCACGCGACCCCGCGCTCTTCCCGTGGTCCTCCAACTCCCAAGTCGAAACACAACCTCGATTTCCGTATCACCCCATTCCGACATGGCGTACCCAAGCGGCGGTTGGGATCCTCCTAGCGACAGCAATTCTGGAGACAATGGAGGTTTGGACCTGTCCGCTCTCGGTGCTTTCTCCCCGAATGGCCAACTCCTGCGCTTGACGCCGGAGCAGAGGGAGCGTAGTCTGGGCCAACTCAGCAAGCCCTTGAGCGAGTTCCCTCAACCGCCATTTTGGTTCAGAGAGAAACAGAAACATGCCATTGCCTTGACCCTCGCCCAGGCTGCGGGCGCCGCGGGCCGCCCGCTGACCACCGACGAGGCGGATGCACTCGCATACCATCGTTCACGCGAATCCTCCGTGCTAGCCTGGCGGACTCCCGTCTGGCACGGCTCTACCCTTTACTTCACCTGGCGCGGCTTAAGAACGTTCAGGTTCCCATTCTACACTCCGAAACCAGCCTCGTTCAACCCGCACCACTTCCCGAACGCGTCGAGACCGATCCTCTCCGGCAGACCGGCCATGTTACTCTGGCAATTCCTGCGCATTAACGCTTATTCATTTATAATCTTCGGGGTAACAACACCTATCTTTGTGTCCGTGGCCAGCTCGACCTACCTGGTCGGCGTCGCACAGGACCCGAGGCTCCAGGATATCAGACGTGCATTGTTGGAGAGGCAGCGTCAAGAAGTCGCGAAATTACATGGTGCGGGAGCCGCGACGAGGACGAATGCGACCCCCTCCTCAACGGACTCCGACAGGTTAGAGCAGCAGCGGCAACAGCCTCAGCCCCCGCGCTGGTCGCAGGGAACATCAGAGCAGTGGCAGCGCCGCCCGCAGGCAGAGTCACTGGAGGACGACTCTTCCATCTTCGATGACGCCTCGCCCGTCGCGCCCTCAGAAAGGCGGTCCCCTCAACCCTCTGGCATCTCTTCAAATCAGCCCACCAATAAGGGGGGATCCTCTTGGGACAGACTCAGACAGCGCTCAAGGTCGAGTGAAGATGCCTGGGATCAAGAAGGTCAGGCCCAGGGCGAGTCCCGGGGTCAGAGGTCAGACCAATACACGTATTCGCAGGCCGATGAAGAAAAGGCGTATGCCAAAGAGAAGGCGCAGAAGGAGTTTGATGCCATGTTGGAGCGGGAGCGCCAAGGCGTGGGCGAGTCGGGCCGCCGCTTCTGAGCGGGTTGCGGCAAATTGTATTACTAGCTGTCTTATACTTTATTCCGGCTGGGAAAGTGTATTCTCCAGGCCAATCGCGGTGTCATGGTCTCGTGTGTCGAGACCGTAGGCGCGGGGAGCCCATTCGTTGCGCATCTGCAGCTTTGTATACCCTCCCCGTTTCATGTTGCCTCGGAGTCCTATACTCGTGCCTGAGCATACCTTTGCGATCGCAAGCATCCTTCCCCGCTTCCTTGCCTAATGTATGTGTATCATCCAATAACCTCTCACTCGGGATCTGTTGGAGGTCTCTGCATATAACTTGGTACAACCCGAGAGAGACAAGCTTTCAGTTGACATTTCCGTCCTCGCACTTATCCTATTCGCCAGCCACCAAAACCATATGAAGCTCCTTACTTGCACTCCTGGACGAGCTCGGTACATCGCTCGACTCGACAGACATTATCCCAATCACGCACTGTTTGGAGGCAAAGAACAAAGTAAACAAGCCCAGATACAAAATACTAGTTCTTCTATGTATAAAAACGCGGTGGGTATCAAATTCCCCGAGCCCACGACGACGGCAGTGACGATGACAACGACAAGACCGGAATGTAAAAGACCCCCAAATACAAAAAGCCATCTCGCATCCCATCGTATCTTCATCACCGTTCGTCATTCCCCATATACCCAAATCTTCCCATCGCCACCGCCATAGCAAGAATCCAACGTCGGTCGTCAGGGGAAAGCCCAAGAGTCTCTGCAATATGCAACCGGGGGCCAGTATGACGCCATCAGCCTCCTGCCCGTGCTGCTGGGCCGATGGGGAGATCGCGTGCTCAGCACGCCACGCGGCGCAACACCGGCGCACACACTACCGGGTAGTGTACAATACACTACACAACCCCGTGGTGTACGTGTGCCCTCTTGTCTCATTCCCCTTTCTTTTCCTCCTCTTCTCCCAACCGATTTTAACGCGGCAATCGTGCAATTTTGCGGCCGCAGAGGGCAGACATCTATCATGGGCAATCATATCCCCAAAATCAGCCGCGAATCTCGAGTTCCCCGCCCTACCGCGGCATCATGCCAGTTTTCGGGCCTTGACTTCTTTTGATTCCATCCGGATCAAACAAGACCAACCCAAGCCAAGTCGATTCATTCTCTCCTCCGCCAGCCAAAAAGCCCCTTGTTCGTTGCGTTGTATTTTTTACCGGCCTCAAACGCCGCACCAACCGACCCAGCCAGTCAACCAGTCAGTCAGTTAGTCAATTCGTCATTCGGACGGTCGGCTCCCCCACATTGCCGGAAGCACAGCCAATCAACCAACCAGCCAGCCAGACCGAGCGACAGATATGGACCAGAACAGAAAAAGGGGGATCATGAATCGCCCATGCCCGCCATGCCCGCCGTGGCCGAGAAATTACCGTAAACTCCATCCTCACTGCTGACACTGTCTCCTTCCTCCTCCTCCTCTTCTTCCTCATCCACATCCACATCCACGTCCACACTCCTCGGGCTGTGCAGACCACTCGCCTCGGCGCTGGCGCTGGCACTGTGCATCCTTTGCGATCCAAACCCTCTCCCACCAGCACCACCACCAACACCAGAACCACTACCACTACCACCGCCCAGGGCACTCAAGCTGGTTGTGCTCGCGCTGCCACCGAGGGCAAGGAAGCTCTGTCTCCGGGCGGCATCGATGTCGACGCCGGACGCGCTGCGGCTGAGCAAGGGCTTTTCGGGTAGTTGCTTGAGCAAGCCCGTCGAGATGTCGAGCATGCCCATGGCGAACTCGGTCAGGCCTCTGCCCTCGCCCGGCTTGGAGCTGACCGAGAGGGTCCAGCGGTACTCGGCCAGGCGGCGGCGGTACCAGTCGGCTTCTTCGCGCCCCGGCGAGGTGGCCCAAAGCAGGGAGCCAAAGGTGCCGATGAGGGCGAAGTTGGCCTTGGAGGCAAAGTACCAAAAGGCGCGCAGGTGTGAGGGCGTGAGGCGGTTGACAAAGTCCATGGCCGAGATGAGCCGGGCCTTGGCGGCGCTGCGGCAGATGTGCTGGATGTACGGATCGACGCCGCCGGATGAGGGCGCGGTCGCGCCGCCGGCCTGGGGTGGTGAGAAGCGAGGGTTGGGCGGGCTGGATGCTGCTGCGGCGGCGGTAGATTCGTCTATTGAGCGGATGATGCGTCGGTGTAAGGTAATCTCGGTGGCGAAATAGGCGAGGTGAAGATAGCCTATGCTGGAGAGGCGGCTGGGCGGGGGCGGGTTGGCCTGGAAGGTCGAGTCCATACGCACGATGGCCGGCAGTCCGCTGTACCACTCTTTGAGCTTGAGCTGGATCGGCTTGGCGAGAGACAGGATCAGCTGCGTGCCCTGGGCGCCCGCGTTCGCGGCAGCCTGCGAGGCCTGCAGGGTATAGAACGTCTCGAGAATCTCGGCGAGGATCTGTGATAGCTGCACCATCTGCGCAAACAGCACCCGGCCACGCTCGATCTCTATCCTCTCTTCAACATCATTGTCGTCCCATTCCACATCTGGAAAGTCGTTGGGGTTTAGCTGCTGAACGGCCCAGTTGGATGAGAATATGTGGGAAGGTCGCCCATGGACTAGAGCGCCCCATTTATCCTAGTAGTCAAAATTAGGACGGGACCTTTGGATTTTGACGGCGAAGACCTACCTGCATATACAACGCCCAAGCCAGGCGCTTCCTCAGACCGCGCTCCCAGGGCGGGATTTTCCAGTGAGTGCAATCCAGATGGAGACCCAACTCTTGCGCGATGGCGATCAGTTGCGCCGTGGGTGCCCACTGGTCTCCCTCGGGCCGCTGCGAGAGGATCAGCCCGGCTTGGATTGTCGACAGTTTCGGGCGGTACATGGCATCTGCGAGCGTGGTCCGCACCAATCTCTCCAACTCCCGGACATTGGGCTTCGGGAGACTGGCTAGTTCCTCCGAGTGGTCCCACCAGTTAATGGCCAAGATATAAATGGCGGCGAGGAGCGGGGGGTCAAACTCGCGATGCGACCGTTCGTACTTCTCGAGGAAAACGCCCTTCTGAATGATGGGGAAGGCTGGGTGCACGACCCGAAAGTACAAATCTATCAGCTTGCGGCCATGTGGCGCGACCAAATTCTCGATCTCGTCGGCGTCATTCACGATGTGCTCGTAGCCAGGGGTGTTGCTGTCGGGCAACAATAAGAAGGTGTCATTGTCGCTCACCCTCCTGAGGGTGCCACGTGCGAGGAGACTCTCATCGTGCGGGTCAAACGGCGACAGGTTGATCAGGGATGGCTCGAAGTCGGTGGTGGGCCCGATGTACTGACTATACCTGTCCGCTTGGAGGCCGAGGGTGCGCTTCAGCAGCGTAGGCCCGCCAAAGTTGGCCATGTCCTCTATCAGGGAGCTGCTGGCCGTGGTGCACGAGACGCTCGGCCGCTGATGCCGTCGTCTCCTGTTGTTATCATAGCGGCCGGGAGAACTGCATCGGCCAATCAGATGTTAGGTAAGAGCTTGGTCTCGAGCTGTGCCCAGGCTCGGAGTGTGCATAAACGGACGGGCACGGGGGCAGGAGGGTGATGAGGACAGGGATGCGGGGCAAGATATCCATATCCATCCGGATCTGGTAATAAGGGGGCTGCCTCTCACCTTCTCTTGCTACTGCTGCCGCCCTCTACGTCACCGTTCAGCTTGCGTTTCCTTATAGGCGGGCTCTCGGTCAGGGAGCACTCGGTCCCGGTGACAAGGCACGCAACACAGCTCTCCTCGTCGTCGCTCATGACACAATCGCTCCGCCGGTGGAGACAGGCCTCGCAAGGTGGTGCCGAGTGCCCGCTTACAGAGTCCGAGTCGGGGGAGTCGAAGCCGCTTCGGAGTCTGGGGTACGAGTCTAGGTTTATGCTGCCTTGACGGCTCGGGGGGACGCGCGGTGGTTTAGGCGCAATGGCGATAGGAGCCGTCCTGGTTACAGCGCACTGGGCAGACATGGCGAAGGTAAAAGCCGGGAAGGTCCGTGGTCGGATTTAGGCAAAGCGGCCCCCCTTTAGCTCGAAGATGACTGCAGTTCGGCAGGATGCCCGATGATGCAACGTGGTGGGAATGGCTCCCTGTTCTCTCCACAGAAACGAACTCAAGTGCCGCGGATTCCCAATGCCCGGGCCGGAGACGCACGGAGACACCCTATTGCTCCCAGCCAAGCGGCTGATTATCCCAGGACCCGGACTGCTTCTCTTTCTCAACGTGCTCGCACCACGGCAAGATAAAAAGCTGCCCGGTGGACTCTTCGGTGCAATCTGTCTTGAAACTGACTAAGCAGAGCAACTCCCGGGAGGACCAGGAAAAGTGACAGGGTCCGCGGATGCCACAGGCAAGCAGATAGGGCTCTGCACCTCCCGTTTGCCAGGTACCGCGCAGGTCGGCTGCGGGTGGGCTTGGTGGACTGGGACGTGGTGGGCTAGGCTGGGGGGGGCTGCTGTGATAAGGAACAGGATCGTAGATAAGGTTGCTTGAACGCCCGCTCCGGGCCAATGCAGGGCCACTCCAAAGATCAGCCTCTCACGGTCGGCAACACGGGTACCCACGCCTGCCTTTCCCTGGCCGGGGGTGATAGCGAGCCTGTAAGCGTCGTTGGTCGAGCTATCAGTTGCTTATCGTCGATATCTTTCACCAGTCGAAAGGCCTTTTCTTGGTTGCACTGGTTCGGAGGAGAGAGCAGTCGGTTTCCGTTTCTCCCAGGGGTGTGTGTATGTGTACGGATGTATACTCGCGTGATCAAGGCAGGGAAGGAAGGGGAGAGAGCGAGCCGGCCTGATCACGCGCGGATCGGGAAGGAACGATAACCTTGGAAGTGTAGTTTTGTTTGTATGGGGTGAATCAAGTGTATGTACAATACCAGCGGGATGCGGCCCGTATCGTAAACGTTAACCAGCTGTAAGAGCAGACCAGGCAATGACCTGGCCAGATTTGGGGGGGTGCGAATCTATGTGATGATCGAGACGAGGATAAGATAAGCCTGGCTTATCTGCGTCATTTGCGGCGGCAAGCAGACTCGAGCTGTCGGGGATTATTATGGCATGAACCACCTGTTCGCTCTTAAGGAAGTGGGAAGCCGCGTGTGAGTGCTCTTTCCAGGTTTCTTTAGTTTGTTTCGTTTCGCTTGTTTTTGTCCTTCATCCCGGGTATGGCCATTTGCCAGTGTTTCAACAGGACTCAGTTAGTAATCGAAGGGGGAGAGAAAATGAAGCCGGCTGGGCCCTGGCACCGACGGTTAATAGTAAAGAAGGGAAAATAATGCAGGATTCCGAGAGTGGAAAACACATCAACTGGTTCTTCGTGGACAAGGACGGAGAACAAACTGGCGCACTCCAACCGTGCTATTACGCAGAGCAGTGTAGGATGATCTCAAGAGACCTTTTTGAAGGTAGGTCTTGAGGTTGATGACCACCTCAGTCTAGTTCGAGTGTCCTCTCTCGCGGCTACAGTAATTTTTTCACCAGAGCAAACCCTGAACAATGGCCTGTTCCCGTTTTCCCGTGTCTTCCCTCGCTTGTGTCCGTGTCGGCGCAAAATGAAAGCACAGAAGCACATGCGCGTCCGATGATAGCATGCAGTTTGGCCTTATCATGATGGGCGATTTCAGTTCGAAATTCCTAATGGCAAAGCCCGAGATAACGGTTGCAGGCCTGCATGGTACTTTCGGATGACTCGACTTGTTTTGGAAACTGGTCACTCGACTAACAAGACAGCACGGCCAGTCACTGCAGAAGCTGTTTGGGAGCAAGCAGGGGCGGAAAGCGCCTGGAGGTATCCGCTAGGTTTCCCCACTGCTCCGCCTGTGCCCCGCCAACATTGACCCGTCAATGCGGATGGGACCGATTACCAAATGGAAAAGCATCCAACACTTCTTCGGGAATACATTTAACGTAATGGACCCCCGTTTGCCGAGTCGGAACCATACGAATGTCGACGACGTTGATTATGAATGTGAAAGAAAACATTACCGCTTCGTTGCATCTCTCGAGCGAGTCGAGTCATATGCTCCGTCTCCAGCCCGGGTTTTGCTCTTTTCTTCAAGGGCGCAATAACTAATCAATTGACCTTAAACAAGTTATTCCAATCGGGCCTCCAGGGGTCTGCCTAGCACCGCTTGCTCAGGATCTGCGAATGACCGAAGAGGCCTCCTTCTGGCTCCGGAACTCACGGCCGGCGAAATCCTGAGCCTAGCGTTGCCGGCCCGGATCTTTATCGTCACGGCCCGTCATCGCCGGAAGTGTTGAAGAGCACCCTGGAGACAGGCCGGATGCCCGCAAAGATTGGGCTTCCCTTAAGCACCTGTACCCTACTGTACTTCCAGGTTTCCAGATTGGACAATGTCTGTGGATTATGATCTTGTGTAGCCTTAGACGCATGATGGTCAAGCCAGAGACGGCCCAATTGGGACATTCCGCGAACCCCCCATTCGCAAATGTCGCACGTCCCTGAGAAGGGAATCGCTTCTCTATACCATACATATAGGTATGTATGCGGAAAGGGACCCCAGGGTTCCATTGCACACACACGGGTTTGTTAGGTCAGCTCCTCGGCGCGGGGGCCACCGTTACACTACATCAACTGTCCAACTTCGCCAATCTGCGTCTTCCCAAGGGTCAGCGACTACTTGATTCGTTAGCGGCATCGTGAATGTATCGATGCCAGCGATTCGGAAAGGATACCCGCAGTTCTCTAGTTGAGACATCATAAAAAAGAAACAATAATTCAGCCATGAAACCCACAGCACGGCTTGCGAGTCCAGAGTGAGATATGTATGCATTTGCCTTCGTCCTGTGCGACATATGGTTCTGGTAGAATCTCAGCCCTGCATGTATCCCCGTACTCATGCTGTGGGGCCGTGCCGTCCGCCCGCTTCCTAACAGGCCTATCGTCGACTCCATCGGTGAAGGTTAAAAAAGAGGCATGTGCTGCTAGAAGTCGATCAAGGAAGCATTGTCATTCGCTGCCTACCCTCGCCAATGTATCATTAGGAATCCCGGCGTATTTCCGCGTCGATGGCGGATACCAGACCATGCACTGCTCCCTATAGATGACCTCTCGCCCTGCCGGTCCATGTCCTGGGATTCTCATCTCGAAAGCATCGATGGTCCGGAACCCAAGTTTCTCATACATGGGGACAGCAACTTCGGTGCTCTCCAAATAAACCGGCAGTTCATCTGCTTCAGCTAATTCAAGGACAGCCCGCGTGAGCAGAGAGCCTGCTCCCTGCCCTTGGTACGCCGGATCTATACAGATAAAGCTCAAGCCTAGGCCAAGGACAAGTTAGCCTCCCTTTAACCCCACGAAAGCCGAGAAGACGGGGCCGAGCCGTGGGGTAGCGGCATTTGCCCCAACCGCCCATGCCGTCTAGCCCAGCCCACCCAGGCCTATCCATGTGATCTAGGGTTCTGCCTGGACGGCGTGCAGACCTTGGAGCCGCAGCCAAGCACGGCAAGCGCAATTGCCATGACGGGTATTGGGGGGTCAGAATGGATGGAGAACGGTGACACCTACGGTAGCAGGGTTGGTCTCCAAACAATCTTTTCTCCGCCTCAGCGGCAAGTGCCGCGTATTCCTCTAGGAACTCACGTCGGCACCCCTTCAAGTATCTCAAATCGCCGCTCTCGAGCTTGGGCTCGGGATGCGACGGCGAGTCCCATTTCGCAAAGCCAGCAATCAACCCCGTTTCGGGATCCTCTGCGACTAGAATTCCGCTAGCAGCATCTCGCAACTGGGCGGCTGTATGAGCTTTCAGAAAGGCTTGTAGAACCGAAAGGCTGTCGGGAGAAGGGAATTGAGCGTGCAACAGAGGATTGGAATCCATTGCAGCAAGGTGAATCTCTGCGATGCGGGCGGCATCAGCCTCCCGGGGCCTGGTAACCGCAAATTTTCGGGCCATTGGGATAGCCGGTGTGTCAAGGGCGGGAACTAGCCTACGCTGCCGTGAGGGCCGCAGCTCGGTTGTTAATCGAGCAGGGAAGGTCATGTGACAGGCCGTCGGTCATTAGCTGGGCTGCTGCAAATGGCCGGAGGGATTCTGATGAGGCGTCATGCTATCGACGTCCGCTAAAATCTGGTTCTTCAATGCGTCCCTTTCCAGGGAGTCTTTCAGCATCCGATACGGGGTCTCGACCCACGCTTCCCAAGGCCCACCGCGGAAATGGTCGACGAGCAATGTTAACAGAAACTGCCCTGAATCGCCTATCAACCACATGTCTCTGCAAAGATGGAGTGCGAGGAAGTAGTACGCAAGGATGGCTAGGGCTTCGGGCCTGCCAGTTTCCAACATCGCGGCGAATGGAGCTGGGACCAAGACGGCCCAGTCACAGAGCGCATAGGCCCGGCTTTTCGGGCTGGGCCTGGCGTCGAATACCCATTGCAAAGTGTTGATGGCTTTTCGCGCTCCCTCAAGCTCCTCGGTATCCAGACTGGAGGACTCGATTCTGCCGCGAATGTCGTCGCAATCATGTCCCTCAACATCCATCTGGTAACGCTGCGGCACCAAGTCGTCAAAGATAATCCCTAGCTCAGTGCGTCGCAGTTGATCCCAATGTCCCTGCATAACCGTGTATATGCCGCGGTGGAGGCGCAGGTATCCCTGGAACCGAGCAAAGGCGGCGGGGAAGTCGCCGTCTCGGTGGGAGAGCATATCGCAGAGTCCCAAGAAGCCAAGAATGCAGGAAAAAATGAAGATGGGAATACGCTTCTCGACAGAATCCCCGAGGGAACCGAGATCAATGCTGTTGAAAAGAGACAGAGCACGCGTCTGGAGTTGCATCGCCAGGTTCTGATAGAATGCTTGTTGATCGCGCCGAACGACGCTGAGATGGTATGCCGAAAGCGCCAGGACCGAATGCATAACCAGTGGTTGTCGGAGGGCGGTCGAGGTAATGATCTGCTTCAAGCTCCCATCAAAGAGCGGGTAGATGCCAGCGTTGTCCGTCATGTAATGGTGGAAAACCTCCATATGCGCCATATTCACTCCGGAATGCAAATCATCCACCGCTGGGGTGACATATACATCTGGAAACACTGCGAGAGCCGGAGCTGGGGCCGGAGCTGGGGCCGGGCCCGGAGCCGGAGCCGGGGTGAAACTAGGCCCTGGCGACGGGGTCTGCGGGCTTGCGGAGTAATCCGACAGCGACTCCCTTGGAGGTTCCCAGGGAGTCGAGTACTGACAGTCTCGCTCCCCAGTTATGCAGTTCATACACTGAGGTCGAGTTTCGTCGCACTGTAAAGTTAGCTTCATAGATCGAGCAAGCTAGACCGGGTTTCCTACTTTGATATGGCGACGCTTGCACTCGAGACATCCCCGCCGAGACTTTTTGTGGCTTCTGCGCATCATCATCCCGGAGTGAGCCGGTAAGGTGCTCGCCCCGCTATTGAATTCGGCAAAGCTTCTTGCGGATGCTTCCTCCCGGGTCCTTCACAGTCAAGACTCAGAGAGAGGCAGATTATTAATACGTATCCGCGCATTTTTTTGTGAGGCTGAGCAAGGCGTCGAGCTGGGTGTGGAGCTTGCGTGGACCTACGTCGTCGCAATTTCTTTTATGACGCGTCAGGACGGCCACAGCCACGCACGGGCGGGCTGCCGCACCGGGCCCGGGCTCCCGACCCGGACAGTGCCGAGCGGACAAACCCCCGGAAACTGTGACAGTGAACATGGAGTCCGTCTGTCGGTATGTCCTCGCATTCAAAGAGTCATTTCCCGACAACCTGTCGCTCCTCAAAAAGCTCTCCGTTCTACCGCTCACATCAATTCACTTGAGTATCGTCGGCGGGCGGCCTATCCCAGCGAGGCTTGGAATCCGCTTTGGAGCGATCGTGGCCCCCGTGGCCAACGAAATTGCGGACCCAATCTCGAACTCGCCGAGTCTTTTGTAGCTGCGGATGGGCGCTATCAGGAGCTGCAAGGTCAAGCCTGCTGTAATACCCGGCTTTGTCTTGGGTATCTAGCCTCGCTCGGTACAATAGATATACCCTTGTGAGATCCTTCCTTAGGCTGGACCCGTAGACTTTCTTTGTGAACACGTTCAAAGCCACGTTCTGCACCAGGATGACGTCTCGGGGCCGCAAGTCCGAGAGTGGGCTCTCAGCATGGTCGTCAGACGGCAGCCAGTATGTGATGGAGAAACCGGCCTTGGTTTCGTCGCCAACAAGGAGCTCAACTAAGTGTTTCGTGGCACCCCAGCGGGTCTTCACCTCCCGCGGCTGCGAGATGGAGATAATTCCTACTATTATGTTGCAGGTCACTGTCTGGGGTAGGATTTTGATAAGGTATGGCGCCGAAGGGATATTGTCGAGGTCAGTAATACTATCGCCTCCTCGGAGCGCCAACGGCTCTCTGAGAGGCTCGGGCTGGCTCCCACTTCCATCCAAGAGAGAAGTAGTGCCGTCGCTCATGAATGATGTCGTCTGTCCGCCAGAGCTGGGAGGGAGATGAGAGGATGGCAAATCCTGGTATGCAGCTATGGAATGCTCGTAGAACTGCGACAGCACAGAACTGTTCTCACCGTCGACGTCGGACGAAAAGGAGACGGGGGCGGTAGTGAAGAATTTGGAGCTCGGGTAGTGAGGATCGAAGGTATACTGCCGTGGAAAACTTGACGGCAAACTCGCCCTGTCCAAGGAGAGCGATCGCCAAGCAGCAGACTCATGGGGAGAGGGTATCACTGAAAAAAGCTTGTGGTGTGCATCGCTGTCGAGGAACCAAGCAATGGCGCCTTGAAAGTCCGAGAGCAACTCGGTGGAAGCCCAGTCAAGGGCAGCACTCTCGGGTGCGCCAGCGAGTATCAACACTTTTGCCGACCATGTTACCATGGTATATGATCCGTATGTGTGGGAAGCCCGTCACTACAACCTGCGCGGCACGGGTTCGATTGCTGTCAGGTTAACTCGTCGAGCTCGTTCAACTTGCAGGTTTGGAGATTGGAGAGTCGGAAGGAGATGGATGTGTTTGACATGTGTAATGTTGTACTGTACAAACAATGCCCCCCTGGTATGTCCGTTAGCTCGGTACTCCGTACGTACTGTGATACCGTGGATCTGGACAAGGCGACTGTTTTGATATGACGCCCCAATCAGTCGCCCTTAGGGTTCGGAAACGAGAATTTCCATTTCCAAAATTTCAATCCGTTTTTGAAATCTTTTCATTCAAAAGGCCATTGAAATTTCAATATTTTCACACTAAGGATTTCCCCCCTCAGTTTACTAAGGGAAAGGTAGGAAATGGGTTGTAATTTGCTAGAAAGTAGTGTTCTTAGGCAGCCTCCTTGTAAAGTCTTGCATTATTGGTATGAGTGTCCTGTAAATATCGGTCTAAAACCTGGGTCTTAGCGGTTGAAAGCAGGGCCATGGTGGGATGGGTAATACTGGTCCTTTCTGTAAGACATGTGTAACCCTAACCCTGCAGCCCTACCGCCTTCCCAAAAAAGTTAGTGGAAACGGCGGAAATTCGAAATTCAAAGTTCAGTTTCACGTTTCGAATTTCAGAGTCAACTTTGAAATTTCCGAACCCTAGTCGCCCTGATCGATTTCCCCAGCCGCTAAGAAATGGAGAAGTGAGGTCCAGGTGAAGTCGGGCTTTGTACCCTGTAATACGGATAATTATACTCCGTAGGTACGGAATTCTTGTAATCAAGTGTTGTGCCCCACATAATTTGAGTGAGTTATGCCACATGTGCTTGTATTCCGTGTTCGGAAAGATGTAATGATGCAATGCTCGGTATATATACCATACTTACTTGAAATTTCATACCTACGTTAATTTTAATTACCTAGGAACGGACTGCCATCTGAACTTCTGCTGCCAAATCACCAGCACCAATTCGCCTAGACAACCGTTGCCGGTTGCACCAAGTTTGACACTGGCAGTAAATAGTGCTGGCACATCAACGCTAAGGTAACTTAGCTTACATGCCACCTCACTGACCTTTCTGCCGAGTGCGCTTCCCCTGTCAGTTAAACCTTACCATCTCAGAACCGCGAAATCCCCCACACAACCATGGCTCCAGCACCTTGGGACGGGCTCCCAAGCCAGGACACCTTGTTCGTCTTGGTAACTGGCGGCAACAGGTACGCGCCGTCCTCGATACAATAGTACACACGAAAGTATTGTTCTGACGTCAAGTGCTGCAAGTGGCATTGGCTTTGGCATAGGCGAGCGTCTCATTGACGAATATATCACAAAACGATCCCTGTCGTCGCACCTCATTGTGATACCTACCACACGGAGTACCAAGAAGTCCCAGGAAACCATCGACGGCCTCCGAAAGCACACAAAAGAGTTCGCCGCTACGTCCAAGGCGCTACGGTCACGAGCCGGGCCAGGCTACGACCCAAAGCAGACCACTCGCCGAGTTCATATCCTCAGTGTCCAGGTTGACCTGTGCAACTTACCCAGCATCCGCCGCGCTGCGAATCAGCTCCTCTCCGGCACGCTCACCAGCCTCAGCGACGATGACCACTTCGAGTCACTAGTCGACGTGAAGATCCCACGCCTGGACGCGGTAATATTCAACGCCGGCATTGGAGGATGGGACGGGCTCGACTGGCCCAAGGCCTTCCACAATATTCTTACCAGAGGCCTCGTCAGCGCCACAACATGGCCTACGTTCAAGGCGGCCAAGGGGGGCCACCTCATCGACCCTCTGCAAGGCACCAAAGGGAGCAGTAGTTCCAACAACCCGCAGATGGGCGAGGTGTTTTGCGCCAACGTGTTCGGGCACTACCTGTTTGCGCACTGGCTCGTGCCCCTCCTCAGTCGGCCGAGCAGCAGCACCCTGCCGCCGAGCCGCATCATCTGGGAGACGAGCGTCGAGCCAGACTGGCCGTGCCTATCCCTGGACGACTTCCAGGCCGTCAAGAGCAAGGCTGCGTACGAGTCCACGAAGCGACTGACGGACGTCTTGGCCCTGACGGCGTCTCTCCCGTCCTCGAGGCCGTTTGTCGACCGATACCTCGGCATCACGCCGGCGCCACGGGACAAGAACAAGGGCCAGGCAGCAACCGGCGGCTCTTCGCAGCCGGCCACCACCCCGCCTAAAATTTACTTAGTCCACCCAGGCGTCGTTCAGACCACCCTCTTCCCCCTCAATGCCTTCATGCACTTTTGGTACATGGTCGTCCTGTACATCGCCCGCTGGCTCGGCTCCCCCTGGCACCCCATCACCAGCTACAAAGGTGCATGTGCGCCGGTATGGATGGCGCTGCAGGAGCAGTCATGGCTGGACGCGGTGCACGCCGAGCGCATCAAGTGGGGGAGCAGCACCAACATCAAGGGAGAGTGCCGGGTCAAAAAGACAGAGGTGGACGGCTGGGGCTGGGAGGGCAAGGTGGAGGAGATGATGGCGCTAAAGCAGCAGGGGAAGCTGTCTGGGCGGAAATGGAGCGCCGTCGACGTCACCGAGGAGAAGCTGATCGAGTTTAAGGAACTCGGCGCGACTTGCTGGCAGAAGATGGAAGAATTGAGGGAGGAGTGGGAAGCAAGGCTCGACGCTGCCGAGGCCGGCAGGTCCTGAAGGCAATGCGTCTACCATTATGATACTAATTGCGATGTCCTAGAACGCCGGAGATGGTGCGAGATACGACGCATATGCGGTAAAAAATCTCCCTCAAAGCAGCGTAGCTAATCATTAATACAATATACCCACTACAAGCCAAGATAACCAAGATATCCCTGACCAACTCCCAAGCAGTCCGAACCATCCCAGGCATAACCGAAGCCACATAGCATTAGATCCCATAGCTTAGATTTCATTCATTTCGCCTCCTGCCGAACGCCCTCGACAACCCCATATCTAACCTCCTCGTCCACCCGCACTCTCCTCAACGCCAACCTGTCCCCGCGTCCAAACAGCCCAAGACACAGCGGCACGGGCACGGTAACCATGGCGATGACCGCCATGAAGACCAAGCCGTCGCGCATATTCCCAGGGGGATCGCCCTCGTCCGGGCCCTTCCTGAGGGCCCCACAGATGATGATAAAGACGCCCCCGAGCAGCTGGCCGCCGCTCCACGCCAGCGTGGACGTTACGGCCGGGCTGATCGGGTGGGTCAGCTCGACGAGGAACTCGAGGGCGACAGGGACGAGGGAGAAGGAGGCGGCGCCGAGGACCGCCATGACGAGGTAAGGGCCTGCGAGGCCGGCCGTCGCCGGCATCCAGACAAAGACCAGATAACACAGCCCGATCAGCGGCACAGCAACGCGGATTGCCAGCAGGTACGCCCTCGTGCGGTCGATGATGGGCGATGTGACTGCGGACGCGACCAGTCCGACCACGATGAGAATGGCGCCGGCGATGCCGGCTTGTTCTTCGCTGTAGCCGTAAGGGAGCATGATTTCTGTTGGGTTGGGCGTGTGGTTAGACCGGGTTAGGTTTTGTTCCCTTATTGGCTTTTGGCTTTGAAAGGGATGATTTGAGGAGGAACAGAAAGGGCAGGATGGCGGGATATACATACGGTTGAGGACAGAGGAGATGGCGTTGAAGAGACCGACATGGATGGAGAAGGGCACAAAGAGGAGCCAGAACTCAGGCTGCTTGAAGATGAGTTTAGATGAGACGCGCAGGCTCAGCTTCGGGGTCTCGGCTGAGGGAGCAACCGGGGTCGGAGGCGCGGCGGGGATGAAAAAGGAGGGAACGGAGCAGACCGATGACTAGGCTTCGTTAGTTTGGACTGACTGATGCGGTGAGGCACTGGAAAGGCTCTTACAATGATGGAGACGTAGAGCACCATGTTGGACATATCGCTGGGCTGGGAAACCCATAATGGGACAATTAGCTGGCTCAGGGCAGCGCCAAACGGATTCGCCAGACTGGTCAGCGCGGTTGCCGCGACACGTCCCCGGTTCGTGAACCAGAGGTCGGAGTAGCGAGGGGGAGCAGCAAGCACGAAGGGTTGCGCAAGGCCGGTGAGAATCTGGCCAAACATGACAACACCGAACATGCCCCCGGAGCTCGAGTGGGAGCCGGCGAAGCGGATCCAGTTCCCGACCAGGATAAGGGAGGCTGCAGTGATAATGGATGGCTTCGGCCCCATGTTCAGGACGTATATGACGGCGGGCATGGCGAACGCGGCGGCAAACATGAAGGCCGTGCTCAGCCAGTTGACGGTGGTCGTGTCCGTGTTGAAGTACCGCGCTGCAGAGCCGGCAACGGGTGAAAAGGTAAGCCACTGTTGATCATGGTGGTCAGTGTTAGGTAGGAGTGATGGACCGGTCGTTGGTCTCTTCAATGAATTCTTGAGTAACATTCGACAGACAGCCTCGGAACGGTCGTGTCACCAGGCTTGCATGAGAGCGCCTGTCAATTTGTAACAATGACTGCAGTAGTCTCCAAGACTCTGAACGCCGATCTGCTAGACAGGGAAAGGAACCATTTATCACTTACATCCCAACTAACAATGATGTTGAGCAGTGTCAATTGCACCAGCCCAAACCACCGCCGCTTATACACCTTGTACTCGGACACGGCCCGTTCCGTGCCGTCACCGCCTGCATCTGCATTACGAGACAGCGCCGAGCCGGGCGGGGCGCGCGCTGAGGGCTCTATACCCGGTTGGCGCGTCTGCGTCGTGAGTTCGTCCATCTCAACCTGGATTACATCGCCCGAAGTGATGCCCGTGGTGGTTCTGGTATTCTCCTTCTCATCGTCCTTGTCCATTCCTTCCTTGAGCTTCTGCCACGAGTGCATCCGTCCAGCGGGTCGTGGCCGTGGCCGTGGCCGTGGCCGTGGCCGACGATGTCGCTAGTTCGTTGTTGCTGATGCTTGTACTTGTACAATACCGGCGCCCGATAGTTGACTGGCTCTTGTCGTTGACGTTGTTAGGGCCACGCGACCGTTCTCAACTTGATTTTGGTTACTCAGGTACGCGTGGCGTGGCACATCGCCACATGGTCAGCATCTCCTTTCGGGAATTGGCGCGGATGACTGGAAGCCAAGGTGTAAGTAGTACTGTAGGTGTAACTTGCGCCTCTTGCGCCTCTTTGCCGTCCCTGAGCGCAAGCCTTCCTTGGCTTATCTGTGCTGCCCACCTGCAGGATCGGATCTCATGAACAAGTTCGATGACGGACGCGGATCTAACCAAGCTTGATGTTTGGTCGGCATAGCTGCTATACCACGATCGGTTCCGTCTCTGTTTCCCCTCCTGTGAGTAAGGTATTCCCCAATTCTGTTTGCCGCAGCGTGTTTCCTATCTTGGCAACCGCGCATGCTGAACGTGGGACTTCTTCCCCGCACCTGCTGGGTGTGATAACAAGCCCAGGACTCCAATGAGCCTCGGATCAAAAGATAATAAAAGACTCTCTCAGCAAACTAAGGTGTCTTTCCGTCGCTCAGGTCCCCGTGGACTTTTATATTGGTAGTGTTCCTGATCGATCCCCGATGAAGCTAAGGATTC